GAGAGGGTGGGGTGTAGGAACCCCTCCTGTCCACAAGCACGCGCCCCCTCCCCCCAGTAACCGCCCCCCTCCCCTTAATGAGCGCCCCCACCCCCTCAACAAGCGATCCGTCCACACAACGCCCTCGAAAAGCGATCCGCCTACGCAGCACCCCCTCAATGCACACCTCATTCACACGACGCCCTCGAAATGCGATTTGTCCGCGCAGTGTCCCGGCGAGGGAGGGGAGGGAAGGAGTGACGGGGTGAGAGGGGTCAGGAAGGTGGGGCGTAGGAGGAGGGTGGGGAGGAGGTGGAGATGGGGTGAGGGGAGGGTGGGGTGGAAGAATGGTGGAGGTGGGAGGGAGGCGGAAGGGAGGTGCGATTGACCCAGAGGGGGCTGCGCCACCCCTCTCTCGTCGCCCTCCGCTCAATCAGCAATTCCCAACAAGCGAGCGGCTTAACAGGAGATCCAACAAGCGCCGTCCCTCCTAACCCCCCACCCGCCCTCCATCCTCGCTCGCTCGTTCCGTCGCCTCGCTCACCCACCTCCACCCACCCCACTCGCTTGCGCGAGAGAGGGCGCAGTGCATGGCTCGCACTTCTCTCAGTTCCTCCTCGCCCCCCCTCCCTCCTCACCGTCTCCCTCAAATCCTCCTCCTCAGCTCTCCTCACCCCCCTCTCCCTTCCTTCCCACACCCTCCCTCCTCATGTCTTCCCTCCCGTCGCCCCGCTCGCCTTCACTTCCTCAGTCCCCTGCCTCTCAGCTCGCTGGGTTCCCTCAACCGAACGGGGGCATCGCCGGCGAGCTGCAATAGAGCGAGCGAGCAAGAGAGAATGAGGCGCGGAAGAGCGAGTGCGATGGGGGAGCGAGAGAGAGAGCAGGGCTCCCACCTCTCAGCGCGCCGGCATCCCTCGACCGGGGGCGTCGCTGGCGATCTGTGCGAGCGAGGAACTGAGCTGGCGAGCCGCGAAAGACCGAGGGTGCTAAGTAGAAGGAAGGTAAGGTAAGGGAGATGAAGGGGCGGGACGGAGGGGTGGGTGCCGGTGGAAGGAGTGAAGGGGGCGCCGGCGGAAGGGGATGGGGCGCTGGTGGAAGGATAGGGGGAGTGAGAGAACGAGGGGTGGGGTAGTCCGCTCTGTAGTAGTCATTGTTTTTCTCCCTTTCTGATTCAAGCGCTCCCTATTGTATTGACCGCACAAACTGAAGCTCTACAAATGGCCAAGTGATTCCGATCTGACAGTGCCCCACTCACGTCTCCCCCATTCGTGTCTTTTCCACGTAAATCGTCGCCCCTCTTCAACTTCTTCTGGCCAATCTCCGGCGCCGTCGAATGTTCGATTAGCGCGAGTGGACCCTGTCGCGTTGCGCTTGCGGAAGTCTTCAGCAAGTTCCCGGCTCGGAGCAGTGACTGACGAAATACCTGACATTCATCCTCAGACACCAAAACCTGTAGAAGCATTCCCCGTATGCGCTCGTACGTGGCCGCGTCCTCTTGGACGAAGTGCCAGCGATCAATCTGGCATAGGAGATCCGCGCCATCATCGGCACGAGTTCCTGCGTCTGCACCACACTCTAGCAGGACACGCACGCTGTCCTCGTTGCCACAATAGACAGCACAATATAGGGGAGACCAGCCAGCTGCGTCGCGAGATTCTATGTTGGCCCCATTCTCGCAGAGAACGCGGATGGAGCGGACACAGGGTCGCATCGAGGCCATATGGAGAGGCGTGAGTCCCCCTCTCCTGCAGATGACGAGAACGCGCTGGGGATATGCGCTGTCATTATCGGCGCAGGAAATAGAGCCGAGCTGCATCGAAGGGGCCCAGGATGTGTAGTCCCCAGGCTCCGAGGGATCGAATTTCAGAGGGATGCAAGCCTGACTCCTGGTCACAGCGTCGATATCCGCCCCTCGGTCCAGCAGCAAAGCGACGGTGTCAAATCCATGCTGCATAACGGCGAAGTGAAGTGCCGTCCTATGATCGACAGCGCGCTCGTTGACGCTCACCCCCGGGTGATCAAGGAGCACCGTTACAGCGTCTCGATATCCGCGCGCCGCAGCGATATGCAAAGGTGTCCAGCGCTCTTCCTGGTATAGATCGGCAGGCCCCGACGCTACTAGACCACTCGCTGTTGCGCCTCGGGCGAGAAGGAGTGAAATATACTCGTGCGCGCCATAGCTGGCCGCCACGTGAAGGGCTGTTTTACCCTCCAGGTCGATGGCATCGATGTCTACCCCAGGCTGATCAAGGAGCAACTTCACAGCGTCGATGTACGGGTTACGCGCCTCGCGAATCTCGTGCAGAGGATCAGATATCCAGTGCGGCCATGGGCAGTCATCTTCCCGACCCATGAGATGGGCGTCTTGACATAGGCGAGATACTTCCATGCGTAAGGCGCCACCGCATATGGCGTCATGGAGAGTTGTCCGCCCCGTTATGTACTCTTCTTCCGTTACCACTCCTGGCTGATTGAGGAGCAGCTCCATGATCCTTAGATGGCCTCTTTGAGCAGCGACGCTGAGCGGTCGCCCCCACTTCGAGTTCGCGTGGTCAGTGCCATTCACATTCGCCCCACGAGAGAGAAGCAGCGTGACGACCTCAAGATGCCCATGTATCGTCGCAGTATAGAGAGCGTTGGTCCCATTCGCGTCTTCTTCGTCGATGTTGACCAATGGGTCGATATCGAGGAAATACTCCAGGACGTGCGCATGTCCGGACTGAGCAGCAACATGCAGTGGTAATAGACCGTTTCCGCGTGCGTGCAAGTCAGCACCGCGCGAGATCAGGACGCGGCAGACATTAAGATGACCGTGCTTTGCTGCGCGGTGAAGGAGAGGCCAGCCATCCTCATCTACGAGCTCGATGTTTGCCCCAAGATGAAGCAGTAGGTCGACGAGTAGATCGTGCCCGAGCATGATCGCGGCGCAGATGTTGGGCCGGAGGATGCCCTGCGTTAGCGGATGATCCCTAATCTTTTCCATGACCCCAAGAACATCTTCGACGAGACCGGGATAGTGATCATCCTCCGCCAGGCTGATACTATGCGCCCAATCTTCGAGGAGACATGAATCGCAATCCGCAGACGTTGATTCGGCGACAAAAGCCGTATAGGCGAGACCCATGCGAGCCATCAGAGCAGCGTCCTGGCAGCGAACACGGAATGGAGATGAGGCCGGGAGGTTGAGAATAAAGTCCTTCACCGATGCGTGCGCGATGGAGACGGTGTCGTCGAAAACATGGATGAATGTCGTGTCAATCGCCGCGACAGCGGCCTTTGGTGAGGGCTTCAGCGAAGCGTCGTAGATTGGCATATGACATCTCGCAGTCGGGTGTATGAAGGCCTGTAGCCGCGCGAAATCATCCAAAGGTATGGGCCTTCCATGATACACGAGCCACGCGAGCAAGATCTTCACTTTCTGCTGCAGTCGTGGATTGATAGAGTTGAGACGCTGAGCATACATCGCTTCGAGAGATTGAGGAAGACTCGTCAAAAGCATGGAAACATAGGAGGGATTCTCGGCTACAGGCGCGATTTCGTCAATGACAAGTGACAACCATCGTAGACTTGATTGAATCGTCAATATACCGATGCACCCACATTGTGACGACGCAAAGACTTACTTTCCCTGAGCGCCACGCTTCAGATGAGTGCGGATGGAAAGGGGATCCGTAACTCCAGCAAGGATACCATCAGGCTTCGTCAAAGCCCTGTCAAGTATCATGTTCGTATCGTGATCATTTTCTCTGGGGAAGTGTCCGATGCGAACATGGGAGTCGTGCAGATCCTCTAGGCCATCTGCAGTACGAGCTGTAACGAAGATCGAGACGGCTTGATGAGCTTGCAGCCATCTGATAGTCGGAGGAATACTCTTCGTGACGCTTTCATCCAGCGCATCAACAAGGACATAGACTGGAGAGCGTCGCGCACGGAGTAGCCTCAGCAGCAGAGCTGTCTTCTCTTCCAGAGTCGTGTGCCCGCGCGTCGCTGCTCTGGCACGATGCGCGGACAGGAAAGCAGCCGCCTCGGAGCTCTGCAAGGCCAGTTGGCAAAGGAATGACGAGATGAGAGAGTCCGTAGTTTGTTTATCCGGGCGATCTGTGATATCGAAGAAATAGACGAGCACGGTAGCGTCACTACAATGGGATTCGCGGTAATCCTGCAGATTTTGAAAGGCAGCGGCACTGGCAAGCGTCAGTCAATACAATGGCTCCTCGTCGCGTTCTCGTCACTCACGTCATCGTGCTTTTACCGCACCCAGCTAAACACCAAATTAATCCACGGAAGTCTGCATGAGCAAAGGCCCTTACCTGAGCCGGACATCAACAAGGACTTGACGGACCCGTCCTTGAACTCGATGAACGAACCACCGTTCAGAAACCAGGATCCGGTAGAAGGTACGCGGTCGTTCAGTAGTTTGTTTACTTTGTCGGACGAGTCCCGATATTGGAGCCACCCAAGTATTTTGTCGACGCCTGCGATGTCTAGCAAGAGTGGCGACATCAGCAGCGGGCACTGATGGAGGCTCAACAGAGCTCTGGTTACCTTTCATTATCTTGATATCGTTCGCCGCTCTCTCAACAACGCCATCTATGAGTCTCACGATTTCTCGGTTTTTGTGAATCTCCTCGATGGCTTGAATATTCCCCTCTTCTACGCTCGCTAGGTAGACGACTCTCAGAAGTGATTCAACCACTACGGTGTGCAATGTCGTACCGATTATCTCACGGGCAAGATTGACCACCCGCTCCATGCAACGTTGTACCGCAATCCAGTCTTCGTGCTCCGCTGTATAAGCAATGAGCAAGATGCACCAGTATACGACGCATTCACGCACAGGCAAGACTGGAGGTCAGTTCTGTGACGATTTCCAGCGTCACAGCAGCAACCCTCTCGTGTTGGCGTGTTCCGAGCTTGTCCAGGTGTGCCAATGCCTCCGACATCGGCCTCGCGCTTCGAAGGCCTTGTAGCCACACGCCTGGATGATAGAGTAAGCCTCTCTCCATCGCAGAAGGGTCGCAGAACCCACGGAAACGGCCAGCTCTCCTCATCTTCGAGATTAAACCGAACACCGCAAGGACGTGGGCAAGGAATTCGACAGATGCCTCTCGAACGAGGACATGTCTGTCGACCACGGTGTCGATGAGAACGATCCGGCACTTGATCTCGTCGAACGCTTTACAGACCGCGTCGAACTCGTCATGCACAGTAGTCGAGGCCTGGAACATCGTCAGTAGGCCTTATGCGGGGCGGATACCTTCCAACTCGCCCTGAGCAGATGTCCAACCGCTGAGAAGATGACTGGGCCAGGAGGGAATGCCTGCGCCCAACGCGGTCAGATACGACGACCACCAGATACACAAGTCAAACTCACCGGTGCGAGCGAGTTACCGATGCCATCGCAAAGCTTCCCGAGCACAATGGCTACTGGCATGAGACGGTCGCGCAGGATTTGCGGACCGTCGTTGCGGAACTTCTTGAACTGCGCTTCTTGGTCGCGGACATAGTCGTCGATGTCGGCTTTGCTGCTGAAGAGCAGCGCGCCTTCAGAGGAGTGGTCGACGCCCGCGCTCGCCTGGTACTCCCTGACCGCGTCCTCCCACAGGCGAGCCACGGGATCCTTGACGAGCGGCACATGCGGAGGCCCAGACGCGATGCTCGAAGGGGTACTCGGCGCTTGTGCAGCTACGGGCGCGTGTTCGAGGACAGACAAGGGCTCGATGATCGAAGAGGAATGCACAGGGCTGCACGCACTGCGCCGCGTCGACGGACATTGGGCCGTCGTCTCCACGGTATGAGGATTTCCCGCGCCCGGTTGACTTGTGAGCGACTCCGTCGCCGTGGTTGACAAACGAGGGACGAGGACCCCCGGGAAAGCGGGGGTGGCCAATGTGATCGATAAGTGAACTAGTCGCGAAAGGCTCGCTCGATCATCTCGTGCCCGATTGCGGGGATCGAGTCCAGCAAGCCAGAGCAAGGATTTCGACGGAGACGCAGCTGGTCGAGACATTGTAGTCGAAGAGTATGAGATGGGCGCCTAGGACAAGAGGGCAGAGGTGTGAAGAGCAGTGCGGCTGGAGAAGCAGCAAGATTAGAGAGGAAGCCATATGACTCGAACTTTGTTCGGCGAGGCTGGCCGGGTGAATTGAAGGAAGTCCTATAAGAAGCACGAGTCATTGTAGGGACATTGTTCGGATCATGACTTGTACGTACTCACTTATCGCCTTGGACAGTCGGTGTGGTATGACTGTTGATTAGGGGGATGGTGGCGCTAGAGGCAGAATTCGAACCTTGCATAGAGGAGTTTGCCTTGCAGCATGACAGAGTGAGCCGCGAGGATACAGCACGCGACGTATATGAGCCAAGGAACGGTTTGAAAGAAGGTCAAGGCAACATATATTCTCGCACGTATACCTATACAGCCCCGCGTATATGATGGGATCGGCGTACCCTCCTGCAGCCTACCCCGACCTGTTCAAGGGCAAGTCTCAGGAGATACTCGCGGATATCCTACGCTCGTCGCGTTTGCGTGAGGGTTCGTCCCGCGAGAGGAACGTCGGCTGATCTGTGATGCATCACTACTTATCTGGGCCGTCAGCCACCCGCGTGAATGTATCTCACCGCCAATGTAGATGGCACCTTCCCTTCACCTGCGAGCCCTAGGCGGCACCGACATGGCGAAGGTCTGGAAAGCATCGGGCCGATGCTCATAACATCCTTCTCATTCGTCCGGGTGGGGAAGATAGCCGCTCCTGCCCGTCTCAGAGAGCTGTGAGCCGAGAGTCACGCTCGGCAGCGTTCCCATATTCGTGGAGGACCGCGTTCAGGGAGTCATTCCACACCAGTAGAAACATAGGCTAGTTATCGAACGTATAGTCGGTGCGGAGAGTGCTCGAGTAGGCGACCCTGGCAAATCGGGCGTCGACGTTTGTTGATGATACCACGAGGCCAGATGACGATGCCCAGTGAGGAAAAGGTAAGGGTGTGTTGTGAGAAGCCGTGCTGAGTTGCTTTCGAGAGGCATGTAGCGTCCGGGGAACGATGCGCTCGGCGAGGGCAGTGTCCTGCGGCGATCGCGATGACTACACGGCGATTACGAAGGGATGGAGGACGCACCATCTGCCCGGAGAATGGGGAAGTGGTCCCGCAAAGTAGCTATTATCCTGACATCTCTCGCTGCTTAAGCGCACAGAAGCGCTGCTTCCCGGTCCAACTCGATAGTTCAGGCGCCAAAGCGATCGAGAATGTGACAAAGATGCCTGCTCCGGAGGGCCTTCGTCGATCTGTCTGTGTCTAGAGTTCAAACTAACAAGATTCGCGCGTGTTTGTATCTGAAGAGACGCCTAAGAGGCGTGTATCGGGATGATGGTAAGAAGCAGGAGGCTTTGTTTGGTCGTGTTTGCTTTGGCGCTGTAACCTTTCTGCCTTCTCCTTTGGGACGCCATCAGGACATTGTTCTTCCATCTGACTTTCTGCGGTCATGGGCAACGGATCGAGCAGGATCACAACCCATACAAGGCATTGCGCTCCTGTGCAGTGAAGTAATGTCAACGCGAGAGAATAGGGAGGCTAGGCTGAGAAAAGGTAGCGTCCCATTCCAATCACAACTATTGATACACTTCCGTAAAAACAAGTTGAAAGCATGATAGCGAGGCAGAGAAAAGTATAAAAAACATACACAGCGCATATATAGCATCATCATGAGGCCGCCTGAAACACACATAGCTTACATACAGAAAGAGCCCATAACATTTCGATAGGCCGTGGACGTTCCGATATCCTGGTCGGAAGAATCACGGTGCGATGGTGACGTGCGATCAGATGCAGGCTCGACCGCCGCTTTCTGGTTCGCTGGGGGAGACTTGGTGGACCGAGGACGCGAGCCTCCCCTCGTCATCAGCGCCGCGGGGATGGTCGGCGGCTGGGGCTCGATTCGAGGGCGCTTACCCTCGCGATACGTCTCCTCATCCGCCCAAGACTTCTTGCGTTGCGCCGCCACATCCGCCTCCGCCGCCTCCCGCTTGCGCTTCAGCGCCAGATGCTCCTTGAAGGACAGCCTCGCGCGCGGCGGCTGCAGCTGTCCGGCGGGCATGATCATGCCGCCCTGCTTTACCAGCTGGCGGTCGTTGGGTGGGCAGCCGGCCGCGAACGCGCGCGCATAGCCGTTCTCGAGGGTGCCGGCGAAGCCGGAGGGTTGCGGCGGAGGGACCTCGATCGCAGGGGAGGGGACCTCGACTGCAGAGGAGGAGACCTCGACCGAAGGTGAGGAGACCTCTACCGCAGGCGGAAGAGTGCCTTGGACGGAGCCAGGCTCAGCCTCAGCTGGATAGGAAGGTGCAGGTGCACGAGCGTCGCAGGAAGTAGACGCCCCCGCCTCTTGATACCGGTCCTTTGAAACCGCGGCGCCAACTGCCTTCGACCCCGCCACGCCGATCGCTGCGACATGGCTGACGCGGTCATCCATGGGCGTGATTGCTATGGCAGACATGGGCATGTCAGGCGACACGGGTGATTGAGTACCAGCGCTCGACAGCGGTGGAGGGCTGACATGCAGCGATGGCGGAGATGAACTGGCATAGACGGACGGCGGAGAGCTGGCACGGGGAGGCAACGCGGAACTGATACGAAGCGACGTTGACGCAGCCAACGTCGAAGAAGCAGCCTCATCCGCGCGGGGAGCGAGGTCTGCAACGTCCGGGTACTCCTCGGGAAAGAGAGCTGCGGCAACGGCGGCCTCGCTGCTGAGACGTGCCGGCTCGGGAGTCACGTCGGCCTCAGGAGATGGCGGGAAGAGAGCCGCTGCAACATCAGCCGCGCTGCTCAAAGGTCGGCAAGGCGTCGGCTCGTCGGCCTCGTCGGCCTCGACAGAGGATCCAGCGGCTTCGCTTTCAACAACCTCAGTCGCTGCTTCAGACTCCGCACGCGCCAGTCCCGCAGGGCACTCCTCCACGATGTCTGCGGGCTCCTCGCGAACGATGGCCATGGTAGCCCCAACGGCGACGGCCGCGCGCACCTCTTCGATGGCGATGGCTGAAGACAGCGACTCGGCGGAAGATGAAGTCGCCACGTCCTTCTCCACGATCTCCCCGTCCTCGACTACGGTAGACGGAGTAGCGGCGCGCGTCGTCGAGTTGGCTTGCGCCTCGCCGTCCACTGGAAGATCTTCATTCCCCGAGGAATCGCCCTCGCCAGCCAGAGGCTGGCGCAGATCAACTGGCGCCTCTACACCGTGGGGGCACGCGTCAGCGGCGGCCACAACCTCCGCGTCGACGCTAAGTTGCGCGTCTTCCGGTTGGTCCACCACCTCAGGCTCGTCGTCAGCTAGCGCATCTGCTGCCTGAATGACCGATGAAGGTTCGTCGTCCGCCTCAACGGCAGACTCGCCGAGCTCCTCAGCAGCAGACTCGTGAACCGCTTCGCCTGAAGTGTCATCTGAATGCCCCTCAACACCCTGTTGCTCCTCGCTCGAGCGTTGCAACGACTTGGGCGGGGATGCACTCCCTCCAGCTTCGACAGGCGCCGCAGAACCGTCAACAACTATGAAGACCTCTGGCGAGCTGGGCGACGCAGCCGCAGCCTCTTCCGTTGCCTTCGGTACGTCGGTCGAGGACGAGACTGAAGCATCGAAATATTCCTTGGGTGTTGACGCGTCGGCGGATGGAGACCATGGTACTTCAGAGGAAGGCGCTGATGTCGAGCTCTCGTCGAGCTCTGGCTGGATATGGTTCATTGTCTGTCCGTTGCCGTTGAGCAGAAGTACGAGCGCCTGCGCTGCAGCGGCATCGTCGTCCTCAGTGGGACCAGAGGGCGCGGATGCGCTCCTAGCCAGCTTGGAGGGCCGCGGTGACTCGTCACCATCGCCTTCCCGAAGGCGCTTGAGACTCCGCGCCTCATCGTCAAGGACCTCGGCCTGAGTGGAAATTGCTGCATTGGCTGCAGGTCGTAATCAGACAATGAGCGGGAGATCAAAGGTTTGCACTCACCATGACGTTGCTCAGGCGTGCGGGTAATCGGAAGCGACTCCACTATCTGCGCGTCCTTCGCCACCGATGCGCGCGGTACAGGGATCAGGACCCCGTCGCGCAGCGTCAGAACATAGTCGGTCGGCAGGTACCTGTTGGCGATGGCGCTCGGGGAGCTCCATGTAGCAGGTTCACCCGCCGGAGGAGCAGGTGCAGGATTGTATCCAGTGATCTGAATATCATCGTCCGAGTCGCTGTCTTCCATGGCGCGCACCGTCTGTGGATCCTCGGCTGTGCTCACGATGGACGCGTCGACGCCGACGTCCTGCTTCGTCGGCTCGTCATCGGGATACCGCAGCTCGTCCTCTTCTTCCTCGTTGATGTACTCGTCCTCGTACGCGGCGAGAGCTACAGTAGGTCAGCACGAGGTTTACCCGGGAATGAAACTACATACCTTGAGCTCTCACACCTTCCGGCAAAGTCGAACGGCTCCAAACCTGATGTCGAGGTACTCCTTCCTGTGCAATGCATTGCGTCTTCCACCGTGCACCCTCAGCCAAGCCCAGCTCCTTACATCTCTCGCACTCTGCGAGCACCTTCTCATGCACGCAGGACGGCGGTAGCGAGCCTCCCTCATCATCTGACTCATCCAACCCCTCGCAAACTGGACACGGCACCAATCGCGCAGCAAAGTCGTGCTCGACGGAATATTCGCGCGGAACGACGTATGCGCGCTGGCTTATGGGGACGAGCGTCTGAACGAGATCATCTTGGGGCGCTTCGCCGTGCATGCCGGGGTTGAGTGCGCCGGGAAGTCTGCTCGTGGCCGCGTGATTCGTCGGTGGGAAGCCGTGGCCAGCGGTCGGGTACGACGGCGCAATAGGATCGTGATGTTCCGCGGTCGAAGTGGCAGCATCGCCTGCCATATCTGACTCGTGTGGTACGATATCGGATGCAGTAGGAGCTGGAGACACATTAGTGAGGTTCAACAACGGGGAACAAACGGACATACCATCCCACGATGCCGGCTCCAAAGCAGGCACTGGCGTATGAGATGGACGAAAGAGTGTCTCATTCTCGCACGGTGGGTCTAGGAAGTTGAGCGCGGGCGGCTCGAAGGTCCAGCCCACATTAGGATGGAACCAGTAGGGGATCAGGGTCTTCGATTGCACAGGACAAGGCTCAGCAGGCTGAGACCCCGCCGGATGAGGCTCGTCAAGAGGAGCGTCACAAGAAGGTGAGGCAGCTCTGGTTGGGGGTGGGGCGGCGGTCGCCTCAGCCTCAGCAGTGGGCACTTGTTCCTCGATTTCCGCCTCGCGCTGAGCCTCGATTGTGCCCGTAAGTTGTTCTCGTTCCTCCTCCGCCGCCACCATAAACTGAACCTCAGATGCCGCCTGCAGCCAGGGCGTTGACTCCGGCGGAGCAGGGACGTCGGGCCCGCCGGTCCACAGCCGATAAGTCAGGACATTCGCGCCAGCGAGGGCACTCTCCAAGTCGGGCGGGCCTCCCGCAGGCGCAGGCAAGGGCACCCCATTCCACCACCGCTGACCCCTCTTCTGTGTCTGCCGCAAGCGCTCCGCCGCCTGCGCCTGCTGCTGCTTGATAATCAGCCGCTGTCGCTCGTCGTCGTTATGCTGCGCCATATACTCTTTCATGAGACGCTGCATCTCGTCGACCTTGCGCTGCTTCGCCGCCTTCGCCTCTGCTTTGCGCCTGCGCTTCTCTTCATCTTTCAGCACGCGTTGGTGGTCCCGCTGGTCTTGCGAGCGGGAGCGCTGTGCCATTGGTTGGCGGAGAGCGGGCTTAGCCCTCGCTGGAGCATCAGACGTGGACGGACCGCCGCGAGTAGATGGCACATCTTGGGAAAGAGGAACGGGTGCCGACAATTCGGACTGTCTCCCGCCCTCATTCGGGGGCTGTTGCGCGTGATAATATGGGTAGTCATGCCACTCCTGCTGTCCCGTCCCTTCCGCTTGCCGCCGATCCTCGCGCTCTCTCGCAGCGCCCTCCTGCCGTCTCATTGTCGCCTCCTGCCGTCTCGACGTTGCCTCCTGAAGCCGCCCCACGCTCTCGCGGCGTGCATGGTCGCTTGCCCATTGCTGTCCGTGAGCAGCTGCAGGACGATCGCGTTCAGCATCATCCTCGGCACGCGGGGGCGAGCGCGAAGGCCCGGGGCGCTGGCGCGCCTCCCTCTCGCGCCTAAGCTCCGCCAAGAAGTTCGCCGCCTTGCGGTCCATCAGCGAGCGTTGCGGCATCGCAGATGGTGCAGGCGAGCGAGGCTCGTCGCTAGCGAGGGGCGTGGCGTCATGAGCTGGCGCGGCATGATCGTCGAAGCGGGGCACATCGTCGGAACGAGGAGCGGATAAGGAGCCACCGGATCGAGGGGGAGGGCTGGGATCGTCGCTCGGCGAAGTCGCTTGAGCGTACCCGCGGAAGTCCTCCGCACGATGCACACCTCTGAAAGCAGCAGGGTGGACGGGCTGAGGCGGTCGAGGGTCCCCATCGTAACCCGCAGCGTGAGGTTGGCGACCGTCGTGGTGCGGAGGTCCATACGTGCCGTACTCGTACGGGTGAAGGGAAGGATGAGGGGCATGTTGGGGAGGCGGAAGAGGATAATACGCTTGCGGGTGCTGTACTTCCTGCGGACGATATGCCGGCGGGCGAGAGTAACCATCGTTCTGCAGATGACGGGGAGCCTGCTCAGTATCCGGCCACTGGGAGTACCCAGGATGGCTCGGCCATGCATCGGACGGTGCGTGTGTGCCATTCTGGTGGGTCGACACAAATTGTACGCCAGGCGATGTCGAAGCAAGCAACTGCGTCGGCGGAGCTAAACGAGACGGCGCGAGCGGCATATCCGAGGACGGTGGCCTGTTCGACGGATGGTACTGCCCACCCGGTCCTGTCTGAGAGGGCGGTCCGTATGATGATGTGGGTCTGCTGCTCGATGACACAGGACGGCCACTGGATCCCGCGCGCGACGCATGCTTCCCGCTCGTCGACGCAGGCTTCCCGCTCGTCGACGCAGGCTTGCGACCCTTTGACACCGGTTTGCCACTCGCCGACATGGGTTTGCCACTCGCCGACATGGGTTTGCCACTCGCCGACACCGGTTTACCACCCGCCGCCGCTGGCTGCCGACTGCTTGTGACATGCACACCCGCCCCCACGCGCCCGCCCGCCGCCAGGACGCTCTCGTCGACGACGAAGCGCGCCAGTGGTGGCTCATCCCTCGCGAGACGCGGCACGCGCTCATCCCCCGCGAGACGCGATACCCGCTCGTCCCCAGCGGGACGCGTCGACACCGGCGGCGGCACCGGAGGCGGAGTTTCAGGCGCCAGACGCAGCCCTTGCTCGCGCGCAGGGAGGCGGTGGCGCGTTGTGGGATGGGAAACCTCGCGGCTCGATGGGTGCGAGGCTTCGCGACTCGATGGGTGCGCGGCGTGATGAGATGGGTGCGAGGCGAGATGAGATGGGTGCGAGGCGTGATGAGATGGGTGCGAGGCGTGATGAGATGGGTGCGAGGCGTGATGAGATGGATGGGAGGCGTAAGGAGAGGGACGTGAGTCGTGCATCGCATGCTGATGATCGTGTCCGTCGTGCGCCATTGGTCTAGCGCCCCCTTCCCTCGTCGTCGGTCGGGAGGGATGGCCTCTCTGCGCGGGTTGAAGTTGATGAGCGGGTTGAAGTTGATGAGCGTATGCGGCACGGGCAGCGGGTTGCATCTGAGTCCCAGGTTGAGGTTGTCCGCGGGGATGCGGCGCGCTCAGCTCCGCTTCTCGCGTGGCTTGCTGAGTTTGTCGAAGCGCCTCGATGGTCTCCTGCGGGACACACACGACGTCCTGAGGTACACGGGGGCGGGCTTGGGTGATAGGAGACGCGTGTTGGGCTGGATGGCGATGCCCCCGATGGTTTGCTCGTGTGTGAAGGTCGCTAGCAGAGTACTGATTTGGGGCGTTGGAATAGATGCCATGATGCGGGTAGGCGCCTGGTTGTGGATAGGCGCCAGGGTGTGGATAGGCGCCAGGGTGTGGATGGACGCCTGGTTGTGGATAGACGCCTGGTTGTGGATAGACTCCTGGGCGTGGATAGGCGCCGGGATGGAGTAAGGGAGTCCCTGCAGCGCTCGAGGGCTGCGCAGAGGACGAAGGGGTTCCATGGGAGGGACCTCGGGAGTGCGAAGATCCACCACGAGAGTGCGAAGATCCGCCACGAGAGTGCGAAGGCGCCTTACGGAGAGGGTCAAGTCATGTTCAAGTCGACGGTGAGGACCACGCACCTCACGCTCTTTCCCTCGTCCAGACTTGCGTGCACCAGTCTGAACCCCCTTCGCGTCAAAGTCCTTTGCGCGGATCAGCAAATCATGGGGCCTGAAGAAGTACAGCACGCACCACCGGCGCAGGCTCGAGCACGATCGTTACAGGGCCTTGAGCGACCGTGTTCTCCGTACTTTCGCAGTCCTGAATGGCCGCGTACGACGTTCCCCTCCGATGCATCCACGAGCGCCGCCGCCCGCTGGCGTGGAGGGGGGACGTTGCTTGCGCGGAGGCCGATGTTCGGCGACTGCGGGCGGGAAGGGGGCGATGCTGGCTAGCTTCGGGAGCGTCCACAGCCACGGGTGGAGGCGACGTCGAGCGCGGGCGCTTGACGCCTCGCGGGCCTGCTGCTGGGTAAACGGGCGCGCCCCAGCCGACCTCAACTGCACCGGGAATGTCAGCGCCTACTGCGGATGCATCTAGTATGTTCGTCGCACCTGCGCGCCTATCCTCCCTCATGCGCTCTCCTTCACTCGCGCTCAGCCGGCTGTCCTCCGAGGACGCTCTCGACATCGGGGCGTTCAAGATTGGGTATTGTTGAAGGCTCGCGCGGTCAACGAAGGACGGGGAAGCGAAACCGAGCCTGCATGCGCCCCATCATCTTATAGCAACAGCGGGCGATGAAGTTGGAGATAGCCTGGGAAGCCCCTTCCCAGGCGCAGGGCGCGCAGAGCCCAGCTGACGCCGCGGCCCTGATGGGAATACAAAGGGCGCGTCGAATGGGGAAGTCGCCGCCTGCTCTGCCACGATACCACCGTGCGAGTGCCGTAATCCCACCCTGCGTGCCGTGATCCCACACCGCTTGCCGTGATCCCACACTGCGTGCCGCCCTTTCCCGCCGGTTCTTATTGTCTTTCCCAGCTGACCAAGACCGCAACGGATGATGAGAGAGTGTCGCGATTGAGTGCGCTTTGGGAAGGCTCTGCGCTCGGGGCAGGATTGGGGGCGCAGGCGGCATCAGGAAGATGGGGGATGGAAGCAAATCTGTGAGAACTTCTCCCGCGGAAGCAGATGGCTTTTGTCAACTCCGGTCCGCCTACGAACCGCCACCGGAGTGCCGCAAAAGGTCCAGCGAGTTGATCTACGACGTCTTGCCAGGAGGATAGCTGGAATTGATCGACTGGTACTATCGGTACCGAGAGTCAGAAGGAATGGGATGGGAGTGATGTTTGAAGTTGCGAGAGCGCATGTTAGTGAGGGCACTGCCCGACCGCGCGGACCCGCAATAGCCAGAAGAGCAAAGGCAGTACTCAGATTCAGAACCATAGGAGCTGTAGGTGTACAGCAGCGGTGCTACGACACGAATCAAGATCAAGATCACGAGGCGCAGTGGGCGCTTAAGGCGGCACTGCCATTGCCACAAATGATCCAGCGCGACTGACTTACGACGTGAGGGCAGTAATATGATATTCACGCGTGTGTAATACAACGTATACGGCTGGAGAGTACATGTTAGAGAGCAAGGTATCAAACTCAGAGCACTGGGCGTGGGACTGGGTCCCAAATGAGTACATCTGAATCCCCTTCCCGCGTTCTTGAAGAGCGTCATCCCGATAAAAAAAGCGGAAACATCAGAGAGGTTCAGTCACATCTGTGCCATATTACGCGAGTTGAGACTCGGAGAAAACCAGCGGGAATACTTGGTACGCAGTCGGTGACAAGTCTGCTGGGAAAGAAAGGAAGGGCGCGAGGACGCGGCAAACGCCGAAGCGGAGGTTGAACTCGATCACCTGATCGCCTGAATTCGACCCGAACCTTCATGATGTCCGCGTAGATGCTCGCGCTCTCGCCCAAGGATAAACAGAACGCATCTACCTGAAAATTCTCTATGCACATCTAGTCCGCCTCACCTTGTCGTCATGCTCGGAACACCTCGCCGCCGCCGGGCCTCGCAGCCATGACTTCCTTCTTCACATATTCGAAAGCCTGGACGCCAAGGACCGCACTTTCGCTACGACGAACCTTCTTGACGACCGCGCTGAGCCCGAGTTTAACTTACCTAGATTCTACCCAAAAACCGCACCGAGAGACTTCAGCGTGGAAGCATTCGAGCTCGGCCGCACGATGCGCGAGTTACCTTCCCCTCGGTCTACGAAATCGTCAGTGGACACTTTCCGATTAATTCTTCTCGGGCTTTATAACACCCTCCCTAATCTGCGCCGTAAAGCGCGCGAATATCTCATCTGGGCAGCCGGATTTGGGCAGGCAGAGGAGGCCATCCATACGTCCTACTTTGACCTGCCAAACGATACCCGGTGGGCCTCCAACCGTGAGCCAACTTCTTGATTGCTTTGCTTACCCACACTCACCTCATATTATATCCTAGCCCACGGTCCTGAACTCCATCTACGGACTCCGTCGAAGACCGACACGTCCTGGAGCGCCTAAGCGCGACCTTGACCTGCCACATCGAGGTCGTCGGAAGAGTAGCAGATGCATATTCAGTCCAAGTCTGCGGTCCCGCGTAGCATGGCGTGAGTTGCAAACCAAAGGGGTTCAAGACAACCGTTAGCGTCACGCATGTCACGTATTTTATGTCACGGTGACAGCAGGCGCCTTTCGGGCGCTTAGCAAGTTTGACCCCGACAACCACCCTTCATATCCACAACACCGTCCTAAGCTACTGAAGCCCCCCTCTCAAAGATATGGAGCACATGACAGATGAGGAGGAACGAGTCGCATCAGTATGTTCCCCTCTCTCGAAGGTGGCGCTTAATGAACGGACCCTTAGACTCTTTTCCCCGTCGTGCATCCTGCGGAGCGCGCATACAGCTTGATATACGACATAAGTCGATCCATGGAGGATCTCTATGCCATATTTGGCCGTCGTTGCTATCACCCAGATACCAGCTTGGCGACAAATCTGGCGCACTTCGGGCTCCTGGTCGCGCGCTACGTGATGGAGACATCCACTGCTCTATACAGCATTCACTCGCTCTTCATCTCGCTGCCTGACAGCGTCATCGGCACCCCTGAATCTGACGCACTTCAGACGAAGTTGGCCGATGTCAAGGCTCGCTACGACACCGTCGCCGAAGCCCTCGACAGCCTGGCCCTCGGGTCTAGTCAGGCTATGGAAGCGCTGGATAATCTCCGGGAGCAGATATGCACCACTCTCCCCTACACATATCCCATCCGAGATCTCGCTAGCTACTTCCTCGGCCCGGACTGGTGTTACAGGGAGATTGCGCTGCAGAAGGCGCCAGTCGCGCTGGATAAGATGGGAGGATTTATCGTCGAGCATGGAGACCTTGTGAGGCTGCTGCGATCGATAATCGAGGAGGAGCGGGAACGGTTCAGCGTGCAGGTGTTGAAGGCGATTCTGGATCTGCCCTTCGAGAGGCGGCGGGCTCTCAGGCGATTCATCATCAATTACATCGCTTACCTAGACGAGTGGGCGACGTTCGCGAAGCATGAGGCAGGATACCTACGAATCCCCGCGAGTCATCCCGAAAGGTGGTGAGCTGAAATGGGTACGTGTTCAGGCTTCGGTATGTCTACACAAGGGCTGATCGTTATACAGGTAGTCGGTTTTGCGCATGAGCGTCTCCAAATTTGTTGTTGGGATATATCTACGAGTTAGCGAAGATAGAATGAACAAAGGTACGAAGTTGAAAGCACCCATGCGGATCACAGTCGATATTCATTCGGATACCGGTCAGGTATACAGAGCGCACATGAATGATATCGAACCCTCGATGAGCCCTCGCGAGCACACATAATCAATATTTCCCTGCAGCCGACTCAGCAACTGTTCGGCATTTTGTTTGATTAAGTGCTCACCCGCAATTGAGCTCTCGATACCCCGCCTGATGAGGCCCTCCAGCAAGTCCGCGTCGTGTCCCACCTTCACTTGCCACACGTTGAGACACAAAAGATACCTGGCCAAGAAAGGCGCCGTCGGCTGCCGCGCCTCCATCGTGGTGCTCAGCAGGCGCTCCAGCGCTAGGGCGCTGAACCGTTTCCGCCCGTCATCGATATGAAAGCGTACATCGCGGAAGACCTTGTCGTTGCGTTGGAGCCAGCATTGCATCTCTTCTAGCACGGCGGGCGCCTCGCGCAACGCGATCTCGCGGTGGCACCAGTCGGGACCGAGGAGGTGGACGGCCAGACCTCGGAGTGTGCGCGGGTATGAGAGATCATGCGTGATGCGCTGCTTCAGATCCGCCAGCGCTTCGACAGTCTGGGCAGACTGGATAAGCGCCGCGTCGCATTTCTCGACGGCGGCAAGGTATAGCGCTTCCAGTGTGTCCAGTCTCGATTGCATGGGCTCGGCGTTGTCCACAATGGTATCGGATAGGAATTCATAGATGCGGAGTACGCTGGAGATCAGTGGCGGGATGTCCCTTACGTAGCGTGCGACGAGAAAACCGAAGTGTTCGAGCTCGGCGGCTAGCGGGCTGTTGCCCAACGGGTAGCGATGCGGCGAGAACAGGTCAAGAAGGTTTTCCATTGTTCGATAAACCTTGTAGACTGTTTCGTAGACGCTGTTGAATGGGTAAATGATAGGCATTACCGTCTGTGGTTGCGTTCATCTTCAAGGACCAATATGAGGTACGGAGAGACTTACGACGGCTATGCGCATCTCCTCTGCCGTCAGGAATTCCATTCTGTGCACCCGCGCCTATTGCTGGTCGTTGAGAACAACCCGTGGGTTGTGACTCGTAACGCAAACATACTGTATCGTGGTGTCACGTCAGTACGGCAGGGCCCTGTCACGGTTTTGATCGGTCGATAGACAATGCGATACACAGCCCACAATCTGCCTCGATCACGAATGACCTGCCACATATGCATATTGTGTTCGACCAGAAAGTACATGTTACTTCGATGCTTCGACAGAATTGACCATGATTTCGCACTCCGACGACTCCCGGCATGTTTAATGATGCGCGGCAGGGATACCAAACTTCTCAACGGCGATCCAGCTCTCACGCTTGGGGCTATCCATCCGTCAGCCATGGCTCTCCACTGAAGACGATGTCCTGACTTACCTCGACGCTGGCCGCTCCGTCGGCTTTGCAAAGCTCGTCCCCTCCAGCACTAACTTCACCGTCTTGAACTCGAAGCCACGGAAGGAGAGCTTCAACTCCAAGCCACCCTTCCCTCCGCGCACGAAGTCCAGGTGGCGCGACTCCTTGTGTACTTCTTCCTCCAGCGCGTTCGTCTCGAAAGCCGCCGAGACCGGAAGCGCATCTGCGATGCGGAGCACAGCAGATGCATGGCCGCCGAACGCCTCGTACAAGCGGAGGATGACGGTGGTGGGGCCCTTGGCGAAGTCCTTGAACGCATCGTCCTCGCCACGCTTGACGGTCTCGAGGAAGACGTTGGGCGCTTGTTCCACGACGAAGGGGGAGGCCGCGGATTTGAGGGCGGACAGATCGTTGTTTGGACCGACATGACGCACTGAGAGACGGGTCAGATCCGAGAGATAGATGTTAGACCTGTTTACTGACGGTAAAGGGGAGAGTTGAACAAAAATCCGGCTTGCGGCACGTCCGACTGGATGAAGTGACCCTTGTGGGGCATGACCGCGAACGAAAATGCATGTTTGCCTGTCGATCGTCAGTAACAGGACTTGTCCGCGACAAAAGACACTAAGTACCTTGATCCTGCTCCGCATCCGGAGCCGTAGGCGAACGCAGCAGAGAGATACGCATCAAAGAGCCAAGGCAAGAGAACCCGTACTTGGACTCTGAGAGAATCGCAACACCATAGCCGAATTCGCTCAAGTCGGCGTACTAAAGGAGCAGCATGAGCCCGCGTATCTTTGAAGTATGCTAAATAGACCTACTTTATGACCGCAGACTTCAAACTAGATAATGATGCTCATCGTCAACATAGGCATCGGAACTCTGATGCACATACATACCTTCGCCATCTCCCATGTCGTGTTCTTGTGCGTCGGGCGCTGGACGAAGCCGAACTGTGTCTCATAAGTTGCCACGTCGCTTCGAATGGTGAGCGGCAGCTCGACTGTAAACGCGTTAGTAACGCGCACTTAGCCAATCCGAACGGCCACGCACATTTGAGGAACTCATGCCTTTGCCGCCAGTCCACACGCGCATCAAAGCGGAAGAAGGACCGTGAGTCCGCCTTCGTAGTCGCAGGAACGGCGTCCAAGGATATCTGAGATGCATATCAGCAAAGCTAATGCTCTCCGGGTACGCGCCATGACATACTTCGACCTCGATTTCACTATCGCCGTACTTGGTAGTAGCAACAACCGCCGCGCGGATAGGTCCGCGCGATGTGACCCGCACGTTCTGGAACTTCAGCGGGATCGGCGCCTCGAGATGGTGAATCTCAACATCTGAAGGCCCGGTAAGCCACGGAACGGGGTGTACGAGAACTTCCTACCCCAAGCATCCCAGTAATTTGGCCTGTCGTCGAACATGACGAGACCACCGGTAGCACCAGCTGCTATGAGCTCACGACTACATGAACGACTTCAGCGGTGTCATCGGAACAAGAGGTGATGACTCACCCAAGCTGAACATCCACCAGGCTCGTAATGCGGCCCTCCGCGATGGTCAACTGGACGCTCTCGTTGCGGAGCACGAAATGGTCCTTCCCGTTGCTATACACTGTTATCCAACGTCAGTACGATGCTTCCCGGGGGGTGATAGTCCTTGCTGACCACTCGCCGGCATGATCCTCTCCAACCTCGGCGCAGCACCAACGAGCGATGCCCCACTGGCCGGTACATCGACCAGCGTGAACTCATCCGAGACGTACTTGGGCGAATAGCCGTCCTTCGCCTCGTCCTCTTCCGTGGCGCGCTGCGAGCCGAGCCCAGCAGGCACGCGGATGACTTCGCGACGCGGGAAAGGTGTCGTGTTGAGCGCGACGAGGGAGCCACGGCCCTTGAACTCGGCCTCAGCGGCGCCGATGCCGCCAATGCCACCGCCGGCAGCTTTGGACCCAGGAAGAAGCACCGAGAGTGCATCCTCCAGCATATGCTTGCCGTCCGAGGTGACCTCCGCATAGAGCTTCTCGGCGTCATCGTAGACCATACCGCTTTTGAGAATTTGAGCCGCAGCATCTCGATGGAGCGAGCCAGGACTCACATCGCAGACCCAGGCAGCACGTCGTGGAACTGGTTCAGCAGCACCTTTTCCCATGAGGTATCGAGCGTCTCCTTCGGGTACGCGTACGAACTTTGACCCGAGGCCAGAGCTTTGAGCGAGGCGAGCGTAGCGAAGAACTGACCACATGTTAAGGCCAAACGCCTTCCAACAAAGGCTACCACGACTCACCTCGACATCTCGCATGAGTACCTCCGAGTGACGGTTACCTTTCTTAATGCTCGCATGGCTCGTGTATGTACCGCGGTGGAACTCCAAGTACAGCTCTCCGAGCCACGTCGGCAGCTTCGCGCCAGCGACTGTTCCCTCGGTGGGGAGTCCACCTGGGCGATCGTCAGCAAAGGTGCCTGTGCAGCGCGAACGCGCAGCGCATCGTAAAGCGAACAAGCAAGACCACTCAACACACCTTCGCCAAACCTACTCCCTCCCACGTATACTGAGCCCTTGCTCTGATCCGCAAGCTCGCGGAAGAACTCGTCGACCGTGCGGCCCTACGCGCCCTCATAAGCAACTTCCTTCAACCTCCCCGTGGCACATACCGTGACAAGCTGCGGCACGTCCCTGTGAGTACGCGCAAGCGCGTTGATGCGGCGCAAGTTCTCCAACATCTAAACGAAGATCAGCCAGCCATGTTCGTCAAGAGGGTTGACGAACATCACCTTGTTCAATGGCCCTCCACCTCCATCGCCGTTGCCGAAAGCTAGCAAAGATTGATTCGAAGATTCGATATTCTGGGAAGGGGCGGTTAGCAAGCAGGCCAAACAAGGGAGCGGTGAAGGGAAACAATGTCAGCCAGCAGTTTGGACGTATCCGCATCATGCTCAAGCTATGAGCAAGAGTCATAGCGATTCTAGTGTATGCATCATATATGGAGCGGAAGATCGTTCCAGGAAGAGGATTTCGTGAAACTCACCTATGCATCACAATCATAGCCGTGGAGCACGTCGAGATGGATAGAAAATGTAAGAAGGATTGTCAGCGCGTCGTTAGATGCAAGGATGGGACGACACGACGATCAGAATAACTAGGATTATAAGATCGCTCACACCCCGTAAGGGTCGCGAAGATAGGTCGTATGATACGCATCACGCAGAAACAAGGGAAGGTAAATCGGGAATCGAAAACTCACCTGGAGCCGGTTCGGGGTAGTAGAAGATGGTTGCGGGTTGAGCATTGCACAGAAATCGTCAGCAACTTCACGGCGTAGGCGAAGAAGAAAGGGCTGGGTCAGAATAACTAGGATTATGCATCGCTCATTGCCCCTTGGGGGTTCGCGAATGTAGGTCATGGAAGGTTCGCATCATGCGAGTCAGGAAGATCACAGTTCAAGACTGACCTATAGATGCGAAGCCAGGATGATTCGGAGGTTCAGAGTCCCGATGAGCGATCGCTCGCAAGTAACGATATCCCAAGCGTACCTGAGAACGGATTATCAGCGACCACGAAGGCGGATAGACCACGCAATTGAGAAGGAGAGTAGTCAGATGACACGCTTAAAAGCGATAGTTCATGCCCCCGCGAGTACAAGCCTCCAGAGGTCGTATGGAAGCACATGATGATTGACATCATAAACCGAGAACGAGACGGGCACTCGATCGAGCGGCCAGGCGAAAACCGCCACAGAGACCAAAGCAGAGTTAACACGCGGATGCACCTTATGATTCCGGATCCCCTTGTTCACGTCACCGAGCGTCGCTTGCGCGGTGTAAGTGTCGACTACAAGTATACACGTTAGTCCACACCTTGAGCGAGCGAAAAAGTCACGCACCCGGTGTCATATGGCACAGCACCTGCGTTCCATCGATACCCGCCCAGTTGAACGTTGTGTGCGGGAACGTATTGCTTGAGGTTCGAAGTCAGTACCGCTACGGTCATACGGGAACAGCCTCTTGCTCACATATTGTTCCAGCTCAACTTCTGCGTGAAGAACCACTTCATGCCGGCGCTCCGCAGAATCTGTCGAACACAGAGTCAGTCCACCGCTCTCATCCTTCCGCCTAGCACGAAGCGTACCTGCGGCAACTGCCCCGTCAAGCCGAACGTATCCGGAAGCCATCCCGTCTCGCAGTAGAAGCCCAGACGAGACTTGAAGTATCTGGGCGTAGGAAAATTAGCGTATGCACTTTGGTCGATTGCATCCATGATTGGCCTTCGCCTACTTCACAAATCAACGAAACATGCGAAGCTCACCTCTGCCCCAGTACAACCTGCCGCACGAGTGCCTCGCCGCTCGGCATGTTGCCGTCGTGTTCAACCCAGGCGCCTCCGATGGGGAGGAAGGACCCCTGCACAGCAAGGTAATGAGCTTTTCATCAACACGCATAGGAGACAGCCTCACCTCCTTCACTGCGTCCTTGATGCGCTCGAACAGTGTTGGATACAGCTTCTCGCACCACTTCCATTGCTGGGCCTGGAAAAGGGAGCAGTCAGCGAAGGGAACGATGCGCGAACGTGAAGCGCGGACAAGAAGATGATTGATTGACTCACCTGACTGGCCACGAAGCGATGCTCGGGGTAGCGCTTCGCGAGGTCAATCTGGGTAGACCTGGATTCCATGTGTCAGGTCAAGTATGCACGGGGAAAGAAACGCGCCGCAGGCCCAGAAGAGCTGAGTATATGCGCCTGGTAGTAGCACGCAGACAGAAGGACGTATCGAGTAACGAACAGCACACGAAAGAGACAGCTCACCAGCTCCTCGCGACCTTCTGCTGAGTCGCCGAGTATGGCCAGAGCCATGCAGTGTCGATATGGCAGTTGCCCATGGCCCATACGGAACCAGGAGGGGTGGGTCCGGCAGACGGCTACACAAACTAGTCAGTCAGTGCCTCGACTATGGAGAAGCGGGGGTAATGGTTGATAGCATCGCAGGAGTGGGGTGTATAGGAAGAGAAGTGCACCTTGCCGAGGTCGGGATACACATCCTTGGGATCATCTACATTGATACCGCCAAACATTGCCTTGCGGGCAAGCGCACGGCCCTCGGCGATGACTTTGGCCACTTCCTCACGTGTACCCATCCGAGCACGGTCAAAGATATTGATGATTGCATTAGCTGCAGAGAGCGCGTCATTCTGCGCCGTAGTGTTGCCCGGGAGCGTCTGGGAGAGCTGCGCTATAGTTAGAGAAGGTTTTCGAGGCATAGTAGGGATGAAGGATGAAGACTGGAGGGGAATGGGAAAGGCAGGAGCGAGAGAGAGGCGTAGGGGTGGGGGTGTTGAAGGGAGAGGCGCGTTGCGCGTAGAGGAAGTCGATTTGCAAAGAGAAGACGACCACACACCTGCTTCAGAGCCTCAAAGTCCCACATCAACCTCCAAGCGTCTTCGTTGGGAACGACCAGGTCTGCGCTCGCAAGCGAGAAGTAGCGATTCATGTCGGGCGGCTCGATCGTGTCGCCGTTCCACGGTACGCCAAACATGCCGTTGCACGTCACTTCGACGACGACGGAGTGCGTCCCCTTGTCCCAGGCGGCCTTTGGGATGATGTAGTCGACGCGTCGCGCGCCCTCGCCGCCGCCGGTGATGCCCTGCAGCGGTGTGCCCGCGGGGATCCCGCGCACGTCGCCCTCCGCGGCGAAGATCATCGCCTCGCAGCCAGGGTCAAACTCGAGCTGCACGCGCTCCTCATCGCGCCACTCGGCGGGAAGCGCGATGTCGACGGTGAACCAGTGGTTGCTCCAGCTGGGACCAAGGCGTATGCCCTTCTGCGCGGGCTCAAAGTCGGCGATGTGGGCGAGCGCCTCGGCGTACGACGGCTTGGTGAGTCCGGGTGCGTGCCAGACCTTGATGCGCACGACGTCGTCGCGGTTCGCCTTGTAGAGCGCGCTGGAGAGGTTGTGGGAGGCGTAGTGTCCGCCGGTGAAGTAATCGAGGCGGTTTTGCGTCAGATTCTTGATCCATTTCGCCCCCGCGTCCAGCGACAGGGACGGGTAGTTGGCAGTGGGTGCAGTTGTCGTCATGAGCAGCCCGATGTCTGCGCTGTGCTGCTCGTTATGGTCCTCGTGTGGTCGTCGTCGAGCGCGAGGTCGCCGTCGCCGTGACGTCACGGTGTCTGTGGGGAACCTTCCCCATATGGAATCATGACATTGCGTAAAAGTCACAAGCATCCGGTTGACACAAGCATCTCGTTGGACAGACAGTGCGAACCCTCGTGCAGCGTCCGCCGCCGTATCGAGTGGGGGAGGTTATCCAAAAGCGTTGATTTAAATAAACTTGTTTGGCTGCTAAGGACAATGTATCCCCGCTAGCTCAGTGGTAGAGCGTGTCACTAGTAATGACAAGGTCAGTCGTTCAAGTCGGCTGTGGGGAACTTCTGAAGCATTCAGCGAGTTTCTGCGACCCTTTTTGCGTCTTCAACTTGCGGGAATTCTCGTAGGGCTCCCGTGTTGCTCAACTTTGGACCTGTCGTGATGACATTTCCATCGGCACATACTCGCGCTCGTCGATGGATTGAGCGAGTCCAAAAGCAACCCGAGCCACGGCGATTGTCAAGCTGAAGTCTACAAGGACGATTGCGGGCGACGACTGTGGTGCACACCCAGCTCCATCAAGCCTGACAAGCGCTGCTTCCGCCCTTTATCCCTCCAAGTCGACTTGAGGCATGGCTTGCGCCCTCAGATATACGTCTTCTTCAATCATGCTGAATACAATCACTTCAGTTGGTCGGACGCACCGCGCGCCGACGTGGATTGAAGACAAGACAAGGTGTGCTCTCGTCATGGCCTGCATGTTGTGCTCAGCTCCCGCAATAGGCGTGGAGTTATAAGCCGCTCGACGACGCGGAATTCTTGACGGAGGAAGAAAAACGTATAGCTACCACAGAAGTGAAGGTACTCTACTATCTATCCATTAAACAGCGTAAAGGAGACAGTCTACAGGATCTCTCAAGCGGTGGAAACCCTTATTGACTCATTCTCGCCGCGTCGCTACCCGTTGGCCAATAGCCCGCTGGCCCTCGAGCTCGAACACTCTGGTGTCCTCGTCGCACGCTCAGTGGTAGGGGAGACTCCGCCGCTGATCTCCAGCATACCCCGCATCTACCAATTCCTATCCAATACCATTATGAGCGATGCTGAGCTCATGCAAGCGAGACTGGGTACACTCGAAGCTCTATACTTCTTCGCCATCGAGAAATGCAAGGTGGCTCTGATCCAGCCTGCCCAGACCGAAGAGGCGCTGTCAGATTCGAAGCTACGGCTCTCTCATGCCCGCGCACGCTCCAACGTCTGTCCCCCTATCTCCTAGGCCATAACTGTCGCTTGTCACAGCGAGATTGCGCGGTTGGACGCCATTCCTCGGTCACTCGAATTCTGTTTGTGATGTCGCCCAACTTCAACTTCACGTCATGTGATTGTGCGAACACGGAATATTCCGATCACATCACATCACGGATCCGAACTTCTTCCCTTCACCCCATCCCTCGCATGGTGTTCTCTCCGTACGACCATGATCCAAGGTGAGCTGTCGGTTATAGGACATAGACCTTTATATTTAATGTGTGGTCGAAGCAGGACAGACATGAGGAAGGATGCTTCCTCTGGCGCCTTCACTATCGTCGGACTACTTGTCTTTCTCTTGAGGACAAAAGAGTAGAGTGCCTATGCCAGGGCAGTATGGAGTGAGTTTAATCTCCATCTTACCAACTCCTCTGCACATTGGCGACCATCTGCTTTTCGCATAATCCAGACATGCACTGGCCTGCTACCGACTATCTCCCTCCCGACTGGCGTGGTCCGTTCGTCTCGGGCCATGCTTTGCGCGCAGTGGCACCGGTGACGCCTACAAAAGGTCTGGAGACTGGGTCTGAGGCGGTAAGGACATAGTACATGGGAGACAGACGAGACGGTCGCAGCAGACTCGCCCGCGCCGGGCTTGAGGACGCCGGCGCGGAAGTGGCCGCTGGCGCATCTTCTCTTCCTTCGGCGGTCGCGACGCCTTCGATGCCTACTTCAGTTACCCGCCTGAGCGGGAACAGGAGCACTAACTCGAGATGCGACAAAAGGACGACACCGACAGCGCCGCCGCCGTCCCCTTCTCCGCCCAACTTCTCTGCGCTCTACTGCGATGGTGCAAAGGTCGAAACTTCCGACTTCCAACACTCTTAGGAGGATTTCGACGTTGGCCACCCGACTGCGGTCTCTGACGTCCGTCTCCCGGCCACGACAGTTGGAGACTCGCTGCAATCGACCCCGCTTGTCGATGATGGGGTGCGTGCGAAGGAGGAGAAGGAGTTCGCGCGCGTCAAAGAGCAGCCGCCGGATGTTGGATTGTTATTTGTAAAGCGCGAAGCCTACGCTGCCGTGAAGAACAAGATCAGCGCTCAGGTTAGACACGACTACCGTACGCCTATCACTCGTCATGAAGACGACCCGGCGCAAATGGCGAGTGCAGCGTGGTTACTTCTCATTTATCCTCCCGTTTGAACGAGTGATAAGCTGAATCTTTGCCGCTTGAGTTCCAATATCTACGATTGAGAGATCGAACGAGCTCATCGTCCGATACATGGTACTCTACAGATGCTCGTTCTATGACCCGTGAGCGTGATCTAGCGGGTGTAGCTACAATGTCGTGGTCCGATGTTGTATGCGTTATACATGTGCGTTAGTCGATGTGTGACAGTGATAAGGGGTTTGGGTAACAGAAGCAGTGGCGACAAACGGATCGGTCGATAGGTTGGGATGAGCTGCTCAAGCGCAGCGCATCGCACCACCGCCGGCGGACCGAAGACACGAGGATGTACCATGGACGGTCAGTATGCCCCTATGCGGCGCTCCCGGCTTCAGCCGCATTCACATTGTGAGGAGCAGGCGCGATGCGGTCGAGCACCTTGCGGCAGGCTTCCTCCACGTCTGCGTCGGGATCGCGGTTGCGCTGCGGCGATTGTGAGTGAGGAAGTCCTGCGACTGGATTGACTGGACGAACATGTTCCGAGAGTATGCCCAGTATACGCTTCAACTTCTCCTTGGTTTCGGTGCTCAGGTCTCCGAGCCCAACGGCGTCGATAGCGTTCCCCATTTCGTCGTGAAGACCCTCGTAAAAGGATAGTACGAGCAGTACTTGTGGCTGTAGCATGCACACGCGTGCGGCTACCTCCTTTTGAGGGTTACGCGCACCTGCATCGTTGTGAGTCACCTGTACGTGAGCGGAGATGGCCGCGGGACGCACCATCAGCCCGCTTGCGAGTCCAGCAGTAGAGCTGGCGCAGGCCAGCGCCAATAAAGAGCAAGCCAGACACGTATACTCCTTCGGCGAAGAAGGCGCTCTTGGCCCACACGATGTGCAGAGCCGCGACAATGATGATCGCGTAGACCCATGCAACGACGTAGCACAGGGATGAGCGGAAGGCGATGGAGAAAAGGACGAAGAATGTCTAAAACTCTTTTTCAGAATGCTTGTCGAGGGGTTACCCGAGTTTTGAATAGGACGTACAACGTCGACGTCTCGCCAGATGCACGCTGCCTTGACGAAGTTGGCGTGGAGCTCCTTCAAGAGATTCCTGAGGAGTGCAACTGCGTTGCTGATGAGGAGAGGCAACCTCGCACGGCGACGTGGCTCACCTTCGAGCGTCACGGTGGACTCACAAGGAGACTCCTCGGCCGGAGAGAAATCTTCGTTGATAGCGGTCGAGCTCACGCCCTCGCCCGGCTCCGTGTTAAACGAATCTAGCACAAGGAGTTAGCGGTGAAGAGCCACGGATGGAGGGCGATGAGCCATACGGTGTGTTCCCAAGTCGAAAAAGGGGACTTCAGACGCGAGAGCGTTGGAAGCAGAGCCGGTGTCGCTGGCGTCTGCGCTGTCCGAGGCTGTTCATCATGAGCCAGAGGGCGACTATGCAAAAGGATGGCGACGCACCGGCTGGTGCTCCAGACTGTCCATGACCACTCCATCCATTGTCGAAGCTGAAGGTAGAGGCCTTTTCCGCAATGAGGCGCACGCACACCTCAACAGCATGCAAGCCCTTGAGTAGTTCAGCGAGAACGCGGCTGAATTCCCTGCCCATGACCCTGGCGGCGGTGGAGACAGTCAATAGAGCGGTCCTCATCTTTGGGCGGCGAGCGCACCTGCTGCGAGGCGATGATCCTCCTGGGGGGAAGAGCCCGGCGATTTCCCTCAGCCCTTCCACGATGAGGGCACGCAAGACGGGCAGGTTTCGGGCGACATATTCAAGGTCTTCCGCCGGGGGATCGTAGTCGTCCTCTCCGGGCGGCGGGGAAGGCGCGCGAGCTATCGCCTTGCTGGCTCTTATACCCATGGCGCCGGGCGGCGATTCACGCGGATCTTCGATGGCGGCGAGTGGCGGCGGCGGCCGTGAATAGAGACAAGTGATGTGTTCGCGGGAGGAGAAGGGAGCCGCTGACGCAGCGGCGAGCGAACTCTCACTCGTTTTCGTCAGATCGCGGATGAACCCGACTGGGGAAAAGCTGTAGCAAACTACCGTCACGACGTCACCCTCGGCGTCGCTGGGATGCGGTCTTTTCAGGGGGTCACAAGATTATAACGCAAGCGTCAGGATAACTCAACGATCTGCCGGGCCACACGGGCGGGCCTGTGCCGTATTTCCATGCAGCGACTGGCGGTCAGAAATTGGGGTTCATCGAGGGTGTTATCGACCTGCGTTGGTGGTAGGACCAGGCGTGTGTGACAGGAAGGAGTCAATGAACCAGCTCGACTTGACCATGCCATTCAAAGTCACACCTGCTAGACCTCGGGCTTGAGTTGAGAGCCTGGACCTAAAAGATAGATGAGTGGAGCTATGTAGTCGACGGTCACAGTTACCGAAACGTTCGAAACTCCTCTGCTCCAGCGAATGCGCAGATGGCGAGGATATATGAGGCCAAAGAGAGCGCACGGCGGTGCGCGATGCGCAGCCCGAGTACAAAGTTTGGCGGAGTTCCCGCAAGAAGCACTCCAGCCACTGACTTACGCTTCTGTAGGAGAGACGCTCAAGTCGATGCTGCAAGATGTCTTTAGCTGAAAGCATAGAACTCGGGAATCACCATCGTTCATGCTTACCGACCAATATAGATTATTTAGCGGGTATTTGTCATGCCCCTTCCTCCTCCGAGCGGCGCGTTACTTAGGAATCGTTTCTTATCCAGGTATGACCTGCGCCAGAGATTCATTGTATTTCGACAGCTTTCAGGGAAAGCGTCATTGTTCCGGTAACGGCCCAAAGGCGAGTACAGGCAGCCGTGTAATACACGACTCGCGGGAGAACGTTTACTCACGTCCTCGTGGAAGCCATTAGCATGTGGACTGGGAGCCTGTCGTCGATTCGTACTCACAAACAGTGCCACGCTCATTTAAGCCCCTACAGGAGCGCGTAAATCCAGGTTCCGGTGACGCCGCGGAGTCAATATAGCGGTAGATCATCAGTGTAATGAATCAAGCTCGAATGAATACAGCCCGAAATCCGGGGCCGCAGAAGTCGACGAGAACAGTTGCTTTATGGCCGCCTTGTGTCCGCCCGACGCGTGGGCCGGTGGATAACGAAAAATGAAATTCCTCAGCACCGCGTATCTTCAGCGCTGCTACAATAGAGCTGAATCCCCCGCAGAGGCTCGCAGGAGAGGCAGAATTTGGGATGATGGATGCAGTCAAGTCTGGCGAACGAATTCGACTTCGGCTTGCTGATCCGGCAGGCGCCGGAGGTCAATAAGCGCAAATAGCAACGTGACTTCGGCAACTTCCATCTTCCCAAGATGCTGGCCAACATTCGGGCTGTCTCCGACGTCCACGGCTGTAGCCATGCTGTGTCTATCTAATTGAGTATGAGACTCTACCCAAGCAGTGGAATCCCGGAAGTGTCCTGATACCGGCAAGTGGCGCTTCTCGTCAGGAACCTCTCCCTTCCACAGCTACGACCAGTTCCTTATACCGAGGTCAGGAGGAGGTCTTCCTCCTCGTAGACTACAGTAAGCTCGCGCTTTCACTCTCGTCTGTCCCCCGACTGATACTCGACGTGCGACTAGGTGGCGCGCAAGAGCTTGTCATCGCGTTTTCTCAGACGCAAAGAGCTCCCACTTCGACCATCTGGAACATTCACCTGCTACATTAATTTAGTTGGTACTCTTCTCCAAATCACTTGCGGCGAATTGCGCAAGCGGTCGACTTTGTTCGAAGACAACGAGACAGTCACGGGTCTACTGAAGCTGTTTGCCGTTCAGCGTACGTTCTCCCTTCAACCCCAACGTCGTATGCTAACCACTCCCCCAGCATTGGACACCCTCATCAGTCATGGGGAATCGACCGGTCGCGAGGGCCTGCCCCGCAGTATCTTGCTATCCACAACGGTCGGAAGGCTCCTCATCGGTGTGTGCACCGTCCAGCGTATCTAGCAAGGCCGCTCACGATATGCTCAGGATTCAAGATGGCGCCGAAAGACCTGGCGACGACGAGACTAATCATCTACATTTTCTTGCGCACGTTCGAATATTTTCTTTGTTCGCCGGGGACCGCGCATATTCTCAAGATCCACATGTCGCTCACCGCCGACGTTGTTCTCCTCGTCAGCAAACCCCTGGACGCCGGCATCATCTCGTCGACCTACGAGCCTTCCAACCCCCTGACCGGAAGTCCTGCGTATACATCTCGTCGGCGCTACGAGGGCACGCTGAAGGAGGCGGGATGATTTGGTACGTCTGAAGATTTATGACCTTGATTTCTTCGTCGGGGCCACACCTTCACAGCTCCGTCTGGTACTCGTGCCCAAAGTCGAGTCATCCGCTCATCGGTTCCTGGTGCATCCTGAGCGCCTCACGATTTCTCCGTCGCCGGTCAAGAACGACCATACGATGGGCCTGTTGTCGATCGTACCGACTGCCGATAGGCGAGCGCCATGCGCACGATGACGCGGTGAGTGCTCTGGTAACTTGAGAGCTCGGTGATCGTTCAGCCTACGTCACCGTAGACGAACACGAGGGCGCACTTCCCCTGTTAACTCGAACCTACACGAGTGAGGTATCTATGATCGACACTACGACATGACAACCGCGATTTCTGATGTACATTCATCCAGTCTTTCCTGAGAGACATAACGATACAGGCCATAATCCCCACAAGTACGCGAGGCATGACGGATCTTCATTGTCCTTGTGTACTAACGGTTTTCTAGGGAGACGATGCTCAATTACCACCAGGGCGACGGAGGATGTACAGGATGTGCCTTCACGCGACAACAGGCGACGCCTCCTGGCGGAGAGCCGAGCGGTTCCGCTGAGACAGATGGCTGGCCCGTCAGCGTCAGTGACGTTCATGTCGTTGGGCGATCAACGGCTTCCTCGGCCTCGCGAAAGCGGGCCATGGGGTCCTACAACAGACTTCAGCACAAGGAAGGCGGGCGGTGAGCAGCGTACGCACGACACTGAGCAACATCTGGAGGTCCAGCCGCACCTTCCCCTCCTCCTCCCAATCTAGCGCTGGGCCCGTGCAACGGCAAGCGTCCACGACGCTCTGCAACCGGCGGAGGAGACCGCTACACCATGCGCCAAAATGGGCGAACCGGGCGCAGAAGTCGCGGCTGAGGTCCATGATCGCCTCGTCCGCGGGCGACCGGGCCCTGCGAGGGATGAGGGAGGAGAGGGTGGCGACAATGCGGGGGACGCCGTGTAGATGCTGGCAGAGGAGGCTTCGGGGACCCGTCGGCGTGCAGATATGCTTGAGGGGATATGATCAGCGCGCGCGCGTCAACAGGGGGATTGAGCGTACCCATCGAAGGTTTTCGAAGTCGTACTTCACGGTCTTGAACAACTTGCGCAGTTCCACGAGGAGGTCGTCCATTCTCATGCCTGAGCATCGCGGGGTCAAGGTCGGGCTCCCGAGTGTGCAGGTTGGAAGGAAGGGTCTCACCGTCGATGTTCGTGTCGCCAGTGATTTTTGAGGGATCTTGTGCAAGCGCGCGCGTCAGATGATGGAATTCCGAGGGGAACAATTGTGACCCACTATGCGGAGCGCTGATACCCTGCGCCTGACTATCGCGAAGCCAGGCGACGAAGATATCGAGCGTCTCAAGGATCGGGATTAGATGCTTAGACGCTTCCCGCAGCGGTTCCAGGATCCTCGTCGCGCAACTTTGTACCGGGCGACCGTCGTCAGCGCGACATTTCACTGCAGGCGTACGGATGACGCACCTTGAGCGAGGCGCTGCTGTCAAGCCCGCCAGGATGGACACCATAATCCTAGCTAGATCCCTTACACTGGACGCGAGGTCGTCGGAACACGTTATCCCCTTGCGCCGCTTCTGCTCCATGCTCGAGGTCGCTGTGGACAGCGAATAGAAGTCTTGGGGCCTGGGTAGCGTCGATATCGACCGAGCACGAGCTGTCCCAGAGAGGGGCGGGAGACTAGACCTGAGATGATGAGGGGGTGAAGAAAGAGCGAGAAATGGTTTGCACGGTGAAGATTTTAATCCCGGGTCGCCGTCCCCACCATGGACCGTGCACGTGTACTGCACGCTCCTGGCGTACCGCAGCGCTCGCGAGTCGGTACAGCCCTCCCGCCATCGTGCAAGGCAATTAGAAATTATCAAGGACGTTCGCGATCCAAGGAGAGCTACAACGGTGAGAAGTCAAAAAAAGAGAAACATTTGAACAAACCGACGTGCATTCACACCTTCAGGTCCCAGTCGGATCTATGCAACGAACGCCACTATCCCGCAAAACCGAACTCGCTAGCATAGCAACAGGCGCTTATCGCGACCAATTGAATGTGAAGCGGGTCTTGAGAACCATCGGGTCACTTGATCAGCACAGAATGGGCTCTGATCTCCATGATCCAACGGCTAGAATATTTGCTTTGCAATACCGGCTGTTGATTGAGAACATCGATGCTCTCCCTGACTAGCAGAATAATGCAGATTGTCTCCCTTGAGCGATCCTCCGCGGATGTTGTTCAATCGAGTCTAAATCAGCCAGAGGAATACGCATCTCTCAAGCGCGACATTATCCGAGGTCGAAGTCGCATGCGCAATACCGAGTCGAAAGGATGATAAGGATTTTGAAGGTAGGAACTGGCGTGTGAAAGGTGAGTGAACTGACGAGTATTCTGCAGCGCACCTCAATGAGCGAACTGTCGCCTTGCTCGCGCAGGGGTCTTGACATGCGTCATCCGGGTCGAGATAAGAAAACTAGTTTTCAGCGTAGCGACCAGCTTCCGCGCGTGTGAGAGCCACCCGACTAGCGTTGCAATCCAAACAGAGAGAGTGCCGAGGGAGAGAGGCCAAGCCGATTATGCGTCTTGACACCTAGAGCTCCAGGAAAAGAAGTGGAGGAAAGGATGAACGGAGAGGATTGTGTAGTTATGAGTACGACAACACAACAGGGGACACTTAGCGGGATAATAGTGTTTTGCGCGTGTAAGTCAAAGGCTGTCTCGGGAGTCTACTGGTCGAGGTGTTGCTCTTTGGGCTTTGCTCTGCTCAGGACCTGTACTTGATGGGGGAAAGCCAGGGGAAGTTGGGTTACCCGCGCCACGAGGCAGCAGGGATAGCAGCGCCATCGTCCGAAGGCTGATGTGCGCGCTCAAGAAACTACAAATAATCGGCAAATATAGTCTCTGAGGTGCATTCCCGCGCAATGGGGCGACGGTAATATAAGACCCTCAAAAACTAAAAGCACCGCGCCCATACCAGAGGTCGCGATAGGCGTTGTGGGTAAGCAGAAGAGTGTCTTAAGTCGGAGCTCGCTCTCGAGCGCCAGCTGCAAATTCCAAGCACCAGAGAAGTCGAAATGTGTAGTTCGGGCAACCAAGAGCCCATTCCCACCCTGCGAAATCTTCATGCATCAGCGTTTTCGAGGAACGTGCACCGCGCGTAGCACTAGCGGGACAACCCTGACTTCGGCTTGAGTGAATTTGCCGGTGGCCATTGTGCAACCATGATGCAAGCCGTACTCTTGAAGAGCTTCAGCAATGCCATATATATGAGGCTGTGAGGGCAGAAAAAGCGTAGCTGATGCACGAGAGGGAAGGTGGTGGCGAGAGGAAAGTTCGGTGATGTCCAAATATGGCAGTCGCGATCAGTCGCCGGCGACGCGTGCCGGTGCTGAGTTTCTTGGGACTCGAGCCTGTACCAGGTGAGAAAAACTTCTGTACAATATTATACATATCAAGTAGTTGTGTGGCAAAAGGAGCCTGCTGGTGTGACGGGCAGCCCTCGTTTTTATTACGAATGAGCACAGGTCCCACGGTCACGAGTCAAACCGTGCGAAACCGTCCAACCCACGCGTGGCGTAAGTCATGATTCCACCAGCACACTGGCTGCAGAGGCGCTAAGCTCGACCTATATCAGGGAACATATCCTCACGGTCGGCGCCGGGACACACTCCCGTCCCCATGTCTCGGCCCAGGCGCACTTCGCACTCGCCCTTTGCGGAAGATGGATCCTTGGCTTTAAGGACAAAGATCCGCGACGGAGGCAGAATTCCGCCGAAGAGCATGCACTGCGGACACTGGTCCAGGTGATGAGTGAGTGGTGAGGCCATATGGTCGACTGCCAAGCTCCTAAGTACATAGATGTAGTGCGGAATCATGTCGGCATGGACGAAGGTCGGCATTGTATGTAAATAGCTGTACGAGTGTACGCCACGCTCCTTCCACCTCATTCGAAGGCGCGTCAATTTGTTAACTACTACCTTCTGACTCTTCTGTCATTGAATGAGAACTATGCGTGTACGTATTTGAGAAGCCATGTCTCCCCGATGACATGGAAGTACATCGGTGCACGTTGGCGTAACACGGTATATTACCTGACTGGGGCGCAGTGCGGAAGACAGGCACCTGTACGAGGCTGAATCTACGCGTGATTTTCAGCGAAGTCCTACCTCCTGCCTCCCCCCAGTGGGCGCACTTGAAAGATATACAGCTCTTCTACAATCGCAGACGACTACATGGATGAAGACTGGCAAGTATCGGGCTTCATCGGTATAGAAGGGTGGCAGGACGGTTATGTAATCAGTGGGCTACAGGAGAAGTACGGTATCGCCAAGTGTGTGAAGGAGTAAGGGATTGAATTACGTCGTGTACAGTGTTCGGAGTTGTAGCCCACTGTATCCGCAAAGCACGAAAGCAAGGCTGGGCCAACGCCCGAGTCACGTTGAAGAAAAGACTAAGAAAGCATTCCAAACCACCATATATTGAGAATTTCTTGTGGGAGATAAGTTTCTATATAACGCTACGGATGGCGTAAGCGTACCAGAATCACACTGATGGGCCTCCCCATTGCACCTCGAATTTGTTCGCACGTATCCGCCGTGCAAAGAAGAGCCCTTGCGTTACAACCCTGACAGGAGGTATCAGCTGGGAGATCAGAAGCGCTGAGGGACGTACTAGGACACGGCTCCTCCGCGAGTTTTCCGATGAAATCGGCGGTCTCTTTTGCGGTGCGCGCGTGCGAGTATAGCACCCATGCCTCCTGCTTGATGAAAACACTGATCTCGCTACGCATCGTCTCCTGCGCCCCTCTGATAGTCACAAGCTGAGCGATAGAGAACTTCTGCCGGAGTTCCACGACGCAGTCTCTCAAGTGGACGGTCAGAGCGACTATGGATTGCAGATCAGTGCGGACTCCTCGGATGGCAGGAGGGACCGTCGTGCGCGCAACCTCTCGATGGCTCCAGTCTGATCCGAGGAGAAATACGAGAAGGGTCTGGATGATGCGAGGGTAGGATAGCGTACGGATGGCTTCTTTCTCGAAGAACGCTAGAGAGTCTTGCGCCTGAGAGCCTTCTTCGACCGCGCGCCCGAGTAGGCGCAGAAGAGCGTGATGAGCCTGGTGAACGGTAGACATCAACGCCTCGGGATCTTGCTGAGATACAACGAGGTCCCGGATATTGTTTGTCATGTCGTATAGCGCCGTCATGATGGTACTGATCAGAAGGGCGTATTTGGCGAGGAGAGCAATCTGGCTTCGAGCATGCTTGCTGAGCGAGGTCTGAGATGGTACCTTGTCCAGAGTACGCTGAATGCGCAGACAAGCCATGTCGAAGCCGCTAACACAACGGCACATGTCTTGGGCGAGGGGCATTGGAATCTGATGACATAGCGCCTTCTTGTCCGTCCGTCAAGATTTTCAAAAGAAGAGCTTGATAACGCGTACCGAATGACCTTCACTATCCTGCATGAAGCCAAGATCGCAACGAGGATCGACCTAAATCTAAGACATTCCTGGTGTGAGCAGACCATTCGCATGGGTTTGGGAGGATACATACCGTGCTCGAAGTCTGGTGCGCGATGCCGCGGAGGTACCGTGAAGAGACTTGAAAGCGCGCGCGAGAACGGTTGACAGGCAGGGCTTCTTATAAGTGGAAAACGGGTCGGCCCCGTTACTTCGGTTCTTCACAGTCGCTGTACAACCCGTTAGCCATTCAGCTGCAGTGCCGGAACGTGGTAAGGAGCTCGATTTACATTCAGAGATCATCGCTTATGGGGAAGTCTAATACGGCTGTACTAGGATTACATCATCGCAGTACACGCGAAGCCTATGAAGGTGTACGTGATCTCCGCGGAGATACACACGAAGGTGAACTTTTGGCAGGACTCGGAGGATGGAATCGACGCTCCCCGTTGTGAGCTTAACCTTCATTGATGAGTGCGAGATGGAGAGCATAAATGTCGTTCGGCGAAGAACTATAATGCATAGCTTATGACGGTGCGCGATGTACGAGCAGATCTTGAAGATGGACGACTCGGATCTATCTGAAGGTACGTGCATCTTTGAGGCCGGCTTTAGTTCCCAGTTGTAGGTATGGCATACAATGAGACAGTTCGTGCTTCAATCTAAACGAGACGCGTCTGCCATGAGCTTTCACACTGGCGTCGACTCAGGTGTGCTTCCTCGCTCGTGATCTTCTCGACCGGCCAGCTGCATCTCGCGCGCATTCTGAACGGATGTTAAGCGGGTTATGCGAACAACACGAGGCTCTGCGCACCGTTGCATCCATCGATGCTTCTCCAGATCTGAGTGGTGCCCGCCGTCCTCCGACAGTCAACAGCACTCTCGTGCATTCCTCTCGAACGTGCACGGTGGGCGCGGATGGAACCTGAGTACGCAAACTCAGTATCATCATCGACGATGCTAGCAGATGCGTACGCGAGGGTCGAACCGATCGAATGCGCGCAAAATATTCGTCTTTGTCGCGGGGTCGAGTGCGTTGGAGCCACGCGCGTCAATGGCGCGGTTCAGGACATTTTTGAACTCGTTGTATAGGTCGATATGGAAGAGAACGGCGTCGGTAAGGGCTTGAACAGCTTTGACGGCCGCCTTGTTGACATTGTAGGTGCTTGTCGGGTCTACGCGTCATAGCATCAGTGACTACCAGTGTACGAACAACAGAAGCTCACCTAGAATTCCATGGTCGATAACATTTTGCGCCGAGTCCAGTGCCACCGTGACAGCTATCAGCGCGGAAGCTGCAGGGTTACCCAACTGACTATTTAGACGGCCCAGTCCAGTCGTTATAGTCGAGAAAGCCTTGATGATGACGGAGATTTTGGGGAGATTTTCACGCAATCTGCGTGTGATAGTGCCCAAGACACCGTCCGTACTAAAGGCCTTGAGTGATGCAAATGAATATAATGTCGTCTCCCGACGCGGGTCGTTGCCGAGCTCACCGTAGGCAACGACAGAAAGCTGTCGCGCGTGTCATTCAGCTTCGATCCACAGTCCTTGAGAAGTCTCTTGATAGTAGCAACTATAGAGATAATAAGCGCATATACTCGGGTGGACAATGGGAAAGACGGAGCGTACTGTCGAGGGATGTGTCGTCCTTCAGTAGCTCTTCGAGATTTGGTGCCCCAAACGCTATCGAGAGTTGTTAGATCAAGGAGGGCCATACATGTCATGATAACTTACCCGCGCTTGACTCGCTCGTGATAGGCTGGCGGTAGTTCGTGCTGGTGAATAGCTCGTCCATGATGCGCTCGACGTCGATCAAATCGAGCAGAGGCTTCTTGACCACCTCAGCCAGTTTTCTGGTCCTGTCCATGTTGCGGGTCAGTGACAATAATGACAGGAGCGGAATGGACGGACGACTTGTCTCCGACTGGGCCAACTTGATCAAAGACCTCGAGGACGAGGTCGAGACCCCTTTTGACGTCGATACACGTGTCGTGGAAGGTGGCGATAGGTGTATCGGCGTCGAAGTTCACAACCACATGGCTAGCGCGCGAGTCAGCCAGCGCACTCGAAAGCGTCAGAGATGATACGAACCAATGTTGACGGGAGGATCTGGTACTGAGCTCCATTACAGACGTATTGGCGGCAAGGTCATTACTGTCGTGCGACGGAGGGGCAGCCATAGCGGATATACGACGGAACAGGACACTAGCAGGTTCAGTCGCGGGAGTGACGAAGTAGGTGGCATACATATATGGCAACGAATATAGGGTTCACCAACTCGGGAGGTCTCATAGAGAAGCAATAGGGCAGGCGGCCGCTGTCCCTCATGTGCGTCAGACCTCCGAGTACGGTCCTCCCAGCTGATGAACAGCAAAGGTCTCCTCAATGCTGGGGATCCATGAGAGCGAGTTGAGCTTACCTTATGGGTCCTATAGGAAGCAAAGGGCAAGCTTCGGTATTCTGGGCTTAGAAGTCGATGGGTGCAGAAGTCATGCCGCTGAGGGGCCACACGCGTACTGCAGGAGCGATGAGTAGGGGATCATGAATTCTCCTGAATATAGAGATTCCTTACTGAACTGGATGAGCTTCTCTGCGGCAACTAGCCAGTCCTGAGTCTCTCCTACAGAGGCGAGGCTTCCAAAAGCCGCTATATGACAGACAATGAGATGAGAAATCAACACCAGCCTGTCGAGGGACCCCTTGCACGCGCCACTTCGCTACACAAAGCGGGAGTCTGAGCTCCACCTGTACTAGCCATCTCCCATACTTTACACTGACCAGTAGGTACAATGCGCGCCTGACGTACCCGGGATGATACTGGAACGCGAGGTCGCGTTCGCGTGCCGGATTGGGCGTACTAGCACAGGGGAAAGCCCCCGGAGTAGTGGGCCATACGTACAGCTAGTGACGCTAGTGTCGAGCTTTCTTTTCCGAAAACTCTCGAGTGCTATGTCCCATTTCGAGGCAAGCTGAGCCGCATCGTTGTCCGAACATCGGGCCTGAGCGGGGTCGCAGTAGTAGCAGTAAGCATAACTTTGCCGCTAGCTAAGGGAACAGACGGTGTCGAGATTATCACATGACTGCAATGTAGGGCTCGGCGCATGCAAGGACTCTGCAAGCGCGATGTAATCTGAAGCCCTAGGTCAAGGATCAAGACGAGATCGAACGCCGCTTTGAAGGCCCACGTGTGGTTCGGCAGTAACCGCGGCGGCGAAAGATGTCATCGCTAGCGTGCCACGTGGACTTTATGGCCAGGAACGAAGCAGTTTCTCAATCCATCTCTTCTTTTCTCCTTTCTCGTGTTCTCGTACAGGCTAGCTAGTACGGTATCCTAGTATCATAAGGAGTATTACCCTCGCCTCAAGGTTCAAGGCGTCGAAGTAGCTTCGCCGCCTCAAGTAGGTCAGCCACCTAACTAATGGCGTCTGCGGCGCACTGAGGTCGATGGCGCGGATGGATTGTGGCCCGAGAGTTCGGCGCAAATGCCTATTTCGATGAAGTCCTGGTAACAACGTGGTGCGGATACTTGTCGACGGGCTTCCTGGTTGCACGACTGATGACATTGGAGCTCCTAGGAGTCCGTTCAAGTACTCAGAACATGATATGAAACCGTCTTAACGACTCAACGTGTCCCCTTAGCGGTCAATGCGCCAAAGGTGTGCATTCGGCGGCAATTCAAGGGCGCCGTCGTTATGAAATTACATGTTGGTAAGAGAACACGCGCCCTCTCTGCCACAGAGCTTACCTCAATCGTAGATCGCCTCAGAAGAGATCCTCTTTAAAGCCCCTCCGCTCATTCTCCTGGCGGTTTGCATGGTAGACATGGACCTGAGGTGCAGCACGGTGCGAACCGCGCTGCAAGACGCGTACTCACTGGGACAAACACCCGTCGGCGTCGGCGTTCAAGCCAACGCCGAAGGGATGATTGATGCGCGCGCCTGGCGCTTGCAGTTGAAAAGAGCGTTGATAGAAAAGGTTCCCGGTGCATGTCTCAATCCAAGAAATACAAGCGATAACTAACAGGATACAAATCACCATAGCGCGACACGACTCCGGCGGTTGTTTTCCAGCCCCCATAGACGCGCAAGAGATACTATGATGGTAGAGTCCTGTAAAACGGTCAGAGAAAACTAGTGAGCAGCGAGAGATACTCGCCAGTCATGATCAGAAAGTCAGCCGCTCGCGCTTGAAATCATTGCATCACTTCGTGAAGTTCAGCCTGAGAAGATCTATTAACAAAATCAACTCACCAAGGCGGTCGATTTCCTTGTTGCCAGGTCCCTGATATAGTCCGCAGTCTCTCGTGCTCTCCGTCTCAGCGAGTATAACTCCCATGCGATCTGCTTCGCCAGCGATGCTACTTGCATTCGCCTATCTTGAGGCATGTTGGCGATGTCGGCGAGGATAGAAACAGAGATGCCAAGTTGAGGATCGCTCGCGCAGCCCTTCAAGCGCACGACCAAAGCGACGATGGCCTGAACATTCGCAAAGATCGCCTTGATAGTTTTTGGGACGCTTCTGAGTGCGAGTCCCCGCGTATTCCAGTCCAGTCCAAGGAGGCGGATGATGAAGTGGATACCAGGCGGATAAGACAAGTCCTTGATTATGTGGCGCTCGAGAGCCGATAGAGCGTCTAACACATGGCAACCAGCCGTCACCGCGCGTGTCAAGCTCACAACGGTGGATTCGCGATTGTAGCGAAGGACGGTACATGTCTTCGCGCTATCCCATTCCCCATCGATGAACTGCCGAAGAGCTCCAAGCGCGTCGAATTGAAAGGAGAAGATGTCGACGAGGAGGGAAGTATAATCGCTGAGGACGATGATCAATTCACGAGTATGCACGACAAGGATTGTCCGCTGGAGGTTTTCGAGGGGGCGTATGATCCGATTGCACTCCATATCGAAGGTGTTGATGTAGATGCATAGTTGTCGGTCGAGCTCAATGACCTCGAGCAATACCTTTCGGAAAAGTCAGAGAAGTGGGCGTTCGAAGGAGATCATACACGTACCGCAGAATTCGGCACTTCATGCATTCCACTGCAGCCTTTCTGCGTGGTCTTCACTGGCTGATAGACCCGTGTAGCCAACGGCGATGGCGACGTGAACAACACGAGTGCGACTACAGGGAACGATGGGAGTAAGATCCATAGACGAGGATGAGAAAGAAGCATAGGCAGCGCATCGGTCGCCCGGGGTCTTCTCCTTAATGGAGTAAGATTCAGGGGACCCTATGGAGTCATCGACATGGGCTCACCGCGCCGCTGACTCTACATTCAGGACTCTTCTCGCAAGGCGCCTTGAGGATATCACCCGCCGAAGCTATGAATACTATCGGTACGGATCTGGAGGTGCATGCTGACGCATGCCCACCCTCCAAGCCCACGGTGTTTCACCGCTTTCCAGATCGAAATTGTGGCTGAGAAAACGACTTGATGCAAAGGACATGAGAAGTCTGAACCATCCGATGAAGACGGTATCACGTACGGATACCGTAGAAGCACCGGCAGGCTGCTTTCGTCAGCGCAGCGAGGGAAACTGCAGCCCAGGGCCGTTAGACCGGGAGATCGGAACTCTAGCTTTCGCGGGGCCGAAGCAAAGGCTTCGAAAAGCTTGTATCACTTCGGCAAGTATGCGACGGGAAAGAGAACCTGCAGCATAACGAGAATGGGCGCTCATGTCCACCATCAGCGCGAGTGGGGTCAGATGGACGCCGAGACTGCAGGCGTCCATTCACCGGATACGCGCACTCCCGGATGGAAGGGAGCTTCCCACGTTGGATCTTTTCGCTGGGTCCCTCAATCATGGCAGGCGACGTTCTGATGATAGTAAATATTAGCACGTAATCGGGAAAGGACTCACCGACAAATGGGACAAGAAGCGCGGTCCAAGAGCGCTCATGCCTCGAGAGCATGCTTTGAGACTCGTCCAATACCTCCTTTGACTCATGGGATCAAGGCGAAGGCTCAGAAGTCACGCTTGGGACGTCGGGCTTCGCGCGTCTTGCATAAACCTTGCATGAGACCAGGTGCTCGGGCTCAAAATCCAGGTCGCCGATCATAGGATGAGTTCGGATTGAGTGGACTGGCGATATTGACCCACGACACAAGTAGGCTGAGGTGGGTATTTTCACGGCCATCGCCGCTCATATTCACGGATGGTCGCGTTATCCGGCCTGAGTACTTCGATCTTCGCTCACGGAGATTCGCTGCTACGTGGTTGGAGGAGGGCAGAGGCAGAGTAATGCAGAGGATTAAGAGCAGTGCAGTGATACACACGCATTACCAGTCTGAATCATGGAAATATATTAGCGCGCTGACGAAGGGAGGGGTAGACATTATGGAAAGCTTACGCACCTATACATCGGATCAAGCAGCGTCCTTTCACATGAAAAGGTACTAATACGTTCGCAGTGCTACTTTGGACAGCGAGAAGACAGGAAATGTAGTCAAAGCGTGCGCGCTGATGATGGCCAAGGTCAACCCGCGCGACGTGTGACGGGACTCACGTGGGAAGCTCGTGTCATGCGGCGTTTGCCGCAATGGACCCACAAGAGGCGATACGGCCCATCTGCGTCGTGATCTGCTTGTATCAGGGAAAATGGGTATCATTCGGACTCGGGATGGTCGACCATGGCTCAGTCATAATATGTTACACCGTGTGTCAGGACATGCTCAATGTTTATGCCCAGAGAGAGTAGCCAAGGACTCGGAACTCGCTCACGGAGAGGACGCGGAGCCCTGTGGAGTATGGTGAGATCCACTTCTGTTACATATTTCCACAGTCAGGCCTACAACATAATCTTACAGCTCACATCCAGCGTACATCTTCGACTCCAAGCCCCTCCACCTCAATCGTTGTACTGCTTCGGCCCACTGCCCGAGTCGCCCGCCACCCCATTCGACAACTGCAGGTCGACAAGGCGATCCTTCGCCTGCCGGCCCGTCTGCTTCTCGAACTCCTCGACCGAGAGCGGGCGCTCGCCGTGCGGCGTTGCGCGCAGGGCATGGCGACGCGCCGGCCAGAAGTCGAACGTCGCGCTGTGGTTGACGACCTACAAGGGAGGTCGAATCAGCGTTGTTCATCGACGGAGAAGCATTGGTCATCGACGGAGGACAGAAGGATGCAAGGATGAGATGAAAAACACGCACCCTGTTGTCCCAGATCGCAATCGAGTTCGGCTTCCAGTGGAAACGCGCCTGAAAGTCGGGGTTCTCGGCGAACTGGTGGAAGAGGAACTGGAGGATGGCGTCCGATTCCGCCTTCGGGACGCCGATGATGCGGCGAGTGAAGCCTGCGAGGAGGTCGAGTTAGCTGATATGGTCATCTCGGGGAGCGAAGGTTGACTGGATGAGCGAGATGAAGAGACGAATGAAGAAATGAAGGTAACAATGGAGGAGATGGGCAAGCGGCATGAAGCCTCACCATGGTTCACGTAGACGCTCTTCCACCCGGTGACAGGATGCACGCGGACGACGGGGTGGATGGTCTCAATGGGGTCGCGGCGGACGGGCAAGCCCGCAGCACGAGCTCCATCGGCCTGAGCGACAGCGCTGTGCAGCGCAGTGAGGCCCTCGAGGTACTTCTGGAAGCCCGGGCTCAAGGAGGAGTAGACGGCGTAGCTAAAAATCTCCATGAGCTCCTCATGGTAGCGGAAGACACCAAACAACTCACCCCGAGCTCCAGTGCGTGTCGCCGCCGTACTCCGGGCCGCTGATGACCTTGAGCGAGGTCGTGCTTGGGGGCTGACGCTCGTAGGAGACATCGGAGTGCCAGAGTTGCAGCTTCGAGAACGCCTGCGGGTCGGGACGGCGGCTGTGGTCGTTGTAGACGACTGGGACGAGGTGAGATGTACTGTGCGGACATAGAAGGGGCTCCTCACCATGCACTTCCTCCAGTCCGTTGCGGGGAATGGGGGTGGTTGCATGCTTATGCAGCTTGCCCCAGTAGCGCGCGAGGTCGAGCTGGCCGTGAACGTCGATCTCTTGGTCGCGGAAGACTGCAGCTGCTGAGTACAATGTCTGAATGGCAAACGGAAGAAGCTCACAAACAACGCCGCGCTCCGCGACAAGGAGAGCACTTGATGGCTTTAGTGGTCACGACTAAGACTGAAGGGATGGGCACGTACAGTTCATCCTTCTGCGTGTCGCTCAACTGGCGCAGGTCAATGCCCTTGAGAACCGTACCAATCGCTGGCGTAAGGTGCTTGACCTTCGACGCCGCGCTCAGCAGGTTCTTCTTCGACGGGTCCGCTCGCAATGCGCGATCCGTGACGGCGAAGTCCTCGAGAGGATCCCAGTGGACCTTCGGGAAGTAAGGCTAAAGCTTGTCAGAACCGACGCGTTGAATGATCACGATGAGAAGACACACCTTGAACTCCGCGTATGGGTAGTCATCGTCCTTATCGTCCGACTCCAGAGTCGGCGTGTAGAAGGGGTTGATGAGCGCCTGCGCCTCTGCCTTGCGCTGGGCGATACCGTTAGAGGTCGCCGTCGTCGAGGGCGCAGAGTCGGTTGTAGCGACAGGGGCCATAGTGGATAGGATGTTCCTGCTAGGCGAGGAGATCAAGAGCGCTTCCGGCGTCGAGAGATCCACCCTTTGCCCGGCAAGCGCCCATATAAGCGATCTGCGCTCCAATAGACACGCAATCGGCAGTCGCGAGACTGGAGGTTCGAATCGCGCAAGCTATCACGGTACTGGGACCCGTGCTATAGCGCTCTATCGCGCTTTCATTGCCGCACACGCGAACGGTCCCTTCTTTTCCCTCGCAGCGCTTATTGTAGGACGCCGAGTGAAAACCTGACAAAGACGGCGTACGGAGGGCCGCCGCAGGTAGCTGATAGTTGGCGTTGCAGTCGTCGGCGGCTAGGTTCGGGTCATTCTGCGATTCAGTTTTTCTGGGCCTCCTCGTCAGCTGCCGGAAAGCGACAGAACGCGCCATGATGACGAGTGGGAAATCGGGGAGATAAGCGGGCCCGCAAACATTGTTCCCAGTAAAGAATGACTTTGTATGAAGAATGGTGAACTCGACAGGGACATTCGGGGCGATGGCGCGAGGGGGAGCTGCGCGCACATCATGGTGGTTTGTGGCGAAGAGGCTACTTCGGCCGATCGTCGGATTTGGCGATTCGGCAAGTTCCGAAATGGGACCCACAAATCGAGGCGCGAGGCGTCAAGAGATACAAGACTATATTCACGATAATGAGTTATAGGGTATGTGTCTGACAAGAACATGTCATCTGGGTCTATCTCATCGACGCCTCACACGACTGGAGCGATCTGTACAACCCGACAGTCCACCCACAATGCGCAATACCCGAGCGGACTCCAGGTGAGCCGTAGCCGGCGGCGCTGAGGCTTTCGATAAAGGGGGACGCCAGGAGTCTGTACGCGGCGGGGCGAAAGGCTGTGAGTATGATGCCTTTGGTACGTCCTCAGGCAGTTGGCTAGAGTACCACCGTGCCGAACTAGGCTTGGGATGGAAATTTCCATATTCCCATGGTCTGGGATTATACGCAGGCGCATAGGGATTCAACGGCGCGGAAGGGCCCTGAACATAACGATCAGCCCGTGTCACTGTCAACAAGGCATGTAAGCCATACCTGTACTTCCTTGCGCTGATAGGTTAGCGGTGAGGATTGGGCAGGCTCGCGTTGGAACGTAGGCCGCGCAGCTTGAGCAAAACTCGGCCATGTTTTGATCGCAGGTTGTTGCTTCTTCGTCGTCCCTGCTGGCCTCGCCACCTCTACAGTCGTCCGGCGCAGCTCCGGAAACGCTTTGCTTCCAAGAGAAGTCGTGATTGTAGTCCCCTCGCTCGAATAGCTGAAGTTCTCCGAGTACACGTTCGCGCTCGCGGCCCGAGCAGCGCGGCCTCGCGCCGGGGAAAACCCAGGCAGCGCAGCCGAGCCAGCCGCTACATCTCTCCATGAGACCCAGCACAGCGGTAGCGTACGTTCGAGGTCTGCGAGGAGGAGCTCTCTACCTGGGCCGCTGAGGAATGTTGGGCTGGTAACGATGACCATGCCCCGGCGACATCGAGTAAGGAGCACATTCAAGCGAGGAAGGGACTTGAGGAAGCCAGGCTTTTCTGTGCGCACCATGGAGACGAGGACGTAGTCTGCCTCGTTTCCTGGAAAAGCGGTCAGTCTATGGGCCTCGGATAAGCATAGTAAATATCGGGATAACACACCTTGAAAGCTGTCCACGTTGAAGACTCGGTCGGAGGGAAGTCTGACGGACTCCAGATCGCGTGCAATCTCTGCCTTTTGCGCATCGTAAGGCGTGATAACGCAGAAGTTCTTCCCACTGCTATGGTAGCGCTCGACAAGGTTGCGTACGACCTGGACCTCGTCTCGATTCTGTGGTATAGTCTATCAGCGATCTGTACACGGCAGCACCTCAGAACTCACGATCTTGCTGCGCCCCTGATTCTCCTCCCCGCCGTGCTTGCGCGCGTCGACGAAGGTGATGCACGAGTAGTCGTCGATGCGGTGTTCCGATTTCAGTCGACCGCCATAGACGAAGCGCGAGATAAAGTTGCCCAATGGGTTGGGCATGCGATCTAGGTATCCATATCAGCCAACGGATATTGTGTTCTCGTTCATCAACAAGCTGGTTCACGACTCACATTGAGTGTCCAAGAAATGGGAATACCTGTTCAGATGCGACAGGTCGAAGATGCATTGGATTGTGGTGGCGTCGTCCTTGCCGTACGGAGGGACTGCAAGGAGGGTCAGTACAGGATAAGTGCGCGTTTTGAGAGGATACCTACGCTGCTTAGGATCCCCAAAGAAGCATATCTTTGTCAGTCTGCTGAACTTCGCGCACAGGGGCTAGAACGACAACGTCAGTGAATGCTCGTTCACAGTCCGCCAGTGCATGTAGACGACCACGCAGCGCACATAGACGCTCAAGGAACTGCGGATAAACTTACCATAAACTCGAACACATTGATCTGCGACGCCTCGTCGATGACCAGCCGCTCGACGGGCATCACGTCGGTGAACATTCGCAGCTGGTGCAGCTTCGGGTTCGACAACATGCTGACTGTCGAGAGTATTACGCAGGCGTCGCCCATCATCATCTTAAGCTCGCGAGTAGTCGCCGGGAACTCGTCCGAGCGGATGAGCTTGTTTTCGATGGCTTCGTAGAGGGCTTCGTGCCTGAGTGAACGAGATGAGTATCGCGTGGGGTAGACGCATGGGCGGACGAGGCATGGGAGGAAAAGCCAAGAGAGGGCAAGGTCTAGTAGTACAATGACAGAAGACGAATATCGCTCACCATTCGACGTAGAAGTCCTGCGAGACGATGAGCCTGAAGTCGACACCGCGTCGCGCGACACCTTCCGCGATGTTCTTGACCGCGACGTTCGAGTGTGCGACCGCCCACGTCGGCTTCCCATGCTTCGCCCATACCTCCACCGCCGCCGAGATCGTCTTCGTCTTCCCCGTCCCCGGGGGTCCTATCTCAAAGTATCAGCATCGCGACACGTTCCATGGCAGGAAGCTCACCATGCACCACCGTACACGGCCTCGGCGAGTGCACCATCCCCGCTACCACCTCGCTCTGGCTCAAGTTCAGCCCATAAATCTCCCTCCTCTGCAACGACACCGGCACCTCCCCCGCCAGCTCCTCCGCGACAGGAAAGAACATATGCCGGATGAAGGCAAAGCTCTGCAGCCCGGGCTTGCGACCGCAGCACACGTCGAGGACAAACTCGTCGCGCGCGCGCTCGGCGTTGGTGCGGGACTGCGCGCCGATGACGGAGATGCTGGAGATGGTGCGGTCTCCGCTCTTGTGCTTGAGCTTGATCTCGGAGCGGCGACCGTGGGTCTTGGTGGCGCGACCGAAGGAGCTCTCGTTGTTGGTGTAGTTGACGACGACACGGGTCTATGAGGGGGTGAGAAGGCGATACGAAGGAGGTAGTGGTGTGAAGGGACTGACGGTTTGACTGGCGCGAACGCGGGTCTTGTACCTGGCGTTCTGTAGCACTAGTTTGCCATCCTTGTTGAACTCGTGCGAGGTGAACTCGCTCTGAACTTCGTGAGGCGCCACGCAACGGAGGATGAATTCTTCACGAAGAAGTTTGGCAAGGAGGGTGCGTTCCTGAGCGATGTGGGCATAGGGAGGGCACGAGGCAAGTGAATTCGCGTACCTCATGTACGATGTTGCTTGTGTCGACTATCCAGGCTGATGTCGCTATGGCTTGCTGACAGTATTCCCCAACCCTATACGTAGTCGAGTCCCAGGTATCAGCGCACGACAAGAGCATGGGCGAATGGAAAACGCACCTGACGGACACCCACGCTCGTAAAGAGGATGCGTTGGTCGAGTAGTTGCTCATCGCCCACAGATCGTCCAAGAGGAACGCGTTGACCTTGGTGGAAGACATCTGGCGCTTGAACACCTCGGAAACGGCCATCTGGAGGTCACCCAACGTGGCCTTCAGGTCAACGCCTCTGACCGCGGTCCGCGCGCCGTCTGCGACACAGAGTGCAATAGGCGCCATGTCGAATGCAACGAGCTTGAGGGATCGCTGCTGACCCGATAGAATAGCCGTCAGGGCAATGTCCAGCATCGCGCCTCGCCATTGGCCGGAAAGCGAGATGCGGTAAACGCGAGAAGCAGTGGCGAGGAGAATTTCGTGTAGGTCCCCATACTCGTCACGCTCGACATCGAGGCCGAGTATGCGCGGCTTATCCTGCAAGATGTCCCGGGCGACGATGTGGGCTTGCGACCAGGAGTAATTGATGATGCACAGGTCGCTGGGAGGCAAGATGATGTTCTGCCGCAGCGGTGGCATTGCAGCAGGAGATGAAATCGAGGGAAACGAGGTCCTCGAGGTTGGGTGCGCCTTTAAGCGCGCCAGGAAGCAGATATAGGCGCCGCGACGGAAATGAAATGGATCTATGGGAGAATCCTAGTACGCTGCTTATCCGGTGCTAGAAGGGCGGTTTGTCTCCAAGGGGGTTCTACCCTTATAGCGGAGAAGACGATTTATATTGACCCGGTCCCGAAGTAAGGCCACCGTTTGGCTTTCAGGGATCGTTGAGGTCCCTGCGCGAGGCTTTGAAGGAGGGAGCTAAAGGGCACGACGTTCGCTGCGTGCTCCGCCGTATAGAGCGTATACATAGTCCGAATTCCCAGAGACGACAGAGAGCTCTGGCAGTCATAGACAGTCATGGTCGAAGGTAAGTCGAGGAATTATCCGAGCCGGCGGGGCTGATGCTTACACGAGTGTGTCGGCAAATGCCGAAGGCGCACGTGACATCGTCCCACTCGGTCTTCAGCTTGCTTCGAACCTTCGTGAGTCGTCGGACATCTGGATCTCGAGATAATCCTTTCGACCATGGAAACTAGCGATGTCTACTCTCATGATACTTGACTGCCTCTTGCCATGATAGCTGAAGGAGAAATTTTCAACGACTACGTCTCGCGATATTGGGACCTACAACCTTGCTCGACTCAGTACCGACAACCCTGCAGACTTTCCGGCACCGCCTGTCTGTGCAGCCTGTGCTCAAATCCCACTTTTGGCGCTCTGACTGACGACCTTCGATCATCCCTGCAGCCAACCTCCGATCATCCCGAGTGCCCGCCACGGCGGCGACGCGGCCGCATCGACGTTCACTTGCAAGCGCCCTCCGCTTGTCCTCCGCCGCTGTTGGACCAAAGTGATCACCGCTGGGATCGACGAGGTGAAACTGCGCTCAGCTCCACCACTATACGCTCTCTACGGACATGGCTGAAGACGCCTACGGTCCTCGGCTGATTCTGCGACGCACGTCGCTGGCGTTCAGGCCGCCGCAGCAGGCAGTATATAAGACTCGTACTGTGAGAGTGGGGTTTTTCATCGCCTTCCCCTTCACGCTCATTCATTCACTCTTCCCTTCCTTCGTTAATTTATCATGGTCTTCGTTGCGCTCTCCCTCCTTGCCGCCGCGACTGTCGCGTCCGCCGCCACGACCGGTAGCCATGCGGGTGATGGTGCGTATACTGCATCTATCTCCCTTAGTTCTCGTTACTGAACCTTACTGAAGGTACCTGGTACGACGTCGGCCCCAGCGCCTGCGGTCCGGTCAACACTGCCGACCAAATGGTCGTCGCTGTCCCGACTACCGTCTTCGACGGCTATCCCGGCGCCGGTGCCAACCCGAACTTGAACCCCATCTGCAACCAGCAGATCCGCGCGTACTGTAAGTCCATCATAATCCATGTTCCCCCAACCACATATCGTGACCTTGCCTCCCAGACGGCGACAAGTCCGTCGACCTCACCATCACCGACCGCTGCGGCGGCTGCAAGGGCTTCGACCTCGACCTCTCGCGTGCCGCCTTTGACGCGCTCGCGCCCGACAACGAGCGCTTCGCCATCACCTGGGACTGGCTCACCGGCGTCTCCTCCGGCGTGCTCGAGCCCACGCAGCCGCCCGCGACTTCGGCGACCGCTACCACCGCGCCGCCGGCGACCACGACCGCGACTGGCGGCGGCGGCGAGGGTGAGGCGTGCTCCCCGGAGGGTGCGATCCGCTGCCCGTCCCCGAACACGTGGGATATCTGCGGCTCGGGCAAGTGGCAGAACAACGGAGCGGTCCCCTCGCCGTATGTGTGCCAGGATGGTGCGCTGGTGATCCCGAGCCGCCGTCGTGAGGAACACAAGCGTCACTGGAGAAGCCGCCAGCTTTGAGGTACGTAGTCCTTGCCAACTGCTCCCAATCCCATCTAACATCTCTTTAGGAACTAGCGCTAACGACTAAGAAGACCCGATATACATAACGCACCTCTTTATTGACGTATTTATTGGTGGTACACAGTGCAGGAAGATGCTCTGGCATAGGTATTGCTATGTTAGATATTTATGCGTGTAACACTTGCTGTAGGCCTCTCTAGGGTCATTGCAATACGCAATTGTCTGTTCTTTTGAAGTCCCTGTCATCGACCTCTTTCGTGGACGCGGATGCGACCTGGGCGCATAAGTGAGCTTCTTTCACAATCTTCCTCACTTAGAATAACCTCACTCGCTCATTGATCGTGGTTGAGAAGTAGAAGACGACTCTTGATCTCGTCGGACGCTCAGAAAACTTGTGGGTCCAACTTCGGCAAATCCCGAGAAGCACATGTGCTTCCCGATTCGGACCTCAATGTCCTCCGGCCCGCTCATGTCGAGAAATCCGCTCGATAACGGCCGTGGCGTCATGCGATTAGACGCGTTGAGCTTCGCGGGGACAGATTCCCACTCGTCTCCTTCACTCACCCGCCTTGAATCGTGGTCGGTCATCCAGCTTCAGTAAATGTGAGTTTGATGCTGATCCTCGACGCTGAGCGAGTATCAGGCTACCCTGAGTGTCGGAGGTAAAGGACATAGGAGTTATCTCCCTTACCAGCCTCCTTGATTGCCTGCTTTGGTGATTCTCATGCAAAAACGCTGCGAGAGCCGCCGTCACTGGGCGGCTAGCTGCCGTCCGGCACTGGCTGGCAGGGCTGCAGAACGCTCGGCCTGCAATGCCAGGTTCTCTTGCCGTGGCTGGAGCTCTCGTATAAGTACTCTGCGCTGTGCTCACCTTCACTTCCAATCTTGTCTCTCTCCCCAACGCAACTCACGACGACCCTCGCAGAGCAACAATCTCACAATGGCCCCAACTCGTATTCCTTTGATTTTTGTGAGTGAATGCTTCAGGGTACATACATATTCGATAACTGGACTTCGTCAGGGCACCATGACCATGGGCACGACCCCAGGTGCGCGCAACAAGGATCCCAAAATCAGTTGTTTCTTCTCCGTCGTCCCTTACAAAGCGTACTCACCCCGACCCCAGGAATGCCAGACCATCCTCGACGTCTTCTTCAACCTCGGCCACCGCGAGCTCGACACCGCGCGCGTCTACTGCGGAGGGACGACCGAAGAGGTGAGCGCCCTTTACTTCACGAGCTCTTGGATGAAGCTTCGCTATCTCCACGACGCGCCATCGTGGCCTTCGTGTCGATAAAGCATCGCTGGCTCCTCGCACAGTGGCTGATCTCCTACCGCCTCTCAGCTCCTCGGCACCCTCGACCTCCGCGACGCCACACTGGACACGAAGGTGCACCCGATCTGCCCCGGTGGGCACGAGCCCAAGGCCCTGCGCGCGAGCTCCCAGCAGTGCTTGAAGGCGCTGAGGAGGGATAAGGTCAGCAAGCTTAACTTCCGTCGTTACTTGCATTTTCAACCTCGCTAGGTTCGCGTTCTGTATCTCCACGCACCGGACCGCAAGGTGCCGTTCGAGGAGACCTGCGCCGAGATGAATAAGCTGTACCAGGAAGGGCTTTTGTACGTGCCTCTTCCCTACGAGCCTCGTTGACTTTACTTCGTTATTCTTCCTTCGAACCTCGCTCATCTACCCTCACTTTCACTCCTTGGTCACTTATCTCCGCGTTCCGGCAAACTTGCTTGCTAAGACTCGCCAAATATTGACACTGACGCCCCAGCCCTCCACAGCGAGACCTTCGGCCTCAGCAACTTCGCCGCCTGGGAGGTCGCCGAGGTCGTGGGCATCTGCAAGGCGAACGGCTGGGTGCAGCCGAAGATATATCAGGTGTACGTTATCTTTCTTCTTTCTCTTGATACAGAGGCGCATCAGAAGTGCAACCATCTCGTGGTACAGATCGGAACTTACGCGCACCTCTACAGCATGTACAACGCCATCACGCGCGCCATGGAACCCGAGCTGCTCCCCTGCTGCCGCAAGTTTGGGCTGAGGATTGTGTGCTATAACCCGTTGGCGTGAGTCGCCTTTTTCCCCATCATTCACTCTCGATATCCCGTCCCTCGATCCCCATCTCCCCGTACTCTTCATCCCGTTGTACAGGGGACTGTTTCGCCCGGTGTTGACGCATACTGTTATGCGCGAGACTGACTACTTTTTCTAGCGGCGGCTTCTTCGCCGGCAAGATCACGTCCACGGCCGAGACCGGCGCCGCAGGCGGGCGCTTCGACCCCAACTCCCCCTCGGGCAAGATGTACCGCGAGCGCTATGTCAATGAGGGCTATGTGAATGCGCTGGCGTTTCTGAAGGGCGTGGCGGTGAGTGGGGGGTTTGTTGTTCTGGACATCTGCGTCCTTGGGGTCTGAACCAAACGTTGTCGGGTTGGAGACCGACTTTGTCGGCTTTGAGCCCAACGTCGTGGGGCGATGGGAAGGCGAAGGAGGCTCGCACTCGAGAGCAAGCCGAAAGAATGTTCCTCTACTAACCCAACACGCAGGCGAAGAACAACCTTTCGCTGATCGAGATCGCGCTCCGCTGGATGCAGCACCACAGCAAGCTCACGCCTGAGGATGGTGTTATGTGCGTCTATTCTCCTACGCTTCTTCTTATCAGCTCTTCCCCTCCTACTCTCCCTCCCCTCCGTTTAGGAGTTCACGAAACTCCCCTTTGATCACTGAAATTCCCATCTCGCTATCGGCCGCCTCCCTCTTCCCTTCGGCTCCGGACATCCATCCTGCTCCCATCGCCAACTATTCCCCCAATCATCTTTGTCCTTCATACTAAAAGTCTACCTACCGATGCTACGCAGCTTACTAACAAACCTATAGCCTCGGTGCCTCCTCTGCCGCACAGCTTGAGGAGAACTGCAAGGCGAGCGATAAGGGTCCGCTGCCGGACGAGGTGGTCAATGCGCTCGACGAGGCATACCAGATCGTGCTGCGCCATGGTGGGGAGCCGCCGTACTGGCGTTGAGTGCTGTGCAGGGTTGCGAGCGGTGGTTCCTATGTATCATCCAGGTATGTATGTAGCGCGGAAGCCTAGATAGTACTAAATGTAGCAAACAGCAAGCTCGACCAAATACAATGGGTTGGCATCTGCCGCGATATCTTCTCACGCCACATGCGGTTCCCATTCGTATGCGATGCACGTCCGATTTCGACGCTAGCGCTCAATCTCCTCACGATAAGCCAGCCGGCGCATCACCCTACCACATGATAGCGTTACCATACCAGAGGAATTCTATGTGTATTGCAGCATGTATAATACCTACCCCGACGCCCGAGTCCTCGATCGCTGTGCTCGAAATGTCGTCAATTAGTTCATCCCAAAAGGCATAAATAGCCAAGAAACCAGCAAGTTAAAAAACGAACGTCAAGGGCAGATCGTAGTATGTATAAAGCTCCATAAGGTACACAGTGAGTCCAAGGCGAAACGAAGCGGCACACACCCTGCACAGCCAGGAGGAACTGTAGCGCGACAGAGGGACTGCATTGCAACAACACAGAAGACCTGTTGCGAAACAGCGCGCCCATGGCCAGCAGGGGTGGGCTATGCTGCTCCGCGCGCATCCCACTACAATGAAGTCCATGGCTCTGCGATAAGCCCCAACAACCCGGGGGAGGCCCTGCGCGACATCCCCCTTCCAGTGTGATCCTGCGTGCCGCCCCGTTCGCTGAGATGTAGAGTATAGCAGACCCGTAGCCCCAGGAAACCCATCTACCACCGCCAGCGCGCTACAGCAGTGTCCATGCCGCTACAAGAGCGTCCATGCGGCGCCGGCGACGGAGCACAGCATGGCGAAGAAGACGCCAACGAAGGCGCTCTCAAGCCCGTGCGTCAGCAAGCGCACCGCGCCGTTCGGCAGGGCAAATGTCGTCGCCCACTCGTTCGTCGGATTCGGCGCGGCGGTGACGGTAACGGTAGTTGCAGCGGCGTCTGGCGACGACGCGTTTGCGGATGAGGACGAGTCCTTGGACAGCACGGTGAAGCGGTCGGAGGTGCCGTGGATGAGGCCGTGGGTCGAGTTGAGGAAGACGAGGAAGTAGTCGTCGCCCTCGGGGATGTTTTCGAGCAGCACGTTGATCACCTTGTTCGCGTTCTTCGTCGTGTCGACTGGGGGCGGGGCGGCGTCAATTAGCCGGCGATCGGGAGCCCGTGTAGTGTGGACGCACCGTTCATGGCAATGTACGTGAGTCCATCGCTGCTTAGGCGTGCCATCTCGAGGTCGAAGGCATCTATGCCATCGAGGACGCCCTTGTCCCACTTCACCGGTGCTGCCTCGCCGTTTTTCCACTGCGTTGATGCTTTCGGCTCCTCGACGAGGAAGTATGCTGCATCGTCGTCAGCACCAGCGCCCCCGCGCACTCTAAAATGTGCCCACCTGATACATGTGTACTGAGGGCGAGGAAGGTAAACAACAGCGAAACGATGGCGCGCGGGGCCAGCGATAATCTTGTGGACAACATGCTTGCGTTACAGGGGGCGGAGGGAATACGGCTGGGCGCTGTGGGCGGCAACGATGCGAGCGCAGACGTCTGAGGCGAGAGACGCAGGCGGCGAAGAAGGGGAAAGTGAATGGCGGCGGAAAATAAGGACAGCGGATCGGCAAGCGACGACGACGGGAGAAGGTGTGACCAGCGTCACTCGGTAACGCTCCGAGGGAGTTTGGCCCTGTTTGTCCGTGGCGCCGGGCCCTGGGCGTGCCATACTTGTCCTCAAACACCTCGCCTTGGACACTGCCTATCTCGCGCACTGCTCACTGAGGCGCATTCCTGCTCTCTGTGCGCCACCCAGATGTCCTGCAATCCCTCTCAGCTCTCTCCTGCGCCTCCAGGAGCCCGGACTCCCGGCAATTGCCATCGTATCTTCGGCGTAAATGCGCCGTGCTTCGTGGCGAAATCGGTTCTTCTGTGTTACGGTCGCCTCGCCTCCTGGTCGCTGCAGAACGACAGGACTTTTACGCCCAACAATCGCCGCCTGATAGACGTTTGCCGGACCTCTTTTGGGACCGTCTCCTCCGCACCGCTCGCCTCCCTTGCCCACCGCCTCCGACGCTTCAGGAACGCCCCGATGACCTGTTTGAATGCGACGTTGCCTTGATGTCTCCTGGCTTGATTGCGTTTCGGTAGCGCACGCGAGCGATGTGGCGCACAGTGGAAGCCAGCCGCGGAATCCTGCCTTTGACATCTGAAGCTCGTCGTCTCTCACGACGATGGGGGGAGAAGAGCTCTCCACAGTTCAAGGACATGGGATCCATACCTTTGACAAGCCATGTATGTAGTCTCCCATCTCTGATCGAGATCTTTCTGCGCGTCCCCTAGTTGCTTGGAGAGATCCTCACCTTGGTGAGTCCGTTTCATACTGCGCTACCCACCATGACCAGGAGCTTTAGTTTCGCTCTAGTTGGGCTTGATTTCATCTCGCCGATCAACGACTCGGTCGTGATATTCACGTCTCTCAATAGCGACTCCTCGCCCTCCTTTTGTGCTCCGGCTGCTCATCGTCCACATAACATCGCCTCGGTCCCTTGGACAATAGTAGGGGCTGTCTGCCTGCCATTCGGTTGGAAAGGGGACGGTTAGCGTAGGCGAGCGCGGGACTGCCGCCAGGTCCTTTATAACGCATGCCCTTCTCGGGATGTAGAGGCTATCTTCGAGGAGTCAAGCATCTTCTCGCAAGCAATATGGCTGGATTCCCCGCATGATGGCATGGTACAAGCACCCAAGCGATGTCCCCGTACTATAGATGCGCGTTGTTGAAGAAGCCGATGCGGGGGAATATACCATCAGGACAACCGGTTGACCAGTCATCTGGCGAGAAAGTGAACAGCGTCCATGTTTGGTGCGACGAAGGAGTGCCTGCGCAGCCGCTCTTCAGGATCGCAGTCGAAGTTCAACAGGGGTGTTGTGGCGTGGGAAGTACCACCGGCAACAACCGACACGTCATCATTGTTTACCTTTATTGAACGTACGGCTTATTCCCAGCTTCCATCTCGAGAATAATAGCCTCGCGGGACTTCGCAATATACTGGATGGACATGCGGTCGACACGCTCCTCTGCTCGACACACCCTCAACGAGGTCCTCAAGATGACATCGCCCAACGTCCCGTAATCACTGCTAGTCGCGCCGTTCGTCGACTAGCGCTGCGGCCCATAGCGGACATCTATCTTTTGAGACTGAGGGCACGAGGACTTTCTGAACCATCGCGCACTAATGCTTGTATGCCATATGGTCATGTCTGCTAGGAAGATCGCGCGCGTCAGCCGCGCGTGGGCAGCAAACACATCGCGCATGACCCGCGATGATTGGGAGGTACTCGGGTGCGTCATCTCTATCTTCCATCGCATACTCAATCACATCTGTAATCCTACCTCAAGCTTGCGCACTAAGTCTTGAGTAATACTCCTGGTCAGCAGGCATCCCTTGATAATTGCGCTCGATTAATTCATCTCCTTCAAATGAACCGTCCATACCCAATCCAATGAAGTCTTCAGGCGGACTCTTTCATTCCGGGGTCCATCTCTTACGCTTCCTTTCCCCCGTGTCCCCTCCTTCCTATTCCCTTCATCAGTATTCGTCCCTGACTGCGGTCAACCTCGGGCACGACGGGCGCGATCAAGCCATTCAAGGGAGGTGCTATTGTATTTCGGTCTGTGCTATGAATGGGGAACACGCTCGTCTCTGATAGATGGAGAAGCTCGTCTCATACAACCCCGTAAGTCATTGGGCCCGCCCGAGCTGCGGCTAGCGTTGACATCCCTCAAGGGAGTCCTGCGCAGTCTCGGTCGCCGCTGTGGCAAACTCGGTGAGTATTGCTTCCCCATCACCCAGCTCCCACTGCGCATCGCTGTCGGTCCCAGGCCTTACTGACCCGTCCTATCATCTTCAGCGTCGCACAGTCAAGATAAAGTTCCGAACCTCGCCTTTTGTTGTGAGCGGCCCAGTCGGCATCCTCCCGCTCTCACCCTCGAATGTCTGACAACAAGGGCGGCGAGCCCAGGTGCCGTCATCGCTCGTTTTCTGCGATGTTCTTCGTCCTCGCAGGACGCGCGGAGAGTCGCTGCCTCCCTCCGAAGAATAGTCCCGCTCAGCGCCCAGCCACCTTCCCGTCCTTCTCTCGCTCTTCATCATCTTCCAATCTTCCAGTCTCGCCTAGCCGCATCCAATTTGCCTTGGCTTTAGTGTCCCGTTTGATCAACAATTCAATTGAGATACGATGAATTGCCCCAGGAACTCGCCCGCGAATCGCCCTCCCGCGTAGCAACTGCCCAGCAACACCCACGCGCTTCTGCCGCGGACGGGGCGGGCCGGGCGGTTACCATGGGATAGCGATCTCCAACAATGGGCGGTGCCTTTCGCACGCCCGCCGGGGCGCGCGGGGAGGCGGCCGACCATATGGGCCCGCCGCCAAGGTACGAGCACGCGTGATGCCGTCCGCGCGCGATCCCTCTCCACCGCCCCGTGCCACTGCATTCTACTCACACCTTCACTGCCAGCGCTAGTGTCTTTTGCATCGCGGGGATTGCACGCTCGAGCGGGGGCCTCTGTAGATATACGCGCGCCCAGGCGGTCCATACCCTCTTTCCCTTTCTTTCTTCGCGTAGGTATTGCTTCCTCGAGTCGTCGATCGTCGTTCTTGGTCCTTGTGCGCAGTGGAATCGCGTCTCCCTCCCTCACTCGCGAGTATGCCGGCATTGTTCGTCCCCAGGGCGGGTACGCCCACGCCACTCAATCCTGCGATGCTGGCCAACATGACGGTGGAGGAGATCATGGGGAACCTCACCCAGGCGGCATTCACTGAGCCCGAGCAGTCGCTGGATACCATGTACGGTGCGCCCTTCATCGGTGTGATCATCGCGTCCTTGTGCGTAGCCTTTCTCTCGAGCGCCTGCACATCCTAACGATATGACCTATAGCTTGTTCGGCGTCACTTCCCTACAAGCATACTGGTACTTCCACCACTATCCGCGGGACCCTTTAAAGCAGAAGCTGTCGGTGCGTCATACCCTTCATCCCCCTCTTCGAGTGCTCACTATTATCCAGGTCGGCTCGCTATGGTACACCTCACTCGTATCCTCCCCTTTCCCCTTGCTCATCGTGCCCATCAGGTTGCTTGACACCGCGCACACCGCCGCAACCATTCACGCCGTCTACTACTACATGGTTAAGAACTTCGGGAACGTGACGGCCGCGTACCACATCGTGTGGTCCATCCAGGTGCGCGCGCCCGTCTCCCATCGCCCAGTCGCGGCCCTCCTTCCAACGCTCTTCCGTTAGGCCTTCCTACCATTGCCCCGCTGACTCCGCCAACAGCTCCAAGTCGCGATCAACGTCGTCATCATCGTCCTCGTCCAGTCCCTCTACGCCTCGCGCATATGGCGGCTATCGGGCTATCATCGCGGCTTCTTGGGCTACGTCGCGGTGCGTCCTTCCCTCCTTTTCTGTCTATCGCGCGCATAGTTGACGGTGTCCTCCATTCCGCCACTAGATGGCCACCGTGCTCGGCGGCTTCGGCATCGGCGTGGTACTGGCGTACGAGATCTACAGCATCGATACCTTCATTGAGTTGAACCATGTTGCGGTATGTATACTCATCGAAGGCCTTCGCGTGCGCTCATTGACCGGGATAATGCAGTGGGTGGTAGAAGCCTCGCTTTCTGCGGCTACCGGCATCGATGCGGTTCTCGCCCTTGCGATGTGCTGGCACCTCAAGAAGAGCCAGGGCAAGGATCAAGTGTGCGTACGAGCGGATGCCAAGCAGGCGATTGGCTGACGCACATGTAGTCTGAACTCGCGGATATCGACGATCATGCAGTACACGCTGTCGTCTGGCTTGCTCACGAGCGCCTGCTCATTGGCTGCTCTGGCGATGGTGAGTGCTTCCTATCGTCGCGGGGATGTGCAAGTGCTCACGCACGGCCTTCCGCAGTTCACCGTTCAGCGAGCGACGCTGGTCTACCTCGGCATCGAATTCCTGCTAACAAAACTCTACGCTGGCTCGTACTTCGCACTTCTGAACGCCCGGAGACGAGACGACAGCCCGACAACACAGGGCGCCTCGGGCTACAACGGCGGCATCTTCGGCGACGATGTCGTCCCCGGCCGCGACCACCTGCTCACGATCGCCAGCTTCGGCGGCGGCGTCGACCGCGAGGACGAGGTGTACGGCAAGCGCGACACGCTCGAGTACACCGCCAAGGCGCACGAGCTCGAACAGTATCCGCCGAAGCCGCAGCGTAGTCCCCTTGGCTTCACCAGCTTCACCGGCGAGGTCCCCGCGCGGCGGGCTGCGCGGGCGGAAGCGCGTTTGGGGCGGAACCCGAGCACGGAGGCGCGGCTAGGACGGCACCCGAGCTCGGAGGCACGTCTGGCGCGGAAGCTGAGCGGGCGCGTGCAGACGCCGCCGCAAGTGACGGTCGAGCAGCGGACGTCGGTGTATGCGGACGACCGGACGAGGGTGGCGGGGGTGGCGGATGCGATGCCGAGCGAGCGGTGGTTGCGGACGACGGCGGAGGAGGATCGGGAAGATGAGGTATGCGTGTGTCGGAGTGCTCTCGTGGGTGCGAGAACTGACTGTTGTGCAGAGCGTGTACTCGGTGCAGTCGCCAGAGAGCTACACAAGTACGGCGCCCTTGAACCGAGGGGTGAGTGCTCGAGACTAGCTGAACATGTAGCGGTCGCTGACCGTGGTGCTTGCAGGTCGACCGGTCAAACTCGCAACGCTCAGTCGCCACCATAAACCAACCACGACCAGCGTACATGGAGAAGTGGTGATGCGTATTGGACCTCTCCGACCGTCTAATCGTGACCACTCGCCTTCGCCCCACTTGATCCTACCTACTAATCCGCGTCGCACTTTTCACTTTGTGCCCACCGCCCTTTGTCCCCGTCTGCGTCTATCAGCCCTAATTCCCGCAAACTAGCCAGCACCTCCAGTCCATCTCTACCTCATCCACCTCAGACTTCGCTCGTCTCCACCCCCTCGGGCGTTCATCGTGTGGGCTCCCAGCATCTCCCAAGGAGCCACCCACACGATCCCCCTACCATCTGTCCAACTACACCACCACCACCACGCTCTTCCCGTCCTTCTACATCTCTTTCTTTTCTACTCTAGGGTTTCTGGAGCCACCTTGTTCTCGGAGCGTACGCAACAAGTATATGATCTTGTGTGGGTATACGGAATGTATCAGTAGTATCTGTAGTGTCATTCATTCGTTCTATCTGCTGACGTGTGATCTCAGTTTGGCTTCGCCAGCGATGAGAGCGGTAAGTCGCTGCGAATGGCGCACGGTGGCGCAGCGATACGGCTTTAATTAGTCACGTTGTGACGTTGGGAAGCAACTAACGCTCGCGTCCAGGTTGCCTTCTGCCACCATCTCGGAGACACGCAGGTGATTGGTTGAGCCCCTCCGCCGCACAATTAATGGGCTGATACAATACGGTCAGAACCATCGAACAACGCCGCGATCGCTATCCATCGCTATGCATGGTGCAAAACCCTATCCATCACCCTTGCCAAATGCTCAATCTCGGGACGATCTCAAACCAAAGTTCTTGAAGGAAAAGCTTGCGTCGTTCAACCCCCGCTCTTCCGCAGACATCATAGCTATCCAATCCGTTCTCAGGGAGATAGAAGGCTCAAGCGACTGGTACTCGCGATTGTTGAATCGCCGACTAGTACATGGCCTGCGAACGATATGGATTGATATTAAGTGGTCCCGCTAACTCCTCTATGATCCTACCATCTGACTGCACACTTCTCGCCCAGATGGGGAGGTCTCCTGAGGCGCGGACGATGAGCAGGTCCAACTGACCGCGGACATCCTCGGAGAGCGTCCTGATCTCCGACAACTTGGCCAATGAGAATCTGCTCCGCATCGCTTCGGCGCATACGCGAAGCTGAGCTGCCACATCCTCAATCTCCTTCACGCAGGTGCGTGCGGCGTCGAGGAGGGGAGGCACGTCCTTAAGCGCGATTTCCCTGCAGCCCCAAGAATCGGGGCCAAGGACACGCATCACGAAGAAGTGAATGACAGGAGGGTAGGAGAACTCTTGAATGACATACTCCCCCAATCCATGAAGGGACTCTATGACGGGCCCTTCCAAGGACGCGAGCACATCCAGCATACGGAGGAATTCGGCATAGCGGTCGTGTATGGCAAGAATATCGGGGTCGAGTGAGGATTCAGAGGGGGAGATGGCGCGGCGGATGCTGCGAAATACCTCGTGGTAGGCCAGAATGGTGTCCGCAGCGCAGGTCACGTAGTCGCCTAAGCGCCGCAAACAAAGTTTCGCGGGTTCTGGCAGGATGCCCTGTGGATGTGCTTCTACTATGCGCGATCGAACCTTGTATGCCAGGCTGCCTATATCCCATGAGACAGCTCTGATTTGGTTGCATAGTTCTATCTCCGGCAGGAGTGTCTGAAATGCGGTGGCGCGACATGTTCAGTTCAGAGATAGACGCCCAAGTTCTGCACTCCGAACCTTTGGGTCAGGTAATGCATGCATTTCCGATTATTCTGTGAGGTTGAAGGCCTGGCGCAGTGAAGTAAATGACGAGTGGTTGATTTCCGCGGTGGTGGTGACAGTCAAACGCGGTAGGCGCCCGCAACGTGCGTGAGTCCCACGTTTTCGGCGCCAACGGCAATTGCCGGGCGTGCGCGATTTACAAGTTCACATTGGTAACAAGTATCCTCCACGCCTGTATCTACGCATCATACTACTCCAAGTCCTCAGTCGATCTCGTACATCATCTTCCTCTACAACGGGCCCCAAACAACAACGGCCGCAAAACTGAAGCTTGACCGACTATCTTTGTATGGATGGTGCGCCATTGCGCAGGTATCCCCGCTCAGCACGGAGTACTGAACGAAGCAGACTCAGCGCCCGCGTGCCATTTCTGCGCTGAATCTAGCAGCATGGCAAGCGACCCGCTCACATCGCCCTTGAGCCCGAACATCGGCAAGTGCCGTGGTGCACGTGTCGATGACGCACACAGCCGGGCCGCTGGCGCCGGAGCTGGAAGGCGCGCTTTGTCCAGGTCGTGATGTTAACCCGATCGACCATCGCGGGCGCTAAACGCGATGGACGGAGGATTTCTTCCCTCGCTCTCACCACAAGACATACAGAATGTCATACAGGTGTGTCCACAGCGAAAACCGTTCCCAAAACCAAGCCTCAATGTCTCCCACGCAGCTCATCATTGCGGCGTACGCCCAGCCTTCGGGTGCATCGCTTGGAGACGCCAACACGCAACTCTATGATGTGCAGAAGTCCCCCTTGGCGTGGGGCTTGATAGTGCCCCTCCTTACCTACGACGCGCCGGGGGACGGGACGGCTGTACACTTCTTCGGCGCACACACGGCGGTGGTGAAGGTCGCGCGCGATTGGGACTCGCTGCCCGCGGAGCACCGGTTCGCCCTCCGCGATCTGCTGCTAGCGCTTACTGCCGATGCGGTGCGCCGCGGTCGCCCGATGCTGGTCTTGCGCAAGCTGTTCGTCTGCGTGCGTGGTACTTCTGGTCGTTGAGAGCCCGACTCACCTCTCATACAGCTTACCTCCCTTGCAATCCGGCTTGCGCCACGAAATTCGTCCGGAGAAGCGTGGACGGATTGGATCCTCATGTGCATTACTACGATTTCCGGAGCGGCTTCAAGTGCGTACACCCGTCAAAGCGATCGAATTCTCCTCATTGTGCCAGCCAGGCGACCCCACGCGTGTCAAGCTGCTCGTGAACGAGTTCCTTACCATCGTCGCCGAGGAGATACCCACCGCGGATGTCGTCGACCCCAGCAAGTTGAGTCGTCCACGGCTCCTTCACCGCCACAATGATGCTCAACGAAGATCACCAGGAAATCGCAACTTGCCCAAACCCTCCACGACGCCTCGCCCGTAGTCACCAATTTGATCCGGGAACAACTAGAATCGTGAGTACACAGCCCATTCTTTGCCATCGTCAGTTCCCCCGACATGTAATCCCGTCTTCCTGCATCGAATGTCCCTGCCTTTTACGCCTACGCCCTACGCCTTTGAACGCCTCCGTCGCATACCCATATAGAAGTCCTTTTCCTACTCCTTCCTCCCCGTCCGTGCATCTTCCATGACACGGCTCTCATACTAACATCTTCATCTAGCCCCTCAACAACCGGTCAAGAGCTCGAAGCCGCCGTCCGAACGCTGCAAGCCTGGCTCAGCCAACTCCGGGCCGAGTACGCCGATCCATTTTGCTTCCGTGATTCTGTTCGCTTATGTTACCCTTTTTACCCTTCCGTATTCTTTCAGCGACCTGACATCCCTCATCCCCCTCCTGCTCGCCCGTTTAGGTGATGGTCGAGGTACGTGTACATTCACTGTCTAATCTGCGCCGATGCTGATTTTCTCCGCCCTCCCCTCCGACGCTTGAACAACCGCCTTGTTCCACCCGCCAGACCCCTCTACCTTCACCCCCGCCGCCTCCGCCCTCGCCGAGATCCTCTCCCGCGCGCCCGCCTACCAGAACGGCGCGGGCTCGCGCACGCTAACAGAGCCGCTTCTTCTATGGCTCGATGGGCCCGGCAGGCAGGTGGTGGATCGGGTCGTCAGGGAGGCTGCATCGGAGATGTCCCAGTCAAACGAGGACGATAACGCAGACGACGACCTAGACGACGAGGCGGCGCGCGCCTTGATAGAGCTGCTAGCGGCGCTTGGCGAGCACTCGGTGGAGTATGTGTCGCGCTGGGTGGCGAGCGCGCGGGTGGTGGGGGCGGTGCCAGGGATAGGTGAGTTGTTGCTAGATGGGAAGTATGCGTAGGATGTTGATGGTGTACCAGGCATGCAAAGCCAGCCACGCACACGCGGCGAGCTGGTGCAGCACTTCCTGGGCGTCCTGCTCGCATTGACAGTGTTGCCGTACGATGTCGAGGGGAGGCCGTTGGGGAGTGGTAAGTGCAGTCACAATTGTTAACGAAGTGCGTGAGCTCACCGGTCTGACATCGCCAGTAGCTTCCGGGACGTTTTCAACCAACGTGCCCTCTTCGGCCATCTTCGACGACGCGGGCGGTGTCCGCGGTGAGGCGCTCCTGGCCTTTTGGTACCAGCTACAGGAGGAGGTGTGGAACATCGACTGGGAGGAGGATGCAGTCGACGATACGGATGCGCTCGGGGTCGAGGAGGTTAGCTTAGATTCCATCGCGACTTCTCCCTTCATCCTATTGGACACACTTCCTTGCATTGGTCGCAATCTCTTCCATCGACCGCATCACTTATCGACCTCTTTCAGGCAGCATGGCGCGACGGGCACCGCGCAGCCTCCTCATTCGCGCCAACCTCTCCGACCTCGAATAACGTGGACCAAGAGCAGACCCGTGCGTTGGCTGCTGTGCGGGCGGTGTACAGCCGGCTCGTCCGCGCGCTGCGTGCGAAGATGGTGTTCCCACCCGGAGCGGAGAGCGGTGGTTGGATGAAGGACCAGGTAGATCGGTTTAAGACGTGAGTATCCCTTTGATGACTTTTGACATGCGTACCCTGAAGCTCGGTACTGATGTCAGTCTCACAGATATCGACGAGACGTTGGAGACACGCTGATCAATGCTTACTATGTGCTCCGCGACGACATGCTTGGGTACTACGTCGACGATGCGCTCGACCGCTTGTTAAGGCCCGTGGTCGAGTGGGAAGTGAGCATGTTTTGCTGAGTCAACCTACGACGTCCACGCTGACGACTCCTCAGCAAATAGAAGCTACCCTCCACTGCGTCTCGTCTATCGATGAGGCCCTGCCTTCCGTCGAGGATGTAGCCAAGAGCAGCGATGAAGGTGACTCTACGGCACATCGGACGCCTGCGCTGCTCGCGCGGATACTTGGGCCTGATGTTCTTGCGCGGCTACCATCCACGGGTGCGCCGCGCGTGCGAAGAACAGCGCTCGGGTTGCTAGGTGCGTCTATTCTCCCGGTGTGTAGTGTATACAAGATTTACTATTCTGCAGACACATACGCTGCCTACCTCGGCCACCCGGCAATGCCGCCCGCGACGCTCCCCAGTGCGCTTGAATACGCAACCAGCGCACTTCGTGAACCAAGGCTATCATTGGTAGCAGCGACCGCCTTGCGGAGTATTTGTGACGCCAATCGCGCTATTCTGGCCTCGCGAGTGGGTGTCAGCGCATTTGGGGGAGTGGCGGAGATGTGCGTGGGCGAGGGCGGGGTGCCGGTGAGCTCTGCCGACATGGGCCTGGGGCAGGAAAGGCTGATGAGTGTTGGGCACAGGACACGGAGAAGGGCAAGGTGCTGCAGAGTGTGGCGTCTGTGATACAGGCGGTGGATCCGGTGGAGGGTATTGCGCCAGTCGAGGTCCGTACTGCCGCCGTCGGAGGCGAAGTTACTCTTCTGACAAGAAGCTCAGGCGTTGGTCACGCCGCTTGTGAACAGAGCAATGTCCGCTCGTGAGGTGAGTACAGCGTGCGTTGCCCGTCGACGGTCGACTGAGCACTTTGTAGCCAGAAGACGTCACATTGTGCCTGGACATCCTCGTCGGCATCGCGCGCGGGCTTCAGAGGCCGTCACATCCGCTTGAAGACGCGTGGACGGAGAGCGAGGGCGGTCGTCTGGCTCAAGAGGCTGCCCGTATGGCCCAGGCAAGAGACGATCCTCGTGCTGTCCATCTGCGGGATAGCCTCGGTGCCCTCATGCGTCACTGCACGGAGACATGGGGCCAGGATGTTGGCGTGTGCACGGTATGATGTCCGTCGATCCTGTCGTTCGAAGTTTGACTCGCCCATGCACAGTCGTTGAGCGACCTCATCAAGGCACTCTCCGCCGCCGCACCTCTCGACACCGGCGTCCTCACCGTACCACCAGCACCCCTCATGGAGCTCATCTGCAGTGCTTTGCAACGCAGCGTCAACAGCACATGGCTAGCCCTGCTCTCGAAGCTCACCGCCAGCCTGACTGCCGCGACCAGAGACCCCGATTCTCCGTTCAAGCGGGATCCAGGAAAGGAAGCCCGCGCTGTCGTCTTGCGGCTCCTGCCTGCGGTCATCGGCACTGTGCTACCGTGGTTTGGTGGTGTAGAGGGCATGCGGAATGTACGTTCAGTCGTTCGCGCTTCCTTGTGCTGAGCTGACCGAGGCATCAGAACCCAGACGTCGCGCAAGAGTTCTTTGGCTTGATGGAGCGCATGGCGGAGGAGTACACGCAGGACCTGTATGCGATGCCCGAGGGTGCTCTTGACGGGCTGATGCGCTGCACGATTGTCGCGCTTGGGTTGCAGGAGAGATATTCTATGATCGCGGCCTGCAAGTTCATTGTGCGTGTGGTCTCGCACAATAGCTTATCAATGCTGATCTCGATCGTACTATAGCGCGCGGTATTTCATCGGACATGTACCTTGGACGCGCTGTCGCAAAGTCCAGCTCGCGAGTTTCTCGTTCAAACGTACTTCGCTCCAGTGCTGCGTGCAGCCCTTGAGGTGGGCGACGGCTTAGCGAAACAGAACAGGATACTGACTTCGTATACAAGGGCATCGCGGGTGCTACACCTCTAAGTACGCATGTGAACTTGATCGACCTATTGCAGCTGCTGTCACTGCGCTGTCCGGAGGAGATGAAGCGATGGGCAGGAGAGGTTCTCTTCGCAGTACGTCTCCCTTTAGGGTTTGCGGGGTTCCTCATCGCTCACATGCACGCCACCAGCCGGACTTTATGCCACAATCACGCGCCAATCCAGAAGTGAAGGAGAAGTTCGCGAAAGCTCTCATCAGGTAGGTGCTCGCCTCGTTTTGCCATTGTCGCGTTCTGATGACTGTCCGAAGCTCGCGGTCGTCAAAGAAAACTAAAGATGCGTGCCAGTCCTTCTCGCTTATTTCAAGAGGATTAGACGGAACGAGTTTTGGCTTCGCGACGGTAGTTGTATGAAGTTCGGTCAGACCATTGATGCAATCCAACATGTACATTCTCTGCCTACATTCTCAGCGATACACAGACCGTTCATTGTTCTGGATGATGCCTTAGCTCGCAAAGGAGAAAGTCCAAGGAACCAGACCATACCGTGGCAATCATAGCGCCCATCATTTCGGTCGATTGTGCGCGCCAGGGACAGGTATCTGGTAAATTGTGAGCCTCCGAAGGGGCGGTCGATGCGATGGTGAGTGCTTACCTCGAGCATCGCCGTGTCGTACGAGCGGATCACCTCCCCGCAGAACGCTATATGGTCTGCCCACTCTCTGAGAGCAATCCAGGTCCTGCTTAGGAATTGCTTCAGTTGCCACTGCTGCTCAGGGCCCAGGTCACGGTACTCCAGCATCTTAGCGACACTGAAGCGCTCCTGAAGGCCCTCGACGGAGAGCTGCAGATGGACTGATGCCGATGCGATACTGTCCACGTCGTCCTTGACGCGCTGGACGAAGTACGATAGTTTCGCCAGAGCGTACAGACGGTCGTTCCACTCTGAGCCAATAACCTCGACAAGCAAGAAGTGAATGACGGGCGGGTATGAGATAGAAATGAACGCGTCGCGTCCTGACTTGGACAGAGTTTCTAGCGTGATCTCGGCCATTGCGCCGATGCGTTTCAGGGCTGTCATAGCCGAGCGATAGGTGGTCGATAGATCAGAGAGCGCTTCGTTTGGTGCTTCCAGAGGTGCGAGAATTATGTGCTGAATGGCACGGAAAATATTCTCCAAGGCAGATATAGCTTCCTTTAGCAGCTCCAGGTAGTTCGCGACCGATCTCATCGCATCCCGAAGGGGATCGATGAGCTGTGTTTCGCCATGCGCATACCAAAGAAGATATGCGAGAGATCTGCAGTGTCCCTCGATATTTGAAGCTGTGATGGCAAGTTGCGCGACGTGGTCGAACTCCGGAAAGAAATCCTGGCCATATAACTCATCAGTGGACCGACCCCGCGGCAGGCGAGCATGATCTACCTCAGGTCTTGTGAAGTCTGTTGTATACATGGTTGCCGCTTGTTTGTAGATGGAAGTAGGAAGGGAGGACGGTGGCAGCGTGGCGTCCGCGCTTACGACAACGTAATACATTCTCACGGCACGTATAGGCGCCGCGCGCGCGCTTGCGCCGCACTGCACGGCGTCTTGGAGTCAATGACTTATCTTGGGTTTTATAAAGCCTTAGTCGAAGAATCTTAGAGCTCTTTAAAGATCTGGTTCATGGCAGTTCGCAAGCAAGGAAGAGCGATATTGTATGTGTTTGTATCTTGATCATGTGACATGCGTCGAAATGAACGTATCCGAGAATTATACATCGTTATACAGGACGCGATCACGTCAAAGGTACCGTAGAGAGAACAAGGGTAGTGCAGCAGCTACTCGAAGCCGACTCTGGATGTATGAGGGACGGGAGCGGGCCACCCATCAGCGGCGACGGGGCAGCTGGTCACTTGTTCTGACATAGCCGTCCTCGTCATACAGTGGTAGGCCCTGACGCGTCGAAGACCCTTCGAAGGGTGCAGCCTACTCAAAAACATGAGGATCGGCGGGAAAGCATGAGTAAAGAGAACTTGCCGTCGACAAGGTCTTCCGCCGTCCCGAAACTGACTCTTTCAGCCAGCGCGTCTCCACTTCGCCGGTGTGCTGGATGCTCGTACCCGGTATAGTATCGAACTGAAGATATTGAGAAAAGATTAATCAACAAGTGCGGTTGGAATAGCTCGACACTCACATGACGACCGAACGAGTAAAAGAATTGCGCGATGCGTTTCTTTTCTTCTTCAGAGAACGTTGAGCCACCCTCCCGCATCCTCAGTATCTTCACGATGACACCCTGCAGCTCGATATAGGCCATGAGAACCATCTGCGTGTTGTGCCGCAGGTCTTCCGCCGCGGCGCGCGCATTGGAAGCCGTATTTTGTGTACTGGCCGGATCTGGGCGTGCATCAGCATAATTCGACCGTCAGAGTATGCGATCCCACGATACCTTGTATCTTCCTTTGTAGGTACTGTGCCGCCGCTTGAATTGAGCCCCCAATGCCGCCCAAAGCAATCTTGTTGGGACCGCTATCCATCCCATCCACGATGCCGCCGACAACGGTCGCGGTCGCAGACATCATACCGTATAGCGTGTTTGTGCTCTTGCTGAGGTTGGAGGCGACCTTTTCCCATACGCCGGATGTCTCGTGAAAGTCCTGACCATGTTTTCGTCAGTTCAGTTCATAGGTAAGGCATGTGGAATCACCGAGTTCATGTCCTCCAGCGTCGCGATCCCTTGTTTCGCCAAACGCTTGACTTCAGCACATAGACCGAGGACTTCACGATCCTTGCCAAGGTCTGGGAAAGGAGTGAGAGAGAATTTTCAGCATATCTTAGGCCGTACTTACCTGCAGCAGTCAGATAAGGTGTTGTATCGACCAAGTTGTCGATCAGCTGCGCCCTCTCAGTTCGCATGACGGTTCGCATGTCGGAGGGGTTGGGATTCATGGTCTCCCTGCCTATGACGTAGCCCCGCTTGTCCGTACCGCTGGACGGTATGAACGGAGGACTGACCGCGTACGGCGACGAGGCTGCATACGTGTTGAGTGGTGCGGCTGGGATTTTCTTAGTGCAAAGATATATCGATTAGCACCGAAGCACGCACCTGTGAATTGCGCAACCGCAGAGTTGTCTACGTTCTGATAGGAGGATGCGTATACCGGGACCGTCATGGAACGAGCGACGCTGCGTCTCGATGTCGAAGTAGAGTCTATGCATGATTAAGCGTTTGCGACGAATTCATAGAATAACTGGGTACCTCTTGCGTTACGCGGAGCGGGCAGCCTCAGGTCTGGAAGACTTCCCAAGAGCTTGTGCGTCTTCTGTTCCGCAGATCCGATGCAATCGAATACGTTCAGCCACTTCGCCATATTTCTCTTGACACTGACACATGGTGAGAACTATACACACGGTCGCAGACCTGACTTACTGATCGTCTCGTTCGTACTTTTGAGCCGTGGTACTGAGGCGTCTCATGCTGTCAATGACGCGATTGCTATGACTGTACCCGGTGCCTCCGAAAGTAGCCGTCTCGTCGTATAGCTGGGTCGCTAACTCGTCCCGCATGCTTCTGTACGGTTCGTTCGTCTGCGTCGCCGCGAATGCTTGATCGAAAAAGGGATGGGAGGGCTGTTCGTGACGATTGCGGCGCGTAGACGCGGTCATCGACGGACGCTGAGCTGGCTGATAGGACATGAGACGGAGTAGAGCGCAAGTCAATGGGTTGAGTCGTCGCAGGAGAGAATGTCCTGAGATGAGGTCTATGCTGGTGTGTCGCGAGCCTTATAAGCCCGAAGTGGGCGTCTAATGTGGGCGTCTTCGCCTGCTGGACCACAGCAGGAGCGGTAGAGGGTGGCAAGCGCATGGTCGGCGCGCTGCACTCGAGTCAGCACGATGGGCAGGAGTGCACAGTTACGGAACTTTCGCGCACCTAATACGGAAGAGTGGAGGAGGCAGTATCCGCGTCTCTTGAATCGACCTATACAGCACGTACGTATGTGGGCGATGCCAGGTGCAGCAAGCGCCCCTACACGCTGAAGATGCCCGCAGACAACGGGGCATATGTGTTGAGGCGCGCGGCAAAGCACCCCCCTATACAGTCCATTGTGGGCGCCTCTGACAGGCCTGTCCTTTTATGGGCATGAAGGTACATCGCCTATGAGTCCATGAGGCTGGCGCTTGCGACGTTATTGAGCGCGCGATTGACTAGCGGTTGTCAAGCGCTTTCGGAACCACCGATAGCTCCTCGTTATCAGCACCAAGACCCAAATGCGGCCGTGCTAGAATTATGTGCCACACAAGAACTGTGAGAACGACAGGTCTGGGGTGCCTTCCGCCTCGTTGGAGAGCGCCTGCCGTGGTCTACAGTGTGGCGTAAACTAAGAGAAGCGCGGCGAGAGCTCACAGATGACACCTCCAATTCACTACGAATGGTTAGGTTCCCCCTACGGCGACTGATAGTTTTCGCTTTACGAGGACGCCTGCCGGGTTCCAACTCGTGCTGTATGGGAAGTTCGAGGATGAGGCGCTTGACGAATAATCAGAATACTTTCATATCTCCCAGTGTAGAGTCGTGTGGCCGTAGGCATTCCGATAAAGGTACTTAAAAACAGTCGTGGGCGCCGGAAACAACCCTGAGAACAATCGCGTCACACTGTCACGTCACTATCACGCGCTGGAAATGGCAAGTAGACGCCATCAATGAGTTGATCCCAATCTTGGACTCCCCCACGTCCCTCGAAAGCACCCGGTAAGCAGATCGTGGCCTCCTCCGAATCCTATCTGATTATATGCACGAAATTGACAGCAATCAAGATTGCCCTTCATTCAGCACCATGTTCGGACAGTCGCTTGCGACCTCATCACTGACCGGGCGCGAGGAGCCTGATCTGCAGACTGTGAAGGACACACTTCTAGCTGTTTTCCCGCTTTCGCCTCACGATATACTCGACGTTCAACCATACCTTTTACGTGCTGAACCTGAGATCACCAATTACCAGGCCGAAATCGATCGCGTATCTCTGCACTCGCGCACAGAGAGGTTTGTTGAACTCGAACGCAAAAGGAACGAGCTCGCACGCATCCACGGAGATGCTGTCTGGCGATGCGCTCCAATCAGCCGCCTCGTACCCGATATCCTGACCGAGATCTTCTGCTTCGTACGAGACGCAGACGAGTACTCGTTGCGGGATTGCAAATCGGTCATCCTACCACTCGCTCAAACCTGTCGGCTTTGGAGACAGGTCGCATTCTCTCATCCCTTGCTTTGGGCGTCCATCAAAGTGTGTTCTATTCGCTGGTGGGAGGACCATGACGATCCAGGCTTTCACGACCACGTCGCCCGCGCCGTCAGATTCCACCTTGATAGGGCCGGCGACGTATCGCTCTCCATTTGCATCGAATGCAACCCTTGCTCAGCCTGTGATGCGCTACTCGCTGTGCGCCATCGCTGGCGCGAGTGCTGTATACGAAAGCTCACTGGCGAAAGTGATGCGCGTGTACAGCCCGCGCATTACCCCTCTCTCGAGCATCTCGAACTCGACCTGTACCAAGCATCCCACACATTCGAGGATTCTCCGCGCCTGCGTTCATACAAAGGGCACATCGTCGACATCTATCTTCCCTGGAGGCAGCTCACCAGGCTGACCATTGTGCAAGACATTCCGAGCGACGAACTTCTCGCATCCGTTCTGAGCGAGTGCGGTGGCCTCGAATTTCTCAAGTTCGACCTCTGTATGGGAATAGAACAGAGTCAGCCCATCGCGATCCACACCAGATTCAATCTCCCTTCGCTGCGTCAATTGAATCTGACGTGCTGGAATTGGAGAGCCATGGCATCGCACATCTTGCTCTCCGTGGCAGCTCCTGCTCTCGAGTCGCTCGAATTTTGCGTCAGGATGGAGAGCGATATCCTTGTCGGTGTCGTAGATCCATTGGCAGAGTTCCTCTCACACTGCGTCGCTCTACGCGCTCTGACCCTGAAGAACATCCTGCTCGGTCGACACGACCTTCACCGCGTCCTCGGATACGTCACGAACGTGGAACACCTTGTCTGGTGGGATCTAGGGAAATGCACCTCGGCGAACTTGCTGAGGATGCTATCTCCGCCACCCCCTCCTCGGCCCGTTCCTGACGGTGCGGGCGACGTCTGCGAAGACCCCATCCTCCCTTTCCCTCACCTCGTCGCTAACGAAGACTCGGAGTCTGACGATGACGGAGACTTGGACAATGACCCCATGGACGGTTTCGGTGGCGCGCTCCTCCCTCGCCTCTCCTACCTCGAGATAAGCGGAGGGCTCTCGCCTCGTGAGCAGCTCAAGCTCATCGAGCACGCGGTAGTCTCGCGCGCACTACGAAGGGATGACTCGACCGACGTCCCTCCCTTGCGGCACGTCATCCTCGAGCTCATCGGAGCGTGCGCCTTGGATGCACGAGCTCGCGGCAGGATGGCGTCGATGCTAGGTTCCTTTACCATTCGCGAGAGCGTAGACAAGGGGCGCAGTACCTTCGTTTATGAGGAGTCCGAGTCCGACGAGGCTCCTCTTGTCACCTTCAACTGTTTTCCTTGATCTACGACCACTGACTAGTTTTCGTGCTCAAACGAGTTCTTCTGGTATAAATTCACCGACTTCCCTTTGTATATCCTGTGCTTTCGGCTAGTAGCAGTACAAGCGCCGACGTCATGATGGTACGGTTCGTCCTGTTCATGTGTATCGGCACGCGAACTTCACAAGCTGTCCGTACACAAGCATTCCTGCGTGATCCTCACTTCTCTTGAAGCCATCGCAGGAGTGAAAGCTGCGATTCGTGGTCCGCTGCCCTTCTGAACCGGCAATTGCCGGGAGTGCAATTGATGAGCGCGCGTGCAGCGCTTGACCTGAACCATCATCATTCCCAGCCCCCTTCGTTCTCCTGGCCCAATCCCAGGCTTCTTATCCCTCGATATATTGCTCAACATACGATGACTGGCTACGACAAGCCAAAAGTCAGCAGCTCCCGCTCACATGCGACTTGCATCTTCCCAACACTAACGGCATTTCGTAGTTCATGTTCCCCGAGGTTCCGCTATGCCGGCAGATGGTCCTCCACACCTCGAACATCACAAATGATTGTTACCGCATCCAATACCGTCTTTCGGGACTGGGGTCACGACGCGGCTTACGCGGGATCGCCCATATCACCTTGCGAGGCGTTGGCAACCACGTGTTATGCGTGGCAGATACCATCGACGCGTGCTTCCAGGTCTTCCTCGCCATACGGCGGGCCATAGGGTCTGCGGATACACCAATCGAGTCTGATTTGGAAACAATATACAGCCGCTACGAGACATTTATTCGTCTTCTCGACAAGCTCACGTCTATGGAGCACCCTACAATACGCAATTTGGACTCCTTGCAGCAGTATATCGACAAGAAGCTAGCTTACCCGCCGATTGTTCACACCCTTGTCATGCGCATCACGCCTAATTGGAGCCATAGGACAATCGTCCTTACCCAGGTTCCGCCGCTAATTTGCGCGGTCCGCACCAGCATGAAGGACATCGCAGCCCTAACCGCCGACCTCACGATTCAGGGCCGAGCAATGCACGAGCGCTTTGCTCTTCCGCGGCTGGCCGAGGTCAAGGCGCTCCCGGCCGGAGTACGTGACGAAGTTGGCTGGCTTTTCAGTCAGTCCTTGAGTGGTCTAGCTTTCTGGGGGGACGACGCGAAGGTGCATGGGTCCGTAATACTAGGAGCAGCGTATCAATTGATTCCGGTGAGTTTACTTAAACGTGCTTCGTACGCGAGGGAAGTGACTCTTTTTCAGACAGCCCGGGCTTTTGAGTAGTTAGAAGCATTCGGCGCGAATTTTGATTTCTTTAATGTCTGATGTCCTGTTACACTAGTGATTTTCTTACTTAGCGTTTGCCGGCTCTTCGATTTGTATTGTTGGTTATCATGTAACGCTCCGCTCCGTGGTCACGTGCCATAAAAGTTGAACTTCGGCAAGTTCCAAGCGGCAGTTGCCGATAGCCTTCTGTCAATGGGCGCGTGTGAAGCACGCGCGCACGGCGCTTAACCCGAACCATCATCGCCGCAAGCTTCTCTCGTCCAACGATCTCTTGTAACGCTCCTCGGCGGCTTCACCTTCATATATAATTGCACACAGCATGCCTATCTACAATAAACCAGTGGTTAGTTCAGTCACCCAAATGACTAGCATGCGCCCGATACTGACGGCGCTTCGCAGACCGTGTTCCCTGAGGCCAGACTATACATGCAGACACTCAGTCACACCGATCGTCTATCAATAGACTGCTATGGAATTCATGACCGCCTGAAGCCATTGCAATCGCGACCTGCCTTACTCGAGGTCACGCGAGATGCCTTGCGATACGTGGGAAGCTATGTGACCTGCCTCGCAGACGCCATGAAGGCATGCTACAGAGTCTTTCTCGCCATAGGACACGCCATACTATCCGCTGATACATCACCTGAGGCCGACCTCGCGGTTATATATGACCAGTGCGATATCTACGCCCGTCTTTTGGACGAGCTCACGTCCTTGGGAAACTCGACAATACGCGCCGTCAATATTCTCCAGCGTCGTGTGAAGAAGAAGCTCTCATATCCGCCGGGCATACATTTTCTCATGATGCATGTGCTTGGACCCAACTTTTGGCATGAACGAGCAGTCGCTCTGACCGAGGTGCCACCGATGCTGGACGTGGTTCGTCAGGACGTCAACGGGATTGCGGCGCTGGTGACCGAGCTCAAGCTTCATGCCAGAGTCATGCGAGAGCGCTTCTCCATCGTCCAGCTCGGTCAGATCAAAGCGCTTCCGGCTCAGGTTCGCCACGACGTGAAGGTGCTCGTCCAGCTCTCCTCGAATAATCTACCCGTGTGGGCGGATACCGTTGGTGTGCATGGTTCGTGTATATTGGAGGATGTAACGCGAAATGTGAATAGTTATGATTAGTAAGGTACATATTTAGCTATGGACTTTGAAGATATAGGGACACGTCTGCGAGATGTCTTCGGCGTATACTATATAGCACAGATTCACATGTACATTTCGGTCTGGCTGCATAGCTTTGGCTTACAAAGATGGAATGTCGACCCATCCAGAGAAGTAGACGCCCTGAATGATCAATCAAAATAGCTGATACTATATGGTGGATCTTCATCCTCGTACTCGACCTGGTAACTGAACACACCACGCCCCTGCGAGATGTTTTCGCGGATAATGAATGAGTCGAGCTCGCGCCGCAGCTCACTAAGAGTGCGTGGCTCAAGATTGCACGCCGAGAGGTATTCCAGTACGACCGCGCGCAGGGTAGCAGCGTCGCTGGGTCCGTCTCCCTTGACTGCGCGCGAACGGATGAGGCCGGCGATTTGCCTCGGGTCAGCTGGAGTGAGGCCGCCGCTGACTTCCAGGTGAGAGAGGCGCGGCAGAATAGTATGGACGACATCGGTCGTGGGATGATCATCCGCGCCGGCGCTGGCGTTGGAAGCGAGGGAAGAGGAGGACAAGGCATCGGCCAGAGCAGCGAAATTCGAGTGACCCAGCTCCTCGATCTCCCACCACACGAGGCGCTCGACGCTCGGCGCGGAGGCAAGGACGCGACGGAGGCCGTGTCGGTCGAGCGGCGTGCCCTTGAGACTGAGGATGCGGAGGGCACGGAATCGAGTGAGAATCCCCACCACGACGTCGGGGAGAGCATCGGGTGAGTTGCATCTAGAGTCAGTCGACGATATGCAGATCTCGAAGGAGTCGAGAGCAGGTGCATCGATGAGGGCGAGGATGCGCAACTCCGTGATTGCTATCCGCTCATATGAGGACAGAAGGCGCAATGCTCGGAGGCGAGGGAGCACGGGAGTGGGCGATGATGTATCGGCGGGCGTAGGGGCGTCGAAGCTGGCATACTCGAGGCTTAGGTATTCGAGGTCTTTGCATGTTACCAAGGTGTCTATGAGATGGCGGGAATGAGGAGCGGTCCCGCTGGTCACGGTAAGGCTCGTGAGCTGCGCCCATGGAAGGCGCATCTCCGTGATAGGGCCAAGGTAGGTGCGCAGGAGTGGTGCACACTCAAAATGGTTGGTTCCCGCAGTCCGGATGAATGCAAGACGCTCAAGGGATGGATATAGAGGTGCCCGAGCCTGTGGGGCAGCTTCCGCTGTTGGCACGCCGTTAATATCGCATTCGCGCCATCGACAAAGTTCTGTGAAGAGCTCTCGACATGCGGGGCTGGTGATATTCAAGATGTGTACCGAGAGCGGTGCTTCGCCGGATTTGTCCAGGTGATACCGAACGGCGCGTGCGACGCGCTCATCGTAGTCCGATTCCAACCACGACTTATCAACGTAGGAAACATTGATATACGCCCAGAGCGAAGGTTGATAGAACGCAATGCTGCGCCACTGCCGACACGTTTGAGCCAGGGGGAGCACGTACGAATGAGCATCGCTAAGAGAGTACTTCGCTTCGTCGCGGACGAAGCAAAAAATCTCGCCCAAGACATCCGGAACAAGATGACTGATCGAGTTGCACATTGAGACGGAAGCTGCGCAAATGCTTTCGAGTTCGTTTCTCTCCTCGATGAGCGCGTGCATCGGCGCGGATCCGCAGTCAATTTCAGCGGAGTACTCGTTGATCTCTCCTTCAGCACGCACGTGATGCGGCTTGATGAAGAGTTCGTCTTGAAGCAAGGGAGGATCGAATGACACAAGTCTCTCCTTCAGTGACTGCTGGTCAGAATCTTCCTCGCTCTCGAGTCGCGGCGAGTCAACAGTAGACTGATCGAACATCGGGTTAGAGGCATGCAAAGGATTATAACGGTTGCCTTGCGACAATGAGTCAGCTATAACGCAGCTTTGATGCCCGTCTACTCACTGGCTGGCTTCAGGAGACGTGGCAGAAGCCAAGTCGAATCATTGCTTGTTTCTGTTTGCCATTCCCCTGCCATCACGTGGCTGTGAGAGTATTCGGGAGATTCCGCACTTCATTCCCGACTCTCATCCGTAGTAGAAACCGCGTTCTATCAAGAGCCAGATACTGACTAGATGAGACGCTCAATCTATACAATCAACACATCCTCGAACTTTTCACTCGGAAACCAGCTAGCGGTCTGCATATCGTCTTTTCCCCATGTTTTATACGGCAGACGCCCTGCGGCTTCCATTTGGAGTCGTAGACCTCCATGCGATTTTTCTCCTCAAGATCCAAAATGCGCCAGACTTCAGATCAGGACAAGCGCCCTTCAACGAGGCTGCTGTTAACTTCGGAAGGCGCCCCAGACTCACCATTCTCACAGTTCTTGTGTGGCCCGTACTTCTGGCACACCCGCGCCTCGCCCTTATCGCTGTTAACGAGGATCTATCGGTGATTACTCAGCCGATTGACGACCGCAGGTACGCCGCGCGCTCAACAACGTTGCAAGCGCCAGCCTCCTGACTTCATAGGCTATGTCGACGACACCCATAAAAGGATAGATCTGACTGAGGCGCCCACATTCAACTCAATGAACGGGTGTTTTACCGCGCGCTTCAACACATCCGCGCCCGCTTCTGTCGGGCGACTGCAGCGTGTAGGTAGCGCCTATCTTATTCTCATTCCACGCGCACTATTCAAACGACTCATCAATTTCGGATAGGCGCGGTTACTACCTCCTTCCCTCTGCCCTCTTTGATGAGCCACAGCTCCTTCAATGACCACCCTTGTGTGATACACGCTGACTTCAGTGCAATCTTACGACCACGCGCTTCACCGCTCTTGCGGCAGCTGTCGACGTGCAGGTGAAAGGCGCCCGGATTAGACGCCAATATCAAGCTTATAAGGGGCGCCTTCAAGACCCTTGACCCATCGTCTTCGAGTCCTCACAACCCACCGCATATCCGTTCTTCACGCTTTCACCCCATCGCCCCATGTCTCATCATCCGGCTCTGCGTACTGAAGCGGCTGTACCGTCGCGTCGTTCGCATGAGCAAAGCTCTCCACCATTCTTCCAACCAGCATTAACTTCGTCGGACGAGCCGTACAGTACCAAGAGAAGCGAACTATCCTTCCAGCTGTACGACCCGACGTCGACATTCTCAAGCGTCAACTACAACCACAGCACGCGCGCTATAGGCCACATGGTTCGCCTTGGGACAACGGCACAGAACTACGGCCAGGAGGATTAGTCAGTGCGGATCGCGAGCTGGATGAATTCTCTGACCCGGTTTCAGCGTCAAGAGGAATCTAGGCGATTGGGTGGAAGTGTTCAATTGCTTGGGCTCTGCCGAACAGAAGACACGTCAGCTTCTGGGAGACCTTCAGACTCTGACGCTGCCTCGCCCTCGCGGCTCGGGAGGTAAGTTTCTCCAGCTACGTATTCATAAGCTGCTGAGTGAGCATATCAGTTGGGGCTTATCCTGTCAATCCCATCGACGTCTCGACGACTTCAGGATCATCTTCTCCCTTCGCTGGAGGTAAGCCGTCTCTATTCGTGCCGAAATCACGCGACTGATGTTCCCCATAGACACGAATCCGCTTGGCGTGGGGCAGTATGCTGGTCCGTGAATCGACTATTCGCCTCTTGCCTTTCACTGACCAATTCACAGCTTTGTCCTTGATTAACGCGTCGTCCCTCGATGGAAGCATGGGAGGCTATGTGGCCAGGAGGGAGGCAATGGAGGGCGAGTACCACGTTGCGGGAAGCGCCAGGCGAGCCAAGCAGGCGCAGATCATCGACGGCTTGCTTGACACGAGCAGCTTCGCCACTGCAGGAGGCAAGCGTGATCTTTACCATATCAACGACACGAGCTCACTGATCCTTAGATCTTACGAAGGACGATGATGTGTACAATCTGTGTGTCGAGGTCGAGAACCTGGCCAAGTCTGGAATTAGGCGACTGCACACGCTCGACTCCGTGAGCCTCATTTCCCGATGTCCATCCTACTTAACTTATACATGACCAGAATTTCCACAAGGCCGATGGAACATGGGCGAGCGTCGTTTCCAACATCAGCCAGAGCACCGGCACGCTATACTACGCCGTATCCACGACTGCGGAGATCCTAGGCGGCATCGTCAATGGCATAGACAACGGCCCGAACAAGATGGTGCTGGGCGGGATTGAAAGATCGCTGCAGAAAGCTGCTGCTTATCTACAGGCGAAAATGGAAGGTAAGCCGTGTTCATGAATCTTCCTCGTCACGCGACATTGACGTGTGTATAGATCCGACTGGTACGATGACTACGGTCGATAAAGCGCGCGCTGCAGCTGAAGATCTGCGCCATAACGCGCATATGATCTTGATGGCGTATATCGAGCTAGCAGCCATCGTCCAGGAGATACTGACGACGCGTCGCCGCGGACGGCTCCTGCCCGACGCGACAAAGGAGCGCATCGCCCAGTTCTTCTACTCGTTTGGTCGGCATGTACGTGCGCAGTAGATCCACTTGGCAGTCACTAACATCCACGCAACGCAGTTCGACACTTTGCCGGGCGATAGCATCCAGCACACCGCTCAAGTGCAGTACAACGACTTTCAAAGCTCGCGCACCGGCACGAGGGCCGGCATAACCTCGGTACGTACTCCTCCTACTCAGAAAATACGGTCAATATTCATAGCAAACAGGCTATAGACGGCGAGGCATCTGGGCAACAGGAGGGTTTACCGATCTACACGCAGCGTGGGCGAGTGAGGACGTCTGCTCAAGTACCGCGCCGGCGTTGAGAAACGGCACGTCCGCTGCGTCAGAACTGGGGCGCGCGGTTCTTACTTACTTCCTACCTTCTCGAATAACTCCTGTGTTATAGAGCGTTTGACTGTATCAGCTTTGAGACTTCCTATTGCCTGTAAATCCTCCAAATGTTCAACCATAGTATATGCAGCCTGAGGGTCCGAGTCGATTTTTTGATGTAATTTATATCAGCTTGAATTCCCTTTTGCATCACCCTTGTGAAGCCGCCTGGGTGCATTTGACGTTCTGTCGAGGAGCAAAAGCCTATCGTGATTGAGCACGCTGTGCGCGTGAAAGCCGGGACGCCTGGCCGTCGCCTATACTGGGCGTGAGAATCCATCACGTTACGTCGCCCGCTGTAAGCGCCGCCGCCACGCTGCAGTCACTTTGCTTCCTACCTTCATGTGCACACAAGCGCCGACAATGTACCCAACGGATTTCACGGATCCAAAGGCATGCGCATTTTTGGATTGGATGGCTGATTATTGACGACACATCCTTAGGACTTCTTCCCAGAGTTCGACTACATCACACAGCTCGGTCACGCGGCTTCAGCAACCGAGAGTCACTGCGAGGCTCTCGTTCTCCTTCTTTGCTATGCACACGAAGAATCTCGGATTATCCAGCCTGTTCAGGATGCGATGAGGGCCGTCGCAGACTGCCTCGCTCTGCTAGCAAAGGCTATCAGGGCGCTTCAAGACGTTTTTGACAGTATCCGGCGGATCATCGCTTTGCCTGCTGGTAAACCCAACGACGAGCTCGCTGAGTTGTCGAGCGCCTATCTCTTCGTCATATACGCCCTAAAGGCTGTGGGCACAGCGACAGATAGCTCTGTAGAAGTGCTGTCCTCAGCGGAGCCGGCAGCGCTGGCCTCTATCGCCTACCCTCCAGTCATACATTTCTTTCTCGTTCAGGTCATCGGGACGCAGTGGAACGACCGGCTATACGCTCTGGCGAAGCTTTCCCACTTCTTCCAGCGCATTCAGGCGGATATTCGCCATATTGGCTCGCTCACCGTCCAGCTCCAGCTGTCGATTGAGGGCATGCAGGAGCGCTTCAGTGTCACCAAGATGCTGGAATACCGTGAGCTGATCCCCGAACGGCGATGGCAGGTGGATCAGTTCCTCGCGAGGACTCTCGGCGATCTCGAGCCGTGGATCAACTACGTATGCTCTTCCGAAAGGTTGATTCGTCGCTTCGACGCGCCTGCTCTCGAGGTAATATCTTTCTTGCAATGGATGTGTTGCCGGAATGACGCTGATCATTCCTCAGAAATATATACATGCGCACGTTAGACCTCGATGAGCACTGCCGTAGTGCTCAGACTCGTGAGTACTGTTCTCTTGCCATGTACAAATCACGTCACTAACGATTTCAGGAGAGATAATATCCATTCTCCCCCTCCCATTCTCGCTTCCATCCACATTTTTCAGAGTGTAGGTTCACTTCTTGTGGCGTTGAAGGTAGACACGAAGATGCGGAGTGCTCAGAGTCTCGTACCATTCAGAGAAGGTCACGGTCTACTTTGGCCTGCGTGAAGATATCGTTCGCCGTCTGACAGTCTGGTCCGCCGTCTTCTCGTGTGAGCGCATCACGTCGTCTAGTATAAGCGCCGACGCCACATTGCCCGCATCTTGCTCACGACCTTCATGTGTACTTTAGCGCCAACCATGTATCCGACGAACTTCACAGAACCAGAGGTAGGAATCCTGCGTGCATCGCAGCTACACTGTCTTTACATGCTGTATCACCAGGCTCTTTTCCCCGAGTTCGACTATATTGCGCAGCTTGGGAGCGCAGCGTCAACTACAGCTAATCACTGTGAGGCGCTCGTTCGTCACCTTTGGTATGCGCGCGAAGAGGCGCAGATCATATCTCCCGTTCGCGACTCGATGCGATCCATCGCAGACTGCCTCGCGCGGTCAGGAAAGGTCATACGCGTCCTACAGTATATCTTCCTTACAATCCGGCGCATCGTCTCCTCGCCTGCCGGGGATCTCAAAGACGACCTTTCTGAGCTATCAGCCGCGTATAATTCCACCTTGGATGTCTTGAAAGACCCAGGCAGCGCGACAGAGCGCTCTGTCGAATCTCTGACCAAATCGGAACCCGAAGCGCTCGCGTCCATCGCATACCCTCCCGTTTTACACTTCTCCTCGTCCAAATCATCGGATCGCAGTGGAGCGATCGTCTGTACGCTCTAACGAACCTGTCCCCATGATTTGCTCGCGTCAAGGCAGATCTCCGCCACATCGGATCGCTCACAATTCAGCTCCAGCTCGCCATCGAGAGCATGCAGCAGCGTTTCAGCGTCTCCAAGATGCTGGAATATCGCGAATTGAGCGCTGAGCAGCTGGTAGAACTCGACCAATTCATTGGTAGGACTGCCGTCGCGCTTGAGATGCGAGTGAACCACATACAGTCCCATGAAAGGGCTGTCCGCAAATACAATGCGCCTGTACTACAGGTAAGAATATCGAAAGCTCTCTTCCGCTGGCATAACACTGATGACAATTCAGGATTGGATGGGTGGGGCGCACGTCCGACCGCAATGAGTGCAGCTGTCATAGTTTTTTCATTCTCGAACTATATCTCTACGTACAGCCCCTAACGATGCTTGTACTTCACGAGGAATTCGATGTTGTAGCCAAACCCAAAGTGCCTCACGACCAACGATGAGGATTCGACAATATGTATTACTATACCACAGCACCAGGCTGCTCGCGACAACAATGTATTACTACTGTAACCCCTCCTCCTCAACCTCCACACACCCGCTCACCCGCCTCCGCTGCGCCCGCTCTACCAGCCGCTGCCGCGCAAACTCCTCCGGCCCGCTGAGTTTGCTCATCCGCGACGCGGTCGACGACACGCGCGAGGGGATGTAGAGGGTGTCACGGCGTGAGGGAGCCGCGAGGGTGTCCCGTCGTGAGGGCGCAGCGAGGGACTCGCGTCTCGAAGGAACCGCCACCGACCCCATCCTCGACACCGGCGCGACCCGCGTATCCGCCACCGCCGCCGGGCGCGGCATCTGCAGCGACCCCATCCCCTGCGATCCCATCCCCAGCTGCGACCCCATCCCCGACGACCCCATCGCCATCATCCCCTCCGGCATCGTCAGCTCCGTCGACGACTTGCGCGGCAGGCGCGGCGCCTCGAAGGGGTTCTCTCCTCCACTATCAAGGCCTTGCGCGCTTCCATCACCGAGCGCGCCCTCCCGCCTGCCCTCAAACCGCTTCCCCATCGGATTCGGCGAGAACGCATGGTCAAAGCCCATGTACGCGTCCAGCGTCGGGATGTAGGTCGAGGCCGTGCTTCGGCGGGACAGCGCAGGCTCGTCACGAGCGTTGGCGTACGGCTCTCCATACGGCAGCCCAACCAACTCCCCGCCCACGTACCCCTCGCTCGGCCCACGCTCCAGATCGCACGCACGACGGCGCGTGCTAGCCCGGCGCGTACTAGCGCGCGAGGGGGGACCACCGGCAGTCAGGTTGTCCGCTGCCGAATTATCCGGCGGCGGACCTGCTACGAGCGTCGCCGGCAGCGCGTAGGTGAAGGCGTTCACGACAGACTGGCGCAGCGTCGACGTCCAACCAGTGGTATCCGGAGGCGGAATGGTCGGCGGCTGCTCAGGCTGGCGATCATAAGCTGTCTGATGGTCGAAAGGGGCAGAGTCAGGGTGCCCGCCATGTTCCTGCGCCTTCCAACGCCCACGCAGTCTCGCCGAGAGCGTGGGGCGCAACTGCGGCGCCGCCCACGGCACGTCCAGTCCACCATCTCCAACAGCGAGATACCTTGGCGCAAACTGCGCGCGTGGCGTGCCCATGTCCTCATTCGGATGGGGCGACGGCACCCCCGATGAAGGTACCGAATGATTATCGCCCGGGTTCATATTCGTGATCTGCAGCTGGCGCGCGCCAAGATGGTCGCGGCTGTCCATCGCCGAAGGCAGGTGCGCGAGCTCCGGAGGTGACGCCTTTTCTGAGCTATGTATGAACGTCGAGGTGGCATGGTTGAACGCGTAGCCGTTCGTCTTGTCGTTCGAGAAGCTGTGGGTGTCGTCATCGACCCAGGGGATGTTGAGGCTGGCAGCGTAGCGTTGACGGCGAGAGACGGAGCGCATGCGGACGAGCCAGGCAATGAGAGCAGCGACGATGGCGACGGCGGCAATACCGAGGAGGCCGAGGCCGATATAGAAAGGCGGGCCGTGTTGGCCTTGGGTAGAGGATAGAACGGCAGAAGGCGTGGCGGAAATATGCGCGGCGGTGCTGCTCGAGGAGAATGAAGTTGACGAGGAGCTAGCAGTCGAAGATGTAGAGCTGAGCGAGGACGAAGTCATAGAAGACGCAATAGAGGAGGAACTCGCTATCGATCCAACCTGAGTGATCGAAGTTGCGGATGTCGTCGAGTCCGAGGGGCTGACCGGTGACGAGGAAGAAGGCGCATCAGAGATAGAAGATGAGCTTCCGGTAGACAGCGGGGGCGTTGCTTCTGCGGTCCGAGAGTCTGAGGCGGTCGGACTGGCTTGGCTACTCTGCGTCGAAGCTTCGGCGTCCGGGGTGAAGAGGGCAGACAAGGGCGAGTCCGACGCTATCGCAGGCTGTTCCGCATTATGCGCTATCGCAAAGGGTGCTTGCTGAGGTAGCTGGTCGTCATTTTTCGTGCTTGGCGAGCCGGTATCTTGACCGTCGACGAAGGATATAGCACCTGACGGCCCGAAGACCAGATTATTCATGAAGAAGAAAGAGCGAAGGCGTAGAGATATGTGCTGCTATCCAAAATATAGTTTGTGGAGGCGAAGGCAAAGTCCAGCTTTACTCGACCGGCGAGGTGATTATGGTGGGAGTCGGAAGCAAGCCGTGATCGCGGCGACGCGCGCCCTCGTGTTGATCGCGCAAACAACGCACTGCCACCGCATGTTTCCGAGATACCCCTTTTGGAAGTATTCTTGTACTTTTTAGCCTCAAAGCAGCACGTATATCTTCAATTGAGAACTTAGCATATTCAAGGAGTAAGTGAAACCCTCCCTAAGGAACCTTTGACTCGAAGCCCGCTCCCAGCATAGCTCGCCCCAGTATCTTCTCAAAGCTTCGCATTCCGCTGCGCCTCAGCCGCCCGACGCTGACCATTTTGCAGAACCCACTTGATCGACTCCTGCGCGTACCCATCGTCAGTAGGTGCAGCATAGATAGGAGCGCAGCACTCTGACCCCATATGCATCTGTCACCTCCTTCTCATTCAGCGGCTCGCGCTGGGCCCGGTCCCATAGTGCTTCATAAACTCGGCCGTCGTATACACCTAGCGCACTAGAGAAGTACAGATTATAGAGCGAGAAGAGTTGAGCGACAAGAATGACCCATACCTATCGAGTTCCCAGTTGCTGAATCCAAAAGCGTCGGTCAGGCCGATGGCGTGCGGCACTAACGCAGCGCAAGTGGTCGCAACCGCCCGACGTAGCGCAGCTACTTCTTGAGTGCCACGCAGCAGGCCATAAACGAGGAGATCGGGAAGCGCCGCCTCGGCGGAGGCAAGAAGGTACTAATGGGCTCAGGTTCAGCGAAAGCCATATCGCATTGTATGAGCAGGAGGGAAAAGAGCGAAGGCAATGCGCAACAGGGAACAGCAGGCAGCTTGAAACTCACCAAAGCAAACAACGTCCTCACCACTACCGCATCCTCCTTCCGCACCCCATCCTTCTCCACTTCTCTCGCCATGTCCGCAACGCGGGCCGCCACAAAGGCGTCCGTCACCGCCCGCGCGGCGCGCGCTGCTTCCATGCCCGTCACTTCGCCTGCTGAATGCAATTCGCGCACGACAAGCGCCGCACGCCATTCAAGGAGCACCACGAGCGGTGAGGGCTCGGAGGTTAGACTGTTGAGATCGTCAGTTAGGACAGCGCCTCGACGAAGTCCAAGACCAGCGCCACGTCAACAAAACCAGAGACTTACCCGTCGAGCGAGCTGATGACGAAGCCCGAGGGCGGGCTCGCCCCATCGCTCAACCGTTGCAAGTACGCAGAGGACGGTGGCAGGCCCTTCGCGCCTGGCTTCAGCGCCCTATACGCCTTGAGCGCCGCGCGCACGACCTGCTGATCTAGAACGTAGTTGTCGCCTTCGTAGCTGCAAGACTAGTAAGCTCTGACTGCAAAGGCATCCACTGCTGCACCTCTCAGATCACCCCACTCACGTCGCACTCGGCACCCACTCCGCATACAGCCTCCCCATCCCACTCGCCGCCGAAAATCCATGTCCGCCTGCGCTTCGTCTGGCGGTCTCGATGTCGGCGATGCTCGTCGTCGTCGCGAAGACCTTAAGCCCGGCGGTCGTCGCATGCAGCTCGGCGAGGAGGGAGGTGTCGCCAGAGGCGAGGCGCGCGGCGGTATCGGCGAAGAGAGAGGACTGGGAGGTGGGTTGTCAGTTAGCTCCTGTGGTGCAGAAAGGAAGGAGAAAATGAAGGAGCAAGTGAATAGAACGAAGAGGCAAATCAATGAAATGAAGAAGCATTTGCCGAAGATTCTCACCAGCGACTTTCCTAGCCTCAAGAACACATACGCGCGCGCGAGGATCGGCAGCAGACGACCGTTGACGGCAGGGTACGAGATGACCTGCGGCTCGAGGCCGTCCGACCCCGGCGTGCCTTGGCGGCGCACGGTGGCGTATCGGATGGCGATGGTGATTGCTGTGATTCAAAGACAGATGAGGTCGCCTTTAGCGTGCCTTCTATCATCAATTCGCACTCACCCTTCGCGGTCATCATCCCCGCGCCGGTGACCATACTTTTATGCTCAGTCAATTTGGTGAGGGACCTGATGCAGGAACATGCTCACCCAGAACGGATATATAACATCTTGGAGGGAAGTCAGTGAACCATTATACCCGGGAATCTGTAAAAGAGGGCGGGCTCACCCCGCCATAGGCCAACTTATCATGCGGAGGGCGCACATACTCGCCCGCCTCCGTTACTTGCGCGAAGCGCGAGAGCATGTTCTTCAGAGGAATCCTGACGTGCTCGAAGCGCACGAAGCCATTGTCGGTGGCTGCGAAGCCGCCCATCGCCTTCGGTCCTGCTCTACGTCAGCCTATATGCTCGTTGCCCGGCCCTCCCTCGTTAATTCAGAAAACCCGACATCAGTGCTAGACAAACTTGGCGCCGCTGCAAAACGATCTGCATCCACACTTACCCTGATCCCCCAGCACCACGCCCCTCATCGGCCTATGGTCCTCCAGACTCCGCAACTGCACAAAAAACAAATGCGGGCCCATCCTTTTGCCACCCGACAGCACCAACTGCGCCTGCACCACCCCATGCGTCGCCGTCCGCCCCGCCGCCCCAATCCACCACTTGGCCGCCGTCAAGCTCGGCGAGTGCAGCTCGAACTCCCTTGTCACGGGGTCGTAGGTCGCGGTCGTCTCCAGCGCGCTGACGGCGGTGCCGTGCGCGAGCTCGGTCTGGAGGTAACAGCCGAGGATGCCGCGGGTGGCGATGAGGGGGCCATATTCGGCGGCAAGCTCGGGACCGGCTTGGAGGTTGAAGACGGGCTCGAAGGCTGGGAGGGAGAAGGTGAATCGGGTGACGGGAGGGAGAGAGGGAAGGGTGGGAGGGGAAGGAAAAGGAAAGGCGAAGGAAAAGTACCTTGGAAGTGGAGAGTAAGAGGCAGTGTCTCGTCGAGGATGGAGAGGCTGCGCCGGAGGTCGTCATCGGACCACCCCAGCTCGTTCTGCAGCTCGTGTAGGCGGCGAGTCATGGCCTGCCCGCGCATGAAGAGCTGAGAGCGGGACATGTTGTCCCTGTGATGGCGGTGATCAACACGCGGGATACTGATGTATTTCTTCGCGCTACCTACCTCCCCGCCTTACTAAACGCAGGATCTGCGGACAACACGCGCACAATTTCCTCACGACGCTGCCAGTTATCCGCACCACCTACAGCACGAAGAGATGTTAGCCAGATGCCGTGATGCGTGTCCTTTCATGCGGACCGTGAAGGTAATCCCGCAAGCTGGGAATGTCTACCGCCGTCGCGTTGCGTGCGGCGGTCATGTCCAGTGCCGTCTGCGCAGCTGCATCGAGAGCCTTTAACATAGACATCACAGAGTATCTCCTCTCCAAGTACGAAGAGATGAACGGCAGAGGCAAGATGTCAGGACGCCATTAAATAGGCGAAGCTCAGTTGACGAGGATGACCGGTTGAAGCAGGACGCCGAGGTCCGGGTTCCCGTGACCGAGTCTTGTGACCTAAGGCGAGTGAAGAGATCCAAGTTCATGATCAGCGACCACTGCTCTCGAAAATCGAGCGAAGGACTCGGAGAGAGCCCGACGCTCGGTAGAATACACTGAGATATGTTGCGGGTCCAGGTTCAAGAGGGCTCGGCGTGGCACGTGCCGAACTCGGTGATTGCCGGTCACCTTGGGAAGTCTAAGCGCGAGCAAATAAGGGTTTTCCTGTCTCTTCACTGCCGCGAAACGATAGCTGCTGTAAGTCTCTTCGCATCAGCTCCGTATCACGAAAACTGACATGATGCATGGCTAGATATCTGCAGCTCGACGTCCTACACAATGGACGACCCTCACGCTGCCTGTATGCAAACAGTTCTGGGAGGACTTGTGGAAGATGCCCAAGCGGTACAAGAGAAATTCATTGGCTTCAACTCGTCCTCGCAAATGGATGTGCCTGCCATGCGCTCTACTATAGAATCGGCGGACCAGGTGTTTGATCGCTACGATGCCGAAATGAGCGCCCTGGCAGGCATAATCGACATGCTCCAGCGCAAGCGCGAAGAGCTCTCGCGCCACTACGCGCGCACGGTCTGGCTCTGCAGTCCCTTGAGACGTCTCGTCCCGGATGTCCTGCGCGAGATATTCACCTACCTCCGCGACACGCAAGAGTACTCCCTCGAGGACTCCCGCTCCTCCGTCATCCGCCTCGCGCACGTGTGCAGCCACTGGCGCGCCGTCGCGTTCTCGCAGACCTCGCTCTGGTCGTCCATCAAGCTCGAGCACGCGGGGATCTACGAGGCCGAGTCGGACCGCATCAAGGCGGCCATCCGATTTCACCTAGCCAGGTCGGGGAATGCGCCGCTGACTATTGCTCTCTGGGGCCATGCATACGACCGCTTGGAAATCCTCAAAAGCGTCTCCCACCGCTGGCGGCGGTGCGTGACAGACTCGTCCTATTCGCTCGGCCCGAGGCCGCTGCGGTATCATTGCTTGGAATCGCTCGTGGTCCACGAAGACGAAGGCACGGTCAACTTCATCGACACGCCGAGTCTGCGGTCGTACGTCGGACCGGTAGAGGGCGCCTTCCTCCCCTGGCATCAGCTCACAAGCGTATCCGTCACTCGCGGCCTTGTCACCGTCAACAAGGTCATCGAGCTGCTCCGCATCTGCGTGCGGCTCGAGTCCTGCCAGGTCGCCTACCCGCAAGACGTTCTCCAGCCACACACCGTCCCTCCGGTCACAGCCCCTTATCTCTGCCACTTTCGCCTCGTATGCCGCCCAGACGGTCTCGGCAACGTGTTGGAGACGCTCTTCTCCTCGATCACCGCCCCGGGGCTCGCCTTGCTCGACATCGGCGTGCCCGCCAAGCTCGTGAACTTCGTTTGGTCGCGTAACCTCACCCTCGCGCTGACGCGCTTCCTCGAGGCGAGCGGGACGCTGTCCGCGCTCGCCCTCCGGAACGTGCCCATCGGGCCTGACACGCGGGCCGTGCTCGCCAGCGCGCCCAGCATCGAGGAACTCGTGTGGTGGGCGCGGGAGAAGAATGCAGACAAGTCGGGGCTCCGCTATCTGTGCGATGCCCTCTCGTCTCATGGCCCGGACGCCGAAGGGGGAACTACACCGCCCATCCTACCTCGCTTGGAACGCCTCGAGATCAGCGGCGGGATGAGCTCTGACCGGCGTAGGTCCGAAAACAAGGACCATGACCGGCTTGTGAATATCATCCGCGCACGCGCTGCCGGAGGTGGGGCTTCGGCGTCCAGCGAGGGGACAAGTGTTCCCAGCGGACGGACACTGGGCGGCGGGACATATCCTCCCACCAAAGGAACTCTCCGCCACGTCTTCCTGAAATACATCCGCTGGGAACTCAGCTACGAAGCACACATGGAGCTGCAGAATTTGCTGGAGACCTTCATGGTTACAAGCGTAATGGCGAGGAAGCAGAACTACTTCGAGTACGACGACCCGGACTACGATATTGATACGGAGCCGCCGTCTGATGACGAGTCCTCCTTTGATGATCTCGATGGCGATGCCGCAGATTCTGACGAGGTGGAGGGTAGTGGTGAGGACGAGGACATGGACTAAATTTCTCGACTTCGCGCTCGCTACTGTCTGTCATCTAAGGATACCTTACGACTCTCATCTCGACTAATCGACTATACTGTAGACTACGTTATCCCTACTGTATGCTACAGCTCGTCCCAGATATGGTTCGTGTTACGGACAGGTATACTTTGTGTGAGACGTCAGTAATATCCGTTTGAACCGGACTTTTGCTCACCTCAGCCGTCGTAGGTAGGACCGAAAAAGTACATTCTACGAAACGAACGAGAACCTACGCCCTCAAGAGCGTAGCCTTGGCACATCGGTGGGCGCTTTGGTGTTGGTGACATCAGCCTGAGTGCAGATGCGCGAAGGTATATGACCGATGCGCGAGATGTCGAAAACTACATATATTGCACAGCTCCCGACACCGAAAAAGCGAAGCGACATGGCAAACGGGACACACGATCCGCGCGCCCACCGCACGTCCAAAGGATGGCGAGTCAGATGGTGATGCGCTGCTGTCGTTATGACCGCGTCCTGGCGGATTTTGACTCCTACTATAACAACAGATGGGTGCGGAAGAATTGGCCGCCTCTATTTCCAATTCTCAACCGTCCTTAGAGCGCACAATCTATCTATGCAAAGGGTCACTACCGCTCGTGCGCGAGGCAAGACACGGAGGGACAAGCTTACGGGCAGGACGGGTACGGCCAAATTCAAGATACACGATCCGTGCACCTTCGCTTTGTCTGCCCAAAAGGGAAGACCGCCGAAGGACTGGCTGAAGAGCCACCCAACTTCGCTGCGGGCTTGGGCCGGGAGCGTCTTGACCTCGCCCAGTCGCGAAAGAGCGAAGCGTTCGGTCATCGCTGTGCCCTGGACCGTGAGCTCGGCGGTCAGGGCTGCGATGTCCTTCACGCTGGTGCGAGCCGCATTCAGAAGAGGCGGAACCTGCGTGAGGACGATCTCCCTGTGGCTCCAATTAAGCCCGAGGACACGCATGACGAGAGTATGGACGACAGGCGGGTACGATAGCTTCGTATCGATATAGTTCTGTAAACAGTCCAAAGAGCGTAACGTGGGGTCCTCCATGGACGCGAGCTCGGCTAGGAGCTGTATGAACGACCTGTAACGATCGTGTATGGTCGCCAAACCGGACTCCAGGGATATGTCGTTGGACTCTATGGTACGCCGTATAGCGAGAAACAGCTGGAAGCATGCGTCGATGGTGTCTGACACGCATAGCACGTAGTTGCCCACGCATCGGAGGGTGTCCTGGGCGGTCTCGGATATGACGAGTTGTGCATGCAACGCCGCAATACGGTAACGGATGCGGTAGCAATCATTAGAGATATTAAATGTGTGGCGAATCATCTCCCTGCATAGCTGGACCTCGGGGAATGTGGCCTGCAACGCGTCGTCAGTGTCGCGAACACGTCAGCCATCTGCGAGCGCGTGCTGACCTGCGGGTTGTCATAGCCGAACATGATGCGTGAACCAAAGTATCGAGTGAAAAATCGTAAGGGAGACAAGAAGGGAGGTTCAGATGAAAGAGCTTGCGATGATGATGGTTCAGGTTAAGCGCCGCACGCGCGTGCTTCACACGGCCCATTGATGGGAGGCCGTCGGCAATTGCCGGAAAACTGCACGTGTTGTCCGCCAACAAATTATGCTCACCTTACTGCTACCTCCTACAGCTCTTATACCAAGTATAAACCATCTTCTCACATGAGCTATCATACCTATCGCTTTCCTTGCTCTGAAACAGTAGCGTGTCTTGGAGAAATGATACGGACAAGTTCTCAACTCGTTCCATCGCGCTATCCTTTGCCGAATGCCATGTCATCAGCGTACACCTTCAGATGGGGATTGTCGCTTGTCAAGCTGTCACATCTGATTCAAATGGGGCCTATCTTAGCTTCAGATATTGCCCCCAAGTTCCAGGTCACGTATCGCTTTGGATCGCCCATCACGTGCCATGTTCGACCTCTCGGCCATTACCGACTTTTCAAATCCTCCTCCTTCCCACTCCCATGTCGTCGGCAGGACTTGGCTGCGCACTGTCTCCCAGTGAATATGTACTCTGCGCGGATACTCTGGTGACATGGCTTTTTGATACTGAGGCCAAAGGCATCCTGCATCTCCCTTCTCGAAGATTTCTCGTCCCCGGCGACGTCAGACTCAGCGCCACTTAGCGTCACTCCGGAGGTCGTCAACTATGACAGAAGACATGGCTCTGCTCTATACATAAGAATCTGTCAAGCGTTCGCGGCATACACGTCGCTATCCCCCTGTACCTTCTCGCAATTCGCAACTCACAACTCGCGACTCAACTCACGCTAACGCTATGACCTCGCAATACGAGAAAGGCCACCTGCCCGACCCCTCTCAGGAACAGCCGCCCCCAGGCGCGCAGCACCAGATGAACCCCGCGCCAGCATCCACAAAACTCCCCACAGAGGACTCCGGGTACCAAACCTACCGCGCCGCAGGCAAGCTCGAGGGCAAGCGCGCATTGATCACCGGCGGCGACAGCGGCATCGGGCGCGCGACCGCGCTGCTCTTCGCCTTGGAGGGCGCGGACGTGGTCATTGTGTACCTCGCGGAGGAGGAGAAGGACGCGCAGGACACGCGGAAGCAGGTAGAGGCGAAGGGGCGGAGGTGCGTCTGTATTCAGGCCGATCTGACGAAGGCGGACGAGTGTAGGAAAGCGGTGGAGGAGAGTGTGAAGGCGTTGGGCGGGCTGGAGATTCTAGTGAACAATGCAGCGTACCAGATGGTCCAGAACTCGATTGACGAGTTGAGCGAGTACGTCGCCGATGGTTTAGCCGGTGAAAGCGTGAGCTGACGGCTGGCAAGGGACCAATGGGACCACACGTTCAGGACGAACATCTACGCGTACTACTACATGGCGAAGTACGCGCTGCCTCACCTTCGCAAGACGAAAGGCTCGACCATCATCAACATGGCGTCCGTCAACCACTACATCGGCCGGCCCGACCTGCTCGACTATACGTCGACAAAGGGCGCGATCGTCGCGTTCACCCGCGGCTTGTCTAATCAGGTTGTGGGTGAGGGCATCCGCGTCAATGCGATTGCACCGGGGCCGGTGTGGACGCCACTTGTCGTCGCGACGATGGGGAAGCAGAATCTGGAGCAATTCAACGCGACGCCGATGGGCAGGCCTGGACAGGTGAGTTCAGTGATGCGTAGGTTTTATCCCAGCGCTGACGAGTGTCGCAGCCGACCGAGATCGCGACATGTTGCGTATTCCTCGCCAGTCAAGACAGCAGCTTCATCAGCGGTCAGACGCTACACCCCAACGGTGGTACCATGGTGAATGGCTGAACGCTAGCAATTTTTCTCAGTATCGATTGCATCTCTAAGAGGCAAAATACAATCGAAGTGATCAATGCCCCCAAAGGTAAAGCCAATTGCAGCCGCTCTCCAACCGCAATATCTTCGCATCGCCATACAGGCCCTCGGCGTCTATTTGCAAGGCCCGTCTCATCCTCCAAATCAGGGCCATGACCTGCAGGCGGCGCTCCTCAAGACACCTGCCGCGTATGTAGACCAAAGTACACACGCTGAAGCGCTGACGCGCTTCTTCCGCGTTGGACTCCATAGTGTCGACGAGCTCGCCGTTCTCGTGGATGAGCGCGCGCCAGCTGTCTAGCTCGACTGGCGTGGCTCGCAAAGCGGCCTCGCGCGCGGTGGCGTAGTCGCCCATGCCAGAGAATTGGGCCATCGGTGAGGCGACTTTGAAGATCAAGAAATGTACGCTGGGGTAGTACTCGAGGGCGTCTGTGACCGCAGGCCCCAGCGCATCCAGCGCGCTCAACAATGCAGCCCCCTGCGCACGCAGTGCATCAACGTGCGCAACGAGAATCTCGTACTGGCTCGCAATCGTGTCGAGCCACGGTTCCAGATTGTCCTTATTGAACTGAATTGCATCCGTGACCGCGCCGAAGAGCAGGTCAACGGTCTCCGTAAGGGAGGCAACTTCCGCAATATAGGCGCCGAGGGCTTTTGCAGTATCGTGCAGAAAGGCGCATTTGGGCCTTCTGCTGGACTGTGCGCTTGCGATGAGTCTGACGCAGGGCCCAAATCTTCTGTATATTTGGTGGGTATTTTTGCGTATGGCGGCTGCAGCATCGAGGGTGGCGTTGAAGGGATGCTATTGAGAGCTTGTGAGCCGACATTAGGGGCTGTCAGGCGTGACAGCAAGACTCACCTGATGTACGACAAATTCGTCGAACATGATACTGATCGTGTGCAGAGGCTGTCGGGTTGAGGATAGAGGGAGAACAGTGGTTGGCGCCTGCAGAAAGTGATAAAAAGGAGCAAAAGAAGGTTTGTGTGACATGCCTTCGGGCGCCTTGGATTCGGGATCAAGCCCACGCGCGGTTTCACCTTCCTTTTTTGGGATTGATAAAAGCCTCCGCGAGCTTGCGACGCGGTTCCCGAGGGGCTTGCTCCGAACCTATGAGCGCCTATCATTATTCATCCATGAGTGCCTGCTTTCCGGGTCCATCGCAGCAGCGGCAAGCGCTGCGTCCACTCGCCTGTGTTCTGTGCCGAGCGCCAAAAGCTAGCGCACCAGACAGCAGATACAACAGCTATGTATATTGTACAAGGGCATATACTGTACATTTTGGTAGCGTGAGCGTCTGTAAACCAGAAGCAATAACCCGAACCGCTAGATCGACGCGATAGAGCGACACACCTCCCCGTGTCTCATACACCCAACCTCCTACGCCCCATCGACCTTCGCCGCCTTGTTCCCGCCCGTGCTACTCGCAGCCACCATCGGCGGCGCGCGCACCTCCTCCCCGCGCTGCCCCACATCCGGCCCGCCGTCTGGCTCGATCGCACGCTTGCGCTTCTCGCCCGTCGTCGCGCCCGCGTCCGTCGCCGATGTACCCGCTGCAGCGTCCCCCATCTCCGCGTCCTTCGGCGAGCCGCCGGGCGAGGACATCTTGACGTCGCGCGGCCCGCGCCCGCCGCCGCGCCCACGGCCACCACGGCCACCGCGCCCGCCGCGCCCGCGCCCCCGGCCACGACCGCGGTCGTTCGACCTGCGCTGCCCGGAGGCGGCGGCGAGCGCGCTTTTTGCGGCGGCCTGGGCGCGCTCGACGAGGAATTTCCTCTCTTCTTCCTCTGAGTGGGTTGTCAAGGATTGGCACGGCCAACGATTGGATACGCCACGCACCACCCGCACGCTCCCAAGTGACCGGCTTGTCGTTGAGCTTCGGGAGGAGCTCCCGGACTTTTTGCACGTCCGCGTCCGAGAGGGGGTTGCTGAAGCCGACGAGCCCGCTGTCCTGGTCCTTCTCGAACTTGATGAAGGGCGCGCGGGCGAAGGCTTCCCGTAGGGGCTCCTGGGTCGCAGGTCAGCAACACGTCCCCTATGACGATCCGCCCGAAGCCAAAACGCCATGCACGTCCAGAGGGCACAATCCTCAAATACCAACACCTCAAACGCACCTTCACCGCGTTCCACGGGCCCATATCGCCCCCGACGCCCGAGAACTTCAGCGTCGAGTTCTTCTGCTTCTCCCCGTACTCCAGCTCCGCCTCCTCCACGTACCCCTCGCCCGCCGCGTCCTTCTTGATCAGCAGCTTCTGCCCCATAAACTCGAGGAAGACGTCGCGCCCGACGACCGCGTCCTCGTCCATCGCGTCCGCGGCCTTGGGCTTGCGCTCGGCGCGCTCGCGCTTGTTGAAGGCGTTGAAGTTGTACGCTTTGGAGGGGTCGATGCCTTTTTCTTTGATCTTCATGTCGCAGTAGGCTTGTCTAGGTGGGGTCAGCGAGTTTGAAGGAGGTCAAGGATGGGGAGGACGTACTTGGACATGATGAGGAGCTCCGTGCCGTTCCACTGCGGCTTCGGATCGGCCTTGAGGAACTTGTCTACGGACGCGAGGTCCTTGAACTCTACAAAGACGGAGCCCTGACGCGTGGTGAGCAGGAACATAAGATCATGTAGCATGCCACACACCTTGAACTTCTTCGCGTCGTCCCTCCGCATGCGCACGACGTTCGTCGGGCCGTACTGCTGGAAGTACTTCTCCAGCTCCTGCTGCAGCGTCGGCGTCTGCTCCCCGAAGCCTTTCTAGCAGTCCCGCATCAGTCGGAGTGACCAGAACGGCGCGAGACCCGCAACGCACTGCGTAAATACTCCTCCCCATCGCGCTGTTGTCCTCCTGCTTGAGCTCGGTGGTGCGTGTGACCTGGTCGCCCGCGTCGTTCAGCTTGAGATCGGGGGCGTACTTCTGGATGGCGTCCGCGACGCCCGCGGCGCCCCCGAGGGCTGCGGTGTGTTCGCGCATGCGCTTGAAGGAGGTGATGGTGGAGAGGGGGACCCAGTGCTCGGGATTCTTGTTGTACATTGACCACATGAACTTGTCATAGGGCAAGTTGGCGTCCGCAAAGTAGAAGGAGACTGCAGAGGGTGAGATCTGGTTTGGTGACCTTGACAAGGGATTGCACCTTGCTTGGCAGCCTTCTGCATTACCTCGTCCTTCTCCTCGTCTGTCAACGTCTTCGTCTCTGCGGCAGGCGCAGGGGCTGGGGGAGCTGCGGCTTCGGCCATTGTTGTGTATCACCGTCGATAGCCTTGCTGTTGTCTCTCGTGGGGCTCCTCGGACGGCTGGACAAGCTCGAGAGAAGAGGGGAACAGCCAACAATTGTGATTAAGGACGGAATTTTAATCGATCTTATCACATTCGGAGTATTACCCACGTGGCGCTTTGAGTCACCGGCAGTCCGGTCGTTGCGGCTTGAATTTCGTTCTTTCTTCCAACTTTCTTCGCTGCAAACTCATTCGATCGTCATGTCGTTGGATGTAAGAGCACTAAAGAATACCTCTTCTCTTCCTCGATTTGATCTGCACCGCTTGCGCTATGAATTCCGCATAAGGGAATGTAACGACGGTCAAAGGATGCTCAGTTTGTCGCAGCGCGCGTGGATGCCACAAGCCTTGATTGAGATAGATGTGCAGGTACCCATGACGACTCTTGAGTATAATACGCGTAGTCATCGAGGCTATGGGCAATGTCTACAGCTTCAAAGCTCGTGATCGTACTGACTACGGGAACTTATGCCAAGCGTCCACTAACCCTATTGACGAGGCGTCCCTGCCTTCACGACCCTGCGAGAGCGTCTGAAAGGTAAGTACCGCCTTGCCACATTGTTTTGCGCCACACTTCCCTGCAAGGACTCACGCGCCACACTTCTCAGGCCAGGAACACCGCGTCCTATTGTTCCCCACTCGGCGCCTATCAGTCACACGTCACTCTGCCGACAAAGCGTCGACGGCGGTACAGTACTTAAGAACCAACCATTGTGAGCGTTTACCACAGGGACTTGACCAGATACCACCACTACCGCGGTGTACTGACAGCGCTGCCAGCTACCCCGACCGCGATCTACTCTCACCGTGATCAGCTACTACTGGTACCGCGACCACTACCGCGAACAGCTACGAGCACCCGCACCCCAACGACAGCGGCTTCCCCAGTACCCGCGAACAGTGAGCCCACTATCGCACTCAGATCTGCGTCCCAATACTCACCCTCGCATTCAGAACCGTTGCCACGATCACGATCGTTGTGGCATTGACCCCAGCGGTGACCACCCTCGAACTCACCACTACCACCAGCACCACAACCTAGAGGTTGCCTTCAGGCCCCCACCACACTCTACTCCCCCAACACCCCTTACACCTATCCCCCCACTACCATTGGCACAACCCCCACCATGCCCGCTACAGTTCCTGCTTCCACTGCCAACGTCGCCGGCTCATTCATAAACGACGCTGGCCGCCGCTGCAGCCGCCGCGTCGCGTCTCGCGCGCCTGCGCCTGCCCCAACACCTGCTGTGAATGCCACAAGCGCGGCGCCGCGGCCACGTGCTCGCGCTACCGGCCCGGCATCCCGGGCCGCGCCCGCCAACGCCGGCTCGAAGCGCAAGTGCGGTGCGGGGAATGGGGAGGCAGAGCAGGAACAGGAGAAGCCCGCTAAGAAAGTTAAGGGCAGCGATAAGACAACGAAGAAAGACGACGCGTCCAAGAAGGACGATGTACCCAAGAAGGACGATGCACCGAAGAAGCGCAAGCGCGGCACTGCTGATGAGGCGGAGAAGGAGGAGGATGAAGAGGAGCGTCCCAGAAAGCGTAGGACGGGGAAGGAGGGTGGGCAGAAGGAGGGAAAGGACAGTGCATGCAACAAGCGCAAGCGTGCTTCCGAGGAGGATGAGGAGGATGAGGAGAAAGAGTGTCCAAAGAAGCGGAACACCGCTGGCAAACAGATGAGCAAGGCTGCTGGAACGAAGAAGACAACCACGACGAAGAAAGCTACCACGACTAAGAAGCCCTCCGCGACGAGGAAGGGCACCGCGGCCAAGCGCACGAAGACCACCCAGAACACTCAAAGTATCACAACCCCTACTGCCTGCCTCGACCAGCGCGCGCCTGGTCCGTCCTTCCCCGCTGGTACTTCTGGGCGTCCGCTGATCCTGTTGTTCAGAGACTAGAGACAACGGGGAGGGCACAAGCTCGACGCCCAGCTCCACGCCGGCGCAGGACCACACCCCGCAGCCAGCGCAAAACCCTACCTCACATCCCACCGCATCAACCTCCAGGCCCAAAACACCCCGGCGCAGGCTCACATCCATCCCTCCGCCCGAGGCCTGGGGACCGGACCGCACAGCGTCCCGGCCCAAACACCCATACACCACGCCACCGCCCGTCCCTCGTGGCAAGTACGCCCCCGCTCACCCTACCCACACACCCGAGGGCCTGCCCATCCGCTTCCCTCAGCCCTTCAATGATCCGATCCCAGAGACTATCCCCGAACAAACCTACGAGCCTACTCTTCCCTTCCCCAATGCCGAGGAGTACGGGTACGCGCCGCTCGGGCAGCGCACGCGCGACCACGCCCTGCGGCGGCAGCGCGCCACGTTCTTGCCGCCGGCTCAGCAGGTCGCCCCATCCGAAAGCACCGAGCCTTCCGCCCCACCCTCGCAGCCTCCCATCCTTTCTCCGGCGCCCTTACCGCCATCCCGCCGCAACATCCTCATCCCCACGCCGCGGCTGCCCTCCCAGCCCGGGCCCGACTGGCTCATCGACCCCACGAACACGCGCGCGCGCAGCCCGCGCGGCTCGCACTACCGCTGGCACGAGCGCCGCCTGCACGACTGGATCCCCGACTGGAACGTCATGGCGCTGTTCTCCGCGCACCAGCGGCAGAAGCACGCGAATTACAAGGCGTTCGTGAGGGGGCACCTGACGTTCGCGAAGCACCGGCCCGTGGACGAGACGGAGGAGGCCGTGCTGTATGGCGAGTACGTGCCATATACGCGGCAGCCGCTGCGGCGGCACGAGCAGCTGGTGCAGTTTGGGTGGGTGAAGTTGGAGGGGGAGGAGGAAAGGGAGGCGGAGCGTTTGTGGGAGCAGTGGCGGCCGCGGCTTGAGCAGCCGGTCGCCTCCACGAGCAGGCTGCCCGAAGCATCTACGAGCAGACTACCTGAGATCCGCGTTGCGACTGCCAACGAGGTAGAGCACGAGGAGGTCGATACGGCTATCGAGAAAGAGGTCGAGGAGGAAGTGACTTACGTTGGCAAAGGCAAGGGCCGGGCGCTGTAATTGGTTGATTCTTCCTGTTCTTTATTCCTCTTTTCTTTTCGTCGCCTTTCTTCTTTCCCATTTGCCTGTATCTGGATCTGTTCAAGAGCATCGTGAACGACGTGCGCGACATGTACCAGCCTTCCGCTATCGTGTTGCAGTGTTTTCTCATATCTCCTCTCCTCACGTTCGTGACTTTCTCCCATTTCTCGCTGTATCCTACTATATATACCCTTGCCATCTTACTCACTGTGATTTGCTTATACCCACTTAGAAGCTATACGTATCCCTGTGTTAAATTGTCTCTTTCTCTCGCGTGTTTCTCTTGTTCTTTCCGGTTTCTCTTACTCAAGAAGGATATCTGCGCCACAGCTCGCAATGGTTGAAATGATATGCCATTCTGCTACAGTTCTATCAATTCAGACACGAGCACCACCGGCTTGATCTATGCACCGGTGTTTTCGATACAACAAGCTGGTCAAGTGGGCTTCGGGATCTCTAAGCTATCTTCGTCACAATCATTGCCTCCTGGAGGGCCGTTATAGTGGAAACGCCCGTCTGTCAACGTTGGGTCAGATGCGTCTCGGTACTTGCCACGTCTGCATTCACTTATCATATACCACACTCCACTGATCACCGCGAAGCCCACGAACACGACGGACGCATAGTCTGTCAGCACAAGCTCAGTAAATCAGCCTTTATGCACGAAAGACTCCACCCACTCATCGTCGATTTATCCACCGGCAGCGCCGCCGGCATCGAGAACAGCACCATCTCCAGCGCGACCCACAGCACCGCCGTCACGTTCACCGCCCATCCACACCGCCCCAAGGCGTACGGAGCGTCCTTCACGCCCCTTCTTCCACCTGCCAGAAGCACAATCACGGGTATCGCATAGCTCGCGCCCAGACACATCACCTCCACGCCTACGAACGCGTTGAACGCGGCGCTCGAGCCGAGGTAGATGAGCCCGAGCACCGCCTGCACGGCGACGCAGAGCAAGAAGGCGTTGAGGGGGATGGTATCTTCGGAACTGTCGCGAGAAGTGTCGGAGGAGCGGGTGTCGATTTTGGCGAAGGTAGCGTGGAAGGGGAGCGCTTTGTCGCGCGCGAAGGACCAGGTGGCACGAGAGGCGGCACAGTTTATGGAGATTGAGCAGAAGACGCCGACGCCGAAGACTAGTGAGAGGAGGGTCAGTGGTCTGCCGCCTTCAGGCAAAATTCACTGACTGATGAACCACTGTAAGAAGCGTCAGCTCAGGGGGTTAAGGTAAGATAGAACGGACAACGCACCATCCCGAATCCACCACCCTGAGAGCCCATGATCATCGTGTACATGACTGCGATCGGTTGTCCGGATGGTACTGGTGGATTTAAATCATTTGCATGCTCGCGTAAGATCTGAATACGATACTCACCCTCCAACAGCGTACCAATATCCGGGAGCGTGAAGTTGATAGGCAGGATGAAGGCGATGCCCATCAGGCAGCCAATGGGGACCGACCAAACAATCGCGCGCGGTAGATTTATGGACGCGTTGTGCACTTCTTCTGCCATCGCTGTGGCTAGGTGTGGCGTTGAGTACGGCTCCATGGATATAGATGCATTCGACATACTCATGCCGATCGCGGAGAAGGTATACCCTGCCTGGACAAGTTTAAGTTCAGGCTCAAAAAGGAGAAATCCGATAAGCTCACTGGAAACAGCCCAATGAAGAACGTCCACCCGGCCGGCCAGCCGGAGAATGATGTGTCGAAGTGCGTGAAGGCGAACTCAGCCGAGTGGCGTCCTGCTTTTGCTTCGACTGGTAGGCAGACCAGCATTACTGATGCAACGATGTCAGTGACAATGAATAAGTCGGATCACGTAGAGCCTACACACCAACGAGACCGATAGCGATCCAATACGCTGAGAGGATCTGCCTGAGGGTCAATGAGAACGAACACATACAGGAGAGCAAAACACACGTCGAGCATGGGCAGATAGCGGTTGAAGAATATGCAGAATACGCTCGTTAGCAGGAGGACTCCAAGGAAGATCAGGTCTGTACGACATGATCAGTGAACTGAAAATATGAAGCACAAACGAGCGCACAAGTTTGCCACGCCGTCGCCTCCCACTCAGGATGATATATGGTGATGCCGGCGACGAGGAGTTGCGCTGTGCCCTATCATCGATTCAGCTCGTCATCGTCGACTAGACTTCGCAGAGCCATGAAGGCACAGCGAACCGTCGATGGATACGTACAAAGGTCACGCTCAGGCTAACCATCCAGTCCCCGGCTACTATCAGCCACCCGGTGATATATGACAGCACAAGCCTGTGCCGCGGAGGCGCTAGGCGGTAGACCCAGTAGTACGCGCCGGCGGAGGTGGGGTACTTGGACGCGATCTCACCCAGGGAGAGCGCGATGGAGAGGGAGAGGAAAGAGACGAGTAGGAGGCTAGCGAGGGTGGGTGAGATTGGGATGGGTTAACGCGAGCATTGAGTCGAGATGAGGTTTGCGCCGCGGCGGGTTGAGACGAGGTGGAGGCTGGAATGAGATTGCTGTCGCGGAGCGGGGGATCATAGGTAGACGCACCCCCAGAACATGGACGCGGGTCCTCCGGCGACGAGAGAGGTCGCGAGGGGTGCGGCGAGACCGTAGGCTGAGATATCGTCAGCGGCAAAATGAGGGATGGTTGCTGCTCCGACGTACGGACTGCCATAATCGCTGTTATGAGGTTTGTGAGGACGTACGCAATGACGAGTACCTCTGCGCTGGCTTACCGAGCGTCACTAAGAGCAGACATCAGCAAAGAGACCCTCATCGCAGGGCTGGACATACGTACTGAACAGTATGTGAGGAAGACCTCTTGACTAACATCCCTGTGAGGTGAAATTGACCTTCTGGGCGCCAACGATGAACTTACTCTCGCCAATTCCTGCTCGTATCCTAGCTTCTTGAGATCGTCCACTGGCCGAACGACAACCCCCACATCCTTCTCGTCCACATCACTCCCTTTGCGCAGGCTCATAGTCGCGCGCCGAGTAGATATTCACAAAGGTCGGGGTAGACAAGCAGCGAGAGGAGGAAGCAGCAGAGAGGGAGGAAGGTGCCGATAACGAAAGAGCGCAGACGCCGGAGCCGAGCATGGCTCATGACCTCAAAGATAAATGCCTCTGGCCGATATGACTTTGTCCTAACGATGGAATAGGGGATGCAGTCATCGTCTGCGATAGAACGCTCGCATCGCTGTGATAGAACGTTCAGAAGCGCAGGCGGTGCCTCATGTCAATGGAGACGAGTATACAGCCGCTGCGTTCATTGGCCAGCGTATCAGCCGATACGACGAACCTTCCTCAGGATATGCATTCTGTTTACCCTGAGACTGATAAGGATTGTTGGGCTCAAGTGAATGTCGATACGCGAGTACGGGACCACCCTCTCCTGGCGGGCAGACCAGGGGGACCCGCAGGAGATCATGATGGCGGCAAGCAAGGATCAGCAAGTGCACGTGATTCAGACGGAATCTCCCGAGGAAAATCAACCTTCATTATTCCACGGAGCTAGGGAGATACTGATACAACATGAGCGCCCAGTATGTACAGCAACATCGGTGAGTATCCACAGGCCCGACCAATCCACCCATAGCGCGAAACACCGAAGAAGAAAACAGAATAAAGATAAGGGTATATGTGAGAAACTAATTCCCGCTAAAGACGCCCGGTTCGAGCGGACTCCTCAGGCCAGCTCCTCGCTGCTCCCGGTCCCGAGGCCTACTTCTGGTCCTGATGCTTGTTCCAAACCTCTCGGCTGCGATGTTTGTGCCCGACCCTCGTCAGAGCTTACTCCCAGTTCCAGTACACCTGGATGAGGCCGGTGTCCTGGCTGGCGAGTTGCGTGAACGCGCCTGGGGAGAGATCGATGTGGTATCCCTCGCAGCTCGGGCAGAGGTCGACGACAGTCGCGTCGACCCATTTGTTGCCGTCTGCGTGAGGGGGTGAGCAACACCCTGACGAGGGCGACGAGACGACGTACACCAGATGCCGATATGCTGCCAGCAATGCGCGCCGTTGTTCCACACGCTGTAGGGGAGCGCGACGACGGGGTCGCTGTTCTTGCTGTACGCGCCGCACGCTCCGGCGTTGCCGGTCTCGGTGTAATACCAGGTCGCTATTAGGCCAACGGCAAGTACGCGAATGATAGAGGCGATGGTGAGTACGCGATGATGAAGACGACAGTGATCAGAAGGTCTTCGCGAGCGAAGGACGGAGGAAGACGAGGAACAGAAAGGAGGACAGAATGCCACTGACCGGCACCATTATACGCATGGGCCGCACCGGCGGCGGCGAGAGTGGCAAGGAGCGACAGGTAGGAAGGCATCGCGAGTGAAGTTATTATTCTTAGGCGGATGTTGAGGGGCGCAGCGAGTGTAAAGGTGATGTACAGGCGCAGAAGCTCCCGGGTATCGCGAGGGGTGGTGGAGTAGGCGATGGGTGGCTGGGTAGGCTGATGAAGAGATAGAGGGCATGTTCGTGCGCCCTATATACTGCGCGAGTACGTGAGCTATACCGCACGAGGGTACGTGAACCAGACCACGAGAGGGTACGTGAGCCATGCCGGGCGGGGGCGCCGTACTACCGCGGTCGGAATAGATGCGGCCATGAAAGCAGCCCAGCGCGGTCGTGAGAGCGGCCCAACGCGACCAGGAGAGCGACCCAACGAGAGGTGGGCCAGGAACAGGGGACGAGGAAGCGTATATTTGCCGTCGCGGAAGAGGCTTTGGGGGAGAGAGCGCGTGCTAGGAGGTAGCTTAAGCTAAGATACCGGGGCTGGCACTAGGGCTCGGGCAGAACAGGCGCTAAGCGTGTTGTGTAAGTTGGACTACCGAGTCAAACACAGGGTACGAGCCGTCTCATCTGGTGCTACTCCGAGGAGGGAGGGAAAGGCGGTTGGAGCTAGCATCTGAGTAGAGAGCCGGTACCGGAGAGGCGGGGATAAGGACGACGTGCACAACCACGACCATCGGATGTGAGCGCTCGAGAAAGGGATGTGCTCCCTCGAGGTTGCGGTGCCCTTCCTCAAGGATGTGATGTCCCCCCTCGATGCCATCGTCGTTATTGTTCAGAAGCGCAGGCATTGTTGTCCAGAGGTGCAGACAGGCATCCAGCGCGACAGCTGGGGTTGCAACGTGCCGGCGGTTGCCTAAAGCGTAACAAGGACGTACGAAAGACCGTTCATACAACCCTTAGTAGCCGTGCATGCGACCATCGGTATTGTTGGATGTGACGAAACACGCAGCGGGTTTGACACTACGCTGGTCGTATCCTGATCAAATTCGGTCGTCGCCTGTCCATATTTACTTGCTGGTGCCAGCGCAAGCTCGCCTGCGCCGCCGGGAGCTTGCGCGTTCCGCCGTCGCGTGAAGCTTTCGAATGCCGCGGAAAGCTTGTTCAGGCCGCGCAAGAGATGCGTACAAAGCGGACTAGCGACGGAAAGAGGGTTGTCGGCTCGTCCGGGAGTAAGAGGCCTATCCAGCCCAAGACGTCTAGAGCACGAAGTTAAGAGCGACGCATAGGTAGGCACCGAAGGCTAACAAACAGGAGAGGGAGTGAATGTAGGCTTTAGCAGCTTGTGAAGAGAGGCGAAGGTGCCGCAGCGTACAGTCGAGTCGGCGAGGATGGGTTACCATAACAGCTACGAAAAAAAGAATGTTGCAATTGAATAGATCGTTTCCGACAGTCAAGGACGGTTCTGAGGAGTCGCCTTCAGCCTCAGATGGTCCGTCGATGAGCAAGGTGCGAGCTCCGAACAGCCGCACAGGGTGGGAACTTTGACCGGCAAATGCCGACCACCGCAACTTCGCGCCCGAGATCACTCAATCTCGTTCTCTTTCCCGAATCGTAGCTGCATAAGATTCTCATAATGATAGAACCGGTTCATGATACAATTAACGCAGTATAGCCTAGGAATACATAGCAGGGGACAGCTGTCCCTTGACGAAAGGGTCGGGCTGTCTACTTGCGGTTCAGCTCGGCCTGGCGTGCGTGAAGCTCCTCGCGGCTCTGCAAACGGCGTCAGCAAAACCTGACTCTAACGTCAAACCAAGGTAGTGACAGACCTTGGGCTCAGGCATGTTGTCGCGAATATGAGGGGCAGGGATGTGAGGGTCGCGAGCGTGGAAGGCATGCGTCGCTCCGCCGCTCCTCAAGCCACCACCCGGCTGGGGCGGGTTGAGGTCCGCAGGGTCATTTGTCTTCTGCATAAAAAACCAGCGTTTCTGCACTCTGATCGAACCTATGGAGCTCGAGGTTGCTTACAGCAGGGTGCGGGAGGATGTTAAAGGACTGCTCTTTCTGGTTCTTCGATGTGTGGTCGGGCATTACGGCTCGTGAGATGTTGGTTGAGGCGTCGAGTTGATGGGTCAGGGAAAGTAAGGAGCATCTGCTGCGCTTTCTACCTGACTCTTATACCACCAGCTGCGGCTTGATGACGCCTTGGTAAGGGGGCGAGAGGAGCCTTTAGCGCCCATGATGTCATGTTGAGAATGGAGGCGGGCCGGAGCTTGTCACATGACCCGTGGGAGAATCGGATTGATGGATGCGGGGACGATAACACGTTTCCCATCCGCCGTGCACATCTTGCCTCTTGACCACCATGTTCCCTCGTTTCCCTTCATGTATGCTGTGACCTGCAATGTTATTCTCCTCTTGACTTCGGAGTGATTTATTGCTGTCCATCGCGGACATTGCGCTCGACGACGAGCTGTTCGACTGTCGTGCGGTAAGCTCGAGCGGAGCGTAGATTGCTTAGACAAGGACAGTGAGATTGCATGATGCAAGCTATCGTCAGTCGACACGCGACGCCGAGGGGTGATGAGAGTGGCGACGACATGGCCGCCATTGTGTTCGCAGCACGGGACTCAAGGGCTCCCAGCGAGTCTTTATACGGTGCGCGTCCTACTCGCCTGATGTATAACATGACAATTTCCAGACGCAGTCGGCGATACGCACTGTGTCGCCAGTACCAGCATTCCCTCTATCAGCTTACACGGCGACGCTGTGACCAGGACGTCAAGGTCGGTGTCAAACCGCGCTGCCTTAGGCGCCCATCCAGCTCGCGCGGGTTTCCGAGAACAAGTCCTCTGCGTTCCTTGCTACTCTGCAGGTTAGAGTCTATCTATTAGGAATACCCATCAACGTGGGTGCGAGTACGTTGGCCACATATATGCGGCGTGCGCAAATACTCATTCCTCGTTTCAGTGCCACTGCGAAAGCTTATTTTGTGGAAGTCATGCTTTCTGTCGAGTCGTGAAAATTCGGACTCGGCGGGACCGCGCGGATGCACACGAACGGAGCGGAAGACCGCGCCTAACCTCCAGGCGGATATCATTGGCCGAGGGTATCTTTACACTGAACATGCGCGCTCTCTCCAACATCCGCCAGGCAACATGAATTTTTGTCGAAGGTCTTCTCCTCAGCGGAAAGGTGCGCTCCGCTTGCCTATAGGTGTATCCCGCGGTCTAGACTCATGCCCCTCAGGTTCAACACTCACGACCCGCATCTCTCCAGCTGTTATCTATCGATCTACGCGCTTTCCAACTCCGCGCAATTCGCTTCTTGTTGGCCTGTGGCGACTCTCTCACTCAGGTGCCGGCGACTCCCACTCACTTGTCGGCGGTCGCGACATGTACCGCCACTCCGGCTCCCTTTATTGACACGGTTGCGCTTTCGAGGCCTCGAGGTGCGCTTCCGATGGTCCCTCAGAGTCACTCTCCTCGAGGCGAAGGTGAGGCGCGTGTAATCAACGAAGCCGCGACCGTAATCGAGATTGTGACCCTATGCACTGAAGGCGCGCCCCAAAATGCCAGCTCTATCCCGAGCGCGGCGCGCGCGAACTTTGAAGGCTAAAAGTTGCCGACGACCCTCGGGCTTCAAACGCGGTGACGGCGCCGACAACATGAGGCGCGCTCGGAGGCGGCGACGGCTGGCGGCTGCTCGGGAGCGGGCTCGCCATACTATGTTCGGCGCCATTGTCTTGTCTCTGCAACGTTGCAGCTGCGTGGCTCACTCCATAGTCTCCGGACGTTATCGCTGCCTACCTGCGTGATGCACGTTCACGCGTACGGATGACGTCCCCGGGGCGCTTAGGCGATACGAACGCGCTGGGCGATACGTGCGCGCGCTTGGTCCGACCGCGGCGAGCGATAGAAGGCAGGCATCTGACCGCGCTAATGTTGCGCCCTGTGTGGGCGACTGACACAGCTACTCATTGATACTCCTGCAGCTCGACGAGTGCGGTGGCGTTATCCATCGTGTCAATGAGTTCCATGGCGCTATCCAGCGTGAGTTCTGCGGTAAATGAACGCGAAGACGACCTTCTAAAACACGCCGCAGGGATCCGCGATGGGCCATAGCGTCTTCCGCAGGCCGGTGCTCTCCCCCCAGTACCTTGCTGCCCTCCCAGAGACCGAAGGTTCTTCCCTCCCCACCGCCTAGTGTCCCGCCTCTCATAACTTCCACAGCGGCCGACACACTCCCCGGTGGCCGGTGCATTCCTACAACCTCCACGACCGGGTGGGGTCTACCATATCTTGCCCTTCTTCATTGCGCTGATGTTTACTAGTCTTATGCGCCGATGTTAGGAAGCCGCCATCGATAAAAGCGAATGCCCTTTTCCAGAACAACGATTCGGCGTCTGCCGGCCATTTGACCGTCTTGGGTGACGCTTTTGATGCCTCGTTGCCGCCCAGGGGGGCCATCGGACTTGGAGGTGCGCCCATCGGACGTGGGGTTCTGTGCATCGTGTTCACGGAACAGCGGCTGCGACATGGACAAGAGTACTCGTGTCTACCGGAATGGAACTCGTTGTCTAGTATCGGAGGAGGGCTCATGTTTATCGGAGCAGGCCTCATGTCTGTCAAAATGCAACTCACATCTGCCGGAGCAGGACTCGTGCTCCTCGGACCAGGCAGCCGCATCTCTGGGTCAGGTAGGGTTTAGGGCATGGTATAGGAGGTGGGGTGAGGAGGGCGGAATTTGGGAGGTACGTCCCCAACTGTTTGCCTGGGTCTGGGGATTGACAAGGTGATGATAGGTGGCGGGAGATCGTCCGACGCCGGCGTGTGAGATCGTGCTTGGTTGAGACCAGCGCGCAAGATAGATCGCTCGAAGCCGGCGGCGCGCGAGATAGATCGCATGAAGGTTCGGCGCGAGGCCGCATTAGCATGGTCGGCGCGAGCCTGCTGCACTAGCTTGGTCGACGCGAGGCAACATTGGCCAGGTCGAGACGGGAAGGCGCGGCACAGGCCGACGGTTCGTACCGCTTCGTGTTTACACGGTGGGCGTGGCTGACTTTGTGGCAGAACATAGCTGGCTAGATGAACAGCATCGGTCGGAAGTCTTCCATCGTGTAGGATGTGCACCACAGCCCGGTGTCCAGACGAACATGCGTCCTCCGATAGACAGCTATGTTTTCCCAACCTATCATCCAAGATGAACGCCTTCGCCCCACCGTCCGGTTCTTCCGGCCCATCCTCAGCACCTGTGAGTAATTGGAACGGTCACGAGATGCAATGGCGAGCGCTGACGCTGGGACAGGTAGCGCAGTTTCTGGGATAGAAAGCGCGGACGGTGGGGTAGGCCCATCACGCGGTACAGCGCCAATTCACTCCGTCTCATTTCTTTGTCCAATCACGAATTGCGCACGCAGGGCGCGAACTTGGGCCCGCTAGACGCGAAGTCGAACTCAGCCACCGGATGGACTTCGTGAGTTCTTCATGGGTATCTCGTGAGTTCTCGGTGAGGTGGTTGTGCGACTTCGGGCTGATTGATGTATACGTCTCTTCAGCACGAACCTGCGGGCGGCAGCATGAATGCGGGCCTGGGGCGCCTTCGTGTGTACCTATGGGTCCTCTTCGCGTGTCTCTTCAAGTCGCCTTCGTCAGTACCTTGAGCCCCCTTGCTTCTTCGTCCTGATTCTGTACGTGCTTTCGTCAGGCTCGGCCGTTCTTTAGAACGACTTCGTCTACTTCTTTCTGACGCACTGTGGGAAGAGATTGACGGTCATCCGCGTCGAGCTGTGCGAGGACGATCGTCTTCTTGCAGTCATCGAGGTCAGTCTGTCATAGAGCCCCGCTTCTCGTCGAGGAACTGACCAGCTGCTCATAGACATCACTGCGACCCTACTCGTGGATGTCAGGCCGCCCGCTGGTATACTAGTGCAGCCCCGATGACCTGGCGGGTAAGCATAGACGTCGAGGTCAGCATGTCGCAGACGTCAAGACCTACGCTGATGTCCTGACCCAGCCTCTCATAGCCAACGGATGTCAGTGCCGATGACCTGCCCGGTGACCACCCAACCGCAGCTCGTACGCAAGCTCATCAACGCTCTGCTCGCAAGCCGCCTACCTGCGCCAAACGCCGGCGCCACCGATTTGTAGAATGCGAGGGCGCGAGGTCCTGCCTGTGCGCGCTAGGACCTGGCTATGCCCGCGACATCCGACAACTGCGCGCTACTAGAGGCCGGTTATGTGCGCGAGGACGGGCGATCGCTGTGTCCTCGGGTATACTGAGGGCAATGCGATGTGTCTTCGTGGTCGCCTGCGTCATGGGTACTAACTACATCGTGGCTTGTGAACGACTGCGCCCCGGACGACTGCGCCGTGGATCATGAGCGACTACACCGTGGATCACGAACGCTAAACCAGCTGTGTCTTCACCGGCGGTTAGTCTGCGTGCTGACGCGGCGTTATCTTCGCGAAGGGCGACGCGAGGTGAGTCCTTCACATATACCTTTTCGCCAATCACCTATGTGGCGTCGCTCGCTCTTCGCAGGGGATGTTTCGACTGGTTGCAGGCCTCGTTATCATTATGCTGAAAATGACGAGAGTATCGACGCGAGGAAAGCCATCATTACCTTCATATCATAGGGCCGCGACCGGCAGGCGCCGACTAGGAATCTATTCCCTGCGTCGGTAGACGTATGAGGTGCGTACATCGTATGTCGTTGAGTGCGGATCTCGCATGCTGGCGGCCTCGCTGACGCATTATTTACATTGCAAGATCAACCATGGCGCATCAAGGCGGGCGAGACCCAATATCGGTCATGAAGACGCGTAGCCTCGGCATATGAAGACGTACCGAGCCCTCGCACGCCTTTCCATTGTTGCAGCGGCTAACGCGGGAGGCCATGCACCGTCAGGACACCCGAGGATATTCAGAAGACACTCGAGGGCGACGTGAAGACGTACTTGACCTCGCATGCGCGCCCTTTGTGTGGCGCATCATCGCATGCAACACCAACCGCGCGTCAGCGTCGAGCCGTGCGCTCGCACGCGAAATCAACATCGCACGTAAAGAGAGGGCAGGTCGCGGGCGCCGTTGATGCTCTTCGCGCGTACGTCGCAGGTACGTCGTCAATTTTCTCTCGCTTATGTACAAGAATGCTGATGCTTTCCTTTGTCCTTCGGGTGAACATGTTGACCGCGAATGAGAAGTTCCTTGACCGCGCACGAGAAGCTCGTCGACCGCTATAGATGATTTGTGGTCAGCATAACCTCCGAGTGTAGTTTTCGCAGGATACGACAACGTGCTGTGGAGAGAGTGGGAGAACAGGAGGGAAAGTATGGTCAAGAGATGCGATGGGAGGAATCGAGGGTAGGATTCGGGGCCGTGCGACATCATCCGAAGGAGGGCGCCGGTGTCATGAACAGGGAGCGCTGGGGTTGCGAAGAAAGGGCGCCGGGGTCACGAAGGTGCGCCACACTTCTCTGACCTGGGCGAAGATGCACTACGGGTCACCGTTCCGCACGAAGATATAGAGAATCGCATGAAGATACAGAGCGACTCGCACGAAGACGCGCTAGGCGAGTCACATGCGCCGCATTCTTTTGGCCGGCGGACGTGCGTGGAGGGGGTGGGTCGGGTAAAGGAGGTGCGTCGAGCTGTCGTGGGCCGCCACTGATCCATTCGTGCAGCGGGCGCTAGTGGGGGCTTCCGCGGGGGCCGGGGGCCGGGGCCGGGCTGTGTGTATAATCAGAAGACGGGGCGCGGTGTCCGCGATGGCCGTGGAGCACGCTGCACTCGCTGCGGGGGGCGGCCTCTGGCAGGCACCCCAAAGGCGTGCGTTGCCGATGCCGGTGCGGCAGGGGGCGCTCGGACATTTTCTGAATGATGGGAGGCGGGTGGCAGGGGATTGCTTTCAAGGGAGGAGGGTGAGCGTCGGGGCACTTCTGTTACGCGCGTCGTCTGGCGCTGTGGGAAGGATAGTAGACCTGACGTAGACTAGAAGTTGTAGAGGGGAATAAAAACTGGTTCATTCTCGTCGCTCAGGGACCGGAGATTGTTTGGGCATTTGCAATGGACGTTGCAGCGTGTCGGGAAGCGCCTGCCAAACTGGGAGAAGTGGAGGTCAATTGTAATTGGTGCGGCTGATAATTCGCAGCTTGTCCTTAACCAGCACGGCTTCCTTATTATCGCTCGAGCTCCCCCCTTCTGTCTGCCCAGCACGCCGCGCGCTGAGTCTGTTAAATGCCCAACATCATCAATCTCAAGTTCAAGGTGCGCGCCCTGACCCCCCGCGCCCTCCTGCCGCCCTCACACCAGCCATGCAGGGTAACAAGTCCTTCGTCGCTTTCAGCAACCTCAATGACCCCGAGAACCTGACCAAGACCTGGAAGGTGCGCGCAGCACGCGGGGGAACGTCAGCTTGCTCACCGTCGCCCAGGTCTGCACCAAGGTCGCCAGCTTCCTTGAGCAGGGCCAGCGGCTTGAGAACCTCAGCTGGCGCCTATGGCACCTCCAGAACTTGATGGTGGACACCGACAACGCCAAGTCGAAGCGCGACTTCAAGAAGCTCAGCAAGCACATGGGCGACAAGCTCGACCGCGAGAAGGGCAGGTGCGTATTCCATCTCCCGCCGTCGAACCCTGCGCCCTGACGCCGACGCCGCCTTCCCCGCCGTCAGGTCCATCGAGGAGCTCGAGGCGCCCGACTTCCGCCGCAACCCGTCCTCGGACTTCATCCGCCAGAAGGCCGTCGAGAAGGAGCGCAACCGCGAGGCGTCTCAGAACGCCCAGCCGGGCACGATCAAGCGGATGCAATTCACGTTTTCCGTCGAGCAGCCGTCGCCCGCGTCGAACGCGCCCGTCCCCAAGCCCGACTTCAAGCCTTCGTCCGAGTTCGCGAAGCGCCCGCGTGCCCCGCGCACCCACGTCGATGACATGGTCGTGGAGGAGGACCACAAGCCCGCGCACCAGGCGCAACAGCAGTCGCACCAGTCGCAGCCGCAGCCCGCCCGGTCCAGCCCGCAAGCCTCGTACGACTACTCCTCCCAGCAGACGACAGCCTTTCACTTCCCCTCCATGTTCTCGAACGACTTTGGCCCCTCCGCACTCCTCCACTCCACGCCTTCCGTGACGAACCGGATGACTTACGGCGAGGGCGTCGCTCCCCAATACAACGACACGTTCAGCATTCCCCGGCCCACCATTGAGCTCCCCCTCGATGACCTTCTCAACACCGTCGACGCCGCTGACAGTCCTGGCGACTGGAAGCGCTACAGCGACAGCGGCGCGCAGGCGCACCAGGACATCCGGATGTCCGACGTGCAGCAGCAGCCGCAAGCCCAGCAGACGGCGATGTACACCACGAATGGCAACAAGTCGACGTCGCCCGCCTCCTCGAACGCCTCCGCGACCTCGTCCTCATCGGCGAGCCATACCAGCGACTCGGACAGCTCGAGCGAGTCTGACGAGGACTCCGATCCTGGCCTGAGCAACTCGCTCCGCCATGCCCCACCCGGTCTTCTTCCGCCGCCGCAGCCCGAGCCCGTGCCGCAGACGGTCGCACCGTCGAAGGTGAACTCGATGTTCGTGACCGACCGCGCGAGCACGCCCATCGCGCGGCCGATGCTGAACGTGAACACCAAGTCCGGCTCGGGCTCGCGCGCGCCGGGCCCCTCCGCTACCGTCACGAACATGTCCGCCGCGTCCTTGCGCAGCGCGAACAACAACACCGCTCCCGGCGGCGTGAAGGCCGAGTGCTCGAACTGCGGCGCCACCCACACGCCTCTTTGGCGTCGCGGGCTCAACGATGAGCTCAACTGCAATGCTTGTGGATTGTACTGCAAGCTGGTGAGTAGTACCTCCCGTACGTCTTGAGCTACACCTAACGCCTATCGCAGCACAAGCGCCCCCGCCCCAAGAGCATGCGCAACAGCAACGATGGGAGTCGGAACAACAACCAGCCTCGCCAGGAGGTCGCCGACGTTATGGGTAACATCGCCACCTTGCCTCGCGCTAATCCCGGATCTCACCCGCCGCCAGCGCAATGCTACAACTGCCATACAACCGCGACGCCGCTCTGGCGCAAGGACGACGAGGGGAAGACGGTGTGCAACGCGTACGCATGACCTTTCATCTCCCGCCCGCGCGCACTTCGCTCACCCGCGCGCTCCACCCACAGGTGCGGTCTGTACTACAAATTGCACGGCACCTCCCGGCCGATCTCGATGAAGTCGGACATCATCCGCAAGCGCTCGCGGCACGAGGCCGCGCGCGCCGCCGCGGCTGGGCGTGCTGGGGGAGGCTTCGGCGAGACGCCCTCGGCGAGCCCGGGCGTGAGCCGCCGTGCGAGCCCGTCGCGCGAGCAGTCGCCGGTGCTCGCGCCGGACTCGACGACGGGCGCGTACGAGTACGTGCCACAGCAGCAGGACGAGCAGCAACAGCAGGCGTACGCGCAGCCCGTGAACACGAACGGCGGGAACTCGTCGGAGCTGATGAACGCGCTCGGGCAGGATAACAACGGGCAGGGCCAGGACGCGTACCAGAACACGTTCCAGTCGTCCTTCCCGGGCCCGTACCACCCCGACCAGATGACGCTGCAGTACCCGAGCGAGAACCCGCTGCCGTTCACGTCCGCGGATGTCTCCGACTACGACTTGAACACGAGCCCGCGCACGAGCAAGCGCCGGCGGATGAGCGTCGACTCTGCGAGCGAGCCGCCCTCGTCCGCGGTCTCCTACAACTCGTACAACGACGGGTACGGGACGAACGGCGGGAACGGCGTCGCGAACGGGGGCCACTCGCAGCGCAACTCGATATCCTCCGACGTGTTCCCCTTCAACTCGTTCCCCTCCTACAACTGGAATACGGCGCCAATCATGCGCAACCAGAACAGCAACGCATACTGGCACCCGCCCATGCTCCCGCAGCAGAACGAGTACCACCACCAGGGTGGCGGGCAGACGGAGAACCCGATGGATTTCCTCCACCCGCCGATGCTGCCGCAGCACGAGGATGATCTGTTCTCGACGTACATTCACCCGCCTATGGCGATTCCGGACGACCAGTCGCAGATGGGCCAGCAGGTGCATCCGCCCATGCTCTGGCCGGACTACTCGCACGACAACAGCTACGACAACTCCATGCATGGGTACTGAGCGCCGCCGTCGCTGCCGCCACCTTCCGTTATGCTTATGCTTATGCCCTCCCGCTTCTTTTCCACTGTGCTATACTCACTCTCACATGTTGTATGCCTTCCATGTAGAAATTATCACATGTACTCCCGTTGACGGAGCGCGATGTGTCGGACATGGTTTCCCGCAGGTGTCGTTCCCTCGCCCCTCGTCGCCGTGTTATCCATCCGCTGTCGCCCTCGTCATCGCTGTATCCGTGTACCCTGCTCTCTCGAACGATACGTCCCGTCCTCTCGGCATCTTCTCGTTCCCATTCTCACTGCATATACGACTTCTTCATACACCGACTGATGACCCCTGCATCACTCTTCTGGCTGCCCTCCCGTCCTTCGATGACGCTTCCTGCCATTCACTTTCTGCTTCCTCGCCCTTCCCACCCTTTGACGACCTTTTTATTTCTTAAAGATGCCGGGACCTGCTCCTCTATCCGCGCTGTACCCGCTGCCTATTCTTGTATACCACTTCCGCCACGTCTTCCACTCACCAACATACTCATCTGTCTCCGATTTACGTACCGCTCATCCCAACCCCTTCCTTGTTGTACATAACTATGCGAAGGTTTGCGCTTCCAAACCCAAAATACGACTTGTTGTACCCACGAATATATCGTGAGTTGTCATCATTGCGTGTGGCTTACGGTTTGGGAGCTTTAGATCTCGACGCCGACTTCGCAGTTCTCCAGCAGGCTGAAATCAGTCTGGCATGTGAGTCCATGTGACTCACAAATCATTTCACCGTCACCCCACCGGTGGCGCTTCGTCTACTCGCTTTCGTCGGCGCATCCTTGGCGGAATGTCTGACGGACCGGATCGTCACGTCAGTCGGTACCGTGCGTGCGTAAGTGCTACTACGCGGCTGAATGGGATACCATCCCCAGGAATGCCTTCGGCTTGCGAAGAACTCTTCATGGGCGCCTAAACATCCAGGGGACCAAGGCTCCCTGACACCTTGTAGACTTTCAGAAGCTCAGCCATAACATGCGTCCTAGTATGCCGTATTTTGCTCAAATGAACCCTACTCGGCGCTTACCAACCTTGCAGGCTTTTTTCCTTTTATCAACGCCTGCGATAACCTATCTGCTCACACCTGACCGCGAAGATGGGCCAAGGACCTTCCAAAGACGCCGTCTACCTCGAGACGCGCATCTAAAACCCACCCGACAATGCTCCGCGCGGGCTCGCACTCATCGCCCACGGGCGACTGGGCGGGACGTACGACGACCCCGTTGTCCGCACCCTCGCCCGCTATCTCGTCGAGCGCCGAAGCATGCGTGTGGTGACGTGGAACGCTCGGGGCACCGGGAACAGTGGCGGCGGCAATGAGTGGAGCGACTTCGGTGTTTGGATGGGCGAGGCAGCAGTTAACGACTATACGGTACGCAGATACGCCATCTAGGACGACTGCTACTCACTCCGAGCGCAGCGCCTTCTGAATGAATCCATCGACGCTTTCATGGCTGACCATCCTGATGTGGACGACGCAGAGATGTTCATCTGCGTATGTTGTCTACCGTGGTTCCCGCTGTGCGCAAGGCTCATCTGGACCATTATCGCAGGGTTACTCCGCTGGTGCCACCTTCGCTGCCGCAGTTCGTCCACCCCAGAACCTGGCACGCTTCCGCCCTCCGAGGTACATCTTGATCTCGTACCCCGTCGAGCTGGCACCATGCATCGGCGTCTTCATGACGGGTGGCTACTTTCGCGCGCTCGAGGCGCTCGTTCAGGGAGAGGGCTGGGAAGGCAACCCCTACCCCGAAGGCCCGGTCGCTGGTGTCCTCACGCTGACAGGAAGCAGTGAGCGGGGACCGTTCTACGGAATGTGGACGGGCATTTTGTCGGGGAAGAACCGGCGCGGCAATCTGAAGCAGGTCGTTGTGGAGTGGGCGGACCACGTCTGGACGAACAAGATGCATTGCATACCTGAGGAGGTAGACAAGTGGCTCAATGAAGAGTGATCATTTACGTCGAGGACACATCTTCGGATTGAATCATACAGTGCCGAACAAAACCATGAAGGTCGTAAGTAGAAGATTGTCATCTGGATCGTTGAAACGAGATAGGTCCATTTTGTCGTCATTTCAAGAGCTCGTCTCGTCGCTCGAGCTCATCCTGCTCATCGCAAACTTGCGCCTTAGACTGGACCATCGCTTGACTCCAGGCCCCCTCTCGCCGTTCTCAGACTCGGATGAGGACCGCGGCGTCAAGGGCTCGACCATGACACCCTCTTCCTCTTCCGCCTTGGGCATATCCATGCCCTGCGCCCAACGCATCTTCTCGTCGAAGTCAACGCAACAAAACACGCGACCCAACTCCTCCAGCTGGTCCCTGGTCGGGCGCTTCAAGAAGCTCTCAGCCGGGATCGTGCTGCACACCGCCATGAAGGGTTGCCCGCGCGCCTTGCGGCCATCCGCAACGAAGACGCCGCGCACCTCGTAGCCAACGTAGGTGCTGAGGTAGCTGGCCAGAGTCTCCAGGCGCGCGCGTAGGGTGGGGGCGCAGACGGTCTTGGAGCCGCGCGCTGCGAGGGAGAAGTCGATCCACGCCTCGTCGACATTCCAACCACAGTGCCACCCGCTATCAGAATCTGCGACGCAGCCGGGAAGGGGTGGCAAGCACGCATCTACGCCAATGTTGAAGCCCTGCCGAGATGGGCAGAGGAAAGTCAGAAGACCAAGAGGTGGCAATGACTTTCGAAAGACGCACTGGGAGACTCATTATCCTTGAAGTGGCTGATTGCTATGAGACTGGATTGGTCGTGATGTTTTCGCTGATGTTGCGAGGGGTGTTCTGCTGTGCACTTCCGAGAACCTGACCGCACCTTTATACATTCGGGAAAGCGTCTTTGACTATGCAAATAGTCGTTCACGAACAAAGGCGTTTGATGGTCCGTTGCATGCCTGCATCGTGCATCGTGTCTTATGTGTATGTCAAGGGCCCGCCCAAGCTTTCGCCTGACTTCTGCAACACCTCTTCTGGAATTGAGACATATAGCACATAGCCGCTGCCGTCACTGCCATTGGTGTCGAGGCGTGCCTCAAACCCTTTACGCGCGAAACGAAAATGTCTGGTACTTCTGTGCGAGCGGTCATACATACAATGAAGGCTCGAATGTTAAAAAAATGGTTCCCGGTCGTATGAGCCGCCGGATATCTTGGGCAGATGAGAGCAAGAGGCAGGATGTTCAGGCTTGAATAAAGGCGTCGGAAAACTTCCCAATCAGGGTGAACAAAGCCTTCCAGTCTGGGGTGATCCTTTGATCTCTTTTGTTCTTGCGGGGGAACAATACACTTCGGGACTGCCAGTAGAACGTGAAGGGTATAGTCCTTGATCTAGCACTGTATATTACAGACGGATCCAGTGAGCAAAACGATACATACAGATACACAACTTGAGAAAGCACAGCAACCAGGCATAGCATAAATAGTCTTGATTATACTTCGCGCACTTATGCAGTGAGCTTCTGCACGACCTTCACCATCTGGTCGATATTGATGAACTGCACCCAGCTCTCGAGCTCCTGCCGGCTCTCGTACCACACAAACTTGGAGTCCGCCATGCCGCGGAAGAACGCACAGACGCATTGGTAGTCCTCCTGCACGATCTGCCCGCGACGCGAGACGCCGAGCTGCGCCTTGAAGATGCGGAACTCCCAGCCGGTGAGTGGATGCCCATCGCCCGTCGCCTTCTCCTCGGGGATATTGAACTCCAGCCGGCGGTAGTCGAAGCCCACGGGCTGCCCGATCGCCTTGATGTACGCGTCTTTACAGGAGAGGACAATGCAAAGTCGGCGCAACGTTACATCGTCTGCTTGTCCGTGCTTGGTGATGAGGTCGACCTCGAGGGGAGTGAGCTAGAGAACGTCGTCAGTTTGTTGTCGCCACAAACGAAGGGGGGTCCACGCACCAGGTGGTTCATCGCCTCCACGTACGTCGCCACCGTGATATTACGCGGCTCGACGTGGATCTGGCGGATACCGAGGCCGATGTTGATGACGCGCCGCTGCTGCCCCTGTGTCATCGCCATGCCGCATATCGAGTTGCAGTACTCCAGATGGTACCCGATCATCGACGTGAGGAACTTTTCCGGGGGCATGTTGTCCGGCGCCTGCTCAATCCAATGTTTCCCGTTCGCTGTCTGGTTGTCGCGCCAGCGCGCGCGCGGTATGCGCCGGTGCCGCATCATGAGGAGAGGGAGAAGCACAGTCATTATTTGACCTAGAGAGGCGGTCAGCACGATGGGCGCCTAATGGGTACAGGGGACGCACGAAAGGTATCTGGGTTCTCGGGATCGTTCTTGATGCGCTTCACGTGGGGGAGACACTCCTTGACGACTTCGTAGCAGGAGTTGTATTCCTGGGGACAGAGGAGATGAGTTGCGCGTCAACTGGTGTTCGTGGCACACGCACCTCGAGCGTGTATTCGCGATTCAAGGACATCATCCACACCAGGATCGGGCAGTCTGTGATTATAACGTCCGAGGGCCGCCCGTGAGGCCCCGTAGACTGCGTGGGCGTCGCGCTTGACGGGCGCGAACCGGCGTTACTCGTAGTGCTCATGTTGGGTCTTGTGGCGTGAATGGGCGGCAGGAGAGATAGAAGTTACACGAGCGACACAAAAGTGAGGAGGTGGGAGAAATCAAGACGATTCAGGGTATCATGTCCTTTATATGATGCCAGTCATTGTTGTCGGAAGAGGTAAGAGTTCAGGTCTGCGCACACCGAAATCTCGAATTCCTAAATCGACAGGCGTCCGCTTTGTCAGCGGCAAGTCGAGTCGGCAACCACGTGGAGCTCTACAAGAACACGATCAAGCGCTCCTAATCCAGCCAGCCTTGCGCCAGCGGGTGCTCCCATAAATCCTAAGGCTCAATGGATACTACAGTGCCGGGAAACACCCACTGCAAGTCTCAAATCGTTGGAGGTCCGTGGTAATCCGCCGATCACTGTTGCGGAATCAATTGTCAAGCACCGCCACCGGATGCAAACACAATTGCCCGCCGGCTCCATTGTTCGTTGAATGTTCTGTTGCCAGAATGGATGTCCATTGGGGAGCACAATCCTCTTTCCTGTACAAGTGACAAGATTCTGTGCGCGGTTGGCCATACATGAACTTCAAAAGGCACCGGCCCTTCCATCATCTCAGTCGTCTGCCTCAAGTTGTTTCGCGACGGGAGGTCCTGCGTAATGGAAGCGACCATCTGTAGGACCACACATCAGCGCATGCGAGGACTAGGCGGCTAGGACAGCTCACTGATCATGTACCAGCCCGCACTGATCGCCGCAAAACCGACAAACACTACGGACGCGTAGTCTGCATATCGCTCGTCAGCGGCTGGTCGATAATCCACGACTACGGGCAGAAAGTTATGGTGAAAAAAGGGCTCACTCATCGTCTCCTTCTCCACCGGCAAAACCGCCGGCATAGAGAACAATACCATCTCCAGCGCAACCCACAGAACCGCTATGATATTGCATGCCCAGCCCCACTTGCCCAACGAGTACGTCGCGTCCTCCACGCCTCCCCTTGCTCCGACCATAACCGCGATGATGGGTATCGCATAGCTCGCGCCCAGACACATCACCTCGACGCCGACGAAGGCGTTGAAGGCGGCGCTCGAGCCGAGGTGAATGAGACCGAGCAGCGCTTGGATGGCGAGGGAGAGGAGGAGGGCGTTGAGAGGGAGATCGTTGCTGCTCGAGCTTGCCGTGCCGACCAAAGTAATCTCGGCGAAGGTAGCATGGAAGGGAAGGCCCTTGTCCCTTGCGAAGGACCAGGTAGCGCGCGAGGCGGCGCAATTGATGGAGATGGAGCAGAAGAGCGCGATTCCGAAGACTAGAGGTGGTGATCAGCGCCGTCCTTACGTTCAAGGTCATCGACTTGAAAACCTTGCTGAAAAGAAGAAAACGCTACTCACTGATAAACCACTAGGGACGTCTTATCAGTAAGCACATGAGAGTACCGCGTATTCCCACTCACCATCCCGAACCCGCCTCCCTTCGAGCCCATGACCATGGTGGAGATGACCGCAATGGGTTGCACGGACGATACTGTTGACGAATTTAATCAGATACTTGTTCCTCTCCCTCCGCTCTCGATGGAGTCCATCCAGCCACCCACTCACCTTGCAACAACTCCGCCACATCCGGGAGCGTAAAGTTGATTGGCAATATGAACACGACGCCCATGAGCCAGCCAATGGGGACCGACCATACCATCGCGCGCGGGACATTGAGCGCGGGCTTATGGACCTCTTCTGCCATGGAGGCGACTGCGAAACGTGTCAGCGCCGTGGGTCTGGAATTATGACTATCCGTAGTACGCACTCATCCCGACGCCCGAGAACGTATAGCCCGCCTGCAGTACGAGACAAATCATCAGCTTTCAACTCTCGTTACACCACTCGCCTACTCACCGGAAACAGCCCTATAAAAAAGGTCCATCCCGCCGGCCAGCCCGAGAAGGAGGCATCAAAGTGCGTGAAGGCGAATTCGGCGGAGTGACGCCCGGCCTGTGCGCGCACGGAGAGGGAGATGAGAAGGGCTGGAGATGGAGGTAAATTCAGGAGTCAATGTAGCTGCTGTGAACATTCAGAAGAAGAGGAGACGTACCAATGAGGCCGAGGACGATCCAGCAGGCGGAGATGATCTGCAAGGATGATGTTTGGTTCATTCCCCGGCAAAGCCCGACGGGAGGCAATGAAGGTAATGGTGGAACGCACCTCCAGCAACGGCAGGTATTGGTTGAAGAAGATGCAAAAGATGCCGATCACAAGTAGGATGCCGAGGAAGATCAGGTCTGCGATGCCCGTCAGCGAACATTGCCGGCGAGGAATTGCAGCAAGACCGCACGCACACGTCTGCCACGCCGTCGCCTCCCATTCAGGGTGATATATCCCTACGCCGGCAACAAAGAACTGGGCCGTACCCTGAGCGAGGTCAGTAATCTGATACTTCGCCAGACAAGCTGGACTACTCACAAAAGCCGCACTCAGTGCCAACATCCAGTCGCCCGTCACAATCAGCCATCCGGTGATGTAGGACAGCACCAATCTGTACCGTCTGGGAGCAAGCTGATACGTCCAGTAGTACGCCCCGCCAGACGTAGGGTACTTGGAGGCGATTTCGGCCAGGGATAGGGCGACGGCAAGGGTGAAGAGGGAGACGACGAGGAGGCTGGAAGGAAGCAATCCATTATACAGTAAGCATTGACATAGGCTTTGAGAGAGTGGGTAATAAACGTACCCCCAGAACATGGACGCGGGGCCTCCGCCGACGAGGGAGGTCGCGATCGGGGCCGCCAGGCCGCAAGCTAGGAATTTTGCAGTCAGATGAGTAAAGAGGGCGTACGAAGAAGTACACGTACGGACGGCCAGAATCGCTGTAACAGAAGTTAGGGAGACGTTTTCGCTGAATGATGGTTGAGAGACGCACTGAGAGTCACTAAGCCCACACATCGTCAGCAGGGGCCTCTAAGCCAAACGTCCTTCGACGCACTGAAGAGGATATGAGGTAGCCCTCGCGACTACAGCAGCATCGATCAGCCATTGGTGAAGACACGGATAACGCTGGCACTTACCCTGACCAATTCCTGCTCGTAGCCCAGTTCTTTGAGGTCATGTATGGCGACCGCATCGTCGATCTGGATGGAACCTGCCTTCTCTACGCTCATTATGCGAGAGGTCAGCGCGAGAAGGGCGAGGGAAGAGGTCAAGGAACAAGGTGCTTGAGGCCACCTTGATCATCGACTAGGACGGAAACCCGCTTGCAGCGGGATCCGGGAGAGACGGAGGATGTTGCTATTGAATGAGACATCAGTAAATATGGTTTGGAGCTATATACTGTTTCCAATGTCATGTCCACTGAGCCATTCAGAAGTATGATAAGCGTGGTTCTTGATGGGAGGAGAGCTTCAGTTAACGCGTTGAAGTTCAGGTCGGCGAGATGTTTGGAACCGACACGTTTGCATTGCGTCCCTACTTGATTAGTAGCTGCTGGAGGTTCACACGGGAATGTATCCGTGTTGGAATGGATATCATGAGCTAGAAAAGACGCCGCAGGTTCGCTGGATCCTTTTGGTATGATGGAAGTAGGAGATCAACCTTAGTTGCACGTGCTAAACGCGTCATTGAGCACGTGCCGGGCCGCGATGTCCGCCGTATGATGTCCGCCGCGTGATGTCATGGCGCGTCCGCGCGCCCGCCATCCGTACTTCTTCTCCTGAACTCCCATCTCTCCGAGACATTAGCTAGTCAGCACGATGAACGACGGCGCCTCCATATCTCGCGCGACGTCTATCTCGCGGACGAGCAAGGCGGGCTCGACGCTTTCGAGGAACGCGTCCCTCATCAAGAAGAACATCGCCCCGCATGACCTGCAGCCCTCGGACGTGCTCATCGAGCGCTTCGTTGCATGGAAGGCGATTGTGAAGCAGTTGATTGCTTACTTTGAGGTGCGTGCTGAAGACCGGTCGCTCGTGGTCGTGAGACTGATAGTGTTTAGGGCGTCGCGGACATCGAGAACAACACGGCGAAGGAGATGACGAAACTTAGCGCGGTCATTCAAGTTCCTTTCCGTGCCGGCAACCAGTTCCTCGGCGAGGGGGGCCTTCAGGACACCTACTACGCCATCCGCGACAAAACTCGCACAATCGCTGACCACCACGCAAACCTTGGTCGGACGATTGACAGCTCCATCGTCCAACATTTGCAGAAGTTGCGAGTAGAGATCAAGGCCCATGTCAAGGTGAGCATCTCTGCCCCTTTCATGTGGGGATCTTGGATGTGCTTGGGCTTCATCACTACGGACTCTCACGGCATGGGATTGGGACCAGGCTTCACCGACTCCACGCGATGTATAATCAGCAGAGACATTTGGGGCTTACACCTCGTGCCATGACCGTCCTAGACTTCCTCCTTGAATACTCAGCTTCTTCCAAAGGAACAGGCTAGCATCACTTTCGTTCTATCGCCGTCTCTTGTATGGTAGACGGCGACGATCCTGTTGCGCGTTCTTCCTTACTGCAGGGTCCATGACACGAAGATTATCATGAGGCCCAGTAGTGCTATGTGGGTCCTCGTATGTTCTGTATAATAGCCATACTGCGCCTGCCCCACCCCTCACGGTCCTTTTCGCCCTTCGTAGCGCGACTTAGACGACTCGCGTCTACTTACATACTGACATCCGCATAGAATATCCAGAACGACACAGGCAAGTTGGCCACCAGTGTGGCAAAGGAGCGCGAACTATCGACGCGGTACATTGCTGAGCTGGGCGCGAGCATCACTGCATTCAAGAACACGCCCATGAACGTCACCGCGAAGACTGACCCATACGTCGCCAATTCTGCAGTTCAGCGACAGCTGCATAAGCAGGTGAGGGTTGCATTACAGATACCCAGCGAACAGTATTCCTTTTGATACAGCATGCTGACTCGCGTACAGGTTCACGAGGAGAATTTGCTTCAGAAGTCTATTATCATCATCCAGCAGAACTCGGCGCATTTTGAGGAAGGCATCGTTCGCGCAGTTCAGTCCGCATGGCAGACGTACTCGGAGTGGCAGTCGCGCGCGTCCGCAGCTATCCAAGAAGTGCACGTCGCTCTCGCGGCGCAGATGGCTTCGCTCGCGCCCGACCGCGAGTGGATTGCCTTCAGCGCGCGCTCCGACCACCTGCTTGACCCCGACACGCCTTTGCGCAAGCCCGACCACATCGTGTATCCGCTCATGGACGACCCAAGCATCCTCCCCGTGCATACAGGCCTCCTCGAGCGCAAGAAGCGCTTCATGCGCAAGTATCGCGAGGCGTACTACGTGCTCACGCCCGCGGGCTTCCTGCACGAGTACGCGAGCTCGGACCCGAACGCGCCGGGTGGGCAGGCGCCCACCTTCAGCCTCTTCCTGCCGGCGTGCACGCTGGGCCCACCCGCACCCCCGACGAGTCGGTCGCACAAGTTCCACGTCGAGAGCAGCACGGAGGGCGGTGGCGGGGTGGGCCCCGCGGGCAAGGTGTCCGGCCTGCGCGCGAGCCTGAGCATGAAGGGCAGCGCGCACGCGTGGACGTTCCGCTGCCGCTCGCGGGAGGAGATGATGGAGTGGTGGAACGATATCCGCATGTTGTGCGCGCGTTACCTGGTCGCGAGCGAGCAGATGGAGCGCTCGGGTCCCGTGGCGGCCGCGGTGCGCTCGGTTGGGTACAACTCGGAGGACGAGGAGGAAGAGGAGGAGCTGGAGGATGACGAGGAGGGGGTGAATAGCAGTCTCAGCGGGGACGAGGGGGAGCTGGAGTACGCGGACGCGGATGGGGCGGGCAGTCCGCCGAGCTACGCGCACACGCGCGCGTCGCACGAGTTCCCGGTGCGTCGCTCCCTTCCGGCTTCGGTGGTTGAGGGCGCGCGCTGACGCGGATGGGTCGTGTTTAGGCGGAGAAGGGCCACAATGGCGGTAGTGCCGGGAATGCGAATGGTGATGGGGTCACACTGCGCGATGACGGGCCGGTGCGCGATAATGCGCTGGCGGATGGCGGGGTGGCGAGGCGGCCGAGCAAGCGGCAGTTGGAGAAGGCGCCGGAGGGGCGGGCGCCGCATGCGGTGGACGAGGAGGGGTCGCCGGAGAGCAAGCAGGGACCGGGGCCGGCTGAGAGTCGGTTCACGGAGGATCTGTGAAGGAATGACCTGCCACTAGGCGGTCGGGTTAGTCAGGCAAGGACAATGATACGATATGTGCTCAATTGTTATTCCACCAGCAGTAACGCGTTCTTGCTTCGCAATGCGGCTGAACGATACGGTCTTCCAGTCAGGGACAAGTGCATATTTTTGTAATTCAGCAGACTGGTGCTTTTTATGTATTCTGTGTTCCGCAGTAATTCGCCCAATGTGCTCGCACCGGACTCGAAGGCCAAAACAGAATTGACCCAATGTGGGGAGCTCTCCGGCTATGTTTCCCACGCTTCGGTGATGCCATCACCCGCGTTCGAGCATCTTGCCTCTTGCCTCTTTCTCTCATTGGAAGGCAACGCCTCATCTGTATGAGGGGTCATCATCAGTGGTGAGACGTAGTGTGAGGTGATGTATGAGCCGGTCACGGCCGTATTCTGAGCGATACAAGGTATATGCACTCGTCCGAGATCCATACGTTCAGTCGGCTCACCTAGGTCTCACAGCTGTAGATTATCAGGATGCTTGGAGATTCTCTGGGTACAACAGACCCGGAGGTGCAAGAATTAACCGACAGCTGGGGAATGCATATACGGTGATTTTACCATGCTGGTGAAGGCGTAGTGAAATGAGGTTCTCAGGCCTTCTCGGCGATCTGCTTATCACGAACTGGCCTTCAACCCGCCTTCTCTGTTACACATGGGTAGTGGTCTATAATGTGTCATCTGCGCGGGTCCCCAACTCAGCAAGCCTTCACCTTACTAGCTGGGCAGAAGCCCACATAGCATTCTCACAGCCGCGCAGTCCGTTGGATATTCAGGATCCTAGTGGCGATCCTAGGGACGTATCTACTGCCACCGGTGCGGTGCATAGATCGATAGTCCCTGCGCGTCATCTACAGTACCTATCAGCTAGCGAGAAGGCAGGTCGGGGGACACATCGATTGATCAGTGCCACTCACTGCTCTTTCCCAGCAGCTCTCTTGTTACGCGTCTCCTTCTAGCTCCTCTGAGAATACGCGTAGCCATGCTTGTTGGGCTGTCATAAGATGAGTGGCTGCTTCTGTTTCTGCATACACCGTACATGCCTCCCTTCATTCGCAAAATAGCGCAGCCCCCCACCCGCTCGGATACGCTGAAGCAGGCCACAGATGAACGAACTGAAGGTCAGATGCTCGCATAGCGTCTGTCACTCTACCCCGGTGAGGTTCAACTTTCCGTTTCACTTCGACGCCGCCCCGTCAGTTTGCTCCCAATCGATGACTTCTCCCTCAGATAGGGCCTGTCCATGCTAGATCTCGCACGATCATACGCGCGCAAGCAGCGCTGCCGATTCTCGACGTGCAAAACATAAAAGGTGTCCGCGCCTGGCACCGTCTTCGAGCATCTCTTCGACCTTCGCCGTCCACGCTCTATCGAAGTAGCTATCATGTCTGAAACCCCTGCTCAACCTGCTCTCGATCCCGAGATGCACGAGCGAGTCTGCTCGTGGTTCATCGGTCCTCACGCCGAGAACTTCGACGCGCTTCAGACCATCTTCGCCGGCGTGCTCAAGGACCACAGGCAGGCGCGTCTGACACATTTTCCCGACGATGGAGTACGTACTAGTGCTCTCCCCTCCTTTGTATTCACCAGTGACGATTGCGTTCAGCCATTTTACACGAAGAGGATCATGGAATCTACGAACTTCAAGAATAGCGTCGATGAACTGCAGGGCTACGTGCAGGAGATCAGCAATGACCTGAACCTGCGGTCCGTTCCTTTTTACACCCCACGTTATGCTGGGCATATGTCCTGGGAGACGTGCGTTCTTGTTTTTGCAACCTTGTACACGGCTGATGCGGCTCGACAGGTCCTTGCCAGCTATCGCCGGATGGATCGCTGGTATTTTGCATAACCAAAACAACGTGCGCATCGGATACTCATCCACCGGCATGCCTTTTGCTGACCTCCTCTCAAGGTCGCCTTCGAAGCGAGTCCTCTCACGACTACCCTCGAGCTCAAGGTCGGAGAAGATTTGTGTCATATGTTTGGCTACGACAAGAATTCGTGGGGTCACATCGCGAGTGACGGCACTCTGGCGAATATGGAGTCGATGTGGTGCGTTGCCATTGTTTCTATGTTGATCTTTGCTCTCTCATGACGCACCCGCTTTCTCGCAGGGCTGGTATGCTTCTGGCTCTGATATTCGCCGGCTTGATCAACTGACAACGTGGCAGCGCGCAACCTGAAGTTCTACCCTCTCAGCGTGCATACCGCTCTACTGCGTGGTCCTCTCAAGTTCATATCGAGCGACTACTCCGTTGTACCAGCTGGGTCCAGCGAGCCGAAGCTATTCGTGGACCTCGACCCTTGGCAGCTTCTGAACCTTCCTACGAGGACGATTCTCGGGATCGGCGACGACCTGCGCCGGCGGTACGGGATCACCTCCGAATTCCTTGCGTCGGCGCTCTCCCCGTATCTGATCCAGTCCCGAGGGAAGGAGGGTTTTCTTGACGCGTACAAGATCAAAAACGCGCCGCAGTACTTGATCACCAGCACCAAGCATTATTCGTGGCCGAAGTCCGCGGGTGAGTCATCCTTGCACCCTCTCGTCGTCCTATGCCTCTGACCAGTCATATCGATAGCGCTGGTGGGCATCGGGTCGGAGAACTGCGTCCGCATTCCCGTGGACTTCGACGCTCGCGTCAAGATAGACGCCCTCCGGGCCTTGTTGCAAGCACGTCTCGACGAGAAGCAGGCGGTCTATGGCGTTGTCGCCGTCATCGGCTCCACCGAAGAAGGTGCCGTCGACCCTCTCGACGACATCATCAAGCTGCGCGACGAATTCTCTGCAAAGGGCCTCACTTTCATCGTTCACGCCGACGCCGCTTGGGGCGGGTACTTCGCCAGCATGATACGTGACCCGCCTCCGATCCTTAGGGGGCCGATCGGTGACGAGTATGTTCCGTCCATCACGATGCGGGACTACTGCGTCAAGCAGTTCGATGCCCTCAAGAATGCCGACTCTATCACTGTGGACCCCCACAAGGCCGGCTACGTCCCGTATCCTGCAGGCGGCCTGTGCTACCAGGATGGTCGGATGCGCTATCTCTTGACGTGGACAGCGCCATATCTGCACGATGACACTAAAGACGAGAGCGTTGGGATCTATGGTATTGAGGGAAGGTGAGGGCTGCTTCAGTTCGCCAGCATCAATAAGCTGACCCTGCACATAGTAAGCCTGGGGCGCCAGCCATCGCAACTCACCTCCATCATAAGGTCGTCGGCTTGCACAAGAAGGGTCATGGCGGGCTCTTGGGCGAGGTGGCGTTTGCATGTCGTCGCGTGAGTGACCAGCGACCACCTGTTTGTACTGCCACTGAGTCGCTTCTGCCATCAGATTTCCGCACACTGGGCGGCGATGTCAGACGATACGACACCCTTCATCGTCGTGCCGTTCAACAAGTACGTGAACGAGCAGCAAGGTCCGGACGCCATCGCCAAGGAAAAGGAGTTTATCCGGGCGAACATCTTGCCCGCGACCAACGAGAAGATACTTGCTGACCCGAAGGTTCTAGCCGAACTTTGCGCACTCGGCTCTGACCTGAACATCAACGTGTTCGCCTGCAACTTCCGCATCAACGGTGTCACCAACACCGACGTCGAGGAAGCCAACTACCTCAACCAGTGCATCTTTGCCGAGTTCTCCGTGACGGACAACGACACGGCTCCGTCGACCATGAAGCTGTTCTTGAGCGCTACTGTGTTCGATCACGAGGATTACGGCGACTGCGCAGATGAGTTCAAGCGGTATGTGGTCATACTCTGGCGAATATACAGTATTCTTATGCTCCCCGCAAGGCGCCTTGGACTCGAGACAGCTTCTAAACAACCCCTCTTCGTTCTGCGCAACGTTGTCATGTCACCGTTCCAGGCTGCGAACGGTTTCGTCCGCACCCTCGCCGAGGTTTTCCAGACTAGGCTCGAGGAAAAGGTCCAGGTAGGCCGCTTTTCCGCGTATGAATATTCGCAGGCTCACGTCGCTCTCGAAAGAACGCCATATCGCGGAACACGGTATCGCCCCAGACGCACGAATTCACGATGCAAGGCACAGACAAACTATTCCTCGCCTATCGTCCTGTGTTCAATCATGTCAATGGTCGACAACAGCTTATCCTCAGTGTCGGTGCTGTTGACCTCGCCGCTTGGGAGAGATACGTCGAAGCAGTATCACGGCACCCCGGCGAGATATATACGCTGCGCACGTCCACTCAGACGACCCTCGATGACATCGTCAAGAACGCCGACAGAGGCTTTACCGGTGACATTTTGGGACCGTGCGCTGTTTCCCTTTCTGTCATCTCGAACATGACTGAACCTTGCGCAGTGACCTCGATATCAGATCCGTCAAGTTATCGCAAGTCAAGATATTGAAGCAGCGCACTCTTCAGTCCGGGACGCGGACTACCCGGACGCGTGGACCCCCTTCTACCTCTATGGCACGGAGGGGCAACACCACGTCGATCATATGCTCCTGCGCGCACCCAACACCCAGATATCTTCTGCGCGAGTGTTGCTCGACGTCGGTTCCAACGTGGACCCTGACCAGCTCGCCCGTGGAGTCATTGCCCGAATCGGGATACCAGAGCGCGCTCTGCAGCCGATTGGTACCGACCACCCATTTACTCCTCGCCGTCGCTTCCATGTCGCGATATACGCGGATGACCACGATGCTGAAGCGCAGGGACCTGGTCTCTCCAGTGGTTCAAGGCTGCTCGTCGAGGGCTCGCTCGAAATCGGAGACGGAGTCTATACGAGGGCGATGAAGGTGAACGACGAGCAGTCTCAGCTGGCCTACTTGGCTACCGGGCCGAGCAGAAAGATCAAGTCGGAATGGGCGCAGGACATCTTGACCAGGCTCAGGGCGTAGGGAGGGGCGCCCACTGCATTCAAGTATATTGTTTTTTTCCAAGACACCTGTATCATATGGACTAGTTTGACCAAAGCTTCGTACTTTTGAGCTATATCGGCGAACCATCCCATGTAAGTCGATAATCTCATCAAGCGCTTGTTGAACCAACATACTGTTGGAAGACGCTGGTCTATTACAGTGGTATGCAGCAATAGCGTGTTGAAGACGGAGCAGTTTTGTATTCGCGTCGATTGCTTCCATTTGTCAAACATTCTTGATTACCTCAATTGTATCTGCCGGAACGGGTTGCTTCACAAGTGCAGCACGCGAAAATCGTCTCAAATAAGAAGGCGTTGTTTTCTCATTCGGGTATGCGTTTCCCATGATGTCAGTCTTTGAATATCTTGCTTCTTGCTTTCATGTGTGCGTCATGGCGCGTATCTCATCCGAGGGACTGTGTTGTGGCGGTTGATTATGCCCTTTCTAAGGTAGAATATCATTACGAGGGTAGTGATTAGTACTGATAAGTAATACTACTCTTTGACGGGACCGTCGAGTATACGAGCTCGAGGATCATCGGAGGGTCAGCGAACTGACGAAAGATTACAGGTGTGGGTCCTTGAGTGTGCTCCATACGATCTTGAGCAGGATAGATGGGTGAATGAGGTCAATCGCCGGTGAGAGCGACTGGCTGACGCGGAAGATGGCCATGGCGACGTCGCCGTCCTGAAGGTGATGGGCGTGTTTAGAATGTCAGCACAGCGCGTGAGTCTTAGAAGCATACCTCTGTCGACAGATACTTCAGCCTCTTCTCGTACCAGCGGCTGAGGCGGCCGGTGGAAAGAGTCTCTCCCTCCATCGGAACTGTTTTTTCGAAGCCGTAATCTGCGCGGTAAGGGCCGTCAGCGATCCCCTCTCATTTTTGCAACGCTATTCAAGCTTACCCGCTATTTTGGTGCTCTCCCTGTATGCACGATGGTGAGTGGACGCTCTCACTTGGATGCAGTGCGAAGGGACTGACCACATGTGCTCGATTTTGGTAGCCTGCGCGGCGAAGAAGTGTGTGGCCAAGTCATGGGGTAGAATGGTAGGTGGGGTTACATCCTTTTCTATTTCATGAAAGTGGACGGTCTTGTCAAGCTTTCGGAGGGCAGAGTCGAGGCAAACGGCGCCCGCGAGAACCTTTGTAAGACCTTGGCTGTCGAAGGTGAGGACCGATATCATCGAAATGGGCGTCTGACCTACCCAAAAATCGGATTTAGAGTCATGACACTGTCGCCGATGGCTATCCAATTGGACGGCAGGTCACCTGCTTTATGATACTGGGTATACGTGCGTGGGCCTATTGCATAGCGTGAGTTCCCTGATTGATCTAGGCGAATGAGCTAAGCTCACCGGTGTTGCATTTACAGCAGGTCATCCCAGGCTCCGCGACCCTCAACTCGTCGAGCAGTCGAAGGAAGAAAGCCGGGTAAGGCCTTTCCATCCACCGGCTTTTGGTGAACGCGATGAACTCGTCGAGCGTCGTAGGCAACTCGATGTCGCCCCACGCACCAGCGCAGAGCATCACTGTTCGGACCAAGGTCAGAATCACTCGTCATCTGAAGGCTATGATTGACTCACCCATCCCTCCGTCCCGCTCGACGGCGTACACACTCGTATTCTGTTTCTCCGGATTCGCCAAGCAGGCGTATATGGTCGCCGACGTTCGTGGCGGGAGGAAGGCATTGAGGCGAGCACGCAGAGCCGCGGAAACAGGGAACGTCAAAGCGCTGAAGCGCGCCTTAGGATCATAGGTGACGATGATGTCCCTCAGTGGCAGCGCGCGAGGCGGGAGGACCTGTCCATACCCCGCTCGCGCGAGCCACTTGAGGCCATGCGAGGAGCCAGTGCAATCTGACAAAATACTCATGTAAGTCACTGCCACCTCGCAGACGGGGCTCACTACACTCACCAACAAAAAGCGCTCCTGGCACGTTCACGACATCGTTGCCTATCCTGACGGCCACAGTCTGCACGCTCGAGTGGCCTTGCACACCGTACGCATGGCGCTGCAATCCGACGACCAACCCCGAAATCTGCTGAATATTCGGGAAGCGCTTTTTGTCGAGCGTGAGGCGGCGGATGAGGGTCTCCTGCGCCTGTCGAGAGGCGTGCGTGTTGTTGGGAAGGTCGTTGGGGTCGAGCTTCATAATGTTGCCCCAGAAGTCGGCCTTGAGCATGGCGGGGCCGATGCTGAGGGGTAGTTAGAAGGAAGCTGCGATGAGGAAGGAGGGAAAAGCGAGAGACGAAGGGGTGCGCGACGCTAAGGTCGGAAGGGAGAAGGACGAACTGGATGTCTGACGCTCTGCTCTCGGCGATGAAGTTGTCGTAGAGTCGCTGCAGACCCAGGAAGGTGGATACTTGGGTGGCTGGAGAGATGGTGAGTTAGGGATGATATATCGGTGCGTGGGGTCTCTAATCACCGTTCAAGCAAAAATACTGCATGATGCGGCTGCGTTGGCTGGTCTGCGTCCACGCCGCCGTCGAGCGACCCTCGTCGGTGCTGAGCCACTCCTCCGGCTCGATGATTACGACGCGCTCGAAGTGGTCGTGGCAGACCCGCGCTGCGAGAAGGCCGGAATAACTGGAGAGCAAGCATAAATATCCGCTCTGCATGGAACGGGAAGGACGATATGGCACGCACCTTCCGCCGCATATTACAGCGGTACCCTCAATTTTACGGCCTCGCCTCGGCAGTCCCAACGACTCAAACTCCTGCAGACAAGTCTCCCGACGAAGAGCACGGTTGCGAATATACCGGCCCACAAGCACCAGTGCGCGCCCCAGAATGAGCGCCGCCAGGCCAGCGTAGACGAAGAGAAGAGGGATAGTTGCAGCCATGAAGGTGCGTTTGCTCTGCCATGGGAAACCACAGACTTTATGAGGCGCCCCATCTCGCCAGGAATAGCGCCGCTCCGTGCATCGAGAGGAGATTCCAACCCGGCTGAAGGGTAACTCGTGCCGCCCTTCGGATCATGTCAGCTATGCTTGCGGTAACGCTCGGCAGGGAGGCGCTTCGGACAGCAGGCGAGGGCCCGATGGGGCACGCCCGCGTCGCCTTGGCAAGATCGCGCCGCTCTGCGTGCATGCCGTACATAAGTGGCGCGCATATCCAGACGAGTCGCCCGCTGCGCACGCCAGTGCCCTTAATATACGCACGAGAAAGGCAGTCATTTTGAGGCGCGCGGGAGCTAGGGGCGCAGGCGAAGGTGCACGTCCGACGTGGGACGGTCTGGGAGGCGCGGATGGGCGGGGCTTCGCGTCATCTGGACGTCGCCTACCTCCCCGCTTTTCGCGCTAGGCGCCCGAGTAAGCTGCGCTTTTTGACTTCTGGCAAGTCCTTGATACACGTTATGCTGGTCCAGTTTGGCAAGCAGTCGGGCATCTCGGGGGTTGGGGATCGGAGTCACCGACTGGTAGGTGCGGAGAGGTTGCGGGAGCGGTGAGGGTCCTTCGTGCGCGGCGGGAATATTCACCTTCATCTTCAGGATCAGTCGCATTTCCGAGGACTGTGCGGCTAGTTCCTATCAATCGTCGTTCTCATCAGACGACTCGATGCGCCAGCGCATACCCGCAACGCCTTTTACAGTGAGTATGAAGATCAGCAGGCGTAGCTCGCAGCTAAATCGGGGTTGAGGCAAGCCTTGACAGGCAATTATTGAGCTTTGGGTCGGCGACAAGAATCATCGGAGCGTCCGATCGTGGTCTGACGACTGGCGCGGGTCGATATTGCCACTTCAGATGGCTTTGGTGAGTTAATCAAGCACTCTAGACTCCTCCTGGGCTTACACATGATTGAGTTTTAGTATGAGAATATGGCCCTGTGGACGCCATATGACCGAGACCTTGCTGAGGAAGCAGGCTTGCAGAACGGTTGGATGTCTCCACGTGCGCGCTATGTTCATATTCGCGGTCCGGTAAGGCCCCCCGACATCTCACCAAAAGGTCCGATCCTAAATACGGGATTTGGATTCATTTCCGTCGCATGGAATTTGGCCGATTTTGAGGGTTTTCCGGCGCACTAGGATCGGACCATAGGTCAAGGCGCACTTTCCGTCGCACTATGGATCGAACCTCGGTGGCGACGACCCTCCCAGACCACCACTCATGAAGCCCTGTCAGTGCTCTTACCCATGCTTGACCGGTTGATGTTAGGCTGGCGGGGGTCTAAGCTGGCGAAATTCCGGCGCGACCCCCGGGTCCGGCGCACGATGGATCGAACATCGGCGACGACAAGGCCCGACCGGCGCATTTTGGATCGAACCTACCTCGAAGTTCTCCTCAAATCCGGCGCACTGGGATCGAACGTCGGCGCGTTTCGAGCCTCCAATCCGTCGCATTAAGATCGGACATTTTGGTGAGATGTCGGGGGGCCTGTCCGGTAGTCCAGTCGACGGCTCCGAATGGCCGCGGGCCCGAGAGCAGTCACCGAGGACAGATTAGGTGCAAGAGTGTCCGACACAAATTGTAGTGCGGAAGATTGAGCTTTGTGACGAGCCTCACAGCTCCGACCAAGAGGAGCACGTTCTCAGCGCGACGTATGTCTGACCTTCGACTAAATTGTGGCACATCACTTGCATGGTCCTGTTGCTCTTTATGGGACAGCGGAGAGAGGTATTTAAGATCAAGAGACGACTGTATAAGATCCAATCTGGGGCACCTGACGGACATCTCAGAACGCACCGGAGACCAACCTCTCCATCACCTCGCCGTTGGGCGGCTACAATGGCGTCGCCTGCATTTGGCCATCATCTAGTTCGATCTTCGAGTCAGGCCTTACAGTAGTAAAGCAGGTGACGGATGCTCTTGGTTGGCGTGCATTTGCGGCGCACCATGCAATCGTAAGCGCTGGTTATGGACATGCCAGACTCTTAGAACATCATCATTGCGTTCAGTGGGAGCTGTAGGGGCGGAATAAAATAGATCGTTCAAGGAAGGCTCGACGAGTTCGAAGTGTCCATCATGCATCATGATCATGAAGCATCGTCTGATAACTGTCGACTAAGTCAGTAGGAGGATGAGGCGAAATCTGCCTACTCACGTCGTATCAAAGACCGCTCAGGCCATGGCGCGCTGCCTCTCGACCTGGTACAGAGCATACTGGGCACGCATCTCCTTCGCGCGCATGCGCTTTTCATGCACTCCGCGACCTCCCACACCCCACATAGAGCCTGCGATACCCAGCGAGAAGGCCGCATACAGGATAGCCTCAACCCGCTCGGGCGCAGGCCCGTCCTTCCAGTCCCACTCAAACCAGTTGGCGATGCACATGAACACGCCGAAGGAGAAGTCAAACGTGAACCACAGCGCGATCACGAACGAAACGACGACCGCCGGTATGGCAGAGTAGGCGGAGAGCGGGGCCGGGTGCGCAGGGTGCGCGGGAGCGCCAGGCGCGGAAGGGGCGAGGTCCGTGGAGGAAGCGCTGAGGTCCTGTGCGCGGGTGGAGCTGGGGGCGGTGGGCGAGGTGGTAGCGAGGCGGGTGAGGCGGTACTGCCAGACGAGCATGACGGCATGGTAGATGAAGTTGATAGCGGTTGGGATGGGTCCGCCGATGGAGGTGCGGTTGCCGATAGCGACGAGGGAGACGATGAAGGCGGCGAGGTTGAAGAGGAGGGCGGCGATGATGAGGTTGCGAAGGGTGGGCGTGAAGGTCGTAAAGATGTTGCGCATGATGGGAAATATAGAGCGCAAGATATTTGGGTATACAAGCGCGATACAAGGGACCTGCAAAGAAAGGTGAGCAGTGTGAAGCGCGACGTCAGGTCAACGACTGACAAGTAGTCTCCCAAACTTGACTGTGTTGAACCATGAGCGATAGATATTCAGTCTAGAAAACATACTCACTTCAAAGAGAGGAGCACAAAGAGCACTGAGGAGTTGAGGTAGACGGTGACGGTGGAAGTAGAGCAAAGGGGCTCAACAGATTTTATATCGAGCAAACCATCTGCATCATTCATTCTCGAACATGTCCCAAGGAAGTAGCACCTCGCGGCCCACTGATGACTTGGCCGCACGAACCCTCTCAATGATGGAGTAAGTTGGAGCTCGAAGACAGCAGGACGCACTGCATATGGTCGCACTGCTCATCATGGTTACGGACAAAAGACCTGGCTTGTGACATTGTTCAAGTTCACGTCACACTGCCACGACGCATGGTCGCCCAGATCTGCTCAGCAGCCGCTAGCACTCGTTCTGTTAGAGACGAGTGAGAATAGGTGATTATCAAGCCAAAAAGGAGAAAGATACGTAAGTAGTATCGTCAGAACTCGACGAAGGATGATCCTATTTTATAGACACGTTCTATTGCAGTAAAGAACGCCCTTCAACATGGCAAGATGTCCGAGTGGTCTAAGGAGTTGGATTCAAGCGAAAGCTTACCCGCTATTGCTGGGTTTCCCAATAGGCGTTCGCCTGCGGGGGTTCGAATCCCCCTCTTGTCATACCTTTTTGTCGATCTGCCACCGTTACGGAGAACAGATGCATACGACCTATCTACACGAGACAGACAATGCCCAACATCAATGGCAAGAAAGGTCGAAATCGTGAATACAACATCGAACACCGAGTAGAGTACACTTTCGAACACTACTTCAGACCCGAAGTGACACAGGCCCATTCCGCGAAGACACACTGGCATGTCCGCGCACCATGCCCTCCTCGCTCCAGCCCACAGCACCCTGAACATACTTGGCAGTGTTCTGGGCGATCGCGATGTGCCTCCGCCCGCGATCCCCACCACCCCCTTCACCCATCTGGACCCGCACATGAGAATTCGTCGTGCTGGCGTCGAACCTGCCTTCATAGGAGGGATGCAGACGCACGTCGACGCCGCCATTCGAGGTGTGGGCCTCGAGGTTGAGAGCGGCGTCGAGAGGAGCGGAGACGAAGTCGAGGTTGAGGGCGGCGTTGTGGGTTTGCGCGTTGACGATGAAGGATCCTGCAGAGCCTTCAGTCGAGATCAGCGTCGTATCGACCTGGATACGGCTAATGCACGTGTGAATAAGAGATACAGGATTTCGAGGCCGAGAAGCACACGCACCCATTCGAGTTCTGCAGCGTAGCCTTGGTCGGCGGACCTTGGGGGTCGTTCTCCAGCGCAACGGACGCGGAGATCTGGCCATTCGAGGTCCAGAGACTGAGTTCCCGACTGGCCGCATACCGACCCTGAATTGCGCCGTTGGTCGTACGGATGTCCGTGACATTGGCGGAGGCCGTTGCGTCGACAAGGCCGTTCGTGGTGTGCAAAGCCATATACTCCTCGCCGTAGAACGTGCCGTCGATCTGTCCATTCCGCGTCTCCACCTTGCCGTGTACAGCGCGAAGGGACTGAAGGGGGTCAGCGAGCCTCATGCACGAGGATGCAAGTGCTTACCTCTGCATTAATCCGCCCATTGGCCGAGCGCAGATCAAGCTCCTGGAAGAGTACCGTGTCCGCCAGACCTGCGACGGATTGCTGGAAGTTGGGCACGTCCGTGCTCATCTTGATGATTTGCAGGACATCTTCATGCTTGGGGAGTATGATCTCGACGTCGAAGCGGACGCCACGGTAGTGGCGATGAGCGTGTTCATCCCACCATCTGTCGGTCTGTGCAAACGGTCAGTCATGGAACTCTGAGCACGGTGCGCATGTCTCTCACAAAGAGGCCAATACCAGCAGTATCGTCGCTGCCCTCGCGCCTGGACAAGCAGGCCTTCGCGTGAACCAGTCCGGCAGGAACTTCTGAACGAGCCTCAACTTCGATGCGAACATCGTCGGTCGGATCGGCGCTCTGTCGGATGCGGACGACGCCGTGCGAGCGCGGCCCACGAGAGAGTGCGAAGAGCTCGTCCGCAGGCAAGGCGAACCTAAACGAAGCTTTGCCGACACAAGGGGTGCCGTCTCGGACCTCCCACTCGCGACAGTCGACAACGTTGATGTCGTCCGGGATGGGCCAACATTCGTTCGCCTACGAAGAAGTCAGCGAGGATTCACCAAGGCTAGTGGATACGACGTACGTTCATTGTCGAGTCGCTGCTACCAAGCCCTAGGACATGAAGGGTTTTGTAGCGGACTTTATCCGAGAGAACGTGCACGAAGAAGACTAGAAGAGCGAAGGCGCAGAAGAAGTAGCGGAACAAGTGAACCCTAACGCTGCGACGATCGTCATCTGCCCGCCTGCGGTCGGCTCGTGGGCCAGGCAGCAAAGGCGTCTGAGCGTTCGCGACTGCCTTGTCAGTATGAAGTTGGTCTTCGTCACACATCCCGAGGCCGTCCATGATGCTACGCAGCCACTGAGAGCAACGCACATCTTATATGGACATAAAGACCCCCCCCCCCCCGGAGCCCGAGATGGAGATAAGCAAGTCATGACTGCGCCGCGGTAGCCACATCGTGGTCGCGCGGACCAAGTCTCAAAGATCGCGCAGGCACAAACAAGCCTCAAACCCACTCAGAGCAGCACGGACTTTGCCCGCAGCGCCTGAATAGAATTGTGCGCTGCGCGACAGTCGAGAGGCCTTCCACTCAGCGTTGTCCACTTCAGCAAGTGCTACTACGTGCTGCGCGGCAGTCGACTCTGATGTGGGTGCGCATGAGTCAGGTTGCGTCAAATGGGTACCAGCATACGACGAACCTTGCACCCAGGAGGGCGTCTGTACGATAACAAGGCATTGAACGCCGTGATCATTCACATCCGATCCAGGATCCACAATGTCCATTAAATCAGCTGTTAAATTACAATAGCTTGCTGGAAGCAGCTGGCGCGAATCGGCTGCGTATGAGCTTGATGATATACAAGGGCAGCGCGCTAATCGAGACAATGACCGCCGTCTTCCATACGAACCCAGGCGTCATGACAAAGTTGAGGTCTACATTGGTAATTAGCCATCGAGCGAAAGGACAGCGCAACTGAATCACTCACCGAAGTATTCGGGCAGGAAGACGATACTGCCTGCATAAATCGCCAGCGTAACGACTTCGGAGATAACCATGTACATATGCCTGCGCGAAATGTGTTATGACACTGTTTTGCGACAGGATCGACAGACTTACCATGTCGTTATCTCCAAAGCAACCATGATGAGCTCGTTGAGGATCAGGGCAGTAAAGGAGATGGACACGATGTGCAGGAACTCGGTCTCGAAAAGTACGAGGGACATGATCATGATGGCAGCGCCTATGTCATGGGTCAGTCGAATCATGACGCTCGTGGATAAGGCGTGCGTACCTTGGTACAGGCTGATCATGCACCACACGAAGAACGTCTTGTACGAAAGTGCACGTCCCTGCCGTGGTTGTCAGCATCGTGGTCACCAAGGCGCTCATCGTGCCACGGACCTTCGTCAACTCCTTGTAGAGCTCGGGATAAAGTAGCGCAAGGTCCTCATTCACATCCCGATCCAGCACGAGCGAGAACACCGGCGCCATTGTGTATACCGTCGCATAACCCGCCATAAGCCAGCCTTGATAAAGGGCAATAGGCGCGAAATAGAAGATCGCCGAGAACACTGCTTGCATGATCGATATTATCAGACCACGGTGGATGACGAACTGCGCGAGCTTGGCAGAGCGGCGGTACGAGTTGCGTCCGTGCCAGAGCAGAAGCTTGGTGAGGTGGCTGAACTGGATGACAGAAAAATCCGCTGCGAGCGAGGCCTGCTTTCCTTCCTTGCCCACGATGCCGACGCCTGGTCAGGGTGTCATCGAAAGCTCTCTGATGCACAAAGTGGAGGGAACTCACCGACGTCCGCGGCCTGAATCATGCTAACGTCGTTACCACCATCGCCGATGCAGCAGACTCTCCGGCCTGTATGAGCGCGGATGAGGCGGGCAACATCGGCCTTCTGTGTCGGAGAGCATCTGCAAGCTACCACCGCAGATAGCTTCGTGGCGATCTCGATGAACTCGTTCTTGAACAGGTTGAGGCAGAGCTATCACGTTTGATTAGCCCAAGATGCGAGGTATCAGTAGGCGACCTACCTGCAACGACTCGCCATCGATGACCAGACAGCAATCCAGCTTCGACTGCAGGAACTCCAGCTGGTCTCGTACTTCGTCCGATGTGCGCACTGACAGCAAGTTAATCTCGGCATCGACGCACGACCAGGACAACACGTACACTTCGCAACCTCGTGAATGTACTGATTGCGCGCGACAAGCTTTGTCGAAATCGCAATGCACCTCGCCGTCTCAATCTTGTCTCCCGTCAACATCCAAATCTTGATCCCCGCATTCCTCAACAGCTCCAGCGTCGACTTGACCTCGTCCTGCAACTTATCCTCCACTCCCGTTAGGCCCAGCAGTTCCAAATCATGCTCCAGATACTTCGCCACCACGCTCGCCATCGCCTCATTCCGGCCCTCGAGCCGGATGCTCGCCTCGTGATACGCGTCCGCGAACTCGTCGTACGTGCCGCTGCTGAGCCGCTTGCGCGCCATGACGAGCGTGCGCAGGCCCTCGCGCGCCATGTTGCCCGTCTCCTCCTCGAGCCAGTCGTTGCGCTGCACGATGCGCGCCATCACGACGTCGGCGCCCTTCTGCAGGAAGGTGACCTCGCCGGAAGCGACATCGCGCACAACGATGCCCATGCGCTTGGACTCGGAGGTGAAGGGGAAGATGTTGAGGACGTCGAAGACCATGCGGGCGCCGGTGGGAGTTTGCAGCTCGATGCGGGTGCGGTCGCGGAAGACGAGCGTGAGGCCGACGGATTGGGTCCATTGAACGATGGCGACTTCATCTGGGGAGGATGCCTGGTACCCTACTGACCCGTCGTCGTTGGTGACTGGTGTGACCTGGTGAGCGTATTAAGCATGAGCGGAGGCCGACAAACAAGATATCACGTACGTTATGACAAAGCGCAAGACTGAGAACAACATCGCGTACGCGGGAGGACATGTCTCGCCGCCCTCGCCCTGCGATCTGAGCACCAGTCATCATATGGGCACCTGCCAGAATTCAAGCATCACCCGTACATCTTTCGATAAGCACTTACTCGGATGCTCCTGCGCCCCGAACGCAACCGCCAATTGATGCGAGACCTCGTCCATCGAATCATAACCAAAAGCCATGGTCCCCATGTGCAACTTGCGCATTTCCATCTCTACAGCGCCTTAGCTCCATACCCCGAAAGATCGGCGACCCAGGACATACCATTCTGCGTCAAAGTGCCCGTCTTATCGCTGAGCAGGTATTGTATCCTTCCCAACTCCTCCGGCAGCGTGCTCGTGCGCACGATGGTATTCGGGATCTCCGGGTCATGCATAATCTCGTAGCCGTAGACCGTCTTCCCCATGTCTAGGTTGACGCGCAAACTGATTCATCGTCAACGCAGCCTGGGATTACAATAGACGATATGCTCACCTTATGGGAATAATGGACGAGAAGAGAATAAGGAAGCGGAAGATGTAGACGTACCACAGTCCGCGGAAGCCATTCAAGGCGACGAGGACTATGGAGAGGAGGAAGGTCACCAAGCAGAGGATCTAGCAGACGTCAGCGCAAGCGAGAAGTCGTCGTATGTTGACGCGCACCTTGGCCAATCTATTGATCTCGATATCCAACAGGCCCACCTTCGTCTCCGGGTGACTTGTGTTCATGACTGCCCGCGTCTCCGCACCAGTGTAGATCACGAAGCCGACCGCCGACCCGGACGCAAGCACAGTATTGGCCCACAGCACGTTCTCCGCCGTCAGCGGGGACACGCTCGGCGGTATGGGCTGCAAAGGAACGCCCTGCGTATGCGGACCATCCACCGCCGGGGCCTTGTTCAGCGTGAACGTCCCCACGAACGTGTGGATATCCTTTGTCGGTGCGTCCGCATAGATCTCCGCCTCCAGCCGGGGTAGACTCCCCTCGGGCAGCTTCTGGCACTCCGGCACCGCGACGCGCAGCTTCCAGTCCGTCTCGCCGTCGAGCTGGTCCGTGCGGATGAAGCAGGTGCCAGAGGCGTCAGACGTGTGCAGGAGGATGACATCGGCGGGCACGCGCTGATTCTTCTCGAGTCGGATAAGGTCGCCGACGCGGAGGGAGGATGAGGGTACAGAGCGGGTATTGATGTGCGTGTCGAGGTAGGATGCGTCCGCGGTCAACGCGGACTCTTCTTCGGCCTGGCTAGGCGGGGTGAGGATGAGGTACTTGGCGGAGTTGGCCTCGCGATCGCGGAGGTTGCGCTTGTAGTCGTCGTAGGCCTCCTTGCCCATGGTGACGCATAGCACGAAGGCGAGGGGGGCGACATAGGTGACGATATAGCCTGCGGTGAAGGTGAGCATTGCCTATAACTAGGAGGGGATGGGCACGCACCAATCTTCAAGGCGGGTATGAACTGGGAGAGCGCAACGAGTAGAAAATAGAGGTTGAAGAAGAACTTAAACTGCTCGTAGAATACGATGGGGAAGAAGGTGAACAGGTTGTACTTCTGGTTCCGCACGATATTTGGCGAGAACTTGGCCTGGAACTTCTCTACGAGCTTCATTGATATCAGGCATATATGCGATTATATACTGCGCGCACCTGGTGGTCTGAAAGGCACCGTCCTTGACTTATCCTTCACGGATGAGGTCTTCAGCAGCGGTACCTTCGTCTACGCTTGTCAATATGCATCGTCCGAACGGTAGCAAGCTACACACCTGGGTATTCACAGACGCGTCATCTGCAATCAGTTCCCCCCGCTCGTCATGCTCCTCCTGATAGTCCTCGGCGCCTAACAACCCCGCTTCCTCCTCCGGATCGTCCGCATACCGGCCCTTCCTCAGCTTCCCATTCCTCCGCGACGCGTTCGCTGCAGTAAGTGCAGATTTCCGCATCTGTTTCGTCTGTGCGCTCTGTCTTGTATGCGTCTGCGTGGTTCCGGAATCTTCCTCCGTCCCGTCGCCGAGTCGATTGTAGCCTGCGCGCGATGACTTATTCGTCCGTAGTGAGTTTAGCGGAATATCCGCCATGTAATGCGGTCGTTCGCAGGCTTTAGTGTAAGAATTCGGCGGCCTACAGACACGCCCGAATGAATAAAGCCCGTGCCGCCGCCACGGGATGAGAGGCGGAGGAAACAATGGATTCGTTTAGGTGACGACTGTTTGGCTGTTGACACGTGGTCCAAGCATAACAATAACTTCCATATTCGGAAGCTTTTGTCACGGTTGAACTTCCGTCACATCGACCACCTCGAACCTGGGAAGCTTTACGGGTTGCGCATGAGCGCTTGCATCCAGAGAAATTCGATACTTGTCTCTTCCTTCGAAGCCGCCGTATAATCTGCGATGATATGAGATACCCGCCTTCAGCAATTACCACTGGGCATTGCTCTGGTCGCCCGGACGGACGAGACCACAACGACACCTATTGAGTTTTGCTTCAAGTGAGCATGGTGTACTCCTGTGAAAGTCCAGCTGGAATCTCCGCAGAATGTGCATACTCGAAACCTGCACCCGCACCTACGCGGACTCATCCTCAACTTCTCTTATCTGGAAGGCTTTGTTCCTTCCTTCCACCAGCTCTGACCAGCAAGTCATCCTTGCTGACGTGCGAAATATAGCTTGACGCCTCAAGACACGACACAGCGACACTTGCAGTTTCATTTACCATGATGTATTGGACAGGCATGTCGATGATTAGCAGCCACAGAATTGCAATAATGCGCGCACAAATGTGAGTGGACACAAGCAGAGAATAAAAAGGGGGTAGCGTCAGACAAAGGGTCAATGCAACTAGCAGATTACAAGTAATTGTGTGTGGTGTGCGCGCAACAAGGAGCCGGACGACGGCGGACGAAGTGGCGGGAAGCAGCGGTCGAGGCGCCTACGTCCCCGAATGCGGAGACGGCGTCGAGCTGTGCGCCGCGAACGGTGTGGGCGGGAAGAACGCCCCCGGCGCCGCGCTCGCAGGATGCCAGTCATTGGGCCCGCCCATGCTGTTCCACATCGTGCCCATGGTGTTCAGCGGCGGCGGGCGCGCACCAGCACCAATCGGCGGCGGCGGTCCTCCCCACGGCGCACCTATGGGCGCCGGCGCACGCGGGCTCGAGTGTACCCATCCCTGGCCTACCGGCCCGTTCGTCGCTCCTCGTCGAGGCGTTGGCACGACCTCGTCGTCGTCCGCTGCGAGCGCCTTCGACCCGAGCACGCCCTTGGGACTGGGTGACCGCCGGCTAGGTGACACAGACCCGGACGTGTTTCCCTCAACCGACGGACGCGCGATAGGCGCAATCGGTCGAGTGATAGGTCCTGGGTCAGGTATAGACATCCGTCGACTGGGGCCTGCAGGTCCCGGACCCATGACGCCCGGCGCGCCAGGAGGCAGGGCACCCGCCTTCGATGGAGGACCGATCGGCGCAGGTGGCGCGTTGGCGGGAGGGAGACGGCTATAAGGAGGCTCGAAGGGGACCCCGGGACCAATGTTCCGCGGCAGCGCTGAAGGAGCAAGAGCACCAGGCGGAGGTGGCCCTTGAGGTAACGACAGTGGTGGTGCGCCATAAGGAATGAAGTTGTTAGGCGGAGACAGAGGTCCTCGAGACGGAGGTGGTATGATACCGTGCCCGAATATGGGTCCTCCCGGCGATGACTGCAGATGAGAGATATGAGGGGAGATGGGAGTGGCGGGTTGCGAGGCTTGCGGAGGTACAGCCGGGCGCGACGCAGTCTGTGGCTGCGGCTGCACGAGGGGCGGTCGCGATCCAGACGCACCGCTCGTCGATGCCTGCACAGGGGGAATAGGGGTAGCTACAGGAGCAGGCTTGTTGAGGATCTTCTTGGGCGTTGTCCCGTTGGGAATGCTTTGACGCGATGAAGACGCAGTAGCATTCCGAGGCGATTGGGGACCGCGAGCGTTGTTCTTGCGTTGCTGTGCCTGCTGCTGTTGTTGCTGAGCAGCACGCTCGCGTTCCTTCGCCTCCCGCTCCTCCTTCTCCTTCGCCAGCCTCTTCTCCCGCTCCTCGCGCTCACGCTCTTCACGCTCCCGCTTGGCTTGGGCGGCGGCGGCACGTTCAGCAGCAGCCTTCGCCTCCCGTTCCTCCCTGAGCTTGCGCTCCTTCTCCTCCTTCTCGCGCCGCTCAGCCCGCAGCTTCTCCTCGCGTTCTTTGCGCTTGCGTTCTCGCTCCGCTTCGCGTTCGCGCTCTTCAGCCAAGCGCTTACGACGCTCCTCCTCCTTCCGTTGTCGCTCTTCCTCTGCAGCCTTGCGAGCAGCCTCACGCCGCGCGCGCTCTTCCTCGCGCTTGCGACGATTCTCCTCTTCCTGTGCCTGCTGACGAGCCCGCATAGCTTGCTCCTCTGCAGCCTTAGCAGCCTCCCGTGCCGCGCGCTCCTCCTCCCGGGCAAGCTTCTGCTGTCTAGGAAACATCGTCAGCAATGATTTCCGTGTGATCGGGGTATGCAACGCACCGCTTCTTATCCTTCTTCTTCTGATTCTGCGACATTTTTGACTTCGCCTTCGTCGCCGACATCTTCTCCTCCTCATCGAGCTCGCGCAGCAGCTGCATCTGACGCTCTTGGGCGACCTTCTCGCGATACGCTTGCAGGACGCGTTGCTCAAACATACGCGCGGCGAAGATCGAGAACATCCGCTTGCCCTCCTCCATCTTCTGCTCTTCGGTGAGGATCTGCGATCGCGTCAGCATGTATACCCGAACCCGTATGCAGGCAACGCACCTCCTCTTCTTCCTCATCCTCCTCGTCCTCGTCATCCTCATCGTCTTCATCATCCTCGTCGTCTTCGTCCTCCTCGCTGTCGTCATCGACATCGGCGGCGGCTTCTTCCTCCCGTTGCATGCGGCGCTCGGCGAGCTGCTCCATCATCTCCAAGAACTTTTGACCGTCGTTCTTAAGGAGATCGTCCGCGACTGTTAGTATGTTGCCGGGACCTAGTCATGAGTATAACAAAACACGGTCTGTGAGCGCGGCACGCTGAACACACCTGTGACGGTTAAGCTGCTCCCGAGGTTGAAGAAGCCTTCGCGACCGTTGGGCTTGGCTGCCCGACGGGCGTTCCCTCGTGCCGGCGGTGCTGCGGGCCGCCGCCCGCGCACGGGTCGCACGTCCTCGTCGTCATCAGCGTCGTCCTCTTCATCCTCCTCGTCTTCTTCCTCGTATTCCTCGTCGTCCTCATCGTCTTCGTAGTCCTCCTCACCTTCATCGTCGTCGAATTCAGAGTCCGGGGGCTGCTTGATCGGGGGCTTCCGTCCATTGACGGCCGGGGGCATCTTGGTGCGCGCGCCATGCGGTTTGCCGTTCACCGGATGTCCTACCACCGCACCATTCTTGTCCAGCTCGACGCTTCCAGGGAAGGGGCCGGGGCCGGGAGGTGGTGTGATGGTGCGACCGGAAGAGACGTATTGCTGCTGATGGTTCGCGTACTGTTCTAGCTCTTCGTAATAAGCTTCGTACAGTACCTCGAGCTCTTCTTCAATGGCATTTCTTGAACGCGACCTTAGCTCCTACGCGACAAAAATTTTATCGCGACTCACCGCTTCCTTCCGCACACGGCGCAGCTACAGCTGTGCTTCTGCTGCTCCTTCATTTTGCGCAGGACTGTATCTTTTTCGATCTTGACGAGATTCCTGCGCTCCTGCTCGCCGAGCCCCAGCCAGAATTCCTTTATGCGTTCGCGCTCCTCCGTCGTGCTCGTGTTCCATATCTTGTTGGGCTTGGTGGAGGAGGAGTCTGAGGCGGCTTTGGACTTTTGCGTCGCGGACGCGTTGGAAGCTGGCGGCGATGGATGGTGATGAGGGTGACTGTGCGGGTACGCATGCGCGGGCAACGGCGCCTTTGACGCCGCGCGCGCTGAGCGTCCCTGTGGCGCCGGAGTCGCTGCAGGTGTCGCGGGGTATGTCATCGGCTGTTTTCCCATCGATACTGAGCTCGGCGGCGGCGCCGTTGTCGTCGAGGAGGGCGGGCGCGGCGCCGGCATTTCGTGAGCGGGAGGAGGATGCGCTGTTGACGCTTATTTGTCATCACTCTCAGTCATCGAGACCGGCCCGAACGTACCGATAGGCGCCGGTGGCGCCGGCCGGGCTGCCGGTGGCTGTGCGGTTTGTGGTGGCGCAGGCGCCGTGGGCGGTTGCTGGCTCTCCGTTTGCTGCTTACTCCCCTTCTTCTTCTTCTTTTTCTTCTTCTTCTTATGCGAGTTAGTAGCTGTGAGTAGATTAGACGAGTGCTAGGTGTAGCAATGAACGGAGACCTGCTTTGAGGCGTGTCGCTTTCCTCCTCGTCTTCCGTGAACAGATCCAGCGGCTCATGATACGTCCCGGTAGTCGGCGGTGGCGGAGAGGTCGATAAGTTGGGCGTCGTGGCAGTCCCTCCGTTGGGAAGTGGCGCGAGCGCTGCTGCCGCCTCTTGGATCGACCGATTGAACGCGGGGTCCATGAATACGCTCGAGTCGAAAGGCATGCCGGGATCGGGTCCTTTGACGTTCCCCCCACCTGACTGAACCATTTGCTGGGCGATAGCATACATCGCTTGCGCCTGCGAAAAGCTGTGAGTGGGATGTAGTAGGACAAGGGCACAGCACGCACAAAGGTCCGTATGTGGGGAGGGAACGTGCTCCAGTATTCATCGTCATCCGGTATTCCCTCTCCCGGTGTCGATCCCACCTTGCGGTGGAGCTGATCCATGTTGCGATACAGCTCCTTGGCCGTGTTGACGAGCTCGTTTGTGGCGGCGATCGCAGCCGCGCTGGTGTCCCCGGGTTCGCGCTGTATCCTCGTCAGCTGTGCTGCAGATGCCCAGGCGTCTGAGACGCACCGAGTAAACCGCATCCTCAAGCTCCTCGTCCGACTCATCCTCGTACTCCTCGTCATCTTCGTCCCCTTCGTCCTCCGCCGCTCGTCCCTTCCCCTTCTTCGTCATCTTCATCGCAGATGTGAATGACGGTGGGGGCTTATCCGGCATAGGGGACTGGACGTGTCGCAGAAGCGGCGGTTCCTTAGCGTTGAGCTTGGTCGGAGAAGGAACCGGGGACTTGGGCGGCGCAGGGATCGGACTCGCAGGCGGGGGCGGCGGCTCGGTGTTGACGATTGGTGGCGCGGCCTGGGCTGCAGCCTTCTGCTGGGCTCTTGCTTTCTTCGCTTTCGACTTGTTCTTGGATACCATGGATCTCCAGGCGTCAAGCAGACGGTGCAGGAGAAGCGGTGACTTGGAAAGCGCCGTCGCAGGCTCGAGTGAAGGAGTGTGTGATCAATGTGGGCAATGGGAGACGATAGAGAGATTCGCAGACAATGAGAGGGTGTTCTGGGGGAGCCGGCGACGCGACGCTCGTCGAAGTCAAGTGCAAGTTCGAGGCTCAAGCGCGCGTCTATTGCTGATCACGCGTCCAAAATGATGCTCGCGTGGCTGCGAGCAACGCCTTCCCGAAACGGACAATTTCTTTGTTTTCTCTCGCCACAATCTCCACATTCTATATGGACGGTATCGCAGCGAATGTACAGGCATCTCGCCCTCGGATTACTACGGCAGCTATGAACGCTGTAAAGCCTCCTGAATAACTCCATATGGAGGGATCACCCGCCCTTCGTCAGGTAATAGGTTGCCCAAAGTGAATGCTTGCCAAAATTTAGGCAATCGCTTGCTTGCCCCCTTCTCCAAGATCTGTCCTTCAAGAAACAGGCTCTTTTACTCTCGCTGTCTCTCGACCTATCAAACGTATCCTCCGGGATTTTTTGCGCGCAATGAATGCTGCTCGTCCGCTCTTCGAATTTCACCGCCAGCATCGTCCGCAAATGATCTTCATTCTTGCCAATACTGTCTTTTCTCTTGAGACTCTAGAGTTCGCTCTTCGACTCGTCCCATTGTCATCGGTACGTGCCACCCTAGGATATGTGCCGCCTAGCTCACGCTCACCCCCAACCCTTCGACATTATCTACATCCTATGTGGACTGTACACCCCCTCCATGATGACTACAAGCCATCGTGCGTATCGTAGTAGTAAATTATACCCACCAGGGCATGCACATTATGTGCCACCAACCCCATGCACATCGTATACCACAACCTGACGTCTGCCTCCACCTATTGGAACTGTCTGAAAAACCGCCCGATATCCCCCTCCTCTTCCTCCGGCAGCAAAGTCGTATACCCCTCCGCCCGCAAAAGGATCCTTGCTATTAACCGCTGCCTCCGCGTACCGAACTTGCATCGATCCAGCAAGTGCCGCCCTCGCGTGCCCCAAGCGCGTCCCTGGCAATCAGCGACGGGATACGGTATGCGGAAGACGAGCACGTCGCGGTATTCGCGTTGCTGGAGGTAAGGTAGGCAGGCTAGCTCTGCGGTGGGTGGTGGTGTTGCGGCATTTTCTTCGTTGGTGGGCGTGTCGGATGGCGGCTGGAGTGAAGTGTCCAGCGGGGGTGGCGCCTTGCGCCGCAGTCGTTGAAGGCCGCGGGTCCGAGGTTTGGTAGGTGTGGGAGGGCGCGGTGAGCTTGACGAAGCTACTAGCGAGCTCGATGAAGCCACAGGCTCGCACTCCGAGCCCGCGGAAGATGCCGATGAAGTGTGGCAACACTGGTCGCGCGCCACAATGGCATCATGCGACGGCGGTGGTGAGGGAGAATCCGGCAAGCAGCCAGTGGTGAGCTGATACAGTATAGTGCTGAATAGCAGCAGCTCGGGAAAAGTCGTCTGCATGGTCTGCGCACAGCCGTGAGTGGCGCGGTTTGACAGCGGGCGTCAAGTTCGTAGTCTCCATGACGATCTCTCACGCACCTTGACGGTGACACTCATTGACAAGTCAACAGGGACGACGTCAAAGACGAGACGAAAAGCAGGACTGTGGACCCAGCTCAGAAGGTGATCGGCACAGAACAAGGGGCAAGGTGGCCCTCGCACGCCACTTCAACCTCCTTCACGTGATGGAATCACGTGTGTTTTTGGCCAGCAAGGTGATGAACTGATCTCAGCTCGTATACAAGGCCAGAGTGTTTGGTAGTCTTCGAGGCTCTATGTAGTACCTGTGCTGTAGCGATCCGTAACCTTCACTTGGGAGAGGAATAGGTGATAGCTCCTCTGCTGCCGATTTCGATCTGCGTGACAATGTGTCACCCGTCACCTACAAACCATCGCGATTCGACGATAAGTCTCATTCTATAACCTACTCTTCGCCTGAGGTACGTCGTTCTCCCTTAATTGCACAGACAAGGCCTTCCCCTCTGCCCTCGCAGACAACGCTCTCCCCTCCGTCTTCGCCCACTCTACCACCCCGTCGGCCAGCGCATCCAACTCCTCCCTTGTATGCCCCGCCTGTACGCATACACGCACCCGCGACGACGCTGTCGGAGGGACGATAGGCCGCGCGGAAATTGGGCGAGTGTCCTTGCCAGCCGTCTTTTGCCGCTCAGCTGCGAGATACGCTGCCAGAGACCGTGGGTGAGAGGTCAATAGGGGAATGATGGGCGACACGAATTGCACAGCCGATGAGGATGTCGAACTAGTCAAGTGCACCGGCAAGCTGACGATGTCCTCTGGTACATCCTTCAATTCTGTCAGCAGGCGGGAGACGAGGTATATGCAAGCGGAGCGAAGGTTTGCGGCAAGCTGAGAGTTCAATTGAACATGTCAGTGATTGTGAGGACCGCGGAGATCCGTTAACTCACCCGCTCTGTCGTGCCGTTTTCCAAGACGTCGAGCGCACAATCAGCCGCCACGACTGCCGAGTACGCAGGGGCGGTTGTGTAAATTAATGGCCGCGCGTAATTTAAGAGGTACGACTTGAGAAGGGGTGGTACGAGGAGGAGGGCTGTGAACCATGTCAGTCACTGACTGAAAAAGAATATAGGAACATACCACCGCTCGCCGCCAGCGCTTTACCGAAGGTATGCAGCTGCGCCAGCACACGATCTTCTAGTCCGAGTTCCGCGACGCGGCCTAGTCCGCGAGGGCCGTACAGGCCGGTGGCATGCGCCTCGTCGACGATCAGGTGCCCGTTACCGCTGGGGAAAGCCTCTTCGAGCGCATCTGCCATCTCGGAGAGAGGCGCGATCGTGCCGTCCATGCTGTAGACACTCTCTACGGCGAGAAACAGACTAGACTTGGGTTTGGACGTCGAGGCAGAAGATAGACCTGGATGCTGCTGCTTGGCTGCTCTGAGGATGTCCCTGAGTGCCTGCACGTCGTTGTGTGCAAATGCATAGCGTTTCGCAACGCGTGCAATGCGCGCGCCATCGTGTACACTCGCGTGAATATTCTCGTCGTACACCAGGATGTCCCCCGGCTGCGGTACGCATGCAAAGAACCCGGCATTCGCATCGAAGCCTGAGTTGAGCAGCAGCGCTTCCTTCTTTCCCAGACCATTACACCCTCGTGGGTTGTACAGCCTCGCCGCCCTCTCCTCCAACGCCTGATGCGCCGAGCCATTCACCAGCAGCCGCGAACCTCCCGAGCCCAGGACATCCGGCGCAGCTGCGAGCTTCGATAGGAACGCCTCTCGCAGGGCAGGCGACCGCCGCAGAGACAGGTAGTCATTCGAGTTGAAGTCGATCACGTCGGCAGTCGTGGGGGACGACGCTTTGGGAAGGTGGCGCAGGAGCGATCGCTGCTTGCGCGACTCGAGCGCGCCGGTGAGCTTTGAGGCGAGGGCGGAATCGCGCAAATGAGGCGCAGGGCTGGATGCGTCACTCATTGTAAGGGAAAGAGAAGGGTAAGCGCGCGAGAGGGAGGAGGAGAGACGATCGCGTCCATCATCGCGTTCTGCTCGTCAATGTCTTGGGGATCGACTGTCGATCATGCCGCCTTCGGCCGACGCGCGCAGAACCCGTGCGGTGCGGCCTTAAAGCGGCAGGGGCTTGGCATTGAATACGCTGAGAGTAGCCCGACAAGCATCTCTGAGGATACAACATACAGGAAATGTGAGTAGACGATGGTCGTCGAAGACAAGTACGCTTGTGAGAGCGATCTAGAGCCGCAAGCGCCCACCTTCCCGTAATCGGGCCGGATATCCGTCAACCTGGAGATGAGCTTCCCCGAACGTCTGCCATGGGAGACTAGAGATGAGCTTGTGGCCACGAATCACAACGTAAGTCTCTAGTCGGGTGTCAAAGCCCTCACACTGCACAACTCGGTACTCCCGCGAATAAGTGAATGAATATGCAAACAACAAGCAAAGACTATGCACACAAGAAAGCGAACGGCAAATAGAGAACAACGACTGCAAAAAGGATAGCACAAGTATGCAGCCGACAAGAAACAAGCCAAAAGTGAAGCACGAGCGCCGATGAGAATGAGTGAGTATAGATGAACGAGAGATGCCGGTGAGTATGTATATAAGCACATTGATATTTCGTCTCTTCTTCCCCTCCCCCGCCTTCCACATCCCAACTCCACCGCCAAGGCGAAGTACTTTTCTATAGTCCTTTCACGAGCCCCCCTCCCTCTCAATGCCCGTTCGCTCACCCTCACTCCGAGATGATGTTCCCGATGCTGAGCGGGTTATTGCTCTTCTTCGCCCGCTCCTCCCTCTCCCTTTCCCTCTCCTCCCTCGGCGCATACCCCTCCCTCCCGCCTGCGTAACCTTCTCTCCCCGAACCAGCATACTCTCGTCCACTTCCACTTCCACTTGCAGCAGCACCTGCACCTGAAACACCCCCAGCATACTCCCTCCCGCCAGCATACTCACCCGCCCGATAGTCCCTCGAATAGCGCGACGAGTACGACTCCCGCGAATAGTCACCCCGCTCCTCGCCTTCCCTCGCAGGATAGTCGGGCCGCGGCAGGTAGTCCCGCGACTCCCTCTCCCTCCGGATAGGCACCGACGCGTACGCAGCCGGATACTCGAGCGATTCCCTTCGCAGCGGCGCCAAACGCACGCTCTCCCCGCCAGGACCACCATTCGCCCGCCCACGGTCCTCCGACGGCCGCGAGGCATCGCCACTCGACCGAGTGGGATCACCAGCGGCGCGCGCCCCCTCCCCCGCCCTCGAGCCCTCCGCCCTCCCAGCATCCCCGCTCGCCCTTGCCCCTTCATACGGCGGCGCGTACGGCTGGCCAGGGTAACCTGGGCCCGGCGGGTACCCATATCCAGCGCCATAGCCGGGCGCGCCGCTCGCGTACGGTGGATAGCCGCCCCCAGGGTACGGAGCCCCGCTTCCAGTCGCGTACGGCGGCGCACCGTTGTACGGAGGCGCACCGCCATTAGTGTACGGAGGCGCGGCCGAGGAGCCCGGAGGATAGGATGCGTTACCTGGCGCGGGCGGATACGACGCGCCGCTGGGGCCTGGTGGCGGGTAGCCTGCGCTTCCTGCGTATGGCGCTGAGTTGTAACCACCTGGATAGGGTGCACTTGGGCCTGGAGGGTAGGGCGCGCCGCCCGCATAGGCATAGCCAGCACCAGGCGGATACGGCGAGCCGCTCCCATACGCATAACCTCCACCAGGGTACGGCGCCGGATAGCCAGACGCGCCAGGTCCTGCTGGCGGCCCCGGAGGATACGATGCGTTCCCAGGCGGATAGCTTGCGTTTCCCGGTGGGGCAGGTGCGTAGTAAGGGCCGCCAGATGCGGGAGGCGCACCGTAAGGTGGTCCATTGTAGGGCGGGTAGCCGTATTGTTGTGGATAAGGCGGATATCCTGGCGTTCCAGGCGAGGGTTGCGCAGCAGGCGGTTGCACGGGCGATACGTGCGCGCTTGTAGGCGACGGCTGAGCGACCGCGCCAGAGGAATGAGCGACCGTGCTGGAAGGCCGAGCAGTAGTTCCTGGAGGGTGGGCACCCGAGCCTGACGCATGCGTCATACCCGACGATTGTTGTGCGCCAGACGGCGGCAGATGAGAAGACGCCGCGACGGGTGGTGATGCCTGGGCGGGAGGCGGCGCCCCATACGCCCATCCCTCCGGCCCTGAGGGATAACCGTAGTGGCTACTGTACCTGGGTGGCGGCGCCGGTGCGTATCCGTAGCTTCGCTGAGGGCTTCCTGGACGAGGGGGCGGCCCTGCCATGCCAGACGGCGTCGGCGTAGTTGGTGCAGCACCCGTCGGCGCCGTGGCAGCAGGTCCGGTCAAGCCAGATGATGCGCCCGCCGGGGAAGATGAGATTGGGACATTGCCTCCTGGTGGTGCTGACGGCCCTGCGCCATCATCGTAGAAACCGTAGCCATTATCGTATCGCGGGACATAGGGCGCATGATGTCCATAGTCATACTGCCCGCCGTACGGCCCATAAGGAGGGTAGTGGCCAGGCGCAGACGGCGGCGCATGATGCACGGGCGGAGGTCCCGCATGTCCAGGCGGCGGAGGCCCTCCAGGCCCAGAAAGCGGCGGCGGAAGCCCATGATGCGATGGTGGCGGCCCTTGGTGGTGTTGAGGCGGCGGTATCGAGTGATGCTGTGAACCTCGTCGGTCAGGCGACGGCGTTCGCAGAGGCGACGGAGGCGCATCATTCTGCGATGCTCCGGGTGGTGGGGGAATCATAGGGCCCATCGGACCGCTGAGGGAGCCGCCCCCTCCCCCGTTTGTCAGCGCAGGGTCGATGGCGTCAGACACCGTGGGCACGGGCAGCGTCGAAGGTAGCACAGGTACGGGTAATGTTGGGACTTCGGGAACTGGGACGGGAGCAGCGGACGGACGGCCGTCGTTCCAGGTATCCGTTCGCGAACGCTTGCGCTTGGGTTCTTGCTCTTCATCATCATCGACAGCAGGCACATACGCACGCGCTGGCGGAGGAACGTCTATGGTGTTTGTGGGGGCACGCTTGCGTACACGGATATCCTTGCGGATGCGTATTTTGATGCCCTGGTCGGCGAGGGAACAAGATAGAGGCGTGGACTCTATGGAAGTGGCGAGGCGGGTGATCGAAGAGTGGCGTGTCGCGTCATGGAAGAAGTACGAATCAGTGAGCAAAGCGGACGTCAACAAGGGAAGTACATGGCAAGGCTGGGGACGCACCCTCCATGCCGGGGAATTTCTTCGCGGTGTAGACGTAGAATGGTGTGCTGTATATTGACTTGCAATGCCGAACGTTGTTCCTGGGCATATCAGTCAGTTTAATGGCGAAGCTGAGGGCGTAAAAGACGCACCCCACGACCTCGTACAAGCTGAGTTTGAGGCGGTAGCTGCCCTCTGTGCGTACGCTGAGGTCGGGGAAGACGAAGAAGCCTGCGTCTTCGTTGTCGTTCATGGGGTCTTTGAGGTGGTACAGGGATGATACAACAGAGCCAGTTGTACAACGCGTCCGCCCGTCCTGAGATAAAGTGAGTATATGCCTCGGAAGGGCGCATATATGTGGACGCACCTTCAGCCAATGTAACTCCGTGTCGTCGTCAGGCTTCGCGAGACTTGCGAACATGAAGTAGTATGGGTTCTGCAGGAAGGACTGCGCGTATGCGTCGTCTTCAGCGTCGCCCCCGCCACTGGATGAGGGTTCCGCGGCGCGGTTTTTGCGGCTGGGGTCGATAACCCTCAGCTGAACGATAGGCGGTGGATCGATCGGGCGGCGGTCAGCTGCTCGGTGTCGGTCAGCTCGTGCGTCCAGCTCATCGTCGCTGTCGACGCACCCTTGCCGCCGACGCCGCACATGCGCGCCTGCTTCGGCTCCTGGCGCATGACGAGGTCGTACTCTCTGTCCGGTGGCGCAGCGGAGGCATGGTTCGCGGGTCGGTGGGGGAGGTTCGAGTACATGCGCGGCGCGGTCAGCGGGGGAGCCAACGGGAGGAACACAGCGGCGGCGCGGCGCGGGACCGGCACCCGTGATGGTCGCGTACCGCTGCCTGGGTCGTCCGCGCCCAAGGGTATGGGTCGCCCAGCCCGGCACCCGCCGTGCATAAGACGCGGAAGGGGGACACTCACAGTATATTCGGGGCGGCGTGGTACCCACCCGCCATCGCAGCTGCCGCCGTCGGCGCTCCTGCGCCCGCCGCTGCCATCGCTGTCGGGGTCAACGACGAGAGCGCGCAGGTTTGGAGGATTACGCCACGTGCGCCCCGCTCCCTCGGATCGCGCCAAGCACCGATTGCCCGGCGCCGCACGTGGCCCGTAGCATTCGCTTTTCCTTTCCTGGACGTACGCCACAATTGGCAGGCAGGCGCCAGCACCGGCAACCCCCGCCTGCCTCCCGCAAAGACAAAAGCACCGCGCCGGCGCCGGGACCCTTCACCCATTCCCAGCACCCGAGCGCGCGGCCTGCACGCCCGTTTACGGCAACTCGAGGGCACAGTCCGCGTACCGCTGCCCCGGATCTTGGGCCGTACCTGAGTTCAGAGCCTCCAGGATAAGGTTGGACGTCTCTTGATTATCGCCGCACCATTGACCTGCACAGACGAACTTGCACGGAGGATCGTCAGCTCTTCAGCGCCTACGAAAGCACAGGAGCTGTCCGGCAAGCCCTTCCCTGCCATCGCCATGCGCCTCCCACCTCCCGGGCATCCATTTGCCGCGGACATGTGTCGCACTTCTCGAATCCCGAGTCCTGCAGATTTTGGTCATTGCCCCTTCTACCATTCATTCCCGCCCCCCTTCCAATTTCCGCCTCGCCAAGGATAGCCTACCTGGTGCAGCGGCGAGTTGCATCGTGCATGCCTCAGTATTCCGAGGCTCAGCTTCCTGTCACCCTCGAACGCCAGCCGTCGAGCGGTCTTTAGTCGCGCAATGAACAACACACTACAACGGTGGCTGAAAGTACGCGCTATGAACGCGTGACGCAAGGCCCTCGATTACGATGGCGCTGGTCCGCTGACAAGGGGACGATACAGTTCACTGATACTAGCGCCGGCTCGAGCAAGATTCCGCGCAGCAGCAAGCGATGGATCTTGGATTTTTGAGATTGCACGACAGACGCCCTTGTCCCTTGCTTGTCCCAGAAAGCCGCTTTGGAGCCAGTAGCGTCGGCACCTTTCACTGTGAAAATGACGTGTACGATACTCGGCTGGACAATTCCTTGACTAGCTTGGAGTCAATACGCGCAGTGGGAGGCAGCGGTAGTAGATACAGTGAGATATGGAGCGCGATGAAGCACGATAGGCTGTGACGAAGACGTGACCGAAGTTCAACATGAGTTCGGCAGATTCCGCGCGTCTGCGGCGAAAGCCGAAAGCAGACGCGTCAGAACGCAAAGCCAAACAATGAACTTTGTCTTTGACTATCATATTCACAGCGCCTTGCGCGCTTGATATTGTTTCTCTTTATCGTCATCTTGCTTGAAGGCTGCTTCAAATTATTATATCTGCCGGCTACACCAATTTCGCTGCCGTCAGCCCTACCCCAATTCGAATCATCTACTTCTTGGCCAACTCAGATGCACCCACGCAACCCATACCGCACCCCAATCGATTTTACTGCGCTTGCAGAAGCATACCATCCACTTCAGTCGTAGTGTGTACATCATACTTGACACGCTCCTATTTACTAACCCATCCTTAGCCTCGTTCGCACCGCAAATGGCGGTCTTACGCTCGACTTCAGTGATGCAGATGCGCAGATGTAGGTCCTTTCGATTGCTACAGAAATTACCAGTAGAAACTGAATCTAAAACTTTCAGCTGCCTGACGAAGGCGCTTCTTCACCGCGACTTCGGGCTCGACGTGCAGTTGACGCCTGAAAGGTTGTGCCCGCCTGTGAGTCTTTCTGCCTGCTTGGATTCTATCCAACGGCTTCATTATATAACACCCCCTTTGACTGTATCAACAAATCTCATCGCTGATGCAAACGTCTTCGCCATCGCAGGTGCCTAATCGGTATGCCCTTATGTCCCGTCTTCCTGGCGCGAACGAAAGACGAGCATCCCTCAGATTGAACTACATCCTTTGGCTGCAAGATATCCTTGAAGCGACCCAAGATGACCCGAGTGGACCCGTTCTCGGCATCGATGTGTATATCTTTCCACTTCCTGCCCAAAGCCAGAGGAACTCATATGTGTCCTTTTCTTACAGAGGTACCGGCGCGTCTGCGATATACCCCCTTCTCGGCTGCGCCACAGACGCAAGATGGGCGTTCGTGGCGACCGGTGCGTTATATATATTCTTCGCGTCAGGCGCTGACGTTGACTTCTTCTCTAGAGCTCGACCTGCTTTCGCTGCGCTTTGCTCGCGAGAATGTCGCGCGCAATGGGTCGGACAAGCCGTACCAAGGACGCAGTCAACGCATCGAAGTCCTCCAAGCATCCGAAGGCGGGCCGCTCCTCCTTCCCCTCGCCGCCTACCCCGACCGCCAATTCGCGTTCTCGATGTGCAACCCGCCATTCTACGAAAGCGCGGAGGAGATCGCAGCGTGTGCGGCGGGGAAGGCGAGGCCGGCGGTGGGGGCGAGGAGGGCCGGGAGTCGAGGGGTGGCGCGCAACTCAGCGGCCGGTAGCAGGCAGTCTACGCCAGGGCGTGAAACAACGCCGGGAAGGTCGACGCCAAGTAGGCATACTACGTCGGGCAGTCGTCAATCGACTCCGGGACCTGAGCTCGCCACCGCGCTCGCTGGTGCGCCGGTCGAGATGGTCACGCCGGGTGGGGAGGTTGCGTTCGTGGCGCGCATGGTGGCGGAGAGCGTGCGGTATGGGGAGAGGTGCCGGTGAGTAATTTAAGACGATCCACCGGCAGCGGGCTCATGATGTCGTCCAGCTGGTATACCTCAATGCTTGGAAAGCTATCTTCGGTCGCAGAGATTGTGCGTGTGCTGAAGGAACATAGGGTGGGAACGACTTTTACTAGACCGTTGTATCGCTTACCAACATCGCTTTTCATTTCTCCGCTTTAAGATTGACAACTACGCGATTACAGAGCTAGTGCAAGGTCAGACCCGCCGATGGGCGATTGGATGGTCCTTCACAGCGGTCCGCTTGCCTGATGTACGTATTGCTGTTGTTGCCTCCATCTTTCCGTTGCCAATCACTCACGAACCTCAGTCTCTCGCGCGCGTCTCAAGTCAGGCCCTTCAGAGCGTCCTGCCACTACGCAACGAGATGGCTCAGCCTCTTCCGCAACACATTGCTGTCGACACATCCTGGAGCGAACGAGTCGAGGCCGCCGTACGCGAGGCCCGCGGAGCGCTCTCTGGCGTCACTGTGCAAACCAACGCGCAAACCTATGCGCTCACGATTTCTGCAACGGCGAACACTTGGTCGCGCGCCGCGCGGCGGAAGGCGCAACGGGAAGCGTCCATGCAGCCTACGCCAGACCATCACGACGAGCGCCAGCTCGACGTGATGGTCAGTTGGTCAACTCGCGGCAAGGAGGAGACAGGATCCCATCCAGACGCGATGGACTGGGAAGGACATGACGATGCAACTCCGGGAGACGCAGCGGCGGAATACGCGGTCGAGGGACGTCGAAGCTCAACGGACTCGGCTATGGAGGTCGACCATCCGGTTGGTGCTGCGCGCGGTCCGTCCAAGCACGAAGCTGCCTCGCCAATCCTGCGTATTCGGTGGATGCGCGGGAGAGATAGGACATTGTTCGAGACGTTCTGGAGTCATCTGTCTCGCAAAGTAGTTGGTATGCTGGTGTAATGAAAGTCGTATGTCACGTAGTAGCTGGTACATACTGGCCGGCTCGCTCCCTTACAGAGTCAATACTTGGGTCTTTAGCGAACAAAAAAGAGCAAGAACCGAAAAATCTACACCGGACGGGAATCGAACCCGTGCCGCTTGCTCAACTAATCCACGGGTTCGATCCCCGCACGAATGGAAGGCAAGCATGATAACCACTTCACCACCGGTGTGTGAAATACTGCGTCTGTGCGGTTTATCTAACCATACCAGACGAACTGCGAGGCCTTCCCACCTTTCCACATCAGTGACTTGTCAGTCTGTGCTCCAAAATCGCTTGGATCAACCAGTCCGTCTCGTTTAGCTTTTGCCCAATTTATGTTAGGGCGAAACTGTCCGTCCTTCGCCAAATATCGCGCAAAACCTTCAATCGCAAGGCCGCCGTCCAGAGCCGATAGATAACTTCACGAACGGGCAGCATTATGGCACAAGGATGGATTGGACGAAGGAATTGGTTGGGCGACGCCGAGTCACAGAAAGTTCAACTGTGACATTCGCTGGTCGTTGACCTGTCACCTCAGACCTGTACCTAGCCATGCACATCCAGCCGTATTGCTCGATGGGCAGATCAAGCGGCGCATAAGCAACCCACAGCCCATGGGCGCTGACGAGAGTTCTGCCCAATGGTAGGCTGAACAGTGTCCGCACGTCCTGGACCCCACCCCCCTCTGCGACCTTGTGAGCTTCAACGCGATACAAAAATGCGGTTGATAAGCTGAGCCGCCATACACTGAGCCGTACTACTGAGTACATCACGCCACAGCACGAGAAGAGAATAGATAAAGAGTTCAATCCGTCGAAGATGGTATCCTACGAGCAAGCCATACAGTGGTCGTCAACGCGCCGCCACACTAGCGCTGCCGAGCGCCCTATCGCTGCCCGTCCGTGATCTCCTTGATCTCCTTCTCGAACGCCTTCCCAATCTTCGACCGCTGGATCTTCTGCGCTGCGGTCACGAGCCCGCTCTCCGGCGTCCACTCGTCCGGCGTGAGCACGACGGCCTGCAGCAGCTCCATCGTCTTGAACCCGTTCTTCTTCCCCACCGCGTTGCACTCCTTCAGCACCAGCGCGCGCACCTTCGCGCTGTGGCACAGCACCGGCAGCTCCGCCTTCGCCTCGCTAGAGCCCTGCTCCTCCAGCGTGTGCCGCAGGTGCGCCTCGTTCGGGATGATGATCGCGAGCGGCTGCTTCAGGTCCGACGAGCCGTACACGCAGATGTTGTGCACGAGGTTGCACGCCTTGTACACGGACTCGAGCCGCTCGAGCGCGATGTACTCGCCGTTCTGCAGCTTGACGAGGTTCTTGACGCGGTCGATGATCGAGAGCGTGCCGTCCTTGTTCCACCGGCCGACGTCGCCCGTGCGGAACCAGCCGTCGGCGGTGAAGACGTTCGGGTCCTCGTTGAGGTCGGGGCGCTTGTAGTAGCCCTTCGTCACCGAAGGGCCGCGAATGCAGATCTCGCCCTGTGGCGGGTCGCCGTTCGCATTGTAGCCAGCCTCTGGCACGTCGAGCATCTTGATCTCGATAGACGGAACGGGGATACCAACGACACCGTACTGCATGAGCTCTGGCGGCAGAATCGCGCACATGCCGCAGGACTCGGTCATACCGTAACCTAAAAATAGTGTCAGCGACTGTTCAACTCTGGATTCGTCGTCGACTGCAGAGAAAGCAAGTAGCAGATACTCACCCTGGAGTAGCGTCACCAATGCGACGTTCAAGAACTCCTGCGTCTCTCGGCTGAGCGAAGAGGCACCGCTGAGAGCGACACGCAGGCGACCACCCGTTGCTTCCCGCACGCTCTTGAGAACGACGGAGTCAGCGATTTGGGCCAGACCCGGGACGTTGTTCTTCTTGACGGTCATGGCCCCGTTGAAGACGCTCTTCTTGATGGTACCGCTCTTGTTGACCTTCGAAAGAATGCCCTTGCGGATGGTCTCCCACACGGCGGGCACACCAATCATGATGCTGGGGCGGAAGGCGGTCATGTCACCCTGGCAGTTGCGCACGGACGCGTCGGTCAGCGTCTTGACGCGACCGTAGCCGGAGGGCATCCCGACGTAGAACATCGTCATCTCGACGATGTACTCGAGGATGTGCGCAAGCGGGAGGTACGCGAGGAAGCTGTCCTCCTTCGTCAGATGGTGCCCCAGGTGCACGTAGACGGCACCGACGGAAGCGACGAGGTTGGAGTGCGTCAGACACACACCCTTCGGCGCACCGGTGCTGCCAGAAGTGTACATGATGCACATCATCGTGTCCTTCGTCGGCTTCCTTCCGTCAAGCGTGTCCTCGGACTTCGTCCGCCCACGCTCGCGGAGCTCGTCGATGGAGAGGACTGTAAGCCCCTCGCGGACGCCGCGCAGCTTGTCGAGGAGGTCCGCGGAGGGCTTCTCGTCATAGATGATGACGCGTACGGTGGGGGTATTCGGCAACACGTGCAGCACCGTAGGCAAGAGATCCGCGTTCGTAAAGATGCCCACGCAACCGGGCTCGTTGAGCGAATGCGTCAGTCCCTCCTCGCCGAGGGAGTCGTACGCGGTGGCGATGGTCGTAGAGATGGACGAGCATCCGTGCGCGATGAGCTGCCAGTTGATACTAAAGCACTGTCAGCATGTCGTATGCGCGCCGCAGCAGCACCGCACGCACCATGTTTGCGAGTACACGTTGAAGATGTCGTCCTTGGTGATGCCCAGGTCAACCAGGCCACGGGAGACTTCCGAGACAGCGACGAAGACCTCCTTGTAGGAAAGGAACTTGTAGTCGCTGAGCTCGAAGTACTTCCAAATCTTCTTCTCCTTCACTTCCTTCCCCCCAATGACTTTCGTGATCTCCTTCTCCTCCTCGTGAATCTTGAGGATGTCGCGGTACCCGAGTGCTTTGCGGTCGCCGTGCTCCGCCACCGCGGATGTGAGAACGTCATAGACGGTCTCAACCCCCTCCTTGGGTTGGGTAATCAAGCGGTCTGCTGTCGGAGCGAAACGGCGAACGGGACCCTCGCCTGGTCGCGCTGGCTCGGCGACAATCGCTGAGCCCTTGCCGTAGTATCCAGGTTTTGAAGTCGCTAGGTGGGTCATGGTGGTTTGGAAGAAGAGTTGGGAGCGTCGCCGTGCGCGTCGACGAGGAGCACCAGTGCCGCGTTGCGTGACGTCACACGTCATCGGCGCCAATTTCTCTCAAGTCACATGCATCATCACATGCGCGTTCTGATTGGACCCACACCTGCCTCCCGCCCCCATGTGCCCTTTTAGATGCATTCCTCGAGATCAGCAGCACCCTTCGGGGCAGCAGCAAGATAATCCCCTTGTCTTTCCTTTCCTCGGCTTCATCGACAGAGACAGGTCTGCGATCCCGGGAGTAGCGTAGTTGCGATGCCTATCGGTCACAGTACCAGTGTTTGGGGATTGGGGAGTCTTGAATGAAGGTATCTGCTTTGAAGTGGCACGAGTCTCGAGATAGGCACAGCGTCTAGCTCTGTAAGCACTCCCCACTTCCCTTTGACTCACTCGGATTCAAACCGGATCCCCGCGCAGCGCGCAGTCGAACTTCAGCGTGGCGCCAGGCGAGTCCGACGCTCAAAAGTTTGCTGCGCTGCTGAACGTCGACTAAGCAAATTTCCCCTCAAGCAACTGCGGCCATAGTCTGTTCCTTCAAAAGCCGCCGAGACGCGAGTTTGTTCCTGTTCAGCTCACATTGACCGCCTGCCGAGGTATGACGCCACCAGCCGCGGCGCAGGGCGCAGCACAGCCCACCTCCCGCGTCGCCCCTCGCCTCATCCTCCTGCTCTCCGATATAAGGCATCTCTGTTCTGCGGCTCCTTACCTCCTCAGCATCAGTTATCATGGGCGCTATATCACTTCCGGAAGACTCGTACGCTGACAAGGGCGTTGATCCAACCTTTGGTGAAGAGGACGTGCGCACGCCTTTGCTGCCAGGAGGTGGTCTACCTTCTCGGTCTCTGGAAGACCATCGCCGTCGTCAGATCCGGATCCGTCGCTTTTGTCACTTCGCGCTCCTCTTTACGCTGCTCGTCTTCGCGGTTCACCTGCTCTCGGATACGGTCCGGTACCAGACTTCGCGTATCCTTGGGTTCAATATGGATGTGAGTCTACGTACTCAATTCCTCCTTGTTGATCCCCATTATTTGCCCGTCGCTGACGCCGGTTCCAGGATCACGACTACCCCATACCGCCTGGCGTAACCCTCGAGGATTGCCCCGCTTGGAATATTGGCGAGAACTCCCACGTGGGCAGGGTCTCCTTCAAGTTCGACCTGCCTGTCGAGGAGCTCTTCGCCCTCGCTCGCGGCCCACGCTCGCATGGCAAGATCCACATCCGGCAAAGCGATGTGGTCACCGACGATGTCTTGGTCAACGTCGAGGTGCACACCGACACACCCGCGGGCTTCGACCACGCGAAGGCTTGCCTGGCCAAGCGCGAGGGTAGCGACGATACGGCTGGTCTGGGGATTTTTGTAGGCTTCTTGCCTGATTTGCGCTTTCCATTGAGCTAATAACGCGCACAGACCGACGAATGGTGGAACAACCATCACCATCGTCACCACCACCGCATCCACTTCGCCGTCGAGGTCGTCCTGCCCAAGCTCAAGGACGATGTCCAGCAGGTCAACAAGCTCACCACCGACCTGCCCATCTTCCAGCACACCATCGAGGAGCTGGCGGATACGGTTCTTTTCCAGACGCTCAACCTGCAGACCTTCAACGCGGGGATCTATGCCAAGGTCAGTCTCGACTTCTTCCCATCTTCCCATCTTCTCCCCCCCTCGCCCTCCCATCGCTTACCCTTTCTTTCAGTCCATCCACGCCGTCCACGGCACCATCGGCACTTCGAACGCCGGCATCGATGGCGTCTTCCGAGCTGACGAGGCCCTGACCCTGCGCACCAGCAACGGACGCGTCGCCGCCACCGCTTCCGCCCCCATCGTCGACATCACCACAGCGAATGGGGCTATCGAGGGTGAGTACAGCGCAAGCAAGGATTTGGCGCTCTTCACGCAGAATGCACATATCTATGCCACGGTGACTCTCGAGAACGACCCTGCGGGCCCGGAGACGAAGGCAAGGGTGCATACTGCGAATGGGTGAGTTTTCCCTCCTGTCGATCGAGGTCCCAGTGCACGGTGAACAAACAACTAACTCTCACCCCAGCCAGATCCGCCTCGCGGTTTCGCTCTCGTCCACCCAGTCCACCGGCGGGTCCTTCGCCCTCGACGCGCACACCCAGAATGCCGGGCTCACGCTCGAGTTCCTCGATTCTCCTCTCGATGCCGCCCTCTCCCTCGACGCCCACACGACCCTCGGCAAGGCCGACGTGCGGCTGCACCCTACGTACGAGGGTGCCTTCGATGCCTCGACCAGTCTCGCGCGCGTGCAGGTGCGGAAGGGGGAGGAGGATGAGGGGACGGGGCGAGGTGCCAGGGACTTGGACGTCAGGCAGAACGTTGGGACGCATGTGGAGGGCGCGGTCGGGTGGAGCGAGGAGGGGAAGGCGCGGGGGAGTGCGAGAGTGTCGTCGAGTATTGGGGCGGTGGAGCTTTGGGTTTGATGTAGTTGTGATATTTGTCATCTCAAAGAAAAAACTACTTGTGATATACGTGCCCGTCCTGTCCTTTACCTTCTTTGTTGTATTCCCTCGAGATCATGTCTATGTACGCTCTATATGTTCGGTATATGGGCATGATCCAATATATATTCCCGTGTACACAAAAACACTCGCAACCACTTACAGCGCTATCACAGTCTGATGCGTATAAGTACTGCTCGTCGGCGAGCTTGTCGTCTCACTCCCCGTACTCTCACCCCTTCCATGACCAACCCGCATCGTATCGAGACAAATCACCGAGTCCCTCCTCAGCACCGCCGGCGGGATCTGGTAGCAGATCTCCCTATGCACGGACCCGTCGCGCACGGTAACGACCTCGCGGGTGAAGCGCGGGACGGGCGGGGTGGAGTAGCGGCGGCTCCCGGAGGCTGAGTACCGACCACTTGTTGGGGAGGAGCAGTAGCGACCACTCGCGGGGGTGGAGCAGTAGCGACCGGCGGAGGAGGGCGAGCGGATGGGGAGCTTGGTGCGTTGCGTGTCGAGGCTGGCCTGCCGGATGTTGAACATCATGCGATTGCCGAGGACGCAGGAGACGGCGACGGCGAAGCCGATGGGGAGTTCGAGGAGGGAGGGCTGAGGCGAATGTTATTTCGAGGGCAGGTATAGCAAAGGAGCATCACGCACCGGCGCCGCAGCCCACATCAACATGTTAGTGAAGTATGTGGCGAAGACGCTGGTGGGATGGGCGTCAGCATCCTGTTCGAGCCAGTCATCGACTAGTACTCGCGCGAGGTAGTACATCACCGAGTCACGTATGAGGATGCGTATGAGCAGCCGACTAGATGTATAGGACGCATTATCCATCCGATACGTCTGGAACCCGCGATATAGCGCGAGCGCGCATAACAGGCTCTCGAAGCCCAAGAAAGGGATCCAGTATGTGTAGAACTTCGGTGATACGTTACTCGGAACGCACATCGGCTTGAGGCCTGGTAAGGTGACCACGACCGCTGTGCGATACTCTGTTTCAGTAAATGTTGGAAAGAAGGTAGGAGTACCGACCAGTGACGCGCTGCATGACAAGGCCCATGATGGCGGCAGCAAAGCCAGACGAGACGACGAAGCCCACGAGCATTACGATAAGGATCTTCTTGTTGAGAAGGTAGAGGACGTAGAGGCGCATTAGGAGTATAACTGCCGTGAGAGTCAGTCACTTTCGGGTGCCATCTCTGTGAACAGCCTACTTTCGGACACAACGCAAACGGCGACGCCAGTCGCGCCTTGCCATCGAAAGTAAGTCAGGCCTTGTCGAGTGCGTCAGCAAAGCAAGGCAATGTAGAAGTTCACCTACAGCTGTTACGGTTGATCCAGCCCCGTTAGTTGCTGGTTTGCGTACTGAATGCGAGACGCACAACTAGGAATGCGCTGTGAGATCAAAAGCCAGTTACAGAAGGCAATTGCTTACACTATCCGTCAAAGATGGTGTAAACAGGCCTATGTGTAACACGATGAGCTGAGGCCCGCATATACATGATACGGTAGCTTACCGTACAGATTGACTCTACAGGAGACTGAAGTTAGACAAAGCAAGGCAGGCCATATGTAGAGCACGCACATCACTGAAGCCAGGCCAAAATATCGGTTCTGCGCACCAATGAGTGATCGTGAGGTCGCACCGACGACAGTAACACTCACAAACATAAACAGAATTTTCCCCAAAGACCACGAGCTCTTCTAAGCAAATCCCTCAACGAGCATCCTTAGGGGTAAGAAGCATCACAATACCCATATTAATTGGATCTGCGAGCCGGTCAGTGAATAATGGGCAGTTATCGGACTCAGAGCACGAACCTCATCGTCTAGAGTAATCACTGGCACCGCGGTGAGCGTCTTGCCGAAACGAAGAGGGTTGGAAAAACCCACAGTGGTCAAAGACTATGATCGTGCTCGATGCCACTGACGATGACATTCAGTCTACCCGAGCGATACGGCTCGCTATTCAGTAACCCTCACCATGTGCGCAATGCGTGGCCTGCAAGTTCCAAAGTCGTTGCACCAACGTCTCGATGATAGCAGCGGCGCTAGACATTGTGAACAATTCAGGGCTTGAAACGATGAACAGCGGTCAAGCGCAGACTGACCTCGTTGCTGCTGGTCTTATCTACCAGACCACCGCCGACCTTCCAGCACGAGCGCCAGCGCAGCTAGCACTAGCGAGACATAAGCATGTCTTCTACTCCATCCATAGGTACCTTCAGCGCCGGACATGTAGCCTGTAGCACTGATCATCGTGCTAAGGAACGGTGAGCTGCGCTAGGGCGCGTAGTCAATCGCCGATGCATTCGAAGGTCGGGCGACATTCGAGATCGAAGACTTGTCGAAGACGCTCAGCCAGCGCAGCGAGGCTCATGTCATCGCGAAGCATACGGAGATTGGAAGACATGCCGTGTGCTATTGCAGGAAGACGGGGTCAGAAGGGGTGCTGGGGACTAATCATCAGACGCACCTTCGTTCGCGCCGTATCGAATGTGCCGACCACCTCTGCAATCAAAACCAGCCCACCTACCATCGTGCAGTCTCAAAGCCCATTTCTTCAGTAGACAGACGTGCATAGTGCATCCAATAAATTAGCAAGCAACGACAAGCATCACCCCGTACGTCGATAGAACATATCCTCATACATTGATTCATGAAAGCGTCCATTGCGTAGCTAGTGTACCTGCCCATAGAGGGCGATAGGGCTCATGCCTGACTGATCGGCTCGTACGCGCCCCGGCTGCTCCCAGCGCGTCCGAGCGAGAGGCCCATGAAGAGCCCCTTGCGCGTCTTGCGGGACGAGCCTAGGCCTTCGTCCTCCTCCTCCCTCTGCCGACGCTCCTTCGCCTTCTTGAAGCCCTCGAGCGGCACGTCGTATAGCTGTGAGTTCACATGAGCATCATGTTACCAGCCAGAATGGGATGATAGTGACCTTGTCGTACTCGACGCCCAACTCCCTGCCGGCGGTCCAGAAGTCTCTGCAATTGCCAACGAGACCCAGATCGAAGGGGTTGGCTGCCCGGCCAGCCATCGCAAGACCGTCGACCGCCCGACCCTTGGTGAAGCGATCGAAGCCGAGGAGATGCATCAGGAACCCGCTCCCGCACCCAGCACACCCATGGCGATGACCGTGCGTATGCCCGTGGCCATGCGTGATGTTGGTGGTCGCCGCGTCCGACATCAGCGACGCGTCCTCGCCCGTGACACTGCTCGAGCGATGGCGGTGGCCCATCTGACCGGCAAGGCTCTGCCCGCCGCGGCCACCCATGAATCCATAGCGGCCGAGGTTACTGACCTCGAACGTCGTCATCTGGCGCGCGACCTGCCAGAGTTGCGATGCTAGCAGGACGATGGTCCATGCCAGCTGCAGTGTCGCCCAGAGAGCGACTGACAATAGGAAGGGATCGCGAGCCATGTACTGGCAGACGTCGGGCGGCAACGGGCATGAAGCGGAGTAGGAATCGGGGTTGGGTTCGATGGTGAGGCCGGAGTAGACTGAGACAAAGTTAGATCGCACCGACAGCTCATCGTTGGATCGCTCACAGGAGTATGATAGGTAGTCAAAGAATGTGATCCCGAAGACCAGGAAGATGACGAAGAGCAAGAATTGGCGATGGTTATTCAGACCGACTGTAGGAATTTAGTCTTCGCATAGTTTTACTGAGAGAGACATACCGCAATTCCATACCCACGGGCAGTGACTGATTGGAACAGTCAGTAAGCAGCACGGATGCACGACGAGAATGAATGGCTCACTGATCACTGCGTGCAATGCATTTGTCGCAGAATCTGCAATGCTTGGAACGAAGGGGCTTGCGAGCCTGCGAAGCGTGATGAGTTTGCAGTGAGACATTGTCTTGTACTACTTACCATGCACTGTATGCAAAACGTCTGCCCGTTCAAGCGACCCTCAGATGCTAAGTCCTCTATGACTGTCTTCAACTCTGCATCGCTCGCTGGTCGCGGACAAGTGCCCGGGTCCAGCGTAATGGAGCGGAAGAAGTTGTACGAGCAAAGCATGAAGGAAAGCGCGAAGCCGAGGTGGGCAAGCGGATGGTGAGGTGTGTCTACAGTATGTTAGCGAGGTGAACGGAGCTTCAGCCGCACCGTGCCAAGTGCTTACCCGGCAGTAGTCGCGTTATCCACGCATAGAAGACCCATACTAGGGACGCGAGTATGATACCGGAGAAGTAGGGCGTGTTCTGAACGCCCTCGGTGTAGTTTACATCGTTTAGTAGTACACGTGTGACAATCTGAGGGTTGGTCAGCGGCAACGCAGGTGGTCTCGAAGCAGCGCCTACGCACATGGTGCATGCCGAAGAACTCTGCGAAAGCAAGGATGATTCCGGTATACCACGGTAGGAGCGTCAAGGTCATGAAGATGAGGTAGAAGAAGATAGTGGGGAGCACGAAGATCGCAATCTTGGTGTTGCGATCTGAGAGAGGCTTGGTCTTCTTCACGCCGAACTCATTCATGCCACCCTCCTCAAGAGCTCTCTTCCAGGCGCCAAGACTCTTCAGCTCGACGGCCATGTCGCGTGGCGTGCGACCTTCGCCATCCTTGGCGGTAAGATCGGCTCCCTTCTCAATAAGCCGGCGAATGCTGACGCGGTTACCGCGTACAACAGCCCAGTGCAGCGGTGTAAGCCCCGAGTCGTCCTGCGTGTTCGGGTTTGCGCCATGTCGCAGGAGTAGGTCAACGCTGAGCGCGTCCCCCTGATACGCAGCCCACATGAGACTGGTGTGCCCCTGCGCATCGCGCGAGTCAACGTTCACGGGCTGGTGAAGCATGTAGAGGAGAGCCATGACGGATGACGAGTGAGTGACAAGGTGAAGGGAGTTGTAGCCCTGCGAGTCGGCAATGGTGGGGTCGGCGTTGTGTGCAATGAGCAGCTGGATGACATAGAGGTAGCCATTGCGCGCAGCCCACTGCATCGGGGTGGCTACGAGGTCCCCTCCGAGCGCGTCAACCTCGGCACCCTGTTCAAGGAGGTAGCGACATGCAGCGACCTGGGCATTGATCGCCGCCCAGTGCAGGGGGGTGATGTTCGACTCGTCGCGGTCAGTCGCCTTGGCCTTCCCCGACGCAATCAGTCGCTTGATGAGCTCAACATCGCCCCGTTGCGCCGCAACGAAGATGGTCTGTCGTTCGTCAGCACACAGCCCCCGCGCCGAGCGCGACACGCACGTCTTCGGGCTCCGTCTGTTCCAGCGCCTGCGCGAACGTAAGATTAGACGCCTGAGCAGATTCAGGGTTCACAGTCGAGGTCGAGGGCTCCGATTTGGGATTTACAAGGTCGTCCATGCCGGCGACGATGATGGCGGCGGACAAGTGGTGGCTGCTTGTCACCGCCAACCCGGACCGCCGTTTGTCCGGCACTGCCACGTGCAGCGGACCCACAGCACCGTTCCTCAATTTCAAGCGCTTAACATAGCCTTTCGTTCGTAAAAATACAGTATCGAGGGTATATACAGCACAAATAGTAAGTCGTACGACTCCTAAATGTTGCGCACACGTTGGCAGGGCTCTTGCCAGGGAACACCAAGTATTTTGAAGATCTCTTCCTCAGTCTCCGAAGCAATGATGCTCCCTAGAGAGCGGTCAGGGATATTCTGGCCGGAAGAATAAAAGCAACTTACCTTGGTTCAGCTTTTTCGTCCTATCGTGGACGTCCCGTACCACCCCCGCGTATAGCCCTTTTTGGTTGAGCGAATACCCCATTGTGCCGGCCTTGTACCGCATCGCACGATTGAACTGCGAAATCATCAGTACCCATACAATGCTAGAAAGCCTGAAATTATACTCACAATATCATCACCCGTATAATAGATCAGCGCCGCGCCCTTCGACTTCCACGGCACGGCGAGGAAGTCGATTCGTCGCTGCTTCGCCCCTGGCGTCTTGGGTAGGTGGCACAGCCCGTGGTAGACACATTCCGGGTCGTACGGGTCTTCTGGAACTGCGAGGTCCTCGGTGATGATGTCGGCGCGGCGGAGGTACTTGAGCAGCTCGTGCATTGCCCCGGCGTGCGTGCCTCCGTCGTCGGTGGGGCGTGTGATCATTATGTCGATGTCCCCGCAATCTTTCTTGCCGCTGAATCGCAAAGGGTCAGCATACGTGAGGAAGAGAAGTTGTGATTAGCGCGTACCGCCTGTAGCTTCCCATCACGTAGAGCTCGAGCTTGGGATCGACTCGCTTTCCTGCAGCAAAATCAGCCTGACTTAATGCAGTTGCTGGCAATCATGCGCACCGTAAGGTACTATGAGGTCGTATAGTTCCTTCACTTCTTCTCGCGGCATGCGCTCCTGAAGATCTGGTGAAGGGTGAGTTCTTCCTAAGTGTGTCCACCGACTCAAACTAGACGTACCAGCATAGTACTTGATCCCAATTTTTTGGCCTGGATTGAGTTTAACGCCGCCCTTCCCATTTGCGACGTCATCGAGCGTGCGGCAGCCCCAGTTGTACCAGTCCTGGGCTGTCTTCGTACCTGAGAAGCGCTGGTTCAGCGTGATGTCCCTCGAACCGCCGGTATGGTAGCACTCACCGACACCATAGATGCCCTTGAAACGCCATAGCACATCCACGTCTGGCGTGTACTCGTGCATCAGCCGCCTGAGGGTTCCTGTCCTGATAATTTCCATAATCTATATTGCGTGTGTCAACGACGGATCGTTGAACGGGTTGACCACTGCGCACCTTGTCAGCGGTCTTCGCCCCCACACCGGGTATCTTCATCGCCTCTTTCGCAGTGCGGATGCGGTATGGGTAGACCCGAATGTTTCTCAGCGCTGTAGGGCAGCCGACGTGAGCAACGAGGATCATTTCCTCGAGCAGAGAAAGTTCCTACACTTCGAGTAACTCAACACCTTGAACTTGTCATCGATGCCCGCCCGAATCTTGTGGATCTCCTGGAGCTTCGTCAGGATGTCGATCACATCCTGATTGGGGCACGGTCCCTGAGGACCGGGCGCGGGTACGGTATCGCAGGCGAATTTCTGTGAAGCATCAGCGACAATGCTCGGAGAAGGATTCACGATAGTGATGGAAGAAACCGACTGACCCGCTTGCCTAGGACCCCTGACAATACGAGTATATTCCAGATACAAATCCGGACAAGAACGGCCCAAAATCGCGCCCTCGCCCAGATAAAAATCCGGACAGAAACCGCTCGGAGGGGTCAACAGGCAGATTCAGGTCCGGACAGGATTGTCGTGGCGGACGGTGGCAGCACATATGTCAGCGTACTGAATCCTAAAGGTTGCGGTGGCCTAACGGAACCGCGCGGCTCGAATCGAAGCTGTCTACGAGTTCGAACGCGGCGCGAGGCTCACGTTTTAGACCTTTTTGCGATGATACGGCGTTTCTCAGCATTCTCACTGTAAGATCGCGGCCGAGAGGGTGAAAGCAGCATGTAAAAGAGCCACAGAGGCTCAGGCAGGCGTCATTCGCAAGTTTATAGCGCCAGAGGCGCCCTGAAAATATTTGACGATTTTTTGACGATTTTTGATGATTTTTGAAGGCCAGATACGATTCCGGACAAGAATGGCGAGAACCCCCGTTGGGGGTCCGGACAAGAATGCCCAGAAGGCCGACTTTCAGTATCCGGCCTCTGTGTGTATTGTCAGGGGTCCTGCTTGCCTTCGCCCTTCTTCGCCTTCTTCCCCTTCTTCACCGGACTGTCCTCGACGTCGTTTTCGTCCTCCGTCTCCTCGGTCCTATCATACTGGTCACCCTGTATTACGTGTCAGCGAAAGTGATCAATCACTGGGCATGATCAGCCACTAAGAAGACCTTAAGCTCACCTTTTCACCTACGACGGGAACATCCAGGTCCTCGTCCTCGTCTGGCTCGAGATCCCACAACTGCGGTGGTCGCGGTTAGATATGCCAAGCGGATGAAGTAAAACAGGCGGATAAAGTAGAACGGGCGGACGAAGTGACAGGTGAACGAATACCAGGACGCGGACGCAGTGAGATAAAGAAATGTAAACTCACATCGCCGGGCGGCGGAAACCCATGTTCTTCTTCGTATTCTTTCGCGCGGTCATCCTTCGCCTGCTCGTAGAAAGGGACCAGTGGGTCGACCTCTTGATTGCCTGCCTTCCCCTCCGGCGCATCGTCCGCGCCAGAAGCAGCCTCGGACGTAGCACGAGAGGCAGCCCCTGGCGTAGCACCAGAGGGCGATGAAAAGCTGGACTCGGACGCCTCGCTCGACGCGTAGCTCAATGCCCGCTGTCTCGGCTCTCCTCCAACCGCTTGCGCAGCCCCTTCACCACGCCATGGGCACGCCGAGTACTTGGGCCACTCCTCCTGCGGAGGGAAGAAAAAGCCCTGCGGCCGGTCCTCAAGTGGGACGAGTGCGGGTGCGGGGTTCTTCCGCTTCAGCCCGCGCCACTCCAGATCAGCCTTCTCCTGCCTAGCCTTTATGATGGGGCCCTCTTCTTTATTGTATTTGGTAATGCATTTGAGGACGAACTTCCAGTTGAGGATGGGGATGTGTTCGGGGACCTCGTCGACGGAGGTGACTTGGAGTTTGTAGAACAGTGAGGGGTGGAGGGTCTTGTCGGACGCGCAAATGATGTGCGTGCACTTGTCCGGAATATAACGCTCCATGAGGCGGGCGCCGCAGCGGACGAGCTAGATACATTGTCAGCGACAAGGATAAACTTGGCGAGCGATGGACACGCACGCAAAGGACCTTCGCCTCCACATCCTCCATATCCTCGTCGTCTATGACGAGGAATACGTCCATACCGGTGAAGATGTTTTGCTTCATGTCCGATCGGATCTCCTTCTTCTTCTGCCGCACACATTCGGCGTATGTCGTGGGTATGGGAGGCGGTGCCGGCTTCGGTTGTGGTGGCGGCTGTTGCTGTTGCTGCTCAGATTTCGTGTGCTTGCTCCGAGATGAGTCGTGGCGTCGAGAGGACTCTTTGTCCTTCTTGGTCTCTTTTGGCCTCTTGGACTCCTTGGTCTTCTTGGTCTTGCTGCCACTTGCCTCTGCAGGCTCATCTGCCGGTCGCTTCATAGTAGCTTGCGGCGCTAGGCTCCCGGAGCTTTTGGCGCTGGCGATCCTCTCTTCGAGCGCTGTGAGTAGGCTGCCCCTCTTCGGCTTTGCGGCGGCGGAGCTAGGTCCGGCAGACGCATGCCCGATCAATGCACTTGATTCTTCGATAGGCGACGTCGCCACGTCCGACGACGGTGGTTGCTTTCGAGGGGATGTTGGTATGTGCAACTTGGCCAGTTTCTTCGGCGCTGTTTTCTTCGGCTTGACTCCGATCATAGCAAGAGTTCTGAGCCTCTTTCGCGGTCGTTCCTCGACTATGGAACTGGCAGCACAGTCAGTCTCAATAGCACTGCGGACGGATAGGCCACATACAACGATGTGATATCGTCCGACACTGATGACTCCTGAACGGCCGTGGGAGGAGCAGAGTCAGCGTGTGCATCGATCTTTCTTTTCGCCTTCTTGTGTAGATTTTCACGCTCTTCTGTAAGTTCTTTGGTTTTTGGCAACGCCTTTGCCAATGTTTTCGGCGACTTTGTGGCATCGAATTCATGGATGCTATCGTTGACGCTGGTATCCGGGTCCGTCTTGGGTGCACTACAGCGAGTTAGTATTCTGATACAGAAGATAGTGACACTGGCGCCCGACCTCGGAAGAGATGGTGGCACTTTGGACGCTGATTGCTCATCGCCACTCTGCGGAGCGGGCGAAGGCTGGCGGGCAGACGGTGCTGGGGAGTCTCGCATACTCGTCGGAGAGGGATAACTTGATTGATGTAGACTCCTTTGTGTCTCTAGACATCTGCAAGTTCCAGAGCATGAGTCGTTGAAATCACCAGAGGGGCCAACACGCACCTTGCGAACGCGCTGAGGGACTCCATTATCTCGTCCTGCTCCTCACTCTCCATGCCCATGCGCTCATCTTGTTCTAGGTAGTAGCTGTCGACGTCCATGAGTATCGAGAGCGATGTGGCGCCCAGGTCGAGGTGATGGTCAGGTTCAAGTTTAGACGCGTTCTGATTTCAAGTCAGTCGGTTCCGGTCACGTGGGTCTCATCATTGTTGTCGTGCTCCACGTGGCCATCACGCTCTTTCCCACACAACATCAACTTCAATAATCCATCTTAACTCTGGGCATTAGGACAGAAGAAGGTTGATGCAGAAGATGTAACACTCTGTATGCACTACCTTGAGACGGTATTGAGGTCGATTATGCGCGCATTGCACCTTCTCAAGGTCCGTCTCGCCTTCAACTTGAAAGAGTACGCGCGGTGGCAAAGGCATGTCCAAGCGAAGAAGCCTTCACGGTTGCGGCAGGTTCTGAATAGCATATATTATTTTGGGAGCCGATGTATACGTGCGATACGACGCTAGCTTCCGAGGTTTGCCTGATGATCGTGGAATCCTTTTCTCTTTCCTTTTACTGTCCTTTCGATCTCGCTACCACGTAATGATTATATTAACTGCCATTCATATCACCTTACTCGTCTTGGCTACACTAGTCGTGTTCAGAGCATGTATACAGTCGGTAGACTCGCTTCATGTGCCTACTTCGTCACTAGTGTCCTCAGATGCTTGCCCAGTAGCTTTGGCCAAGTTCGAACCTGAGAAACCATGCAGAACAACGCCTCGAGTTGGTCCGACCACGAAGATACTGTCCTCGACCGTTTGGCGCACACTTTCATGGTTAAATCGAGCCCATCGCTTATTTTGTTTGCAGAGGCGCGAGCATTGACCTATCGTGAACGGCATCAGAAGACAACGCGCGAGTGTTGCGAGACGCACGTTCTGCACATTCGCAAGCAAAGCCTTCATGTCACCGAGCGTCGCGACACCCTCCGGCTCGAGCAACGCGTCGATAACGAGACGCGCGGCCCAGAGAGCCATGTTCATCCCTCTTCCATTGAATGACCTGAGTAGGTTTGGATCGGACAAGACACGGCTGTGTCGATTCAGACCCTGTTACGTGCAGGCCGCTAGGCGGATTGGAGTTGTATTCACATAGTTTCCCGCTGTCCATCTTGAGGTGTACGCGAACAGCTAAGGGCGGACATGATGGTCAATAGAGAGCGAATTGAGATTGGATCAGAAAGGACGCCATATCATTTCCACGCGGAGTCCACGAGCCGCCAGTGATCGACTGATCACGTACACCCGTCGGCCTGGACGACCTTTCTCACAACACAACTTCAACTCCGACTTTCACTGTCTCTCCGAGCTCGGTCGCATACTCCAAGGCCTCGGCAAGGAATCTAACTGGGCTTCGTCTGTTCGGCTCTCGCGAGACCCCACAGCTCGTCCGGGACCGAATTACGGGAAAACATCGCAAGGGCGCCTCTGGCAACTGTGGTGATCAAGCTCTCGCCATCGTGACTTCTCTCCCACTCAATAGACCCCGTCAATGTCCCGAGCCGTACGAGTAGATGGCGCGACTGCGGACGGGAAAACTCAGCTCGACGCTCTGCCTCATGTGGTACCGCCCCAGGCCCTGACTGTGTTCGCACGACCTTCCCAATTGTACGTTCAATTAGTACTCCCATTCACTTCGACGCCAGAAGCCTGTTCCCCGATTCTCAGGCCAAGATCTGCGCACTCAGTGCCCGGAGTTCAACCCCCCTCAGGTGAAGGTATCCTCAAACTTCTACCCCATCGCTCTCGGTGCAGCTGGCCCTTGACACGCCGAACGTCGCCCCGCTGACACTGAACCGTCCACTCTCCAACGGATATACTGCGGGAATCCGACGTCGCTGCTCGTAGTCCTTACCTCGGAGATTTTCCGCGAGCCTCTTGATATTCTCGGTCAATAGCGAAGGAAGTCCGAATTGCGTACACGGACTCACAACGTCCCATCACCTGACGCTCCTCCGCCTATTCCTCCCGGACACCCGTGATGCTTCCCCCGCTCGGACAAACCCAACCTTGGGCTCTGGAACTACACAGGTAGCTCGTCGGCGTATCCCCAGCCCAGGCGCCTGACCCCCTGGGCAGCCCTGGGTATATAAGGCGCGGCGCGCTCGACGGTTCTGCAGTATCGGTCAACAGCATGAAGTTCCTCACATTCCTCGCTCTGGTCGCCGCCGTCGTCGCCTCGCCCGCCAACCGCAAGCGCCGGCCGGCGGTGACGCTCGAGGGCAACCCCTTCGAGTCGTACACGCTTCATGCGAACAGCCACTACAGCAGCCTCGTCGAGGCTGCAATCGGCAACCTCTCGGACTCGTCGCTCGAGCCGGCCGCGCAGGTTGTCAAGGAGACCGGTACTTTCCTCTGGCTGTGAGTCTTGTCGCTTCGGAGAAGTCGAAAGTTGATTGACCCTTGCTCAGCGACACCATCTCTACGATCGAGACATTCGAGGGCTACCTTCAGGAGACTGGCGAGAACGAGATCTTCGGTGTCGTGATCTACGACCTCCCGGGTCGCGACTGCGCCGCCAAGGCCTCCAACGGCGAGTTGGCTGTCGGCGAGCTCGACAGGTACAAGTCGGAGTACATTGACCGTGAGTGCTCTCTTGCTCTCACTCTGTGCAGTATCTGACATGCTCTGTAGCGATCGTCGCGATCATCAAGAACAACCCGGACATCGCCATCGCCGCGATCATCGAGCCCGACTCGCTGCCCAACCTGGTCACCAACAGCGACCTCACCACCTGCCAGAACTCCGCGTCTGGCTACGAGGAGGGTGTCGCGTACGCGCTCTCGTCGCTCGACCTCCCGAACGTCGTCCAGTACGTCGATGCGGGCCACGGAGGCTGGCTTGGCTGGGACGCGAACCTGAAGCCCGGCGCCGAAGAGCTCGCCAAGGTCTACAAGGCTGCCGGCTCGCCCAGCAACGTACGCGGCATCTCCACCAACGTCGCCGGTTAGTACTCCTTGTCCCCTTCATTCCATCGCCGGGCTGACGCGTCTTACCCTCTTCCTATAGGCTGGAATGCGTGGTCCAAGAACCCGGGTGAGTTCGAGAACGCCCCCGATGGCCAGTACAACAAGTGCCAGGACGAGCAGCGCTACGTGACCATCTTCGGTGATGCGCTCTCCGCTGCGGGCTTCCCGAACCACGCGATCGTCGACACCGCGCGCAACGGCGTCCAGGGTCTCCGTGACGCCTGGGGCGACTGGTGCAACGTCATCGGCGCCGGTATCGGTGTGCGCCCGACCGCTGACACTGGCGAGGAGCTCGCCGACGCCTTCGTCTGGGTCAAGCCCGCTGGCGAGTCCGACGGTACCTCCGACTCTTCAGCGACCCGCTACGACTCTATGTGCGGCCTCGACGATGGTGAGTCGTGCTTGTGACTGACATTGATGTGGATGTTAATGCGAAATTCCATAGCCTACAAGCCGTCTCCGGAGGCTGGCGCGTGGAACCAGCCGTACTTCGAGGAGCTCCTGAAGAACGCCAACCCCTCTTTGGCTTAAAATGTGTCGCTCGTTCTCGTAAAGGGTGTATATGTATCTGTAAAATTTATCACTCGTTCTTGGGTTTCAATGCAATGCTGTTCGCCTGCTTCTGTGCGTTCTGAATCGGCCTGAAAACACGACGCTCGAGAGAGCTGGAAGAAAGTGCTGGATGAGCGCTTTCCGAGCGCCTTTTCCTCCTGCGGCTCCCACGCGTGAAATCTGTCTGACTGAAACGATATCGTGCATCACTCAATCTGGATGCACCCAATAGGGAAGGCTTTGTTCTCCGTGAACCCGTGCTGTGACGTCACGCGTCATCGCGACAGATGGATGCGTTCTTGCGCCAGCGTGCGCGCTTTGTCAGATGGCTCACTAAGAGCCCTCACGCGGAAGTCACACATTCCTCCTTGACTTCTGCTTTCATGTCGTACTCAGCCTCGCACCCCTAATGGGGGACATCTCAACCGAGTTTCTGTATATCCATCCAGACCTGTCGACGCTTCTCCAGTACTGCTCGTTCGATTTAGCCCCAGAGAATTATCTGAAGAACTCTAGCTTTGCCCTTCTTGCGTAGTCACTCTCCGAGGGCGAAGGGCTCTCCAGAGCTACAGTGAAATCCAGTGTTTTACCTGGTGCATCGAATGCTCCTGGGCATCGGAAGGATATGACCACTTTCTTTCTCTTCCCCAGTTCCTCTCATATCCTCATGCACAGCTGGTTATGCATGCAGCGCGCACTCGTGCGGGCTATATTGGATACATAGGTCCGCCTCACAGTCACATCCACCTGGTAGCAGAGCGCGTTGCTCACACAGAAAACAGATATCACTGCAGTTAACTTCAATACCTCATTACGCCAGACCCATACGTCGAAGGCAAATCCTACCGTTGACGACTTCGCGTGGCTTGAACATCTGGAATACTATCGGTGAATGTTGCGATGCCAACCCAGGCGCGGAAAACGACGTACTTCTGACTGTTCTTTTAGTCACCTCTCTGGTTTGCACGCCCTCTGCCCTACCGTATATTCAGCGGCCTTTCCAATCCATTGAGAAACGGATTCGAACGACGAAGTTGAACATCGATCAAATCGATCGTGACAGTTCGTGATTTCGGTCACGAATCGTGACTAGATAATTTTCCAGCTGCCGCGTTCGTTACTCCCCATCTTCTCCTCCTCCCCCATCTCCTACCACAAAATGTCGACTGGCACGCTCTGGGTATACCCCGAAAACCAGAAGGGCAAGGCCGTACGTACTTCTTCATTTGCCCTAGCCGATCGCTGATCGTTTGCCTTCCAGATCCGCGCCGTTGCAGCGTACGGCGGCCTTGAGCTCGAGCTCCCGGCCTACGAGCACGGCAAGACCAACAAGGAAGAGGCTTTCCTTGCCAAGTTCCCCCACGGCAAGGTCCCCACGTTCGAGACCAAGGACGGCTTCAAGCTCTTCGAGTCCACCCCGATCGCCCGCCACCGTAAGTATCCTGTTCCCCTACGATCGATGCGACCCATCCCCTTGTATGATGAGAAGTAATTATCAGTTATCCCTGTCTTAACACACCGTGTCGACAGCTTTCACATCTCTGACAATCAACGCCCACGATTTCCTTCGTATATGTACTGATCGAATCATCCAGTTGCTTCCCTTGCGCCCAACTCTGGCCTCCTCGGATCGAGCCCCGAAGATGCGGCGCTCGTCGACCAGTGGACGCACTTTGCCGACTCGGAGATTGACGCCGTCCAGCTCATCATCTTCAACATGGTGAAGGGCCTCGGGATCGCGTACAACAAGCTCGTGCGTCGCAATCTGTGATCGCTCCTTCACTGCGCCCTAAAATCAACTGCAGGTCCACACCGCCCTCCTCGAGCGGGTCCACCGCGCCTACACCACCCTCAACAACTACCTCGCCACCCGCACCTTCCTCGTCGGCGAGCGTATTACCCTCGCCGACATCTGGGTCGCCGCCATCACCCAGTTCGGCACCTTCTTCCACTTCGACAACGCCACCCGCACGAAGTTCCCCCACCTCATCCGCCTGGTCGACACGATCGTGAACCAGCCGAAGCTCGCGGGCACCTTCAGCGCGACGCCCTCGCTCGAGAAGCCGCTCGCCTTCACGCCCCCCGCAAAGGAGAAGAAAGAGAAGGAGCCGAAGGCCGCGCAGCCGAAGGCGGAGAAGAAGCCCAAGGCGAAGGCCGCGGAGGACGATGATGACGACGAGCCGGACGTCCCGGTGGAGAAGAAGGAGAAGAACCCGCTTGACGACCTCCCCAAGTCGTCGTTCAACCTCGAGGACTGGAAGCGCGCGTACTCCAACAAGGACACCCGCGGCGCTGACGGTGCCCTCGAGTGGTTCTACCAGAAGTGAGTATGCGCAGACTTGTCCCCCAATATCTGTTGCTCATGACTATCGCAGCTTCGACAAGGACGGCTTCTCCATCTGGCGTGTCGATTTCAAGTACAACAACGAGCTCACGCAGACGTTCATGTCGTCGAACCAGATCGGTGGCTTCTTCGCGCGCCTTGAGGCGAGCCGCAAGTACCTCTTCGGCTCCGTCGGCGTGCTCGGCGAGAGCAACAACTCGGTCATCTCCGGCATCTTCATCCTCCGCGGCCAGGAGGTCGAGCCCGTCATCAGCGCCGCGCCCGACTGGGAGAGCTACGAGTACAAGAAGCTCGACCTTGCGAACGAGGCTGACAAGGCCTTCTTCGAGGGCGCCTGCGCCTGGGACCTCGAGATCGACGGCAAGAAGTGGGTGGATGGCAAGAACGTGAGTGAGAATTATCGTTGGCGTGAACATTCGTGCTGACCACTGTTTGCAGTTCAAGTAATCTGTATATCCTTGGGCAGCCCTGCGGGGCTCATGTAGCAGTAGTGTAGAAGGCGCGGTGTAGCCTTTAGTCCTATCTATCCTCGCGCATTTTGTTGTCACGTTTTAGTATACATTGTATGTGCTACCGACCATTGGAAGTCTGCCATAGAAACAAGGTCATCTTGTCCACATGGGCCGAGTCGCTTTCGAGCGTCAAAAAACAACACCTTCCCAATTAAGGTTCACTTGAACCCAGTCGTTGCCAACACAGGCTGTCAAGACGGTGCGCTGGCAGGCCCAAAGCGTGTGTGCGTTCCTCCGAAGATCCATTGCATCTATGCCGCATTATAATGATACATGTATGGCTGCAGGACGCCCGTGGTGCGCCTCCGGATGGTATATGTCAAAGCAAGCACGACCATGCTATCACAAGGCCCCATGCAACATCTCGAATGCCTCATGCAAGTATACAATCCCGAAGAGAAGGAAGAGCACCGCACCGCCAAGCGTGACTGCGCGGGAAGTCAGTACGTGGACATGGGTAAAGGAAGCGCGACGATACGCACTGTGCTTGACGGAGATTTTGGTCGAGATCCAGCGCCCTCCGATGACCGCGAGGGCCGTGCAGCAGCTGTGGCCCAGTACGGTGCCTGCGGTTACTACATACACGTTCTAGGGAAGGGAAGGGAGGGGAAGGGGTTAGCGAACGTTCGCGCGAGGTGCGGTGGGACGCACATGTGCTGCGCCGAGCGCCACGGTGGCGATCTGGCTGCGGTCGCCCCACTCGCCGAGGAAGGTGAGGATGAAGGCCTGCACGAAGACAGGGCCACAGAAGAGGGAGAAGAAGTTGCGCAGGCCCTCAGCGACGCTCGTCTTCGCCTTCGAGCGCGCGTGCGTGGGGGTTGCTGGCGACTCCGCTGCGTGCCCGGCCTCCATCTCCTCGAGCGGGATGACATGCCCGCGCGGGTCCTTCGCGCCCGTGCCGTCGTACTCGGCCGTGTCCTCCTCAATCTCCTCCTCCGCCTCGCGCATCTCCTCGCGGATCTTGTCGTTGCCGCCCTTCATGTTCTTCGCCTCCATGAGCATCTTCGCGCCGAAGACGAAGAAGAGGATTGCGGCGGCGAACTGGGTGTAGTGCTTCGGGAGGAGGGTGGGGAGGATATGCCCGAGCGCCGCGGAGAGGAGGGACATGACGAAGAGCGAGCCGAAGGCGCCCAGGAAGACCGTCATTCGCGGGTGTCGCATGGCGAGGATGGCAGCGATGAGGAACGTCTTGTCGCCGATCTCTGAGAAGATGATCATCATGAAGGACTGGAAGAGGGCTTTGGGGTTGCCCTCGTCGGGGTCGTGGGCCTGGAGGCGTTCGTACGTGTCCATGGTTGCGGATCCTGGTCTACGGAGCTCGACGTGCTACTTCTTGCGACGTTCGACACGTCGCGAGGTGAGAGAAGAGGGGAGAATGAGTGGGAGGTGCTGAGAACGATGGCGGGCTATGAAGACATGCAGTGAACTTTTGATGTGAACGCGGATGAATTTGCTGCGGCGCGGGGACCACGCTCGATTCCGGTGCTCTGGGTTTCAAGACTTCCGGATTGGTACAAAGTCGAGGGTTCGGATCCCGAGCTGTGGATGATCTCTCTCGTGTGCAGGGAAACCCGACACAGGGAAGGGAAGATGGTCTTGGGTCGTTGAAGGTGGCGGCTTCGAACGACGAAGTAGGTTGTCGAGGAAGGGAGTGACCCGTGACTGTGACGATTGTTCCCCGTAAGCGCCATCGGGCCGGCGCCTACGCTTACCTCCTCCTCCATTCGTCCAGCGAGGTCTTCGGGACAGGATACACTTGCCTCCCTACCTTTGCGCTTCCTAGCTTTCCATTGGCTCACCTCCACCGATCTCTAATTCCGGGCGCATTCCCACGCAAAATTGAGCCTCGGCCTCAAATCCCCTGCCAAGCGGAGCGTTCACCGCACCCGGCCGCCTCGAGCAAGCACCGCAGTCGCGTTGAATCGCGCCTAGCAACCACCTCAAACGTATACGAACGATGACCGCCGTGCGACATCCTCTCTAGACATCCCCCCTCGCCATGGCGCCCTCTGACGAACTCACGACAACAATCTCCGACGCGTTGGGATCCCTTCCCTTGTTGAACAAGGCCTCCTTTCTGCTGGACACAGCGCTGGCTCTAATTGAGGCAGGAAAGTGCGTGGACCAGACCCTATGGCAAGGCGTGTCCTGATCACTGGCGCAGATATGGCCCGCAGGTCGAACACTACCTGGAAGTATACCTCAGGACACCGAATCTGCCAAAGGCAGACGTAGCGCGCGCACTCCTTGCGAGGGGGAATGCGCGAAAGGTGCAAGGGGAACGTTTGCTCGCACAGGCCGAAGCAGGTGCGTGCACCTAACATGCTCCACTAACCGCACTCACATACCCCCAGACTTCCAGGCCGTTCTCAAGGCCGATCCCTCCAACCGCGAAATACACCAGCACCTCCGCCGCGAACGCGTCATCCACTTCAAGTCCGAGCCCGCCTCGCAGCGCGCGCCAGCCGAGATCTGGGAGCGCATCGCGATGCATACCCCGCGGTACCACCTGCGCACCTGGCTCTACGTGTCCTCCTTCCACCGCGACATCGCGTCCCGCATCATCTTCCGCACGCTTGACCTGTACTTCGGCGAGGACGTGGAGGCGACGAACCGCGGGCTCGATATCTTCGACCGCGCAAAGGCCGACCCGGTGTTCGCTAGCCGCGTGAAGTCTCTCCGCCTTCACTGGGCGTATGAGGAGGGCGACATGATGGATCTCATGGCGCGCATCTTCCGGTCCGCGCTGACAGAGTTCAAGGCGCTGCGCGACTTTGAATGGATCGGCTACCCCGAAATGCGGGACGACATGGTCAAGGTCGTTCTCGCCGCGCACCCGAACCTGCATGCCCTGGGGCTCATCGGGTGGCACTTTGACGCTGAGGGCGTCTCGCGCTTCCGTCACCTACGCAAGTTTACCCTACGCGCCGAAGACGATGACGGGTTCGCGGACATGGGCGAGGTCCGAACTGTGCTTGACGAGAACGCGGACACGCTGAGACACCTCATCCTCGGAGCCTACCTCGCGCGACATCACTCCTGGGATAATGCATTCCAGTCCGTTACCGTCGGCCACCTCACCCACCTCGACCTCGTTGACACGCGTATTTCGCACTTCGTGCTCACCCGCATCACGCACGCGCAAGGGCTCGTAAGCCTGACTCTCCATGGCACCCTGGAGGAGCCGGCGGCCGCTGCAATCGTCTTTGGTAGCGACCATGCCATTGGCGGGAACCACTCTATTCTACCTCACCTCCAAGCATTCCGATTCGTCCTCGTAGGGCACGAGGAGGAAGCTGCGCTCTATCAAGCGGTCGTCAAGTTCTTGTCCGGAAGGACGCTTCTCAGAAGACTCGACCTGGGCAGCTGCCCATCCGAGATGGTGCTTGGATTACTACCTGAACTCACCAATTTGCGCGTCCTCGGCATTCGTATCGCCAACCTGACCAAGCTGGCCGTACGGTCACTAGTCACGTCGTTGCCTGTCTACATGACCGCAATGACTTTGTACTGCGCCGTCTCTGATGCACCTATGGTACGTTGTCTCTTCAAGCACCGCATCTATCATACTGATCATCTTACAGAGCGATTACGCCCCCGAGTTCGCACGCTTCGCCAACCTCTCCTTCCTCCACTTCCGCTGCGGCTCCAAACAACGTCCTCAAGAAAACATTATGTCCGAGAAGGAGCACCAGGTGCGCACCGAGGTTTGGAACGCTCGCGCCCGCGCCGTCGCGCTCTCTGTCAAGTCCCTCGACTTCATCGGCTGGCACGGGGAGCACTACGTGATCGTGCGCGGCGCGGAGACGGAGCTGCGGGAGCTGCCGTCGCGGCGGCGGCTGGACTGCGGGAAGGGCGTGGACCTGGGGAGCGAGGACGCGATATGGCTGGAGCGCAAGGACGTTCCTATAGACTATGAGCAGCCTGGTATCGTGTGATGCCTTTGCTATCGTTTGCTATCTGTCAAGCTATGTAGATACTATGTGTCGCTCTTGTATATACTCTCATCTCTGTACTGCTATATGGATTATAAGCTTCCGAGACTGCGACAGATATCCATGTCTCGATGTGGCGTGCGAGAAGGTTTGTACCTTCTGGGCAGAGAGGCGTGCCGTCGGCTTCGTCTTCTCCCAATCGCTCGGCGCTCAAAATTGAATATCATGGGCAGTGTTCGAGGTCATCCTTCCGAACAGCTGCAAGGTATACATCCAGGAAGTTCCGATGTACAGCCGGCCCGCTAATCGTTGACGGCATCATGTGGCTTGCGCGTCAATGCCGATCTTCTTTACTATCGGTGAATATCCCTTCGGTCATTCTGAGGCTGAAGAATCAACTTGAATTCAGACGTTATAGTGTCTATGCGCTTGCTACACGCTGAACGCTCCAGCCCATCCTCAACTCAAACCGTGACGATGTGACATTGCCTTGCCATTCTTCCCAATATGGCAGCCCTTCATCGTCGCTTCCTCCCATGATGATCAACGAGGCCCTTTATCGCATTCTGATAGTCCGAAACCCACATAAAGATGTCAGGCACTTCCACACGGTCAGCTGAGATTGTGAGAAAGGATATAAACGTCGCGTCGCTTCCCGACGTCTTCGAGGTTTGCTCTTCCCTGCCGGACCACCATGCTGGGACGGCTTCTGGCAGCGTGCATCTTCGTGCGCGCGAGCGTCAGCGCTCTTCAGTACAGCTACACCTCTACTGCTTTCGACTCGTCGGCTTGTGCGACTCCGGACAATGTGCTCGAATGCGGGGACAGGGAAGTTATGCAGCGCCGGGCGGATCGCGACGCGTTTCTCGACGCGTTGATAGCTGACATGAGCGTCGAGGAGCTCTGTGCGTCTTCAGTCCTGTCCTACGTGTCGTCGTACTGACATATGCGCAACAACTAGCTCACCAGCTCCATCTCATGTTCTCTGACAATGTCATTGGGCCCAAGTCTGAACTCGAACTATATGGTCAGTTTCTCGTAGCATACGCGACGATCCCTTTCACAAGCCATCTTAGACTCCGCCCTTGCACCGTACCCGAACTACACCTTCGGCTCGATACACGACTTCTACCCCACGGACAAGGCGCAGTACAACGAACTTCAAGCCCTCAATCTGAACCGCAGCGCGAAGTCCATTCCGTTCATGCAGCTTGCAGAGTGCCTTCACGGCGTCGGTAGCTTCAAGCAGGTGAGTGTTGTGTCCATATGCGCGCCTCCGAAGTCCTCATCAGGTGTTGTAGAGCATGTTCCCAGTCCCGCTCGCGATGGCTGCGTCGTGGGACCCAGATGCTGTATACTCCGTGGGTCGAGCGATTGGGAAGGAGGCACGGTCGGTCGGGATACACGCGTGCCTTGCGCCTGTTCTCGACCTTGGGAAGGAGCCGCGTTGGGGGCGTACGCAAGGTGAGCCTGTCGTCTTTGCGGGCCATACGTATACTGAGTTTCATGTCTGATCGGTAGAGGCGTGGGGCGAAGACCATGTACTCACTTCGCACATGGGCGTCGCTTTCGCTGGCGGACTGTCGAAGAACGGCTCGTGGTCGGACCCTGATGCTGTCGTTCCCGTAGTGAAGGTCAATCCCTCTCGCGAGCTTCAACCTTCACACTACTGATAGTTTATTCAGCACTTCGCTGCACACGGCTCGCCTCGAGGTGGCATTAATGCTGCGCCCTTCATGGGCCGTGGTCTACGTCAGGTTCGTTAGCAGCTCCATAGACATGTATTCCGAAGTCTGACCGTCCGGTATCCCAGGTCATGCAAGAGATGTTCGTCCCCTTCAAGGCTGCTTTCGACCTCGGAGGCGCCCACGGCGTTATGATGTGCGTCGCGCGATTGATGCCCGTGGTATGCTTTGACGATAGCTCGTAGGGCCTACCACGAGCTCGACGAAATACCAGCTCATGTACATCCCATGCTTTACGCCGCATTAGAAGAATGGGGCTTCAACGGTAGACATTCTGCTTCCACGTTCCCTTATTCGACCTGACCATGACTATCCAGGTTTTGTTATAGCTGATGACACTGGTTCGGATCGAGGCTGTAATTGGTTGACGACTAACTAAACGCGCACGCAGGAATGGCTATGCTCTACAAGCGGCACACCGTCACGACGTCCGACGCGGATACTATGCAGCAGTATCTCAACGCCGGAGGCATGATCCAGTACTACGATTTCTCCCTAGCGACTTGGCGGTGGGTGATGCATTTCTTCTGCTTGTCGCCTATACTGATGAATTCTCAGCAACGTGAGCGAATCCAACAGTACGTCGAGTTACTGATTCTAGCCTCGATGCAGACCCTCATCGACCTCGTCTCCAACGGTACCCTTCCTCTATCCGTCCTTCAAGAGCGCGTGAAGCGCGTGCTGGGCGTCAAGTACGACCTCGGGCTTTTCGACAATCCATACGTCCCCGACGACATCAATGCAACGGCTTTGGTCGAGGATCACATTCCGCTGACGCTGGAAATGGCGCAAAAATCGCTTGTCTTGCTAGAGAACAAGAACGAGACGTTACCGTTAGATATCAAGGGTTCTGGGATCAAGAAGATTGCACTCGTGGGACCGTTCGCGGATACGTTGAACTACGGTAACTGTATTCTGCTTAGCCTCCCCTTGCTCATGCTGATAATCGTGATATAGGCGGCTACTCCGGCCCATGGGGCATGAACCCCAACGACCGCGGTATCACCCTTCGCGAAGGCATTCTCTCCTACCTCAACGACTCCGTCGAGCTTGTTACCACCTGGGGCGCCGAATCCTGGCTCTATCACGCCCAGTACTCCATCCCTGCCTACGCATACACGGACCTTACCGGTACCGCCGGCGGCCTCACTGCGTCCTACTATGCTGATCCAGACGCGAACTTCAGCGAAGCCACACCTGCGTTTACCCACTCACCTCAGACGCCCAATCGCGACTGGGGCCTGTACCCCCCTCTCGGCCTGTCCTCCAACAACTTCAGCGTCGTTTGGGAGGGCTCCCTGACCGTGCCTACTCTCGGCGTCCCCTCCGTCTCCGGCTGGCTCGGCGCGGCCGTTTCGCCCAACATCTCCGCGGAGGTCTACATCGACGGCGTGTCCATTGCCTCCTCCCCCGCCACGCCCGCTGGTAGCACCCTCAGCAACATCGAGAGCTACGTCTGGGTGCAGCAGAACGCGACGATCGCGCCGGCTGGCGGGGCGGAGTTCACTTTCGAAAGCGAAAGGACGTATGCGGTGAGAGTGGAGCTGAGGGTGTGGAATCTGGCGCAGAAGATCGAGAATGTGAACAGCGTGAATGCGCACATCGAGCTATGGTGGAATTTGGCGGGAAAGGAAGGCGATGGAGTGCAGCAGGTGAGTTGGCCCTCTGTTAGATTCCTTTGAGGGCTAGCACTGACCGGACCTGCAGGCGGTACAAGCTGCTGAAGGGGCTGACCTGGTTGTGCTAGCTGTCGGCGCGAACTGGAACAGCGACGGGGAGAGCGGAGACCGGGCAACGTTGGGCCTTTCGCCGAACCAGAGTGAGTGATATTCTGGTGTTTGTCTGGATAAAATATTAACGATGCCTTCAGCCGCACTCGCCGATGCCATGTTCGACCTCGGGATCCCGGTGGTGATAGTCCTGCAAGGCGGCCGTCCCTTTGCTATCCCGGAGTACTACGACAAGTCGGCCGCCGTGGTCAATGCTGTGAGTAACGTCTAACATGGATGACCTTTCAATCGATCGCTCATATGCATGAGGGCAGTTCTTCCCCGGTCAGTCGGGTGGCCAGGCCATCGCCGATGCGCTGTTTGGGACCGTCACTCCCGGCGGACGGGTGCCCATCAGCGTGCCATATAATGACCAGCAGCTCCCGGTCTACTACAAGTGAGAGCGTTCGGAGGAGAGGGAGGCCTGATAACTGATCTGAACGCAGCGACAAGTACACAGCGCGCGCGAAGAACTACACGGACGTCTATTCGTACGCAAAGGTAAGGACGGTGGTTTGAATCATCCTAACCTTGCTCACACGATACCTTCAGTATCCTTTCGGGTAAGGTTACGCCACTGTCTCACAACTTCCCCTTGACGCTGACTTCCCGCAGGTACGGCCTGTCCTACACAACTTTCACGCGGTCGAACTTCAACGCGACGTCCGCCACTTTCTCCTCGGGGGACACCATCACCTTCCACGTCGACGTGACGAACACTGGCAAGTACCCCGGTAGTGAAGTGGTGCAGGTATGCACGTAACGGTCTTATTGAGACACGCCGCTCAAGTGCCACATTCACTAGGTCTACCTTCTCGTCCGCCGCTCGACCATCGTTCGTCCGCAGAAGCAACTTGTTGCCTTCGCGCGAGTGTATCTGGACGTGGGAGAGACGCGCACGGTGGAGATGCAGCTAGAGGTGAGTAACGTTATAAGTCAACTGCCATTTCGGATTGACGCTACGGCCTTGCGTATGTGGGCGTGTGTGGGCGTTTATCGGCATTTGCCGACCATCCCGCATAAGGAAGGCTTTGCCGTAACGATGAAGGAGGCGGCTGCACTTCTGCAGCATGGACCTGGGGGCAGGCAGGCGGTCCTCAATTTTCCTTTCGATCAGAGGTCACTTCTGGTAATGCTTCTTGGTGCTGATACCGAACACAGGTGGACCGCTACCTTCCCATCGTCGACCGGACGTGGAAGTGGGTCCTGGAGGAGGGTGATTACACCTTCGCGCTTTTGGACCATGGTGGGTACGACGCTGACACATCGACGAACATTACCATTGCTTGCGTTTGAGGGTAGAGGCCATGAAGCACAATTAGAGGGGAGACTTGCCGCAGACGATGCGCTGCAGAGGGAATACGATGATATATTACACAAGAGATCCTGGACCTCGATGGGAGTGCAGGAATCACATCCACCTTTGCTTGAACCGTTGCCATTTCACCCTCCACTCCAACTTGATCACGTCCCAATTCCTCGCCCGCCATTCGTCGGTATAAGCGTCCAAACGCTCCCCCTCCTGCAATACCCAATGCCGATAGAACTCAGATAGCGCATCCTCCTTGTCCAATGTTGGAGCATCCGCGGGAAGAGCAGCGAGTATCTGCTGCCGTGCGGCCTCGAACCGCAAGTTGCTCTGTGGATCGACATGAGCATTCTCCTTCCCCGCACACGACTCGATCACGCACGTCCAGCCAGAAATTGTGGTTGAAGCTATCCAAGTCTTGCCTCGCCAGCTTCCACTGCAAGTCGTAGTTTGTCCTCAACCTCGTCGGGTCCTCATCGAACTCGTGCAGGGAGTACGGGTGGGTTGCGCGCTGGGTCGAAGGAGGTGCGTCGGAGTAAATGACGGGGCGGAGATTGGATATGGGGTGTGGGGGTCCAATCTTGTTCGCTCGACATTGTGTAGTGTGCAGTGAGCGATGGATGCGGGGAGCCCCAGCCCCAGCCCTGGCGGCGGTGGCGAGCGACATGACCGTCGGAGGCAAGGAACGGGAGACAGCGGGCCGGTGTGGCGCTTGAGATTTGAACGCGCATCTCCGACGCGATCTTGTCCTCGACCCTCATCATCTCACCAATTCCCTTTCGCATCTGCAACCATATCCCAGGCCCCTCTGACTTGGTACTTGTTGCTCAGGCTAGGCCGCGAAGGCCAGATTCCGCCTCGTCCTGCTGCGCAGTGCGAACCGCTCTACGGGCATCCGATACACAACTTCCCCCTGCTTTAGCCTACAATGTCTGCTACGACCATATTCGAACATGCTTCCATCTTATGCATAAGGTGCGTAGCTCTATGCTCAACCATAGTGATCACAAGCTGACTTCCAGTAGAGGGGGATTCTTCCTTGGGTGCCGCAGATACCTCCTTCATAGTCTATACGCCGATCTGCAAGACCTATCCCTACCTTCTGTTCCGGCTACTGATGCAGCGCCAAAGTCCCCCGAGATCGAGCTGGAGTCACTTCCCATGCCGTCCGGCGCGCCAGCGCAGCAGTCGACGCGATCGACGCTGCACTCGACAGTGTCGCGCAACATCTTCGCGCTATGCTTCTCCGAGACGTGCACGATGTTCTTCCTTCTCATGTTTCAAGGGCTGAGCATATTCCAACCAAGGTAAGTATCGACCTTTCTACCGCATCTTTGTCTTCCACTCAATGTTTGCTCCCTCAGCGTCCGACTCCTACAATGGCAGATCTCCCTCGCGCTCCTGCTCACGACCATTATCCTCATTATCCCATCCTCAATAAGTCTCGTCCTCTCCGTCGGTGCCACCACCCGTGACGCGTCGCCCTCGCGCATCTGCGGTCCCCGCCTCCTTCTCAACCTCATCCCCGTAATCCTCTACCTCTTCGCGCTCTCCTATATCCCCCTTCCCGCCGCCCTCGCCTCGTCCGGCTTCTCTGCCTCGGTCCTCGCGCGCCTTGTCGTCCTCGGCACTACCATCCTCGGCCTACTCTCGGGCTTTGGAGCCATCAGCACGGCGTGGCCGTACCTACCTTTCGTCAGCAGGAAGAAGAGCCTGCCGACAGAGCAGGATCTACGGCAGGCGGAGCATAGCTTGGATCGCATACGGGCGGATTTGGCGACGCTGAATGGCGAAATCACGAGAACGTCGGCCAGCTCGACAGATGGATCGTGGATATCGAGGGTAGCGACGAACTTTAGGGGTGGGGATGGAAGTGAGTCAAGAGGGTTGGATATTCGAGGACTGCATGGGCTAACCGTGCTTGCAGGAGCACAAGAGCTGAAGGGTCTTCGTGCTCTCGAGGCGGAGATGAGCCGCAACTACGATGACCTGACGCGGCGCTTTCACGAGCACGCGTACAGGCGCACGTTCCGTGGGCGAGTTGCTGCCGTGGTTGGGCGCCTATTTGCGGTATACTGTGTGGTGCGGGTAGTCAGCGTAAGTGTTGTTTGGTGTGTCTGTCTAAGCTTCCCGTGCATTCTTCGGCCTCCTTCTCATGGGTGCTCTGCCCCAGTGCGGGACATGGACACTTGTGGCCGTTGCTTTGGCCTTGGCTTTGTTCCGAATTAGGAAGGTCTTGTCGAGAGCTTCTCCCGCTATCGCCTTGGGGATGTGCTTGCGGTCATCTTTCAGGCAGATGAATCACGAGTGTCGATAACTTACTAACCAAATGTCCAGTCTGCCGTTCACCTCCTCTTTCCGAGCAATGCTGGATACAATACGACGACGTCAGACCTGCTTACGGACCTCCTTGCGTACTCGCTTTCTATCGTGTCGCGGGAAGAGGTGATAGCGCGAGATGATGTTGCACTTATTTCGAGGCAAATCAGTCTAGCTCTGGTCGGCGTGATCATCTTGACGAGTTTGAGGCTGGTGCTTCGCGGAGTGACGAGGGTGAGTAAACCCGCTCTACGAGCTCTTCCCCTCGCGTATACTAACTCGGCACCAGGCTCTGCAAGTAACAAGTCGAAACTTGGGCGCGTCGCTCATGCTGCTGATGCTCGCTGAGCTCATGGTACGCACAGACTCCGCGCTCTTACAACAGTCCATTGACCGACATCCTTCCTCACCAGGGCATCTACCTACTCTCCACCATCGTACAACTGCGAACCTCCTTCCCGCCAGGAAACGCGGAGGCCAATCTCTTCTCGACAATCCCAGCGTACGAGGTCTTTGGCCCTCTGTTCGACTTGTCCTTCTTGGCATCGACAGCTGCATCTGTCTTTGTGCGCTGGACGGCAGATAAGGTGGATGTGTTGGGGAGGTGACCGCGATAAGGTTACGTCGGAGAGATTATTGGACTGGGCAGGAGGTGGCTGGGTAGTTTCTGTACAATCCCCTGCGCTATGGACGCTCTTCAGACAGTCGATAATCGCTTGAACGCCTAAAGCATTTCGGAAATTGCCGCTCATCTCGAGCATGTGATTGTGACAAACGGTCGTGACTCACCATCACAAGCCTGTCCCGAACGTTCATGGTCGGATCTCCGCTGAAGGACTCCGTGTCTAGCTTTCGCTTAGTGGAACAACTGTCAATGTGACTGCATTCCATCCTCCGTCCTTCTGTACTGCGACTGAATGCACATCAGTAACATCCGCCACCTCGACGCCACTCGACCCAATGGCAACGATAGCCCCGTCAACGCGTGCCAGGACTCGAACCATTGCCAACACGTTCTCTGCGGAACTATGGTCGACACTACCGGTAGACATCCTGCGTGAAATCATCCACGAGATAGCCATCAACTACCCTGTAGCCGCTGGCCACCTCCGACGCGTATGCAGCGAGTTCAACCGATGGATTCTGCCTGTGATTTTGAAGCACGTCGTTCTCGAGACTTCCAGTGATGCGATGCGCTACGCCAGGACGATACATGGGTGGGAGGATGAGCCAACGAAGGTCGACGACAACCCTTGGGCCGTGCCGCTCATCAAATCGCTTGTAAAGCCCAGGCGCAATCGATTTCCGCGGTCGGTAATGTGCGCACAGTCCCTTGCCCTCGTCACCCCAACGCAGCTCCCGTCCGTCGAGAATGCTCTTTCCGGCGTTGACACTCTGGCTGACATCCATTCCCTCGCGATATCTTACGGAAATCTGGGCGCACATCGGTTCTGGCTCGTCAGCAAGCGCGTGCGCCCGCGGCGTATCATGCTGCTACACCACGGGGACCCAGTATACATCGATATGCGGGACGAGCTGTTCTCCGAAGTCACGCATCTCTACGCCAATAATCCCAATTACCTGACAATATGGGACGGCTATCGCCTGAGAGACTATTCCCGCGGAAGGCGCATCCGCTCAGAATGTCTGCGATATATCGCAATCCATACCAAGCTGGAGACTATGACTGAGGCTCAGCGGAGAGATGTGGCGGACGGTTTACGATGGATATTGGAGGTGTACCCTGACATCGAACATCTCGTCCTGACGGTGTTACCGAATCCACAAAACCGACCTCAGGATACTCTTCGCCGTGTCCTTCCACCTGTGCCCCTTCACGAGAGATTCGACGGAGAACAGGCGGAGAGACGCATTGCTGCGGCACTGCAGCCTACAACGTACTGGGACGCGGTCTTCCCGGAGTTGTCAGCTGACACCCGCCGGACGGAATCGCGCAAAGACCTGCACCGTGACCCGCGCTTCACGCCACTGCTATTCCCCTTCGACGCGCGGCGCGAATGGACGGCGGAGATGGACGTCTGGAGACACGCGGAGCTCTGGAAACGTGCAGGGTCTGGAGAGTTGGCGGAGACAGAGTTTCAGAACCTCTGCGACGAGCTTGCCAAAGCGTGGAACGGCTACCCTTCTCAGACGGCCCCACTGATCATTTCTCCGACACCATCCGCCACTACTACTGGGGGACCCTGGCTTACAGACGCCACTAAAGATAAGAAAATGTTGCGTGGGCGAAATGCTACAGCAACCCCTGCTATCAGTAAGTGTGTCTCCCTTTTAGTCTCCTCCAGCTCGCTGAATCGCCTCCTCTCTTAGCCTGGACCCCCGTCGAAGCACCCTGGGCATTGCAACACTGAGTCCTACGGCATCGTTCGGGTACGGGCGTGCAGGTGTAAAGCAGGTTTTGTATAATTGAATGTGAAATCATGGGCCTAAGCGACGGCCGACTGCGTCGAGGCTCTGTCCCCTCTCGTACGGCAAGCCCGTTCCCCGCTTAGCTTCCACCCCATATCCAGAATGACGGGCTCCGTCGCGCGCGCTGTCGGGTGCTGTACAGCTCCTCATGTGCAGGGTCTACGCCGTCGCGGCGGAACCGTGACATGGCACCGCCCAATCGTCGCCCTGATACCCGGGTTTCTTCCCCTGACATTCAATGAATATGCAACTTCTTCTTAAGGAAGACCGTTTCCGTTCTGCGTCCTTCTAGTCTCGCGGAAACCTTATGATGACAGGCGTGCATTGCGTCTTCAGCCTGGAAGAGGGGTCGGTGACCACAGCCTTTAATCTCCGTCTGGGTCTTCGAGCCGGTGTGAGGCTGCGTGTCCTTGCGCAGTCCCGCCACACTTTCTTGCCGTTATGATAACCGGCACGGGTACAGCCTATCAGTCTACTTCTCCCTTACGAGTTCGCGCCGGCAGAATTAGTGAGTGTTCGCTGCTTAGTACTGACGATAGTTCAAGCCTCAAACGACAAGTGCTACGAGCGATGACCTATGCGCTATAATGATCGCTCAACACGTATATCGCACGGATCTAGCAGGCTGGTAAGCAAGACCGCCTCACCAACGCGACATTTTCATGGAAGCCCGTCATGCTCATCGTACAAGGCAAATCGACAATAGATGGCGCCTCTTTGCAGCGTGTGCAGTACCCGGTCCCATCGCAATGAAAGGTAAGTGCTAGGATAAGGGAGAAGCGCGTCCACCCGACGCGTCCTAGTACCCCGAGCCGGGGTTCATCCTCAGCTTCTTTCTCGATGATCTGCACAGCCAGATCCCTCATCTACTTCATTGGCTCTTTGCTCACCCTTCCTAGCCGCGCGCCTTTGGCCAGGAAGGCCCTCTTCTCCTTTTTCAGGATTAATGTCGGCCACTGCTTGATACGCCGCTCATGGAAATGGCCGCGACGTCTATGACCGGATCGACAGGCGAAAGGCCCTCCCGCGAGGGATGACGCGCATCTACCGCCCTGCGCTGGAGATCTGCTTGCGTACAAGCACTCATCTCGCATACGGGGCACATAGCCCTCTTATGCGAAGGAAGGTGAGCTGCCCTTTCCTGCCGTCCCCTAATTAGCCGGCCGGTCATTATCCTTCTGCGCCACACAGGCGCACTTTACGCTTTACAGAGCGGTGACCATGGGATCGATAGCCAATTTGCCTCAGACCCCATGCGGATAGCCATAGGGGAACTGTTCATCCGTAGGCAAAGTGCCACAACCCGAATCTCCGCGTGCTTTGAATAGGCAAGCCGTTGCGCCTTTTAGCATACTATCCCTGATCCTCCCGCAGTGCATGTTTATGCCCTGCGCCTTGGCGCGAATGCGATGAGCGGGGTGGGGCATCCGAGGGCATGCAGGACGCATGGGGGATGTCTTGGTTGGTATAAAGGCGAGCGCCTTTCTGCTCAGTATAGCCCAACAACCACCAGCTGCATCTACCTCTACCCTACACTCGACAACCCTTCCTCTACTTGTACTCGTCGAAGAACATGTCTCAATCGGTGAGTTGAGACTTCTCCTCGCCTCGACGAAGCACGTTTCTGACTTGTGTCCTCCAGGCCAACTCCTCGATGAGCGCTCTCAACTACGACGGCCCTCGCGTCCCGCGTCGCACGCCCATGGCTTGCGAATTTTGCCGCGGTACGTGCCAAGCGCTGTCTTACTCACCAACTTGAGCTGACCTCTTCGACAGCGCGTAAGCTCAAGTGTGACGGTGGCCGCCCGTCCTGCGCCAACTGCGAGAAGAAGAAGTTCCCGTGCAACTACGTCCCTGTGTACGTCCCGTCTCCCCTTCCACAACACGAATTTCACCGACCTCCTCGCAGCGGTGACAAGTCGAAGAAGTAGATGCGGCCCTAATGGCCAACAACCTACCACGTCGGCGTCAGCACCCGCCAGGGACTGCGTCGGCGTCCTGACCTCCGCCGCTCATTTCTCGCTGGGATAGGCGCTGCGCGCCACTGCCTCTGATGTACTGTTACGCATTTTCTTGGGTTTGGGTCGGACGGATTTCATGGATTTCCCTGGTATCGAGGAGAAAAATCGTAAAACACATACAAATCGGATAATTTATGCCTGCTAAGCAGGTTGGGAATGCTGGCCTGAGGTATTTGATGCGTCTCCGTTGTGTGAGGCATGCGTTCGCTGGCAGAGTGTGTGATGACGAAGGGCATTACGCTGAATCAGCGCGAATGTGCAGTGAGACAAAAGCACACGTTGTTTCCGTCAGAAGCTCCAGAGAGCTCATTGCGTCGGCGAGAAGAGCCTACGAAAGAGAGCATAAAGCTGGCGAAGGGATGCTCGCAGGCATCGGACGTGACTTCAATAGAGTATATTTGGATTTGAGGCGCTTGTCACTTGAAATTCAGGCGGACTTCGAGCACTGCGGAGCCGCACATCCTGTAGACTCGTGATTTCCAAGACGAGGCCCGTATGACTACATGGCAGCGAGTGAGGAAGCCCTTTAGACCGCCCATCGACAATAAGCCCGCGCCGTCCTACAAAGGCAGAGATCGCCCAGCTGAGTCAACCAGAGTAGTAGCCGAGGATGCTGCGCTGCGATGTGGTCGACCCAGTACTATGATAGAGTCGACAGAGTTCGATTTCTTGGGGAGTGTCGCGTACGCCGACGCGATAGTCGACGCACCGGTCGACGAAGAGCGTTGAACCTTCGACATATGCGGCATAGTCTCCATAGGCATCATGAGAGTATCGTTATCCGGTAGTGAAGCAGCGTTCAAGGCGTCTTCCTTGATGCGTGCGTAGCACTTGACAAAGCTATAGATCGTGACGGCGATGAGGATGATGCAGACGCCTAAGACAAAGAAGAGCGCTCCCGCGTAGTGTAGGGGCTGGCGCGTAGCATTGACTGGAAGAGACGAGTAGTGTGCGCCTGATGCAATCGTCGTAGGCTGAGCGAGAGTGGGCGTGGGTGTGTTCGTGACAATCCCGTCCAAAAGAATGTTGACCGTAGGCATGTTCTCGACTAAGCTTCTAAAAGACTGGGAGAGGAATAGTATGCTTGAGAAGTTAGTTGTGCGAATGTCAGTAAAGGCGAGCATACTGGTTTGAATAAAGCTCACTGGCTAGAATCTATGTCGTCGATGTTCGTGTTGAAGTGCAGATCCGGGAATTGCCGTCATTAGGCAAACACGTGAGGAATCCCACGAGGCTCGTGACAAACAACGGTCAATCAACATGGATGCATCCTGTTTCCGTCTCCCATGTCGCTGCTCTCATCTATTAAAATTCGAGCTCCTGAAGACGTTTCGATGTGTCAGAGACGGATTTGAACTTACTAGCGGTCACACCCACTCAATCACCAAAAGAGCGCAACGCCGACTGTATACCCGCTAGCGATGTCGTATCACTATAAAACATCCGAAGTGGGCGCCTGCAGACACGCAAGCCAACCTGCTTCTAGGCGTTGGTATACCCTTTGCGCAGCCGACGCCACCTAGTATCCGGCCTCGAGGCAAATAATCGCCTTTGAACACTTATAAACCGCGGCTTTCGTCATACTTCCTTTCTCTCCTCTTTCACCCTCACCCTCATCATGGACCTCGGAGAAGACATCGATGAGAGGCTGCCCGGTGAGGACGAGAAGTTTGACCCATCCTCGGCCGCAGACACGCTTCGAGCCCTCGACGCTCTGTGGTACATCGGTGCAACGAAGAAAGCGAGATGGATGGACATCATCGGTGACTATGCGGGCGAGGAATTGTTTGTCATCGATGGTGCGTGGTCCTGGTCTGGATTTTTGCCGCTCTGATGGGGCGTTTAGGGGACTCCCTTGTGCAACGGGTTCTTGACGACCCCCTACTGGCGCTTGGAAAAGCAGGAGGTGAGTCACCACCTTGCACGATGTATCATTGTCTCAAGTTCCTTCAGATACTGGGTTCCAAACCATACATGCGTTATATCTCGTTGAGCAGACGCTCTCTGCGTTTGCAGGACGCGGGTGCAACTTCGAGATCGTATTCTGGGACGGTGAGCCATCCTCAAAATCTCATGCGTCTTTCGATGCTGATCTATACAGACAACGCTCCCGTGACGATCAGCAGCAGTGAAGGTGACTTCGTAACGACCTCGAGACGCCTTGCGCGGCGCATCATCAAGCACCATTGCGAAGATCGATTATCCATCCCAGTCAGTACCTTTGCCAACACGGACGACGAGGCATGGACCGAATACGAACATCAGAAAAAGGTCAGTCACTTATCGAACCACCCCACGTACGGCTGATGTACTATTCTAGCCAATGTTCGTACTACTCAACGACGGGTCCAGCTTCAGCGACAAAGGGACTTTGGCCGCTGATCGGATGCTGGTACAACGGAATATGGTCCTTACGCTGCAACATTGCGGAATTCCGGTAGTCCTGCTCAATGGAATCGAGTTCAAGGACTCAAAGGTTCGTATGAGTCCACCTTCACACGTCTTGCTATTTGACAACCTCTGTAGATAATGTCCTTCGTCTTCGAGCAACGTCGCGTTCGCCAATTGCCGAAGAAGCTTCCCGGTGCTGTCGCTAGATGTCATCAGCGTCTTGCAGAAGAGACTGGGCTACCTCGCACTGGCGGCCAAGGCTCTATCGTCGACTTTATCACGATCGTCCTGAAGAAGGGCAGGATCACTCCTTTCGTGGCTGAACTGCTCTATGTATTTGTCGCGCACCTCATCATCCTCCCATCGCTGTCGGTTTCTGATCGCGCTCAACTCCCTTCTCTCCTGCATCCCAAGCTTGAAGCCGCCTTGTTGAACGACTTCCTCCCTTGCGTGTACGAAGCGGCTGCTGGCCTGGCTTGCATCGATGACGTCGACGGACGGGTGTATACTGCGCTCCTGAGCGCCATTGTCAATGATGGCCATCAAACAGCACTCGCGAACGTTATCGGTTCTCCTGAAGCCGCTCGCATTCAAGCCCTCTGGCAGCAGGCCAACGGACCACGCATCGATATGTCGTCCTTCGCTCGACGCTTTTCGTGTCTCGACAAATCGACGACAAGCACGAGCGCGTGTTCTACCGATGACGGCTCATACGCCCTGTTACCATTTCACGAGCCGACATTCGACGAGCACTTGTCCGACATCCGCGTTCCTACTGCGGACGAGACCGAAACCTCCGTCGTCCCAACCAAGTATGCACGCGGCGTCATCTTCGCAGACGTGCACCACTGGCACAACAACCGCTCCATCCTTCCTTCGCATCTGGGCGGCAAGCCGGCTGTAAAGAGGCAGCTCACGCCGTGGCAACGCAAGAAGGAACTGCGCGCTGAGCAGCGCTTCACGCACAACCTTCAGCTGCAGGCCGCGACCCTCATGGGCACCATCGGCCTCAAGCAGCTTGTCATCCCGCCGGCCGGCAACGGTGCGGAGTCCAGACGTGCGGTGGTGAAGGGGAAGGCGCCAGCGAGTCAAAGTGGAGCTGGAGGGAAGGGCACGAAGAAGAGCAGCGGGAAGGGAAAGACGCCGAAGCTGTCCAAGAAGGAGCAGCTTCTCCTCGATATCCAGGCGCAGAAGGACGTCGGCGCGCGCAAGGCGTCGATCAAGAGCTGGAAGGGTCATCTCGCGGCGATGGAGGCGATGTCGACGGACGGCAAGGTCGCCTACCTCGAGCAGCTCAACCGGAACAAGGTGGAGGAGGCGTGGCAGGGCTCCGAGCTCCGTGCGATGCGCCTCGACCTCCTTCTTCGCTCGTGGATCAACGATCCTCAGCGCGACGCTCCTTCCGTTCAAGACAAGTACACTGTCAAGGCCATGCGCCTCATCGTCGACATCTGCGCTCGCAAGGTGCTCACAAAAGCGATCGCGGAGAAGGCCAAGGTCGTCTTATCCGTCCTCGGTTTTGGCGAGTACGCGGACGTCTTGTTGCCAGACGAGGGTCAGCTCGAGGACACGAAGATGACGTTCAAGTTTGTCGACCTGCTGGAGGGGAAGGGAAAACGGCCGGCGTTCCCGTGGATGCACATAAAGGAGGACCCAGTCGAGTGGCAGCTACGCCTCTGGGGCGAGTATATGGATCGCAGCATCGACGCGACCAATGATCCACGTGTTGGTTTTCGTCCTGATGCTTGGCAGCGGCGCGTCCTGGACGCTATCGACCGCAACTCGTCCTTACTTGTCATTGGTGAGCTTGAATACAGGTATCGCACTATGCCTCCGTCTGACCCTTGAGCTAGCGCCCACGAGCTCCGGAAAGACTTTCATCTCGTACTACGCGATGGAGCAGGTCCTTCGCGAGTCGGACAAGGGCATCCTCGTGTACATCGCGCCGACGAAGGCGCTTGTGGCGCAGATCGCTGCCGAGGTCTACGGGCGGTTCAAGAAGACGCTGCCATCGGGCTCTCTCTGGGCAATGCAGACGCGAGACTACCGTATCCAAGACCCGCAGAACTGCCAGATCTTGATAACCGTGCCGGAGATGCTCGCGATCATGCTGCTCAGCCCGCCTCTTGCCAAGTCGTGGACGCCGAGGATCAAGAGGTGGGTAGAAAACGTATCACGGGCTAGTGGGGTGTTTATTGACCAGGGTACAGGATAATCCTTGACGAAATTCACTCGATTGGCCAGCAGGAAGGTGGCGCTGTATGGGAGCAAATCCTCCTTCTAGCACCCTGCCCAGTCATGTGCGCTTCTTGCTCTTCTCGCACTTAACATGCTGACAATAAGGCAGCGGACTGTCGGCTACCATCGGAAGCCCGAGAAAGTTCAACGACTGGCTGGCGAGTGTACAGCGCGCTCATGGGTACGAGCACGAGCTCGTCGAACATCCGCATCGCTACTCGCACCTGCGCAAGTACCAATACGTCCTCGCCAAAAAGCCGCCCAAGTTTCAGGGTCTTGCCACTTACGAACCTTCGGAACGCATCCAGTTCCTTCATCCTGCGTCTATGCTGGTCAACGGGCCGCGCGCTATGCCACCCGATCTTGCTTTCGAGGCCTCAGACACGCTGTCACTGTACACAGTGCTCGCCAAGCGTGCCGCTGATATCGACGTCGACATAAACGACCTCAAGCCGTCGACATTCTTCAAGTCCGTTAAGGCTTTGCTGACGCAGAAGGAAGTTTTGGAGTACGAGGCGGCACTTAAGCAGCTATTGGCGCACCTCATCGAGACGTCGCAGCAGGGCGACCCGGACTCCTCGCTAGCCCTCGTGTCCTCTGATCTGAAGCCGCCTCCGATCGTATGCAACACCGTCGACTCTGCGTTTGCGCCAAATGCGGACGAATTTGTGCAGAACCTGATTCATCTCGTGTCAGACCTCCACGCAACGGGTAGCCTTGTAAGCCATCACAACCTCCTATGCCCTCCAATGTTCATCGCATCGTTAGCCTGCCATCATCTTCAACTTCGACCGCAGGTACTGCGAGATCATAGCGCAGAGGCTCGTCTCCGAGTTGGAGCGTGCTGAGAAAGCATGGCGTCGCTCGTCGCCAGTCTGGACGAACCGTATCGAGCAATGGGAGAAGTGGAAAGCCAAGGCGAAAGACCGGCAGCGGCAGGAGACACGCGCGAAGCGCAACGCAGGCAACGAGGATGAGGGACCGGAGCAGCCGTCGGACACACATTCCTGGCAGAAGTCCTTCGATCCGAATGCGCCCTCGGAGGGCTTCACGTTCGCCGACGTGTATGCGTACTCGAAGGCGGACCTGGACGAAGATCTTCGTCAACTCGGATGGCGTGCACCCGGTATACTGAACAGATTGCCGTGGGCTTTCGATGCGCTGTATCGCGGCATAGCTGTACACCACGCGGGTATGAACAAGCATTACAGAACGCTGATCGAACGGTACGAGTACGCCCGTCTCGACGATGCCCAAGTGACTGATGGCTTGGTAGCCTCTTCCGCATTGGCTACATACGAGTCATGATCTGCACCGGTACGCCTCTTTCGCTTCTTCGGTGTTAATGCCACTGAACTCGCCCCAGGTACTTTGGCTCTGGGTATTAACGCGCCAGCGAAGACGGCGGTCTTCGCTGGTGACAGTCCCTTCCTCACGGCCTTGATGGTATGCGGAGCACATTCCAAACACTGCCTAATGCTGACATACGCGTGCAGTACCGCCAGTGTGCAGGCCGCGCTGGACGGCGTGGATACGATCTCTTCGGCAACGTCGTCTTCTACGGTCTACCAGAAGAGCGCATCCAGCGTCTCGTCCTTTCCAAGCTCCCCTCTCTCGGCGGCACCTTCCCCATGACCTCAACCATGTGCCTGCGCCTCGTCAACCTCCTCCATGGATCCGGGAATGCTCAAGTCGCCGTCGACGCCGTTCGCAGCTTGATGTCCCTGCCTCATGTCACTTTCACTGCAAGCGCCGGTCGACACCAGCTTCTTCATCATGTGCGATTTAGCTTCGAGTACCTACGGCAAGCCGGGCTCTTGGACGCTGAGGGGCAGCCCATGAATCTATACGGGGTCGCGGCGCATCTCTATGTGAGTAAATCCATTCTGCAGTGTGCTTATACCAATCAACTCCCAGTACACGGAACCGAGCAATTTTGCCCTCGTCGCACTCCTTCGGCAAGGGATATTGCACGACATCGCGGCGCACAAGAGCTTCGAGGATGCCAAGCGCGAGTTCATCATCCTGATGTGCCACCTATTCGACCGTCGCTACCTCTCACGCGTATACACCCAGAAGCCGCACCTTCAAGCGCTACTCAGGAAGTACCCGTCGCGCGTACTGCTCCCGCCACTACGTTCCGACGCAGTTCGCGCCCTACGAGAGCACGACGAGGAGATCCTCCGCGTCTTCAAAGGCTACGCAGTCACGTATGCGCAATCAAGGGATGCCGAACTGCCGAAGGACGTCTGCCTACCGCTCAGTCACACGCCATACGTCGGAAGCAGCGAAAGTTCTCCCTTCAAGGAGTCCTTGCAGCGAACGGCAGTGCCACGCAGCGTTCGCTCCTCATTCATCGCGACATCAGGACACGGCGACGAGTTTGCCAGCGTTAGCGAGCTCTGCCGCACCGCACGCGCCGGAGTCGAGCTGCATGAGCACAGCATCCCCTCGATGGAACGCTTCATCCGCTATGCAAATCCTGACGAGACGGACGGCGTCCAGCACGTCCTCAACGCCTACATCTACGACTTTTACACGCATGGCCAACCAACTTCTCTCGCGCAGGCGAACGGCATCAAGTACGGCGACATTTGGTACCTGCTGGAGGACTTCAACCTTGTCCTGCTCACTCTCAAGACGGCGCTGCAGCAGCTCCTGAGTCGTACACGGAGCGAAGACGCTGAGCTCGTCGTTGGTGTGGACCTTGATGAGGAGCAGGTGGTTGGCGATGCGGACGTCGAGGACGATGTGAAGGAGGATGAGGACATCACGGATGAGAAGGAACCTGCGGCAGAAGGCGAGGAGTTCTCGAGACCGAAGGGTGTGCCGGACTTTGACTGGAATGTGTATCGCATGGTGTCTCGTGCTCACGAAGACTTTTATGCCAAGTTCAAGGCGATGTGGGCGTAACTCATTGTCGTATTTACTGTCGTGTTTTGTTCGGTCCTTGGATCCAATCAATTGCCTTATGAGATGTATCTCTGCCATGAACCACGCCAGCACTGCTCACAGGTAAGGGAGATTATAGTAAGAATTATATTGTATATTCCCGCTGGAACGAGCTCAGTCACGCTCTGGTGTAAACGTCTCCGAAGTGCTGTGTAGTCAATGCAGGTGCGAGAGAAACATTTTCTCGCTTTCTTCTCAATCTGAAGGAAGCAATAACGCCTGTACCTATCAATTCACGCTGGTACCTCACATAGAAAGGATATCTGAGCGAGCAGGCTTCGCCCCTCTGAGATCTCGCTTCACGCGATCCGCTTGCTCCTTAGCTCGTCCTGCTTGCGATAGTGGCTAATAGACTGCGCTTCAAAAACGTAGCTATCGCCAAAGTGAAACCGATGACGGGACTCGAACCCGCAACCTTCGCCTGACCTTCGTAGGAAAGCGACGCCATAGACCATTAGGCAACATCGGCGTGATATCAGACCGGCACACGCATGTGACGTGGAGTGACAAGTGCTCACCTCCATCACGTTCGCCCTAGCTTCCCACTCTGTTCTTGGTTTACTCCTTCATCATGGACTTGCGGTCTGAGAACATGGTGCGGCGCTATGGCTATCAGCTCTGCTTCGTGCTCATTCGGCACAGTCTATGCAGCAACTCATCGCCTTCAACATGCAACGGCACAAGAACGCTCGACTTGCCGAGGCACCGGACGATGGCGCTAAGGCGCCGGCGCCTAAACGCGCCAAGAAGGTCCACAAATCCTCTGCGGCCCAAATCCCCGATCGTCGTCCTTCATCTCTAGCGGCCGTTACGCCGAAGCTCAGCACACAGTTGGCGGGTACGCGCAGGGGCAAGCGCGCGCAGGTGCGCGATCAGTCGGACTTGAGGCGTAGCCTACTGACTGGCCCGAAGCGCTCTTCGACACCTTTGGACCAGATGATCGCGGTGGACGAATGGATGGAGGAGGATGTGACGATGGTGCGCGGCGGTTGCTTTTGTGTTCGGACGCATATACCCACCTCGCGTATGACAGATCGAGGCCGCCCCCGCGACTATGCCATCCCTCGACGTTCCCGCGTGTTTGCGCGAGCTCGAGAGCGAACTCGCAAAGTTGCTCGATGCGGGCAAGACGGTGATCAGTCTGGAGAACACCGCATACAGGGAGACACAGGGCAGTAGACTTCGTCGTGCTAAAGTCGTTGAGAGTGGCCGACAGGTGATCAGCATCGCGGAGGATGCTCTGGGCAAGCTTCGCACCGTGCTTGGATCTCTGCCTCTCGAGAACAAGTGACGCTCCGGTACCACCTTCCTTGCTATCCTATCGCTTTCATCTCGCTCTGCCCTGTACTGCACTTTGTCGTATCGCTCTCGTCGCTCGGTTCGGACTTGGATACTCTGTCGTTATATCACGCTCTCATACCCGCTTTGGACTCGGATACCACATTTTGCATTGAATTGGAACCTTGGATTGGACGAATAACTAGCTTTACACTTTCTCAATAAGAAGCCTTGTACGTTTGCGCGCGTCCGCCTTGCGACAATCTGTCTGGAGACACACGTACGCAACGTCCGCCGCCTCGCCCTGGACCTTGCCCGCCAGCGCTGCGCGCAACAGCGATACGTCTTCCTCGTACAGCACGATCTTGTCCTTGGCGACCGGGACCTTGCTGCTAAGGTCGATGGACTCCCTCAGCGAGAGCGACGTGTCTTGCGCGTGATCGTGCCCCGGGCGCGCGTCCACGCAGCGAAGGAGGTCATACCCGTGCGTGTTGTGCCAGTGGGCGATCATGTCGGCAAAGTCGTACATGCTGTTATCAAGTCAGTGCATGGCGGATATGCAAGATCGGCCGACTCACGTCGCATTCTCGCGGCACGTCCACATCTTACAACGCAGCGAGACGGAGGAGTCGAACTTGGGCGCAGTCGTCGTCTTGCAGTGGGAGAGCATGTGGCGGAGCATCTCCTTCTTGCCCGGGTCACTGGTATATAGTCAGTACGCGCACGGAAACAATCAAAGCCAACGTACTTCACGCCGCATGCATTCGGATCCTCCTCGTCAAAGTCGTTGATGCAGACGGGGCAGTAGTACACCGTCCGATTCTTGTACTCGGTCTCAAACTGGTGCTTGTACGAGTCTATGCCGCTAGGAGGGCGTTAGCAAAGGCAGACGAACTGCAACGACGACACGTACAGGGGACGTCCCGCATCCTCGGCGTCCTGGATGTCGAGGTTCTTGGCCGCAATCATGTCGGCATAGCAGATGCGACAGTGCTTGTCGAGCTCATCGCCGTTGCCGAAGAAGCCGGCGCAAAAGTTACACCTGGTGTGCGTGTCCTTGTAGTGCCGCTGCATGCACGTCCACATGTGCTGCCCATAGTTACCGAGCAGGTCCTTGTGAATGCCCTCGCGCGCGCACAAGAAGCATTGACGCTGGAGCGCCTGTTCGTCCAGACGCAGGAGGTGCATCAGAGCCTTGAAGACGTTGGCGCGCGCGTGCAGAGCGTTCTCGCCAGTGACGAGCGAGAGGTACGGGTGACCAGCGTCGAGGGAGTGTACGAATCGCGCGAGCGTAGCGCTCCGCGGAGCGCCGTCGACAGGTTCCGGTGCAGTAGAGGCTGCAGGGGGAAGAATCTGTTGTGACACGTTGAGCGAGCGCAACATGATGGGCGAAAATCGACGTACCTTATTGTTGAGGTCCCTGAGCGCTATCAAAATATCGTTCATGGCGTCCCGCGCCTCCTCCACGAGCTCGTCCGGCTTCTCCATATCCGGCACCTCGTCCACCCACTTGCCGTACTTCTCGTAGACAGCGTGGTCAAGCTTGTCGAACGTGCGAGCGAGCTCTTCGACCTTCGCATCCGCAAAGAGACGGCGGACGCGATCTTCGTGCAGGCTGTCCGCGGAGGCAGGACCAGCAGTCCGCCCGACAGAGTTGTAAAACTCTATCGTGCTCGTGTCCTCCGCACGTCCGCGAAAGCGGGCCTGAAAGTCGACCTGAGCGATCTGAGCCTTATACGTGGTCCACGTCAGCGGCGAGTTGATACGGTGACCCATTGCAGCAGTAACAATGTCCTGCAAGCACGATGAGTGGTCGGATTGCACGAGGCAAGAGCAGGACTTACGGGGGACACGGTACGCTTCAAGTTCTCGCCAAACGTGTACCGCATGAACTTCCACATGAACGCGAGGATGCCGCAGAACACCGCAATCTTCTGGACAAAGTGGTTGGCGGACGCGGAGCTCATCGTCTTCCACTCCTGCGGCTTGCGATTCTTCCCGACATACATCTCGGGCTGATTATCCGTGTTCGCAGCCGCGAGCTTCTCCTCCGACGGCTGCTTGGAGGCACGGACGACGCCCGTGTGCTTGAACTTGTCGCGAACGACGAGCTCGACCCTCGATGCAGGTGGAGCGACCGCGCCGGAGATCCATCCGATGACTTCGTTGGACTGTTCCCAGACGTCGTAGTAGCAGCCGATGACGAGGAAAGGGAGGATGGGGTCCATGTGCGCCTCGGAGCCTGGCAGCACACGAATGCTCTTGTCGGAGATGCGCAGGGAGGTGCCCTTGTAGCCCTTGAGCCAGTGCAGACGGAAGAAGATGGAGACGTTGAGGCCCCAGGAGTCGGTACCTTCGATATAGACGGTAGTGTCGCCCCATCGCACGCACTGCGCGAGCCCCTGCGCGTTCTCAGCCTCCGTCCAGGTGCCGATGCGCGTGCCGAGCTCGGACATGATCGTCGTGAGGAAGTACATGGTGACACGGGTCTTGTTCGAGTCGTAGCTGAGCCCGGGATCGAGGAGCGCCTTGAGCATCTTGAGGAGGTCGACTTCGCGCATGAGGAGCTTCTCGCGGGCGCGATCCTCGATGACGCCTTTGACCTTGGCCAAGGCGTCGATAAACTATGCGGTGTCAGTCAGGACACGACGCGCAGCAAACCAGCACACTCACGTTCTTGATAGCCTCGCGATAGGCAGGCGTAGGGGATGCGACGCCGCGCGAATAGAGCTGAAAGTGGGTCAGTGAATATCGTAGGTGTGATGCTGTTGCGCGCTTACCATGCCGAAGACTGCGCCCTGGAACTTGACCATGGTGTTGTACGAGAGCCCGCGACCATCAGGGCCGCGAGTCCTGCCGACGAACTCGAAGAACGTCTTCATCGTGCCCTCCTCCGGCAGCGCCTGACCCTCTTGCAGGGTCAGCGCAGCGAGCTTCTCGGACTTGAGGATGACGGTCATGGCCTCCAGCCAGACGCGCTCAATGTAGTCGTAGTTGGAAAGGGTGCTCGCCGCGAGATAGTGGAGGTCGAAGGTGCCGTTGTCGATCTCGCGGAGGATGACGGCGTTATCGTCGTGGCCAAAGAACTCCTCGTATGCTTTCGCGGTGTCGACCTTGGCTTTGCCGCAACGGGGCTTTGCCTTCCGCAGCCCCTCCGCATCGATATGCTCGTCCTCGACAGGCGGGCGTGCGGCGGGCACAGGCGGTGGGGCGGGTTGCGCAAGGGTGCGCACGTCGATAGGCGGACGGCGGACGGACCACATGTGGGTCCCCGGCAGCGCCGTGAAGGTGCGCTTGTCGGCTGTACGCGGTAGGTTGCTCTTGCGAACAGCGCCATGGGCCATGGTGGAGGAGGTGGGCGATGGGGCAGCTACGCGACTGCCCGACTTATATGATGGATGTGCGATGGGTTGCAGGCTGTCGAGGCGCGTCAAAAACCAGTAGACGTGCGAGCTCGGACAGAAGACTGCGAGGGCAGGACTCGCATCTCACCTTTGGAATTTCCGAGTTCGGTCGAGCTGCCATGTCAGCGCGCATGTCGGATCGACAGGGACGCGCGAAGCGCGCATTGGACAGGTGCCTGTCATGGCCAGCGGAGGCTTCGCGCGGACATTACCCGCCGACGCTGCTCATGTTGTACGCCGCGACGATGGAGGGAGCAGGCTCGCGCGCGTTGGACATGGTGGTCGAACGATGGTGGGCAAAACATGGATGCATGTTTTATGACATGTTACGTAAAGGCGACTGCAGCGTGTACTCTAAGTTCCCACAGCTGTCCGCGGACGATATCCGTATAATCTGGACGGTGCCAAAACGCGGCTGTCAACGCAATGACAGCTTCCTCCGCGCGCAAGTACAGCTTCTGGCGCGTTCCGATGCTGGTCTCATTCGCAAAGGCATCGTAGTATGCGAGGGCGGTGTTCATCGCCTTTGGACCGTTCGACGTGCTGAGCAGAATGTCGTACTCCCAGCAGGGGTCGAGGAGGACGATGGGCCCAAACTATGCACGTCAGTGTGCGCGGGAGCAAACGTACAAAGACCGTACCCTGGCAAATAGCCTCAGGAGTCGGTTGCGCGCGGTGACATGCACCTGCTGGGCGTGCGCAAACTTGTTGATGTCCTTCTTGCGGTCCTTGAGCACCTGCTCGGCGGGCCCAGACGCAAGCGCCGCGCGACCCTCCTCTGTCTCTGCCCAGAGTTGGCGATAGAAGCGGGTCGCGAACTGGCTGTCGTGCGTCGAAGACGCGTACCATCGGCGAGCCAGAGTGACGTCGAAAAGCTTGAGAAGCACCTTGTTTGCGAGGGCAAACTCGCCCGTGAACTGACGGTAGTTGTATATACCCTTGTTGGACGTGTCAGAAAGCGACGCCATCGAGCATCCGTCCTTACATTGTGCTGCAGGGCCAGCGCGCTGATAGACTGGCATCCGATGAGGAACTCTTGCTGGATCGCAAACAGGTCGTCACTGTCAGCCGACCCCGCAAAGGCTTCCTTCCAGCTATCGGCCGTAATGTCGGGCGCAATACCACGGACGGCGTTCGCAAGCGCGATCCGCCGTCTCCTCATCTGAGTACTGCTGAGGGTGGCGAGCTGGGCAATCTGCGCGCTCGAGAGGGGCGTCTGCCAGAGGTTGGCTTCGAGTAGAGCGTGGATGTCTTGCTCGGCAGTGTTGGCGGATGGGCGAGGGCGACGCGGGGCAACGGGCGGGGGCGACGGCGACGGCGTCCGCGTGGGGCTCGGCGACGGCGTATGGGTGCGTGTGGGTGCTGGTGTGGGTGTCCGCACGTGCTCGGGTGTATGCGCGCGGTCGCTGGCAGGCGTTGGTGTCAGAGCGCGGGACACTGGCGGAGTCGGGGACGTGTGCGTCTCGGAAGCGAATGGGGTTGAGGCGCGGCGGGTATTGAACTGCTGGAAGAGGTCGCCCGGGAGACGCTGCGTGAATGTGAGCACGACTGTAGCGATGAGCACGCGCGCTCTTGCCTCTGGGTACGTCGTGACCGTATCGTACAGGCGGCGTATGACGGTCACCACTGGACAGAATTGTTAGGACTATCGTTCCCCATGTTAAGCTCTGCCTTTGCAATGTTCTGGCTTAGACACTTGGCTTCGCCTTGGTTCGGGAGATGGATTTGCGCTTGGAATATAAATGCACGTGACTTTTGCTTTAGGTCACGTGGACTTAGCTTTCGCCTTGCGCGTTTCGCCATCGACTTCGACTCTGATTTGGACCGAACTTTCTCTCTCTGATGCGCACCGTAGCCCCAACTCTTTAGATAAACATGACCGGTGGGCCACGTGTTCCACCCTGCACTGCTGGCCAGTGGACGGCGGGTCCCACGCGGCCTCCGGAGGTACGCGCGAGGTCCCCCAGTGGACGGTACGAAGAGGTGAGCTATCCTATTCCACTTTACCCCTTATTTCCCTTTCCGCACACTGTCTGCCCGCCTTCGTCGAGTGCTCTGGCCCACATACTCCTTTGCGCTACCATGACACCCTCGACGCACAATTCTCAAGCCTGCGAAATTGGAGGATGTGCGCGATCTGTGGTGGGCGAGGTGTAAGGAGGGTCTCCCACCCCGTCATTCCCTCATCTGGGCTCTCTGCACAATGATTCTGGGATGCCGATCTCAGCAGAGTCCCTCGCGCTCGCCCTGGACGTGGAGTGCTCGTGAAGATAGAGAGGAGAACAGATGAGAAAGCGGTCCATGTTGAGTGCGAAGCAGCGGAACGATGGAGCTGCAGAACAAGGATGACAACGTTGTCTAGGGCTTGCTAGAGGGCAGAGTGTACACTCGGGGGAGGGGGGAAGGGACGAAGGGATCTGTGCGCCGTACATCATAATGCTACAGAATCAGAAAGAACGTTGGGAGCGCATCAAGTCTACGGCGAGTGACGTCGAATTCCTTTCCGTTGACTAGAGCAACTGACGTGGGGCAGATATCTGCGCGCGTCAGTATTGGTGAGAGGGAAAGGAAGGGGGAGAGAGGTGTCGCGTGTTCCAGCGCAGTAAGTCATTTAGCTTGCAACAGATGGCCCTCGGGCGTGGGCGAGAACAGAATATGAGCTGTTTACCCTCCGAGACGAACGGAAGGATGCGCGCCCACTCTTCGATGCGTCTACTGCTCCTAGTAAAGGTGAGTACTCGCCCTTCGCTTCTACAGTCTCTCCCCTTCCCGTTGACGCCGCTTGCCTTATTCCTCTCCAGTCAGTCGCTCCCCCACGTCCTCTTCCTTCCACTCAATGCGCTCTCCCCTCATCTCGCGTCTGCCGTCTCATCCTGCCCTTTCTCTCCTCTCTCTTCTCAATCTCTCCCCCCCTTACGTTCTCTCCCCAATTTACTCCCTACTTCGCATCCTAAACAACCCACTTGCACACTTCATCTGACCTCTTCCCTCCCTCCCTTCTGCCCTCGCTCCCCACCAATTCTGCGCACCAAGAGAGGGAGTGCCCGCTATCGAGGAGTCTGCGGTCGCGGTGTGGGAGGTAGACTACGTGGCCGCGAAATACGGTATGGCAGCTGCTCAAGCGCGCATCAAGAAGCTCGAAGGCGAGGTCATCGTGTATGGACCAAGAGGCGCAAGTCGACGAACTGCAGACGCAAGTCGCGGGCTCGAGAAGGCGGCGGGGATCGAGCAAGAGTCGCACAAGTTCGAGGGCGAAGCCAGCGATATCTAGGACGACCTTGGCAAGGACAAGGTTCGACTTCGTCCAGTTTGACGATAGGCTGTCGATATCTGGCAGACTCGGTGTGTCTACGCCATTCGTGAGTCTTTCCGAACATCTTCTCTCGTGTCGCATAACCGTCCGAAGCGCTGCAAGGCGTCTGCGAGGACGCGCCGCAAATTCGATGTGGAAGGTGCGGAACCCTCCCGAGTGCACTTCATCAGTCAAAGGCTAAGACCCGGGTTAGGCAAGAGTCAATTGGATCAAGTTCTGCGCGCGCATCAGAGGCGACGTATTCGAAGATGATGGGGGGCTTAGGTAAGTACGCATTTTTGGTGACATTTCTGAGCGTATACTGACCTTCCAGCTGACGATTTCTCGGGAGGCCCGAGTCACCAGAGGCGCGATCCGGCTCCTGGTCCGGGCATCCGACAATACTAGGGCTATCTCCCTCGTCGCCCCTTCGAAGCGGGAGACGCCGTGCTCAGCCAAGACGATATCTGGCGACGTCGAACCCAGGAGGTCGCGCATGGTACCCTGACTAGCGATACGATGTGGGAAATTCGCCCATCGTCCCGTAGCCCCCGCTTTCGCATACTGTCTTTGTCGAATCGAAGGTCCTACCCCTTGTGCATACATCCCTCTGCCCTAGAGAACGACGAGTTACAACGGGTGCGGTAGGGGACAATGCAAAGTGTTTTACCCTTCCTCTACTTGCTGTGTCGGTGTTCTGCTACTGACACTGTTTCCAGATCGAAGGAAGAGCTCCCCGATAGCTCAATGGAGCTTGGGCGAATTGCGTCCCATGTTCTATAACACCTCGTCGCTGCGCGTCTTAAGAGGTCTCAGTGGGCTATAGGAGCACGTGTTACACCGCCGCCATCCCATTGCCACCCCGCCTTCAGCGCATAACCCCAGGGTCTGCCTGTTGGTTCGGTTTTCGACGCTTAGTAAGACGTGCTCAACATCGTACGGCCATTATGCACTTTTCCCATCTCCTGATTTTACGCATGGCTGCGGTCTACGCAAGCAGTGGGCTTGTTCGACCGTTCATCTGAGGGAACTGTCACGGTTCGTCACGGCTGTTACAGTCCGCGGCCCGCCGTCCCGACTGCCGCCTCCCCTAGTGCCCACATGTTGATCCACAAGGCAAGGAGAGGCAGAATAGTACCGAACATAATCTCTACATCTAAGGCGGAGAACACCAAATCCTAAGTCAAGAGCCGAGGACAAAAGCTAAAGCTAACGTCACGTGCAAACGCAAGTCGAAAGCTAACCTCACGTGACCTCGCGCTAAGTCTAAAAATTTTGTCCAATGAGGGCACGCATAGCGGCGGTCCAGGGCGCGCACACGAGCGATGACATCTTGATCCTGACCGACGCTCTCGATCATCCGGCGGTGGCGGGCGACGTCGTCCAGGTGCATGCGCAAGTCCGCGACCGCGAGTTCGTAGCGAACGACCCAGTCGGTGGCCATGATCGTCAGAAGCAAGGAACGCGTTTTACTTCCGCCCGTCATGCCAAACCCCGTGCCCTGCGAAGCCACCGACGAATACAAGGCAGCGTTTGCAGCGAACCCAACGCTCGTCGTCCGTCGCGGCCTGCCCCGCCTTCCCGAGGACGAGCAGGGGCGGACGCGTCGTGGCAAGCGACCCAGCACCGGTGCGAGCAATCCGAAGCTTTCGTGCATTTGCTGATCGGAGTAGGCGGCAGCGTGCAGAAGCGCAAGCGCGCGAAACGGGGCGGCGGCGAGGCTGAAGCTGAGGGCGGGGACAACAGCAAAGGCGAGGGCGAGAGTGGGGGCAACGGAAATGAGGACGTCGAGGGCGGGGACGAGAGCGAGGGCGGCGAGGGCGAGGGTGGGGACGAGGGCGGGCAGTAATGTCGCTGTCAGTAGTGATCGACGGAAAGAAGCAGCGGAAGCTAAATTGACCCTGACGTCACGCGTCGCGGCGCGTCGGGATCCGCGCGGGGCGGGACGCAGAGGGCGGGAGGCTCGTCGACGTCCTCTTCAACGATCGCGGCGAGGAGCTGTGGGGCACTCGAGGTCGGATGAGCTTCTTTGCGCGAGAGAGAGGAGATTGGCGGCGGACACGACGGCCTCCGGTCACTACGCGAAAAAGTGCGCATGCACCGTTCCCCCATCGCTCGGAGAGAAAATGCATAGTCCTCTCGCGCGGCGCGAAAGAATTCCCGGCTCCGAGTCCACGTCTCGCTAGGGACCGGCGGCGAGGGTGAGGGTGGATGCGGGCAGCAATGTTGCTGCCCGACGGAAAGAAGCAACGGAAGCATCGAATGTGACATCACGCGTCGGGATCCGTGCCCCGGGTGAAGCGGAGGGCGGGAGGCTCGTCGACGTATGCGTCGACGATGGCAGCGAGGGGGGTGTGGGGCGCTCGACATTGGACGAGCTTGTTGGCGCGCGAGATCACAGTATCGGGAGTGATTGGCGGCGGTGTGCGCGACGGCGATCCGCGGCGGCGGCGGCGGTGGTGCTCACGTCGACAGACGCGGCGACGGGGCGGCGCTCAACATCCGGCGGGCTGTAAAGGTAACCTGCGGCGGGAGTGTCGGTGACGGGAGTGTCGGTGACGGGGGGAGGACGCGCGTACATTCATGACGACGGACAGTGACCGGCAGTGGCATGCGCTCGACATCGGGCCTCCCCCTCTCCCCCTCATCCTAGTCTTTCCCCCACGCAATGCTTTTTATTCCCGGATGCACACCTGGACCCATTTTCGCCGCTGCGCTCCCCCCATCCCCGGGGGCCCCGAGCGCCAGCGAGGATAAAGACCCCCTCGCTGACGCACCCCGTCTAGCTTCCCACAGCCGGGAACAGTTCGCAAGAGCAGGACTCCCACCCCCTCCCCGCGCCGCCGAAGGATGCCTTACATTGTCGCTGCGCAAAAAAGTGCTCGTCCAGAATCGCTCCGCGAGAGAATGCGGAGTCCTCTCCCCATCGCTGCGCGAGAGTACGCACGTTGCCCCACCGCCATCGCTGCGCGAAAAAGTGCCTGGTCGGATTCGCTTCGCGAGAGATAGCCTGGGCCCATCGCTTCGCGAAAGAATGCCTGGTCGGAATCGCTTCGCGAGAGGATGCATGGGTCCATCGCTTCGCGAAAAAGTGCCCGGCCCCCCGCGATCGCTTCGCGAGAAAATGCATGGTTCCTCCTCGCTCCGGGAAAAAGCGCCCAGTCCCCCATCGCTGCGCGAAAGAATGCCGGAACCTCAGGTGAGCAGTAATGTCGCCGTCGGTAGTGATCGACGGAAAGAAGCGACGGAAGCTAAATCATCACGCTTCGGGATCCGCGCCCCGCGTGAGGCGGAGGAGTGACGGGCGGGAGGCGGGAGGCTCCTCGACGTCCGCATCGACGATGGCAAGGGCGCTCGTTCAATGAGCTTGTCGGCGAGGGAGATGAGTGCCACCGCTGGGCAGGAAAACCCACGCCCTCCGTGTCTCCACGTCAGAACGCCCAGTGACCCATCGCTTCGCGAGAGAATGCCCGGTCCCCCCGTCGCTTCGCGAAAAAATGCGCGGGCCCATCGCTGCGCAGGAGAATGACCCGCTCGTCCCCCCTTCCACCCTCCGCGCCGTCGCTGCGCGAAAGAGTGCTCAGGCGGGATCGCTCCGCGAGAGAATGCGGAGTCCTCGCCCCATCGCTGCGCGAAAGAGTGCCTGGGCGGGATCGCTCCGCGAGAGTATGCACGTTGCCCCGCTCCCATCGCTTCGCGAAAAAGTGCCTGGTCGGATTCGCTTCGCGAGAGAATGCCTGGGCCCATCGCTTCGCGAAAGAATGCCCGGCTCGGAATTTTGGGCCTCGCTCCGCTCGGGGCCCAAAATTCCTCGCCAACCACCAGAAAGCGACGCCATGACCATTAGGCTACGACGGCTTGTAATGAGCAAAGATTCATTGCCAGGAAGGCCTTCTTCTCCTTTTTCAGGATTAATGTCGGCCACTGCTTGATACGCCGCTCATGGAAATGGCCGCGACGTCTATGACCGGATCGACAGGCAAAAGGCCCTCCCGCGAGGGATGACGCGCATCTACCGCCCTGCGCTGGAGATCTGCTTGCGTACAAGCACTCATCTCGCATACGGGGCACATAGCCCTCTTATGCGAAGGAAGGTGAGCTGCCCTTTCCTGCCGTCCCCAAATTAGCCGGCCGGTCATTATCCTTCTGCGCCACACAGGCGCACTTTACGCTTTACAGAGCGGCGACCATGGGATCAATAGCCAATTTGCCTCAGACCCCATGCGGATAGCCATAGGGGAACTGTTCATCCGTAGGCAAAGTGCCACAACCCGAATCTCCGCGTGCTTTGAATAGGCAAGCCGTTGCGCCTTTTAGCATACTATCCCTGATCCTCCCGCAGCGCATGTTTATGCCCTGCGCCTTGGCGCGAATGCGATGAGCGGGGTGGGGCATCCGAGGGCATGCAGGACGCATGGGGGATGTCTTGGTTGGTATAAAGGCCAGCACCTTTCTGCTCAGTATAGCCCAACAACCACCAGCTGCATCTACCTCTTCCTACACTCGACAACCCTTCCTCTGCTCGTACTCGTCGAAGAACATGTCTCAATCGGTGAGTTGAGACTTCTCTTCGCCTCGACGAAGCACGTTTCTGACTTGTGTCCTCAGGCCAACTCCTCGATGAGCGCTCTCAACTACGACGGCCCTCGCGTCCCGCGTCGCACCCCCATGGCTTGCGAATTTTGCCGCGGTACGTGCCAAGCGCTGTCTTACTCACCAACTCGAGCTGACCTCTTCGACAGCGCGTAAGCTCAAGTGTGACGGTGGCCGCCCGTCCTGCGCCAACTGCGAGAAGAAGAAGTTCCCGTGCAACTACGTCCCTGTGTACGTCCCGTCTCCCCTTCCATAACGCGAATTTTACCGACCCCCTCGCAGCGGTGACAAGTCGAAGAAGTAGATGCGGCCCTAATGGCCAACATCCTACCACGTCGGCGTCAGCACCCGCCAGGGACTGCGTCGGCGCCCTGACCGCCGCCGCTCATTTCTCGTTGGGATAGGCGCTGCGCGCCACTGCCTCTGATGTACTGTTACCAATTTTTTCTGGGGTTTGGGTCGGACGGATCTCACGGATTTCTATGCCGTTGATTCCGTAAATTTATTAATCTGCGTGTTGCAAGTCAAGATATTGTCGATTACTACTGTTCTCAGCATCCCCGCGAGCAAGACAGACACCCGCGCAGCCAAGAGGTTAGCTCCGCAGGATGAAGACGTGACGCCGTCCAAGTAAGAGACAGCCCCGCGCGACCAAGAGGAAGTCCCGCGCGAGCAAGAGGAAGCACCGCGCGAGCAAGTGAGAGGTCCGCGCGAGGAACTCAAGAAATTTTGACCCACTTGGGGCTTGTCACGCACGTACTTTCCATTCAACTCTGATCTAGACAGGCGACCTGCGTCGAGATACAACGACGTTAAGCTCGAGATGCAACATCGGCGCAGCGTTATCGTGACCGTGACACAGTCATGCGCATCACGTGAAAACTCGGAAATCGCCGGCCAACGTTTAGATCTGGCTCTGGGCAGCCGATATTCAGCTTAGCGGTCGCGCAGGCCATACTCTACGGCCAGATATGTACATTTTACAGCCCTTTTGACAAGAACTTCGAACCGAGACTCAGAGAATTTATGCGGGGCGCCACGTGGATCGAACAATGCCCCTATGTCCCAATCAGGAAAGCGTGCATTGTCCACAAGTGCCATCTCAAGGCTCAACTCCTGGCGCCTCAAAGGTCACTTAACTATGCGACAGAGTCGATAAAATGCGCCAAAACTACGCCAGCACTTTGAATATTAAGTAGGACCTCCTGGCGCGGAGGCTTGACTTCCTCGCGCGGCATCTCCTCTTGCTCGCGCGGCGTCCTCACTTGCTTGCGCGGCCGTCCTCTTGGTCGCGGGTACCACATAAATCACTTGACTCACACAGATATCTGAGTACCATCACGCAAATTAATAAATTTACGGAATCAACGGCATAGATTTCCCTGGTATCGAGGTGAAAAATCGTAAAACACATACAAATCGGATAATTTATGCCTGCTAAGCAGGTTGGGAATGCTGGCCTGAGGGATTTGGTGCGTCTCCGTTGTGTGAGGCATACGTTCGCTGGCAGAGTGTGTGATCGACGAAGGGCATTACGCTGAATCAACGCGAATGTGCAGTGAGACCAAAGCACACGTTGTTTCCGTCACAAGCTCCAGAGAGCTCATTGCGTCGGCAAGAAGAACCTACGAAAGAGAGCATAAAGCTAGCGAAGTGAAGCTCGCAGGCGTCGGACGGACAATAGAGTAAATTTGGATTTGAGGCGCTTGCCACTTGAAACTCAGGCGGACTTCGAGAACTGCAGAGCCGCACATCCTGTAGACTCGTGATTTCCAAGACGAGGCCCGTATGACTACATCGCAGCGAGTGAGGAAGCCCTTTAGACCCCCCGTCGACAAGAAGCCCGCGCCGTCCTACAAAGGCAGAGGTCGCCCAGCTGACTCAACCAGAGTAGTAGCCGAGGATGCTGCGCTGCGATTCGGTCGATCCAGTATTATGATAGAGTCGACAGAGTTTGGTTTCTTGGGGAGTGTCGCGTACGCCGACGCGATAGTCGATGCTCCGGTCGACGAAGAGCGTTGAACCTTCGACAGATGCGGCATAGTCTCCATAGGCATCATGAGAGTATCGTTATCCGGTAGTGAAGCAGCGTTCAAGGCGTCTTCCTTGATTTGTGCGTAGCGCTTGACAAAGCTATAGATCGTAACGGCGATGAGGATGATGCAGACGCCTAAGACAAAGAAGAGCGCTCCCGCGTAGTGTAGGGGTTGGCGCGTAGCATTGACCGGAAGAGACGAGTAGTGTGCGCCTGATGCAATCGTCGTAGGCTGAGCGAGAGTGAGCGTGGGTGTGTTCGTGACAATCCCGTCCAAAAGAATGTTGACCGTAGGCATGATCTCGTCTAACCTTCTAGAAGACTGGGCGAGGAGTAGTATGCTTGAGAGGTTAGTTGTGCAAATGTTAGTAAAGGCGAGCATACTGGTTTGAATAAAGCTCACTGGCTAGAATTTGTGTCGTCGATGTTCGTGTTGAAGTGCAGATCCGGGAATTGCCGTCATTAGGCAAACACGTGAAGAATCCCACGAGGCCCGTGATAAACAACGGTCATTCAACATGGCTGCATCTTGTTTCCGTCTCCCATGTCGCTGCTCTCATCTATCAAAATTCGGGCTCATGAAGACGTTTCGATGCGTCAGAGACGAACTTGAATCTACTAGCGGTCACACCCACTTAATCACCAAAAAGAGCGCAACGCCGACTGTATACCCGCTAGCGATGTCGTATTACTATAAAACATCCGAAGTGGGCGCCTGCATACACGCAAGCCAACCTGCTTCTAGGCGTTGGTGTACCCTTTGCGCAGCCGACGCCACCTAGTATCCGGCCTCGAGGCAAAGAATCGCCTTTGAACACTTATAAACCGCGGCTTTCGTCATACTTCCTTTCTCTCCTCTTTCACCCTCACCCTCATCATGGACCTCGGAGAAGACATCGATGAGAGGCTGCCCGGCGAGGACGAGAAGTTTGACCCATCCTCGGCCGCAGACACGCTTCGAGCCCTCGACGCTCTGTGGTACATCGGTGCAACGAAGAAAGCGAGATGGATGGACATCATCGGTGACTATGCGGGCGAGGAATTGTTTGTCATCGATGGTGCGTGGTCCTGGTCTGGTTTTTTGCCGCTCTGACGGGGCGTTTAGGGGACTCCCTTGTGCAACGGGTTCTTGACGACCCCCTACTAGCCCTTGGAAAAGCAGGAGGTGAGCCACCACCTTGCACGATGTATCATTGTCTAAATTTCCTTCAGATACTGGATGCCAAACCCTACATGCGTTATATCTGGTCGAGCAGACGCTCTCCGCGTTTGCAGGACGTGGGTGCAACTTCGAGATCGTATTCTGGAACGGTGAGCCATCCTCAAAATCCCATGCGTCTTTCGATGCTGATTAATACAGACAACGCTCCCGTGACGGTCAGCAGCAGCGAAGGTGCCTTCGTAACGACCTCGAGACGCCTTGCGCGGCGCATTATCAAGCAGCATTGCGAAGATCGATTATCCATCCCAGTCAGTACCTTTGCCAACATGGACGACAAGGCATGGGCCGACTACGAACATCAGAAAAAGGTCCGTCGCTCATCGAACCACTCACACGTACGGCTGATGTACTATTCTAGCCAATGTTCGTACTACTCAACGACGGGTCCAGCTTCAGCGACAAAGGGACTTTGGCCGCTGATCGGATGCTGGTACAACGGAATATGGTCCTTACGCTGCAACATTGCGGAATGCCGGTAGTCCAGCTCAATGGAATCGAGTTCAAGGACTCAAAGGTCCGTATGAGTTCACCTTCACACGTCCTGCTATTTGACAGCCTCTGTAGATAATGTCCTTCGTCTTCGAGCAACGTCGCGTTCGCCAATTGCCGAAGAAGCTTCCCGGTGCTGTCGCTAGATGTCATCAGCGTCTTGCAGAAGAGACTGGGCTACCTCGCACTGGCGGCCAAGGCTCTATCGTCGACTTTATCACGATCGTCCTGAAGAAGGGCAGGATCACGCCTTTCGTGGCTGAACTGCTCTATGTATTTGTCGCGCACCTCATCATCCTCCCGTCGCTGTCGGTTTCTGATCGCGCTCAACTCCCTTCTCTCCTGCATCCCAAGCTTGAAGCCGCCTTGTTGAACGACTTCCTCCCTTGCGTGTACGAAGCGGCTGCTGGCCTGGCTTGCATCGATGACGTCGACGGACGGGTGTATACTGCGCTCCTGAGCGCCATTGTCAATGATGGCCATCAAACAGCACTCGCGAACGTTATCGGTTCTCCTGAAGCCGCTCGCATTCAAGCCCTCTGGCAGCAGGCCAACGGACCACGCATCGATATGTCGTCCTTCGCTCGACGCTTTTCGTGTCTCGACAAATCGACGACAAGCACGAGCGCGTGTTCTACCGACGACGGCTCATACGCCCTGTTACCATTTCACGAGCCGACATTCGATGAGCACTTGTCCGACATCCGCGTTCCTACTGCGGACGAGACCGAAACCTTCGTCGTCCCAACCAAGTATGCACGCGGCGTCATCTTCGCAGACGTGCACCACTGGCACAACAACCGCTCCATCCTTCCTTCGCATCTGGGCGGCAAGCCGGCTGTAAAGAGGCAGCTCACGCCGTGGCAACGCAAGAAGGAACTGCGCGCTGAGCAGCGCTTCACGCACAACCTTCAGCTGCAGGCCGCGACCCTCATGGGCACCATCGGCCTCAAGCAGCTTGTCATTCCGCCTGCCGGCAACGGTGCGGCAGTCAGACGTGCGGTGGTGAAGGGGAAGGCGCCAGCGAGTCAAAGTGGAGCTGGAGGGAAGGGCACGAAGAAGAGCAGCGGGAAGGGAAAGGCGCCGAAGCTGTCCAAGAAGGAGCAGCTTCTCCTCGACATCCAGGCGCAGAAGGACGTCGACGCGCGCAAGGCGTCGATCAAGAGCTGGAAGGGTCATCTCGCGGCGATGGAGGCGATGTCGACGGACGGCAAGCTCGCCTACCTCGAGCAGCTCAACCGGAACAAGGTGGAGGAGGCGTGGCAGGGCTCCGAGCTCCGTACGATGCGCCTCGACCTCATTCTTCGCTCGTGGATCAACGATCCTCAGCGCGACGCTCCTTCCGTCCAGGACAAGTACACTGTCAAGGCCATGCGTCTCATCGTCGACCTCTGCGCTCGCAAGGTGCTTACGAAAGCGATCGCGGAGAAGGTCAAGGTCGTCTTATCCGTCCTCGGCTTCGGCGAGTACGCGGACGTCTTGTTGCCAGACGAGGGTCAGCTCGAGGACACGAAGACGACGTTCAAGTTTGTCGACCTGCTGGAGGGGAAGGGAAAACGGCCGGCGTTCCCCTGGATGCACATCACGGAGGACCCAGTCGAGTGGCAGCTACGCCTCTGGGGCGAGTATATGGATCGCAGCATCGACGCGTCCAATGATCCTCGTGTCGGCTTTCGTCCTGATGCTTGGCAGCGGCGCGTCCTAGACGCCATCGACCGCAACTCGTCCTTACTTGTCATTGGTAAGCTTAATACAGGCATCGCACTATGTCTCCGTCTGATCCTTGACCTAGCGCCCACGAGCTCCGGTAAGACCTTCATCTCGTACTACGCGATGGAGCAAGTCCTTCGTGAGTCGGACAAGGGCATCCTCGTGTACATCGCGCCGACGAAGGCGCTTGTGGCGCAGATTGCTGCCGAGGTCTACGGGCGGTTCAAGAAGACGCTGCCGTCGGGCTCTCTCTGGGCAATGCAGACGCGAGACTACCGTATCCACGACCCGCAGAACTGCCAGATCTTGATTACCGTGCCGGAGATGCTCGCGATCATGCTGCTCAGCCCGCCTCTCGCCAAGTCGTGGACGCCGAGGATCAAGAGGTGAGTAACAAACGTATCATGGGCTAGTGGGTTGCTTATTGACGAGGGTCAGGATCATCCTTGACGAGATTCACTCGATTGGCCAGCAGGAAGGTGGCGCCGTATGGGAGCAGATCCTCCTTCTGGCACCCTGCCCAGTCATGTGCGCTTCTTGCTCTTCTCGCACTTGCATTATGCTGACAACGAGACAGCGGCCTTTCGGCTACAATCGGAAGCCCTAGCAAGTTCAACGACTGGCTGGCGAGTGTCCAACGCGCTCATGGCTACAAGCACGAGCTCGTCGAGCATCCGTACCGCTACTCGCACCTGCGCAAGTACAGATACGCCATCGTCAAGAAGCCGCCACAGTTCCAGGGTCTTTCCACTTACGAAGCTTCACAACGCATCCAATTTCTCCATCCCGCGTCCATGCTGGCTAACGGACCGCGCGCTATGCCACCCGACCTTGTGTTCGAGGCCTCAGACACGCTCTCCTTATACAAGGTGCTTGTTGAGCGCACAGATGACATCGACACCAGCATAGAACATCTCAAGCCGTCAACCTTCTTCGAGTCCGTCAAGGGCTTCCTCACGCAAAAAGACGTCCTGGCGTACGAAGCAAAGCTGAAGGAGCTATTGGCGCACCTCATCGAGGCATCGAAGCAGGGCGACCCGGGGTCTCCGCTGGCGCTCGTGTCGAACGACTTGAAGCCGCAGACATTCATTGGCAAAACTATCGACGCTGCATTTGCGCCGAGTCCTGACGTTTTCGTCAAGAATCTGATTCACCTCGTGTCCGACCTCCATGCCACCGGTAGCCTTGTAAGTTAATGGAAACTCTCATCCTTTCCTGCCGCTCACCACATCGCTAGCCCGCTATACTCTTCAACTTTGACCGAACTTACTGCGAAATCATAGCCGAACGACTTCTCTCTGAGTTGCAGCGCGCAGAAACAACATGGCGTCGCTCATCGCCTGGGTGGACGTCCCGGATTGAGCAGTGGGAGAAGTGGAAGGCGCAGGCCAAAGATCGCCAGCGACAGGCGACACGAGCGAAGCGTAACGCCTCCAACGAGGAAGAAGGCCTTGAGCCGCCGACAGACACGCATTGCTGGCAACAATCGTTCGATCCGAATGCGCCATCTGAAGGCTTTACGTTTGCCGACGTTTACGCATACACTAAAGCGGACTTGGATGAAGACCTTCGTGAGTTGCAATGGCGCGCTCCCGGCATACTCAACAGGCTGCCGTGGGTCTTCGAGGCCCTGCAACGTGGTATAGCTGTACATCACTCGGGCATGAACAAGAATTACAGGTCGCTAATCGAACGGTATGCGCGAATCTGTCCCAAGGGAGGTTCATCGACTAACGGTTTGATAGCCTCTTCCGCATCGGCTACGTGCGGGTGATGATCTGTACCGGTACGCTCCTTGCACCTCTCGAGCGCTTATGCCATTGACTATGCGCCAGGCACTTTGTCCCTGGGTATCAACGCTCCAGCAAAGACATCCGTGTTCGCTGGTGATAGCCCCTTCCTCACGGCGTTGATGGTAAGCAGGACTTGGTCTGAACGCAACCTTGTTCTCACGTAGACGCATAGTATCGCCAGTGTGCAGGCCGCGCTGGACGGCGTGGATACGATCTCTTCGGCAACGTCGTCTTCTACGGTCTACCAGAAGAGCGCCTCCAGCGCCTCGTCCTTTCCAAACTTCCTTCGCTCGGCGGCACCTTTCCCATGACCTCGACGATGTGTCTGCGCTTGGTCAACCTCCTCCACGGGTCTAATAATGCTCAGGTGGCCGTCAGTGCTGTTCGCAGCTTGATGTCGCTACCTCAAATCACCTTCACCGCCAGTGCCGGTCGACAGCAGCTACTACACCACGTGCGATTCAGCTTCGAATATCTGCGGCGAGCCGGTCTTCTGGACGCTGAGGGGCAGCCTATGAATCTGTACGGGGTCGCGGCGCATCTCTATGTGAGTAATGTCATTCTGCAATGTGCTTCATTTAATCACCTCGCAGTATACGGAACCGAGCAACTTTGCTCTCGTCGCGCTCTTGCGACAGGGAATACTGCATGACATCGCGGCTCAGCGTAGCTTCGAGGACGCCAAACGCGACTTCATCATCCTGATGTGCCACCTCTTCGATCGTCGTTACTTGTCGCGTGTATACACTCAAAAGTCGCACCTTCAGGAGTTGCTCAAGAGATATCCATCCCGTGTACTGCTCCCGCCACTACGTCCCGACGCAGCTCGCGCCCTACGAGAGCACGACGAGGAGATCCTACGCGTTTTCGAAGGCTACGCAGTCACGTACGCGCGATCAAGGGATGCGGACCTGCCGAAGGACGTCTGCTTGCCGCTCAGCCGCATGCAATACGTCGGAAGTGATGGAATGTCCCCTTTCAAGAAGTCCCTCCAGCGAACGGCGGTGCCTCGCAGCGTACGCTCCTCATTCGTCGCGACATCGGGTCACGGCGACGAGTTCGCGAGCGTCAGCGAACTCTGTCGCACCGCACGCGCGGGAGTCGAGCTGCACGAGCATGGCATCCCGTCGATGGAGCGCTTCATTCGCTATGCGAACTCTGATGAGACGGATGGCTTTGACCATGTCCTCAACGCCTACATCTACGACTTCTATACGCACGGCCAGCCGACTTCCCTCGCGCAGGCAAACGGCATCAAGCACGGCGACATCTGGTACTTGCTCGAAGATTTCAACCTCGTCCTACTCACTCTCAAGACGGCGCTGCAGCAACTCCTGAGTCGCACGCGAGCGGAGGATGCGGAGGTCGTCGTTGGTGTGGACTTTGACGAAGAGCAGGTGTCTGGCGAGGCAAACGTCGGGGATGATCTGAAGGTGGAAGGCGAGGATGGGGACGACGCGGATGAGAAGGGTGCAGACAAGGAAGGCGAAGAATTCTCGAGACCGAAGGGGGTTCCCGACTATGACTGGAATGTGTATCGCATGGTGTCTGCCGCTCACGTGGAGTTCCAAGCAAAGTTCAAGGCGATGTGGGCGTAGCTCCCTGTCGTGTTTACTGTCGTGTTTGTTTAGTACTCGAATACAAAAAATTGCCTCATGAGATGTATACATGCTATGCCATCTTGCGTCAATAAGCCACGCTAGCAGTTCTCACAGGTGAGGAAGACACAGTATATATTTCCGCTAGAACGAGCTCAGTCACGCTCTGGTGTAAACATCTCCGAAGTGCTGTGTAGTCAATGCAGGTGCGAGGGAAACGTTTTCTCGCTTTCTTCTCAATCTGAAGGAAGCGATATTGCCTGTACCTATCAATTCACGCTAGTACCTCACATAGAAAGGATATCTGAGCGAGGGGGCTTCGCCCCTCTGAGATCTCGCTTCACGCGATCCGCTTGCTCCTTAGCTCGTCCTGCTTGCGATAGTGGCTAATAGACTGCGCTTCAAAAACGTAGCGATCGCCAAAGCGAAACCGATGACGGGACTCGAACCCGCAACCTTCGCCTAACCTTCGTAGGAAAGCGACGCCATAGACCATTAGGCAACATCGGCATGATATCAGTCCGGCACATGCATGTGACGTCGAGTGACAAGTGCTCACCTCCATCACGTTCGCCCTAGCTTCCCACTCTGTTCTTGGTTTGCTCCTTCATCATGGACTTGCGGTCTGAGAACATGGTGCGGCGCTATGGCTATCAGCTCTGCTTCGTGCTCATTCGGCACAGTCTATGCAGCAACTCATCGCCTTCAACATGCAACGGCACAAGAACGCTCGACTTGCCGAGGCACCGGACGATGGCGCTAAGGCGCCGGCGCCTAAACGCGCCAAGAAGGTCCACAAATCCTCTGCGGCCCGAATCCCCGATCGTCGTCCTTCATCTCTGGCGGCCGTTACGCCGAAGCTCACCACACAGTTGGCGGGTACGCGCAGGTGCGCGATCAGTCGGACTTGAGGCGTAGCCTACTGACTGGCCCGAAGCGCTCTTCGACACCTTTGGACCAGATGATCGCGGTGGACGAATGGATGGAGGAGGATGTGACGATGGTGCGCGGCGGTTGCTTTTGTGTTCGGACGCATATACCCACCTCGCGTATGACAGATCGAGGCCGCCCCCGCGACTATGCCATCCCTCGACGTTCCCGCGTGTTTGCGCGAGCTCGAGAGCGAACTCGCAAAGTTGCTCGATGCGGGCAAGACGGTGATCAGTCTGGAGAACACCGCATACAGGGAGACACAGGGCAGTAGACTTCGTCGTGCTAAAGTCGTTGAGAGTGGCCGACAGGTGATCAGCATCGCGGAGGATGCTCTGGGCAAGCTTCGCACCGTGCTTGGATCTCTGCCCCTCGAGAACAAGTGACGCTCCGGTACCACCTTCCTTGCTATCCTATCGCTTTTATCTCGCTCTGCCCTGTACTGCACTTTGTCGTATCGCTCTCGTCGCTCGGTTCGGACTTGGATACTTTGTCGTTATATCACGCTCTCATACCCGCTTTGGACTTGGATACCACATTTTGCATCGAATTGGAACCTTGGATTGGACGAATAACTAAACTAGCTTTACACTTTCTCAATAAGAAGCCTTGTACGTTTGCGCGCGTCCGCCTTGCGACAATCTGTCTGGAGACACACGTACGCGACATCCGCCGCCTCGCCTTGGACCTTGCCCACCAGCGCCGCGCGCAACAGCGATACGTCTTCCTCGTACAGCACGATCTTGTCCTTGGCGACCGGGACCTTGCTGCTAAGGTTGATGGACTCCCTCAGCGAGAGCGACGTGTCTTGCGCGTGATCGTGCCCCGGGCGCGCGTCCACGCAGCGAAGGAGGTCATACCCGTGCGTGTTGTGCCAGTGGGCGATCATGTCGGCAAAGTCGTACATGCTGTTATCAAGTCAGTGCATGGCGGATATGCAAGATCGGCCGACTTACGTCGCATTCTCGCGGCACGTCCACATCTTACAACGCAGCGAGACGGAGGAGTCGAACTTGGGCGCAGTCGTCGTCTTGCAGTGGGAGAGCATGTGGCGGAGCATCTCCTTCTTGCCCGGGTCACTGGTATATGGTCAGTACGCGCGCGGAAACAATCAAAGCCAACGTACTTCACGCCGCATGCATTCGGATCCTCCTCGTCAAAGTCGTTGATGCAGACGGGGCAGTAGTACACCGTCCGATTCTTGTACTCGGTCTCGAACTGGTGCTTGTACGAGTCTATGCCGCTAGGAAGCCATGAGCAAAGGAAGACGGATTACAGCGACGACACATACAGGGGTCGTCCCGCATCCTCGGCGTCCTGGATGTCGAGGTTCTTGGCCGCAATCATGTCGGCATAGCAGATGCGACAGTGCTTGTCGAGCTCAACGCCGTTGCTGAAGAAGCCGGCGCAAAAGTTACACCTGGTGTGCGTGTCCTTGTAGTGCCGCTGCATGCACGTCCACATGTGCTGCCCATAGTTACCGAGCAGGTCCTTGTGAATGCCCTCGCGCGCGCACAAGAAGCATTGACGCTGGAGCGCCTGTTCGTCCAGACGCAGGAGGTGCATCAGAGCCTTGAAGACGTTGGCGCGCGCGTGCAGAGCGTTCTCGCCAGTGACGAGCGAGAGGTACGGGTGACCAGCGTCGAGGGAGTGTACGAATCGCGCGAGCGTAGCGCTCCGCGGAGCGCCGTCGACAGGTTCCGGTGCAGTAGAGGCTGCAGGGGGAAGAATCTGTTGTGACACGTTGAGCGAGCGCAACATGATGGGCGAAAATCGACGTACCTTATTGTTGAGGTCCCTGAGCGCTATCAAAATATCGTTCATGGCGTCCCGCGCCTCCTCCACGAGCTCGTCCGGCTTCTCCATATCCGGCACCTCGTCCACCCACTTGCCGTACTTCTCGTAGACAGCGTGGTCAAGCTTGTCGAACGTGCGAGCGAGCTCTTCGACCTTCGCATCCGCAAAGAGACGGCGGACGCGATCTTCGTGCAGGCTGTCCGCGGAGACAGGACCAGCAGTCCGCCCGACAGAGTTGTAAAACTCTATCGTGCTCGTGTCCTCCGCACGTCCGCGAAAGCGGGCCTGAAAGTCGACCTGAGCGATCTGAGCCTTATACGTGGTCCACGTCAGCGGCGAGTTGATACGGTGACCCATTGCAGCAGTAACAATGTCCTGCAAGCACGATGAGTGGTCGGATTGCACGAGGCAAGAGCAGGACTTACGGGGGACACGGTACGCTTCAAGTTCTCGCCAAACGTGTACCGCATGAACTTCCACATGAACGCGAGGATGCCGCAGAACACTGCAATCTTCTGGACAAAGTGGTTGGCGGACGTGGAGCTCATCGTCTTCCACTCCTGCGGCTTGCGATTCTTCCCGACATACATCTCGGGCTGATTATCCGTGTTCGCAGCCGCGAGCTTCTCCTCCGACGGCTGCTTGGAGGCACGGACGACGCCCGTGTGCTTGAACTTGTCGCGAACGACGAGCTCAACCCTCGATGCAGGTGGAGCGACCGCGCCGGAGATCCATCCGATGACTTCGTTGGACTGTTCCCAGACGTCGTAGTAGCAGCCGATGACGAGGAAAGGGAGGATGGGGTCCATGTGCGCCTCGGAGCCTGGCAGCACACGAATGCTCTTGTCGGAGATGCGCAGGGAGGTGCCCTTGTAGCCCTTGAGCCAGTGCAGACGGAAGAAGACGGAGACGTTGAGGCCCCAGGAGTCGGTACCTTCGATATAGACGGTAGTGTCGCCCCATCGCACGCACTGCGCGAGCCCCTGCGCGTTCTCAGCCTCCGTCCAGGTGCCGATGCGCGTGCCGAGCTCGGACATGATCGTCGTGAGGAAGTACATGGTGACACGGGTCTTGTTCGAGTCGTAGCTGAGCCCGGGATCGAGGAGCGCCTTGAGCATCTTGAGGAGATCGACTTCGCGCATGAGGAGCTTCTCGCGGGCGCGATCCTCGATGACGCCTTTGACCTTGGCCAAGGCGTCGATAAACTATGCGGTGTCAGTCAGGACACGACGCGCAGCGAACCAGCACACTCACGTTCTTGATAGCCTCGCGATAGGCAGGCGTAGGGGATGCGACGCCGCGCGAATAGAGCTGAAAGTGGGTCAGTGAATATCGTAGGTGTGATGCTGTTGCGCGCTTACCATGCCGAAGACTGCGCCCTGGAACTTGACCATGGTGTTGTACGAGAGCCCACGACCATCAGGGCCGCGAGTCCTGCCGACGAACTCGAAGAACGTCTTCATCGTGCCCTCCTCCGGCAGCGCCTGACCCTCTTGCAGGGTCAGCGCAGCAAGCTTCTCGGACTTGAGGATGACGGTCATGGCCTCCAGCCAGACGCGCTCAATGTAGTCGTAGTTGGAAAGGGTGCTCGCCGCGAGATAGTGGAGGTCGAAGCTGCCGTTGTCGATCTCGCGGAGGATGACGGCGTTATCGTCGTGGCCAAAGAACTCCTCGTATGCTTTCGCGGTGTCGACCTTGGCTTTGCCGCGACGGGGCTTTGCCTTCCGCAGCCCCTCCGCATCGATATGCTCGTCCTCGACAGGCGGGCGTGCGGCGGGCACGGGCGGTGGGGCGGGTTGCGCAAGGGTGCGCACGTCGATAGGCGGACGGCGGACGGACCACATGTGGGTCCCCGGCAGCGCCGTGAAGGTGCGCTTGTCGGCTGTACGCGGTAGGTTGCTCTTGCGAACAGCGCCATGGGCCATGGTGGAGGAGGTGGGCGATGGGGCAGCTACGCGACTGCCCGACTTATATGATGGATGTGCGATGGGTTGCAGGCTGTCGAGGCGCGTCAAACACCAGTAGACGTGCGGGCTCGGACAGAAGACTGCGAGGGCAGGACTGGCATCTCACCTCTGGAATTTCCGAGTTCGGTCGAGCTGCCATGTCAGCGCGCATGTCGGATCGACAGGGACGCGCGAAGCGCGCATTGGACAGGTGCCTGTCATGGCCAGCGGAGGCTTCGCGCGGACATTACCCGCCGACGCTGCTCATGTTGTACGCCGCGACGATGGAGGGAGCAGGCTCGCGCGCGTTGGACATGGTGGTCGAACGATGGTGGGCAAAACATGGATGCATGTTTTATGACATGTTACGTAAAAGCGACTGCGGCGTGTACTCTAAGTTCCCACAGCTGTCCGCGGACGATATCCGTATAATCGGGACGGTGCCAAAACGCGGCTGTCAACGCAATGACAGCTTCCTCCGCGCGCAAGTACAGCTTCTGGCGCGTTCCGATGCTGGTCTCATTCGCAAAGGCATCGTAGTATGCGAGGGCGGTGTTCATCGCCTTTGGACCGTTCGACGTGCTGAGCAGAATGTCGTACTCCCAGCAGGGGTCGAGGAGGACGATGGGCCCAAACTATGCACGTCAGTGTGCGCGGGAGCAAACGTACAAAGACCGTACCCTGGCAAATAGCCTCAGGAGTCGGTTGCGCGCGGTGACATGCACCTGCTGGGCGTGCGCAAACTTGTTGATGTCCTTCTTGCGGTCCTTGAACACCTGCTCGGCGGGCCCGGACGCAAGCGCCGCGCGACCCTCTTCTGTCTCTGCCCAGAGTTGGCGATAGAAGCGGGTCGCGAACTGGCTGTCGTGCGTCGAAGACGCGTACCATCGGCGAGCCAGAGTGACGTCGAAAAGCTTGAGAAGCACCTTGTTTGCGAGGGCAAACTCGCCCGTGAACTGACGGTAGTTGTATATACCCTTGTCGGACGTGTCAGAAAGCGACGCCATCGAGCATCCGTCCTTACATTGTGCTGCAGGGCCAGCGCGCTGATAGACTGGTGTCCGATGAGGAACTCTTGCTGGATCGCAAACAGGTCGTCACTGTCAGCCGACCCCGCAAAGGCTTCCTTCCAGCTGTCGGCCGTAATGTCGGGCGCAATACCACGGACGGCGTTTGCAAGCGCGATCCGCCGTCTCCTCATCTGAGTACTGCTGAGGGTGGCGAGCTGGGCAATCTGCGCGCTCGAGAGGGGCGTCTGCCAGAGGTTGGCTTCGAGTAGAGCGTGGATGTCTTGCTCGGCAGTGTTGGCGGATGGGCGAGGGCGACGCGGGGCAACGGGCGGGGGCGAGGGCGACGGCGTCCGCGTGGGGCTCGGCGACGGCGTATGGGTGCGTGTGGGTGCTGGTGTGGGTGTCCGCACGTGCTCGGGTGTATGCGCGCGGTCGCTGGCAGGCGTTGGTGTCAGAGCGCGGGACACTGGCGGAGTCGGGGACGTGTGCGTCTCGGAAGCGAATGGGGTTGAGGCGCGGCGGGTACTGAACTGCTGGAAGAGGTCGCCCGGGAGACGCTGCGTGAATGTGAGCACGACTGTACCGATGAGCACGCGCGCTCTTGCCTCTGGGTACGTCGTGACCGTATCGTACAGGCGGCGATCCAGGGCGCGCACACGAGCGATGACATCTTGATCCTGACCGACGCTCTCGATCATCCGGCGGTGGCGGGCGACGTCGTCCAGGTGCATGCGCAAGTCCGCGACCGCGAGCTCGTAGCGAACGACCCAGTCGGTGGCCATGATCGTCAGAAGCAAGGAACGCGTTTTACTTCCGCCCGTCATGCCAAACCCCGTGCCCTGCGAAGCCACCGACGAATACAAGGCAGCGTTTGCAGCGAACCCAACGCTCGTCGTCCGTCGCGGCCTGCCCCGCCTTCCCGAGGACGAGCAGGGGCGGACGCGTCGTGGCAAGCGACCCAGCACCGGTGCGAGCAATCCGAAGCTTTCGTGCATTTGCTGATCGGAGTAGGCGGCAGCGTGCAGAAGCGCAAGCGCGCGAAACGGGGCGGCGGCGAGGCTGAAGCTGAGGGCGGGGACAACAGCAAAGGCGAGGGCGAGAGTGGGGGCAACGGAAATGAGGACGTCGAGGGCGGGGACGAGAGCGAGGGCGGCGAGGGCGAGGGTGGGGACGAGGGCGGGCAGTAATGTCGCTGTCAGTAGTGATCGACGGAAAGAAGCAGCGGAAGCTAAATTGACCCTGACGTCACGCGTCGCGGCGCGTCGGGATCCGCGCGGGGCGGGACGCAGAGGGCGGGAGGCTCGTCGACGTCCTCTTCAACGATCGCGGCGAGGAGCTGTGGGGCACTCGAGGTCGGATGAGCTTCTTTGCGCGAGAGAGAGGAGATTGGCGGCGGACACGACGGCCTCCGGTCACTACGCGAAAAAGTGCGCATGCACCGTTCCCCCATCGCTCGGAGAGAAAATGCATAGTCCTCTCGCGCGGCGCGAAAGAATTCCCGGCTCCGAGTCCACGTCTCGCTAGGGACCGGCGGCGAGGGTGAGGGTGGATGCGGGCAGCAATGTTGCTGCCCGACGGAAAGAAGCAACGGAAGCATCGAATGTGACATCACGCGTCGGGATCCGTGCCCCGGGTGAAGCGGAGGGCGGGAGGCTCGTCGACGTATGCGTCGACGATGGCAGCGAGGGGGGTGTGGGGCGCTCGACATTGGACGAGCTTGTTGGCGCGCGAGATCACAGTATCGGGAGTGATTGGCGGCGGTGTGCGCGACGGCGATCCGCGGCGGCGGCGGCGGTGGTGCTCACGTCGACAGACGCGGCGACGGGGCGGCGCTCAACATCCGGCGGGCTGTAAAGGTAACCTGCGGCGGGAGTGTCGGTGACGGGAGTGTCGGTGACGGGGGGAGGACGCGCGTACATTCATGACGACGGACAGTGACCGGCAGTGGCATGCGCTCGACATCGGGCCTCCCCCTCTCCCCCTCATCCTAGTCTTTCCCCCACGCAATGCTTTTTATTCCCGGATGCACACCTGGACCCATTTTCGCCGCTGCGCTCCCCCCATCCCCGGGGGCCCCGAGCGCCAGCGAGGATAAAGACCCCCTCGCTGACGCACCCCGTCTAGCTTCCCACAGCCGGGAACAGTTCGCAAGAGCAGGACTCCCACCCCCTCCCCGCGCCGCCGAAGGATGCCTTACATTGTCGCTGCGCAAAAAAGTGCTCGTCCAGAATCGCTCCGCGAGAGAATGCGGAGTCCTCTCCCCATCGCTGCGCGAGAGTACGCACGTTGCCCCACCGCCATCGCTGCGCGAAAAAGTGCCTGGTCGGATTCGCTTCGCGAGAGATAGCCTGGGCCCATCGCTTCGCGAAAGAATGCCTGGTCGGAATCGCTTCGCGAGAGGATGCATGGGTCCATCGCTTCGCGAAAAAGTGCCCGGCCCCCCGCGATCGCTTCGCGAGAAAATGCATGGTTCCTCCTCGCTCCGGGAAAAAGCGCCCAGTCCCCCATCGCTGCGCGAAAGAATGCCGGAACCTCAGGTGAGCAGTAATGTCGCCGTCGGTAGTGATCGACGGAAAGAAGCGACGGAAGCTAAATCATCACGCTTCGGGATCCGCGCCCCGCGTGAGGCGGAGGAGTGACGGGCGGGAGGCGGGAGGCTCCTCGACGTCCGCATCGACGATGGCAAGGGCGCTCGTTCAATGAGCTTGTCGGCGAGGGAGATGAGTGCCACCGCTGGGCAGGAAAACCCACGCCCTCCGTGTCTCCACGTCAGAACGCCCAGTGACCCATCGCTTCGCGAGAGAATGCCCGGTCCCCCCGTCGCTTCGCGAAAAAATGCGCGGGCCCATCGCTGCGCAGGAGAATGACCCGCTCGTCCCCCCTTCCACCCTCCGCGCCGTCGCTGCGCGAAAGAGTGCTCAGGCGGGATCGCTCCGCGAGAGAATGCGGAGTCCTCGCCCCATCGCTGCGCGAAAGAGTGCCTGGGCGGGATCGCTCCGCGAGAGTATGCACGTTGCCCCGCTCCCATCGCTTCGCGAAAAAGTGCCTGGTCGGATTCGCTTCGCGAGAGAATGCCTGGGCCCATCGCTTCGCGAAAGAATGCCCGGCTCGGAATTTTGGGCCTCGCTCCGCTCGGGGCCCAAAATTCCTCGCCAACCACCAGAAAGCGACGCCATGACCATTAGGCTACGACGGCTTGTAATGAGCAAAGATTCAAGGCGATAGCTCCAAAAACCCGCTCAGAAAACGATCCACAAATGCGAGAGCCAGCCCGGAAGACTCAACCGTGACATTGTCACCGCTATGTTGGATAACCTCTTGAGCTAAATTCTGATTCCGCACAGCGCTTGATGGCCGGAAGCTTACTGGATTCGAGTCACTGCCACAGACGACCCATGTCGGTACGTGCCCGTGCTGAGCGCTCATTCTGTTCGTCCAGTCCAATGACTGGATAGCATAGCGGACTATATGAGTAGGTCTGTGAGACATCATTTTTCAAGATCGCTCCTTTTTTCCAATCATTTGCTGAAGACAGAGCCATAAGCGGGAATCCTGCGTCTTAACCGGAAAGTGGTCGAGTAGAGTAAGGAAGAGAGTCCCAATGTTTCAAAACGAAGAACGCTCTGAATTTGCTGACTCGACTCGCCGAGCTCAAGGATCGAGTAGCGGTTGCGAGCCGCAAGAATTTACGCGTGGCACTCACGTGCACGGCTGAACTTCGCAACTGGAACGATAACAGCAACAATACTAACTGATGGGTCTCTATCATCATCGACGTAGAGGACAAGACATATAGGCTCTCGAACTGTTTCTTCTCAAGGCTATCCGCGGCCCATCATTCAGTTCGCCTTCTTTCTTGTCTTCAATCGTACAATCTCGCTTCCCTGAGCAGGTGTATACCTCTTCTCCACCAGCACCTTGCCCCCTGCGGCTTCAGGCCTTCCTCGGGCTCACTCGGACTTCCCAAAGATGTGAGCCGCGAGAACACGCTGGTCAATGCCGTCTCAGATATTTCCCACCCTAGTGCAGGTCTTCCTGAAGCCGGCAATGCCTTCGCGCCTGCGCCGTGAGAGGCCCCAATTGACTACGATAGCCCGGATAGAGTATGAGTTCCTGATCCGCGGTGACACGCAGCTTAATCCTCCCATACACCTCGTCATCGCCATCTGCGTCCGCCGTCCACCCAGCAGACTTCCCTCAAGCGCCTTCGGCATTTAGCGAAGCGAGGACGGAAAACACCGCCCTCCACCGCCCCCACAGACGCCGAAAGTCCTTGTTATGGATCAGTAGCGCATGCGAGAGCGCCGTGCGCGCAGAGGTCAATCAGATCACGATTACGTGCACCCCCTCCGCCACAGGTCCTCGAACCTTCGCTGGACAAATGGCGCTGGCGATCACCGCCAATCGTTCGCTGGCGACTAGCCGTTTACATGTTCGGACCATTCCTATGGCGGAATTGGCGAGATCTGTGACATTGCAAGGTACAGATGTGAGCAATATTCAATTATGCAAGGCGCAGAAGCGATTACGCACCGGCGGCATACGTTGCCCAATCAGGCAGGTATGGACACCCACTCACGGTGGGTAGCATGCGCGCGGCACGGATCGAGTACCATGCGCACATTATGCAGTCATGGGCAAGTTTCCCGGGCCGTGCAGGATGGATAACTTTCCGTGTGCAGTGTCTTTTGACAAGGAGTTGGCTCCGCAGCGCTCGATCCCGTTTGCGACCAGAAGACGCATCAACGGTGGCTCATTGTCGGTTGTGCGCGCTATAGGAAGGGCGGGAAGTGCCGCAGGCGGCCGCTGTATTTTCCCTCTGTCGGGAGTGCCCGCGTCACGGCGTGCCTCGTATATAGGAAGCGGCGGGGGGAGGCTTGTGGACGTGGGACGCAGGGAGTTGGAACAGGCATTATTGCCACCGAGCGCGGCGACCTTGCACATCTTCTCGAAACCGCGCACGTAAGCACAATGCGCCCTTATAAAACTTTGAACGATGATAATAATGCGATACAACAACGACAGCAGGATAGGAAAATTATGCACACAAGAAAACGATACTACTTTCTCAAGAGCGCGCCAGGCGCTCCTTGGTGTACTCGACAAAGTCGTCGATCGTCGACGGCCAAGCCGCTAGTAGAAAATCAGAAAAAGGCTAAGAACGGTAAGACAGTCACACACACCTTCCAGATCATACTTCTCGAACTTGGAATCAATGGTGCGCACAAACTCGAGGAACTGCGCGGCTATGCGTTAGCTCCCGCTCGCACGCATATGGCAAAAAATACTCACCATCTGCCACGTATCCTTGCTGATGCCCTTCACGTTCTTCTCGTCCAGGAATTCGAACCACCATTGCGTATACTCATCCTTCCACCCCTCCTCGTCACTCATGTCGACATCGTCATCGTCGTCGCGCCGACGGACATGCGACACAGCACCGCCTCGCAGGCCGTGGGGGATGAGCAGCTGCCAGAATGCCTTCGCCATGTCGGCCGCTACCGGAGGTCACCGCGTCAGCCGCGCCAAGAGTGGGTGCCCGATGGGAGTCCGCAAACGTACCAAGACTCCGCGCACCCTCAGCGCGCGAGAACTCAAACGTATACGCGTACACCTTGTTGAAGTATTGTGGCTCGGACCCGAGTCGATCGCGCAACTTCATCAGCGCAGCCTGCATGGCGGGAAGCTTGTCACAGCTAGCAGGGGCAGGGTATGTCAGCAAGGGCTATGGATGAGGCGGAATGAAGGTGAGCGTACCCCAGGCGCTTCCACCCTTCGACCCATCCGGTCTTGGCCCACGAACCGAGCCGCGGTGCCTTGAGCTCGAACGCCACCGCGAGAAGTACGACATCCTCGGGATCCACCCCAAGGTCAGAGCAGAGCTTGATCGTCCCATCCGGCCCGATCTCATCACTGTCAGGATCTGCCGCGTCGTCAGCATCGTGCTCGAGCAGAGGGACCAGCCACGCACCCTTGTACTGCTCGAACAACTCCGTGATCTTGCTCGTCGACGCGGCCGGCTCTTTCGTACGCGCGGTGGACGCGAAGGCCTGGGGGTCGCTGTAGTAGGCGTCCACGGCAACATCTACGCGCTTGTACTTGGCCAAGAACCGTTGCGCGTCCTTCACGCTGCATTCGCCTGCGATCAGCGTGTATCGTCTCCCTCGTCGGATCGCTCACGATGCGCCCGTAACGCCACAGAACTGGGCCATTGCTTCCTCCATCTTCTTATCTACCATGCCTGAGGACCGGTGGGTTGTGGTGGCTGGCTGAACGCGATGAGAGGAGTCGCGATGATTGGGACGATTAGACTGCAGTGATGAGGCGCACGTGAAGTCGAAGTAGGGAAGTATCCGTCAGCATATTCGCTCTGCAGCCAACCGTTCTTTCGAGCTCACCAAGTATTGTCTGTATATACAGTATGTGAGAGCTCCGAGAAAGACTAGAAGTACTGAGCTGAACGTCGTGGGCGTCGAGGACAACGAGGTCTCCTCGAAGGAACGTGGCCGGCATCTCGTCCCGAGCGCTCCGGTCAGCTTTATCTCTATTTGTGGCGCAAGCACCCGCATGTTGTACTCCGTCTCCTCGTTTTTACAACGTTCCCTACCTTGCTCCTCACCGTCACGCTTCCCAGGCCACGCGGACTTACCACACCCGCTCGCCGTCGCCTCCTCAACCGAGGTTCCCCTCTTCGGTCTCCTAGCTCCATCTGTTCTCCGTAGAACCAATTCGCCGCCCCGCAAAACCAATAGCGACGGCCTCATGCCTGCGTTCATGACAACTATCCGAGACATTATCTGATCCTCGCCCCTTGTAATTTCCAGCTCACCAGTGGCGCGAGCCTGGAACGCGGTGATGTGGCGGATACGACGGGATTCCGTACTTCCTGCCACTGCCTTTGCCTCGATACACGCCTGCAGGCTGCGACAGGCCCTCCCGCACGTCGTACAGACTCCAATTTCTCTCCGTAAGGCTGCCAATTATGGCCATCGTCAATGGTTCTTCCTATCAGATTTCTAGCGATTTGTCCTTTCATTCAGATCCCATCTATGCTGGCCTCACCGTCGCAGTCAGGGTAGAAGACGCAAATCCCCCTCGAAGCTATGCCTTAAAGGTCAGTCCATGTACTTCTCGATGCTTCTCTTTCACGTATCCGTCCTTCCTGTCCCTGCACGTCTCGGTCTTTCCCGACAACCTTGGTCATCCTTTGGTCATATCTCTTTTGCCACCGCCCTTTATCTGTCCACCCGCGCACTCTATTGTTCACCGCATCCTCCTCATACAACCCGCCCTAATTGTTCAACAAGCACCCCCTTTGTTGAGCTCCTCATCCGCCTTCCATACTCATCAGCTTCTCTATTAAACCGCCCACTAAACCGCCCAATTCCAACTCCGCGCTACTGAGCAGATCTGAACCTTACCGTATGCGCGGACGCTCCTCCATTCACGGGGTGCCTTCTGCCAATCCGTAGTCCCACCCTGCATTGTCTGCTGTCCTTCTCACCTTTGCTTCTTAGGCAAAGTCCGCGTCCGCTGCCACGGCCATAACGCGACCGACATTCAATATCCATAGCTGACAGCTCTCAATCCCCATCCTATAAGCTCCCCGCCGCCCTTGAACTTTCCACTATATGCGCAGCTTGAACTCTTTACTCGGCCTATTTTGTACATTCGAATCGTAGCCCATTCGCACACAGCGCATTCGAACCCCGCACAGTGCGCATTCGAACAGCATAGACTCGAGCGGAAGCAAGCGCGCAGCAGACAAGGTTTCCTCGCGAAGTCAGGGCCGCGCCCTCCGCAAAGTTCTCGACCCCCAAGAGAAGGACCACGAGCGTCCAGCATCACTCGGCGCGCTCCCAAAGGAGGGCGCAGGCCCCCAAGATCAGTCACCGCTTGCTTCCCAAAGAAGAGGAGAAGCCGCCACGCGCCCGGAAGCAAAACGGTATCAGCCTCCCGCCGGAACAATCGGTCGAGCCTCGATCATGATCAGGACGAGATCAGACGAGATCATCACAGGCGATGCAGCCGAGGGACGGGGGAAGGCGAGTCGACTCGTGCGCAGGAAGGCGCAGAGAAGGTGTGCGGACGCGAGTCAGTTGTCCTGCCCGTGATCCAGAGGATAAGCCGTGATCCTGCTGCACACCCTGAAGAGGAAGCCGCAGACCGTAACGGCGTAGCCTGACCCTGCCGTCCGCACCGTGATCCTGCTGTACGTTCTCGCCGGAATTCCTCGAGCTGCGAGACAGTGTGCAGGGACGGGCGCCCTCGTGCGCGCGACGGCTTTCCATCATATCATGACCTGGCACGGGCCTCCGGGTGCAGAACGAAGATGGCATGGGCGATTCGAAAGATGGCGCCAAACTCTGAGTGTGGTGCTGGACGGAGTCGTCGGCGCGTCGTGCAGTACGGAATCGTTGGCATCAGATTGGATGGATGGTGGGTGGGCTAGGGCTATAAACTACTGGTATAGTTAGGGTGGTATAAACCGTCAGTCTTGGGATGGTATAGACCGTCACGCAGCGAGCCTGGTTTGCCTCATCCTGTAAATACAACGCTCGTGTGCATAGGGAAATCATACAAATACACATGCCGGTGCGAGGGTACACAGCAGAAGAGCAAATAGCAGACGAACGGAGAGCAGGCAAGAAGTACGAGGAGGTGTTGAGAAGTACCCGGAGGCGGTGCGGACGACAAATAGGTGTAGCGAGGGAGAGAGATGCTAGGGATCGTTGCAGAACCGCGGCGAGATCGGTACTTGTCGACGACGAAGCGCGATCAGTGCTTGACAACGACGCGCTTCGTGTGCTTCCCGGCTCTCCGTCGCTCGGAGCAGGGGATGGGGCGGCGCCAAGACTCGTCCTCCTCCAGGACGATGTCCGCGTGCGGCTGGCCCGGCGGTGCGGCCGGTTCCCGTGGGGGTGTACGTAGCCCTCCCGACGGTTGCCGATGGTGGGATGGGTGCGGATGGGGGGCATGTTCCTGCGGCATGGGTGGTGGCGCATACGGCTGACCATGCATCGGAGGACCGGGGGGCGGCGGCATGACGGGGCGCGAGCCCGGGGGAGGATACGGGTACGCGGCCGGGTTCTGCACAGGCGTCATCGGATGGGGCGCGGGCTGCAGCGGCTGCCCATGGCCCGGCCAACCGCGCGGGGCCGCCGCGTCCGGCGCATCAACCTCGACGCGCACGCGCCTGATCTCCCTGCCCGCCTGCGCGAAGAAGGCGCGCTCCTGGCGCGCGAAGATGTCGCTCGACGCGTGCGGCGGCTTGCACTCGGGCTGCTGCGCGGGGAACATGGCCATCAGATCGTGGCCCGTCGGCGGCGGGGGGTAATGCCTCCGCGAAGGCTCCGCGGAGGCAGGGCTGTAGCTGAGATCGACATCTGGAGTAGGGATCAGCGCGGGAGATAGCGATCGGTGGGGCGCATACGCGCCTCGAAGGGTTCGTGGCGAGAAGGGACGCTGCGAAAGGCCGCCTGAGGAGGACGGTGGTGACGGGAGGGGTTGCTTCATATGTGGCGCGCGAAGGTCGTCGCGGGGGGACGCGGTGCTCGCTGTCGGCGATGGCGTCGAGTGGGTGGTTTCCACGGGACGGAGATGGAAGGACATGGCGGGCAAGGCGTGCGAGGGCGCTCGAAGGGCGGGGGAAAGCAAGAACGGAGGCGACGCGGGTCCCAGAAGCCGACAGCTATATAGGGCGTGAAGCGTGCGCCATAGTTCCCATTTGTACCTCGATCCGTCTTAATGGTTACCTATTAGGCCGAGATACACCGCAGATCTCATCTCCAACCGCCGTCGTCACGCGTCACGGTTGTACATAAAGATCGGATGATAGCCCCAGTAGGTCCAGGCGATGTTCAATGTCGTTATATCTCCTCCTCATCAGTCTTCTTGTTGTCCCGATCCGCCGCATCACCCGTCTGCGTCCGAGCCAGCCCCCGCGCCCTTCTCGCCAGCACACGAGACTGGCGGGGAGTAGCCGCGATGCAGTGCATCCGCCCCTCCGCACATCACGGTCCCGCGCCGGCCAGGCGACTTGCCTGCCAGTTTCGCCGCATTATACGCCGGCGACAAGAGCACTCACACCGTCAGGGCATCTGCCGCGTCTGACACGACGAGAGCGCCTTCTTGAAGGCCGGTCATTGCATTCATCCTCATTCACCCGAGTATAGCCTGACTGCATTCAATCCCGGCCTATTGCCCCTAGCGAATGCACGTTCACTTACTTTAGACCGTGCGTGCCGGCTGCGCGCAGCTGATGCTTTCTGTCAACCGCATCCATGCCAATTGGGAAGCACGGACGTCCTTCTAAAGCGAAGGCGCAAGACAGCTGTATTCGCCGTTCCTGGCATGCAAGCTCTGGGGTCGCCCGCGCAGCCTGCGGGTCTCCGACGTCGTCGAAGCTGCATCGCAGATGCATCGGGAGCCGCGGCTTGTGCTGCTCGGGGATTGTCAGATAATCACAGGCAACGCAGCGGAGGCTCTCACCATTCGCCTCCGGCGTCAACGCCAGTCGCACGCTGAGCGCTCAGATATGCCCATCCCGGATCCAGGCGCATGTGTCTCCGCCGCCTATCGATGTATGTCAGACTCTGCATCAGACACCAACACACGTACCACTCGCCATCCCGTCCCATACCAAACTCGCTCTCTCACCACCTCCCGGCGCGCGCCACCTGCCTGCAAGGCAGCACCACTATCGGCTGTATCGATGACAGATCGAGCCTTCATGTTGCTTTCTAGAGCGGAGTTCGTGACCCCACCAAGTGCGGACTTCATGAAGTTAGGCCTACCCGTCGGATACACAGGTACGATCTAATAAGCATTGCAAGGCCATCACTGTAGATCGCGCTTAGCTTTGGCAGTGCGTCAACGAATTCCTGCCCACAGCAGAACCGCTCTACCGCTAGCTGTTCATCTCCGTGTAGGTGATTGATCAACTCTGGGTAGCATTCGGGATCCTTCTATGGGTGAATGGACGTTGAATGGGTCGTCGGTGCGACCTCGAATGCGTCACCCGGTCGCGTTCTCGCGCAGGACCTTCCCGTTCGATGGCCACGTCTGCAGATCAGGTCCAATCGTGGGAATAGCGCGCGCTAGGACCGCGCCTGCGCATCGTAGACTGTGCATCTAGGTCAGCCGTTGCGCTTTCATATCATCAGACGCTACGACGCGACCTCGCTTACCACACCCATGGCCGACAAAGTTCATCACCGTATGTCGCCGTCGAGCTAGCAGACGTGATGCATTCATAACCGGTGTGGGCGTCAAGCGTTCATCACTGGCTGGGGCGTTAAAAGCGTTGGATGCATTCGTTAATGTCGCACAAAGGGGTTAGCGTTCATCATAGCGAAGGAGAGAGTACGTGACTTACGGCGAGGAAGTACGTGACCAGCTTGTGACTTACATACGGAAACGGCAATGGCAGTCGCGGTAGACGTCACACAGCTGTCCGCCTATCACATAACACGTCTAGCATCTGATTGAGCAGGACCGCGAGCGTCGCGGTCATGAACGGCGAAGGTCGCATAATTTGTGGACCGCGAAGTCATGAGTTGTTCACGGGAAGCGTCGTGAGTCGGAGAGCCTGATTGGCGAGACGCACCGCGATGTTCTCGAGACGGAGGGCAGCTTCCTGTCAAGCGGGCTTCAGCTTCCTCTCGAGACGGAGATCAGCCTACTCGCGAGACCGAGGACAGCCTTCCAGCGACAGCGACGACTTCGATCTCGACGGCGACCCTCGTACCGCAGACGGTTTGACGGCCATCGTGATAGGTGGCAACGGAAGGTCGAGACGCCGCCACCAATCACTGAGACGCCGTCCCATACTGACGTTCCGTCGCCACCAATCTCTCCGAAGGCTGCGTGCATCCCTCCGAAGAGCACGTATACGTACCTCAAGCATCTTTACGCACCAGTGGTCGCATATACGCGCCTACAGTCCGTGACGGATACGTACCTACGGTCACGGATACGTACCTGCACCCGCTCCGATGTTCGAGGGGGCAACGTGTTGCCGGAATGCGCGCGTCTGCCAAAGAATAAGTGCCTGTAGGTGGCATCGCTGCATGTTGGTGGCACTACCTTCCGGTAGCATCTCTGTCTTGAGATGGTGGCATCTCGTTACTACGGTAGTCGGTGGTACCTTCGCGCCGCTGCGATCCGCGGAGAAGAAGGCGGCCTAAGAGAAGGAGGAAGGTGGCATTCGGAGACGCTCGGGTAACGTGAGCGAAGCGTGAGCAAAGTTCGAGAAAAGCGGACTCGCCGGTGAAGTACAATGACGCCGGGAACCACCAGAAGGCCTTCCTCTGCTCTCAAGTAGGTTTGGCGTGGTAGGTCGCCTAGGCCGCGGGTACGCGACTCATGTATCGCGTGTAGTTGACCTATAGATCGCGGTACCCGCGGCTAAGTCGACTTCTTCGTAAAGAGCGGGCAAGGGACCTTTGACCGTGATTGAGCAGCTATGGTCGACACTCCGAGGTCAGCGTAAATGAGTGCATGGATTTAACACCGTTGACATTTCCTGCGTAGTGGTGATAGGTACGCTTTTGCGAAGAGGACTATCACCGACAGATACGCGTTGCACGTCCTAGACTACATTGAATGGTATACATTAATCTGCGGGACCGTCAGCGTTGACCACATATCACGACAGAATCATGATGCTACGAGAGAAGGACCTACTACTTCGAGATTGACCCCTTGCACCTTGCCTTCTAGTATCGCTTGAGTGAAGCTGCTTTAGGAGATCCGTGCATCACCTTGACTATAGGCTGTATACATACGACAGGCTTGGAAATCTGCGAGGCGGAGCTCAACATTTATACCGCCTCGGAGAAGACCGGTTCATTGACTGGCGTGTTGGGCTTGCCAGTCTTGATGAACGCCTCTAGATTGGCCATAATCTCCGTTTGCTGATCCTCGAAGATCGTCTCGTTGAGAACTGCACAGTGTGGCGAGAGCGTCTTTGCATTGATAAGAACTCAAGCGCGCTCTTTAATGAACTCATAGATGCTCACCGTTTTCCTAGACTTTATCAGCCCGGGATGTACCTCCGGCTCGTTCTCGTAGACGTCCAGAGCGGCGCGGAGGACTAGCAGGATCAGTACTCAATGTAATAGGAAACGGTTGAATGGGCGCACCCTTCCCACTCTCCAAGGCGTCTACGAGCGCCTGCTCATCAATGACCGGCCCTCGGGACGTATTGACAACGATGATGCCGCCTCGCATCTTCGCGAAGGCTATATGGAGCTTGCGTTAGCGTGTCGTAGGTGAATTGAATTACATGCTTAGGACATGAGAATAGACACGGAACTCACCCTCCTTGTCCAACAGATGTCGCGTGTCCTTCGTCAGGGGGCAGTTAATGGAGAGGACGTCGGCACGTGTCAGGATCTCGTTGAAGGACACGTATTCCGCGCCTTTTTCTTCCTCGGGCAGCAGACGACGGCGGTTGCTGTAGATCACCTTCATCCCGAAATGCTGCATATGGTCTCGGACGAGCTTTCCGATGTTTCCTGCGAGAAGGCATAGTAAGCGAATCGATTCTTACTCTCCCTCTGTCATGTTAGGCCCATAGACGCCATTGCGGCGGCCTACTCACCCATGCCAATGATTCCCAACGTCGATCGGCGCACGTCCTTCGCACGTAAAGAGCGGTCCAGGAACTTGCCCTCCCGCACGTTCATCTCATGCTCCGAGCCGGCGCGCATGACCTGCAGAATGAGCGCCGCCGTCGAGTCCGCGGTGCGGACCGCCGCGCTCACGGCGGTGTTCGCGTAGTAGACGCCGTGGCGGGTGAGGTAGTCGACGTCGAGCTGATGGGACGGGCGGGGTTTAATGGGTGAGTCGGCAAATTGTGATGGAGCGCTGGCGTCAGTGAATGTAGGTAGTGAATGGAACTAAGAAGGTACTGACAAAGTCGTACCCGGCACCGCCCGAGCTGATGAGCTTGCAGCCGGTGTCGACCAGAGGGCCCACAAGCCCTTCATCCAGCGGCCAGGGCCACGTCTCGTGCCACCGCAGGAATGAGAGGAATGCTGGTTATTTGTGGATATGAATGTCAAGGGATTCAAGGCGACGAATGGCATGCCATGCAAGAGATGAAGGAGGTATGTTAGTCATGTTAGCTAACAAGGAGAAGGCCGGACTGACCGATGAATGGCCCGTCCTGCTTTACGGCGTCGGCGATTCGTTTGGCCAGGATGTCGTGAGGGGCTTGTTCAACGGTCTGATGTTATGATGAGGACATTGAATGTAACAGTGATACGTCAATACAATGAATGAGACATTCAGTGGAAGATAGGCAGCTAAGAAAGACCTATCACCCACGTAAAAGTCGACAAGCGTCCTGAGTTCGTTCATGTAGGATTGCGGCACCTCCGTGGGCTCGTTCATGAGAAGGACGCGAGGTTTCGTAGAAGGCGCCATTATATAGCAGCTCGAGAAGAGATGTCGCCTAGGCAGTTCGGACGGTCGATGACTCGAGAGCTTCGAGGTCGCGCGCACAGAAATCACAGCCTGACGATGGCGATAAGAGCCAAGAGATACAGACGCGTTCAGGAGCCCCACGGCGAATCGAGTCATTCCTTATGTGGTGCGTTGTTCTCCCGCCCTACGTCTACACAGGGTACTCGCGCATATCCCGCGGGGTTGATGAGGGGAAGAGCAAAGCAATGGACAAGACTCGGCAGCCTAACGCTTGCATAAGGTGAAGGTTCCCTGGAAGAACCGGCTATCGGGCCGAAGCCCCTTGGCGAAGGTCATCATCGACGATAACCTGGATAGAGGTCACCCAAAGCCTGGATTCTACAAGCAGAGAAGCGAGGATTATGTACACGAATATGTAGTGTCTAGTAGAATATGGTACACGGACACAAATCGTGGGCTAGTGCAGTAGATTCGTCGTGAACGTCGTCAGAAGACATGCTAGCACGTCGTTATCCAAGTCCTTCGTGAGCTCGAGTGTTCGAGGAGGCGCAGAACAGCCCTCGCGTATACTCGAGTACATACGTGAGGTGTCGTTGTCGGTAGGCCGTATCACCTGCATGCGGAGCCCATACGATTGGAAGGCACCAGAGCAGCGGCAGACCTTTACTATCGCAGTTCCTCTGGCCACTCTGTTCGAGGACGCCATCTTCCTTCGGGGTCGAAGCGCGGGTTGGGCTCGTAGTGCAGGCCATCTTCGCCGCCGCGGCCGATGGGGACTGTAAGGGGAACGTCAGCACTGCAGCCATCGCGTAGAGAAAGCAAGCCACTCACATATCCACCCAATCCAGCTCTCGCCCATCACCGACGTCCATTCCTTCCACGCGCTTCCCTGCCACCACAAGTTGCCCTCGCGGTCGAGCGAGCCCCATTCAGCGTCCCAGCGGTCGCGTGTGCGGCCCTTGGCCCTATGAAGACTGGAGTCAGCGACTCCGCTACGGAGGAGATCAAAGCACCACAACAGCGTCCTCTCATCACCGATGCCTATGCACCTTCCGCGGCGGCATACTCAGTCGGCGATCCAGGTCAAGCACGCACACAGTCGCCCAATCATTCCAAGAACGAAACCCCATTCCATGGACGAAATCTCACTCACCCCACCTCCCACAACCCAAACACGCGCGCCATCATCGCGTTCTCGCGCTCCTTCATTCCGCGGATGTACATGAGCTCGACCGTCGTCTGTCCCATCATGATCTGCCGCGTGTGCGCGATGACCATGGCGGCGGTGAAGCACATGAAGAGGGCGGATCTGGGTGGGGTGGGTGAGTACGTTGCGTATGTGAGGAAGAGAGAATAGAAGGAAAGAGACGGCGCGAGGGTGTCATGCAAGTTGTGCGAGAACAGAACATGAGCATGGAAAGCCGTGTAAGCCCCCGACAGCGGCGCGCGAACATCCCCACCAAGCCACCTTGGCATTAAAGAACTGGCTCACAGTGCGATGATCACGATGATCTGCGGGTCGATGTCGACGTCGCCGTGTGTGGCGACGAATGAGACCAGTGTGGCAAAGGTGTAGGTCGTGAAGACCCAGGTGGACTCGCAAAAGTTGAAGAAGAACTGGGAGAAGTGGCTGAGCGTCAGTAGGGGGGAAGTGATACTTGGGGAAAATGTGTACCGACCTTGTAGTTCTGCGCACCGACGCACTGTCCTATCCCTGTAGCATCGGGTCAGTACTGGATCAAGAAGGGGTATATTGGCAGTCGCGCACAAGGGCAGTGATGATCGTATCGTAAGATGCACTGTAGATCTCGTTAAAAAGAATGGTCTTGCTGTGTTATGCACGCGACTCACCGTCCCACATGCCCGACAATGGTGCGCCCTGTACGGCTTTACGATCCGGCACCGCGTGCAATATCTCTGCTCCTCGCGCAGGAACGGGATAGGGGGTGGCCGTCGCGCAATGTGTATCGCGCGCTCCATCTCCTTTGCCTCTCGCTTCGAGCGCGGGAAGCCGGGTGGAGGGACCGACGCGGGTGGAAGGGTCGGAGACGCTATGGACGAGGGTTCCGTGGGAGACGGCAGGGACAGAGGTATTGTCGGCGATGGCATGGGGGTCGTGTCGGAGACCATGGATAGCTTCTTCGTTTCGTCATGAGGCGCGATGCTGTCTCGCGCGGTCTGGGAGGAGGCGGGGACCGACATGCGCGCGGGGTCGGTCGTGGTGGAGAGGCGAGGTAGGGGTGCGGTTCCGTTCTGGTGTTGTTGTTGCTGCTGCTCATAACTTGGACCGCCTATTCGTTCGCTGGGTTCTTCCTTGGGTTCGGCGGAGGTTGGGAAGTAGGCGTTCGGTGGCAGGTTGATGTTCGGGTTAGCGCCCGGGCTTGGCGCTGGTGGGTAAAGCGGTGGTGGCTCTGCAGTTTCCGGTACATACTTGCGGTGAGGGTGGTGCGTAAGTGTATGCATTGGGGTCGCGAGGATATTGGGACGTACGTCTTTGGCCCTCCCCGGAGATGTGATTATAACCTGCCACTACGTTCAGCGTCGATCCTCTCGCGAAGTAGCATGCCACGCACCCTGAAGTAAGCCGCCACCATCCACATCCACAAGAGAGCGAACACGATGATGAGCGAGACTACAACAACACAATCATTAGTTCAATGACACTTCCCCTAGTCCACTGAAGCACATACCACCAGCGCCCAGGCTTCCCAACGCGGCATTGGTACCCTTGATCATAGGGACAACAAATCTGTGTATATACACATATGCCGTGTATCCCATGATGCCCAAGGTGATGAAGACAGTGAGCTTGAGCACGATCCATGGCTGGGGCTTCGAACGTCGCGCTTCGCTCCGTTCGCGCGCCTTGTACGCCGCCTCCTCGACGACGCCGCAGCACGAGTGCTCCTCTTTCTTCATTGCCGTCCGTGTAGATATGTGGCAAGACTAGATGAACATGAAGGGAGGGGGAAAGAAAGGTGGAAAGAGGCTGGGAGACGAGGGGTTGAGTAAACGAGCACAGCAATTGCCTTTTCCGGCCCGTCAATGGGATTGTGATGATGACATCACGCGGAGGTTCGGGAGCGAGAGCCGAACATGTGGCAAACCTGCTCCTTGCCACCATTGCTTGTGTAGGCAATCTTTCGCACTGCGTACGCTTTTCACCAAAAAACTGGTTGACGACCAAGGGAACCGCTCACTATGCATCAAACCAACCTCATCAATTCCGGAAATCATTACTGCCGTTTCTCTCTGTCCCCAGCTTGCTCTGACGCGCTCACATTACGAAAAACCTTCGAAGATGCCCTCGAGCAAACCTTTGGCGCCACAAGCGCTAGAAGTGCTGTTGATATAGTATGGACTGCCGACGATGGGACCCAGGTGCTGGTCAGGACAGCGGCTGGGTGAGTATCCGCTTCGACACGTTGGTCCTCGCCAGTTTTGTGTCATTTGTCGAGGGGATCATCGTCTAACATGGTTGCCAACTTTCATAGGGATGCGCCGAAACTACTCGCCGCTGTGGCGACTTACGATGGAAGTCTACGCCTGACGCTGATGAAGGAGTCGCCGTTTCTCCCATCGCTAATACGAGAATGCGCATGACGGGTACTTTGCACCATCGCTGGAGAACAATCTTATGAGGATTGGCGCGGTCTTCGCAGGAAACGTGTGTGCATCTATTTTGAAGGCGGAAAGATGGACGATGCGCCGTAAGAGGGAAGGCGAAAGTCTCGGCGAACACTGGTCGCCTTTTCAGACTCTTGATAAAGCAAAAGGAGTACAGCCAGAAGGATCACCTGCAGACCCAGACTGATATGCACCACACCAGCGTACACATCCCTTCATGATATCAGTACGCGACCACATTTACCAGATACGGAAGCCCTTGAGGACAGAAATGGAAAGTCACCGGCGTTACTTCATTCACGTCCTTCGCGCATGCCATTACGTGCCCAAGGGAGAGATTATCAGCGCAGAGAGGTATATACCCAGTATCGTTAACCGCCCACCGTCCAAGAAAGAGTATATCTGTTGTAATTGGGTTGAAACTATCGCGCAAAGCATGTCGCTGCCGAGCCCTTCCCCAATCGTGTATTACAGCATGACTGCTCAGCCGCAAGCCTCTCAGCCCCGAATCTTCCAACCATCCCCGCGACGCCGTTCCCGGCCTACACCACCGAAGCCCTCGCGAATTACCACCCACATGCCTGTGCAGGAGATGATATCCTTGAGCTCTTCCGGCGTCACGATTAGGTGCGCGGGCGTCCGTGGTCGCTTGGGATCATTAGCTGAAAGGGGGGGGGTCAAAAGAAGCCTAACATGCAGTACGAGGGCGACTCACGATCCAGCTCAATTAACTCTAGAAGGTCAATCGCCTTGAGCGGCCACGATACCTTCAGCATCGCGACGACCTTCGGATGGTGCGGCGTGGGGCTGAGCGTCGCCAGCCGGACCTTCAACCGCTCCTTCCCGTCCTTGTCCTTCTTCGCGCCCACCTCCCCCGGTCGCTGCGACTCGGCGGACGTTCGCGGTGGCCGCGGCTTCCGCCTCGTTATCCGCAGCACGCACACCCACGGCGTCTCGCTGTCCTCCGGATCACTCTCCTCCCCGTCGTCGTACTCCTGCTGCTCCTGCTGCCGCACAGACGCCGGCAGCCCCCGCAGCGACTCCGTCGACCGCGACCGCTGCGCGCCGTGCCCGCTGAAGTTCGTGCTGCCGCTCGCCGTGCTCAGCCGGCGCCGCGCCTTGTCGTCGTCCGCGATGACACTCTCGGCCTCGGGGATCGACCGCGCGTCCGAGGTGTCGGTCGTCTGCTTCCGCGCGCCGCCGCGCCGCGCCTTCGCTTTCGCAGCGCGCTTCTTGTCACGCCGCCACTCGACGCGCATGTCGATGTCACCACCGACGTAGTTGGGGTTCTGCGCCGGGTCCAGCGTCACCTGCGGCTGGCTGTTGAACTCAGCGAGCCCCGCGCCTAGCCCGCGCAGGCCGCCGAGGATGCCGCCTTCATTCGGCGCCTTCAGCCACTTCTTCGCGAGCCACGAGTATAGGATGGGCCGACCGCCCTTCTTCGCATTCGCGACGTTAACCTGCGTCGAGGAAGACGCTGCAGCGGGCCGCGGGAGCAACAAGGAAGGCGTCAAGCCTAGTGTCGGTTGAACGACGGGTGGTTCGGGCTTAGGCAGGCCATTGGGAGCAGGCTCTTGCTCTGGAACGACGTCAGGGGGCATGGGGGAGAAACTGCGGCGCTTGAGCGGGGTGTTGATGGACATGGGGGAGCCGGGCGGGCCAGCGGTAGTCGTGCTCGACACGGAAAGGGTCTTGAGATGGCGCGTGAACCGGCTCGACGTGGGCGTCGTTGAGATCGTCGCGTCCGGGTCCTGCGCCTCCGTCGCGGGCATCGGCACGGTGCTCTTCTTCGACGAAAAGAACTTGCCGAATATATTCTTCGCCTTTGTCGAGTTCCGCCTCTGGGGCAGGTGCGCTGGGCTCACGGGCCGATGTCCAGACGAGGTCAGGGACGTGTTGGATGACGCGCGTGAGACATCCGACGCCGACGCGTACGGATTGCTGGCGACCAGGTTCGGTGACGTCGGGCGATCATTCGCAGGTATCAGCAGACTGCCCCCCGTTGTATTCGAGCGGGTAGAAAAGCGACTCCCCGCCGGAGTATTTGGTGCTTCGTCTGCGGCAGGTGCACCAGCGGCCGCGCCGCTCGCAGGCCCCCAGACCTCGACTGGCTCGAGGATCGCGAGATCGATGAGCTCAAGTCCCTTCCGCTGGAACTTGCCAATCTTCGCGTCCGTGCCAGCGTCGACGATAGTGTTTGTCATGACATTATGGGCTTGGAGATTATAGAGGGGGACGATTGCTCGGCGCGTGGAGGAAGTAGATGAGACGGAGGTGAATGATGAGGTGGATACGCTGTAGTCGGATGACGCAGACGTCGCCGAGGTCGTGCGCGAGAGGGCGTCGCCCCCAGTGGAGGAGGAATCAATGGATTGTCGTGGAGTGGAGGGGGGAAGGCCGGGTGCGCGGGTATGAGGTGGAACCAGTTGAACCTGGAGGTTCAATGGATGGTTGGTCTTGGATGGCGGTGGGCGCACGAAGATGAATGTCTGGTATACGCGTAAACCTGCGCTCAGGCGAGCGATGAGATACCACAGACCTCGTTCGCTTTGCGATCCTTCTTCTTGGACTTCACTGAAGTCGCCTCCTCCTCGGGGACGGCTTCCTCCTCTCCCTCGTCCTCTGCTTCCTGAACGGCCTGGGCGTTCTGTTTGGCGCGTTCTTCATTTTGTTGTTGTAGGGAAGCGGGAAGGAATTGCGTGAGACTGGAGAACATGGCGGCGAAAGGCAACGTTCAGTGGCGCGATGGTTTAAGTATTTAATGCGGCTCCGCTGACGTAACCCACATATGAGCTTGACCTCGGCAGCTCGCCTTAGAGACAGCGTCGTTCTCCCGAGCTATTGCCCGGATAGTCTGTCCTTTCGGTCCTCCAAGTAACTAATAAGGGCAGTCATCTCCCAGCGAGCGCCTGCCTTGAATTGCTATGCAGTGGGCAACGTCCCCCTCTTGATCTCCTCGACTCTCGATCAACCCACCATCCCCGAAGCGTAAGATGCCCTCGTCAAAAAGCCCGTGATCGTGTGGTCAACCGGTTATCCGTTCCCCGCTGACATATCCTACTTCCCACTCTCCGGCAGGCGGCAAGACGGGCCTACGAACGCTAGCTTGCAGCTACCAGCTACTCCTGCTCCCCATCGTCCAACTGTCCTCCTCGATTATCGGCTTAATTCCCACCATCACTGACGCACTTCTGTCCTTCAGGCAGTGCCACCCCTTTTTCGCCCTGCTTCAGGTCACGCTTCATCCCCCAATTCATCACCAATCCCTGCGTGTCAACCTGCACAGCGTCATCCCCATTGCTCGCTTTGGGCGCCTAACGCGCTTGCACTGCCGTGTCCGCCGGGCTGACTCGCAACTGAATGCTCATTCCGAATCTTCCGCCGGGAGAGCGCGTCGTCCTGGGTGATCCGTCCACCCATCCACGATCTTCTAGCTTTCGGATGCACGCTCTGGATATGCAGTAGGTCTAGATTGGTACCACCGACGTTCGAATCACGAGCCTCGAGGAGGCCAAGCGACGAATCAGACACTCCCAAAACATGAACACAATACCTTCCTAAAGGGGAATTGATACATGACCATCCAATCAATTGGGTCGGCGACGACGTCCGAGGAGCCTTGTAGGATGCCCGCGGCGTTACTTACAACAGCGCGATGGTATTCGTATACACCTGCGCCATCTGTGTCATTGGTCAGAAGCGATTCCTGCGCACGATCTTCATGTTGAGCTCCTGTTGAGCGACGGAGATTAGAGTGCACGAACCTAAACAAGCTGCGGCGAAGTGAGGACCAGATAGACCGCGAAACAGCGTCTGAACAGCCTCTTGAGCTGTAGATGAACACCGTCTGTCCTGAAGATGAACATCGATGGGTCGATCAAGCTGCGGTCATCAGCTCGGGAGGTCTCCTGGGCAATCCTTCCCAGCAACAAACGACCACGGAGTGTTTACCGGCATGGGTATCGCGATGGTGTGAAGAATGAAAGGCTATTTCGCAGGATAGTGCAACAGCAGCGATACCCACTGCACTTCTATCAAGATGCGCTAATCAACCGTTCTGTTGCCGGACGTGTAGAGGGCTTCCAGATATCGATGTACGGGGATGATTCTCCATCGTGAGTTTGTGAGCTGCTCGTGTTGCCAGACGTCTCCTATGCAGCTCTCACCTTTGTCAACATCGTGCGTCGCGCCTACTAGAGGTGGCCCGAATACCCACTGACTCCTTGAGAAGCCGCATACGTACTGAAGGCCTTCTAAATTTGGAAGTATTTCCTAAACATGTCGTGTACGCGCCCCAATTGCCAGCGTGCATGCCTTGTCCCCTCAGACTCGTGTCGCTTGCCCGCGAATTGGGCACAGCATTGGGTGCACTCCACGAGGGTGCATGATGCGTCCATGCGCTGTCGACGTCCGACCCTCTTCTGCGCACATGCTCATCATGCAAGAATTGTACTCACCTGAACAGCTCACGCATAACATCACAGCGCATGAGGATGTAGGGATGAACGACCGAACGTGATCTATTCGCCTCTGTACGCAGATGGCAAGGTATGAGAAATGCAACGAAAGGTAACGACAAGGGAGGACGTAGGGCGAACATGTATGGCACCTCGTAAGGCCGCATCCCAAGGGAAAGGTGGGAGCCACCGAAATTAATGCCATGTCGTTCTTCCCTCATAAGCAACTCCAGTACTCGGTAGGAAAGATCGAGATCGGAGTGAATAGAGAGGGGGTAGTGGGCGGGTAGAGCGCAGATAGTGAGCACGAGACAGGGAACACACAGATAGAAGGAGATCATGATGAATTGGTGCGGTAAGGGCTGCCGTAGAAGATACAAGGGACGTCAGAGGTGGAAATAGGAGGGACGAGAAAGGAGGAGAGGAGACGGAGATGATGGTGGAAAACTTCAAGAGCCTGTTTGCTCCTATTTGAGGTCTCCAGGAAATCATATGCACGGAACGGCGCGGGCCGAGCAACGCGTGCGTCCTTGAGGTAATATATCGGCCTATTTCCCGACATAAAATCCGGAACACGCCTTGCACACGACGGCAGTCCGTGCACGTATTTTATCCAGCCCTCCAGCCGTATTCCTCCACCGACCGCCATCTTCTCCGCTTTTTCTTGGTCAAAAAGCGCGACATGAGCGCGAAATCGGCGAGCGGGCAGAGCGCCCTGCGGCATAGGCGCCCGGCGAAGGAGCCATCTGACGAGCCCGCGTCCGCGGCGGTCAAAAAGTCGGAGGATGTGGTATGGGGCAAGACCCCGAGTGGCGAAGGTACGCATAGATATACACTTTGCTTGAGCGGGTATTGAATCGCGTATCTTATCCAGTCTTCCGCGTCCCGACCACGCACGACGTGCTCACCGCGTTGTTCCATCCGGCTTACCCCAAAAGTCACCTGGATATCCTCAATCTCGCCCTCCTCGGCTCGCAGATCGTCCTCTTCCTCTGCCTGCCCCGGCACGCGTCCCAGCTCTTCTTCCTCGTCTACTTCGCGTTCTGGCGCACCGCGTACGATGCGGGCCTCGGCTGGGTCCTCACGAAGCAGAGTAAGAAGAAGTGGATCGTGCGCGAGGTGCAGCGCCGCGGCTGGCTGGACGAAAAGAGGCGCCCGGAGGTTCGCAACTGGATCCGTCAACAACTGGCTGGCAAGATGGGGAAAGATTACTCCTTCGATGTGCGTTATCATAGCTTCATGATCTGCACCTATCACTGATCATCGCCCTTTAGGAACTCCCTTTGGAGTACAATACCTGGTTGCTCTTCCGCCAGCTCGTCGATGTAATCCTGCTCAAGTGCGTAGTACGCCCAAGCCCCCTGATTCACCGCTGATGGACACGTAGTGACTTCGTGGCCTACTGCATGTTCGCGTTCTCCTGCTTCCGCGTTCCGGAAGGTCTCCCCGTCCTTGTGCATGTCATGAGGTGAGACGAACGCAGCATCCTCGCATCGGTACTCAATCCTACTCAGGTGGGTAGCTGGGATAGCCCTCATCGCGTTTAACCTCTGGGTTAAGACAGAAGCACATGATGTCGTGAAGGACTATGGCTGGTACTGGGGCGATGTCTTCTTCCAGCGCGGCAACCTGGTGTTCGACGGCGTCTTCGAGCTCGCCCCGCACCCCATGTACTCCGTCGGTAAGTTATTGAGTGCTAACTTGAGTGCAATCAGGACTGAGTACTGCACAGGCTACGCTGGCTACTACGGCCTGTCACTCATTGTCGGGAGCTATGCGGTTCTCTTCGTCAGTCTCGCTGCCCACGCCGCCCAGTTTGGCTTCCTGGTCTTTTTCGAGAACCCTCGTACGTTCAGCACCCTCCCATATTCCCTTCCGCCTCTCACCCCTGCGCAGACATTGAGCGCGCCTACGGCCAGCGCAAGCCCATTGCCAAGCGCGCGCCCATCCAGGAGCGCACCAAAGCCTTTTCGCCGGCCTCTGCCCGCGCCTCTTCAGACGCCGCGCACCTCAGCGAGCTCTCCGACATAGAGCTCACCACGCCCTCTGCGACCGAAGGCGAAACCGCGACGGAAACCGAGCTCGATACGGAGACCGAGGACAGCGAGGTGCGCGCGCCGATCGGTAGCCGTAGCCCATCGCTCGGCAGTCGTGGCTCGCCCACCGGCAACCGCCAGTCGTACCGCAAGCACCAGGCGCACCCCTCGACGGCGAGCTCGGCGAGTGGGTCGGAGCGCGGGGCGCCGATTAGGAAGAAGCCACTATCGGAGCACGACCTGTTGACGACGTACTTCCGCCGAGACACGATTGTGCTGAAGAACTTGGATCTGTTCAGGTGAGTGATCAGCGTCAACACCTATGCGCTCTGGTACTGACAAGATCCTCTCACAGAGCGACCGACCTGATGTTCGCCCTCATGGCAGGCTACGGTCTCTTCTTCGCCTTCGCGCCGACTATGTCGCAAGAGACCATCCTCGCCATGCACTTCATGCACGGCCTCGCCTGGGTCATCTTCCACTGCTTCGGCATCGGCGCGGTATTGCGCGCGCAGAGCGAGAGCAAGTTCCTCGTCCGGCACTACCTGAAGTACTACCACTACATCGCGCACAATGCGACGCGCGGGGCGACTATCGAGGCCTTCGCGAACTTCAAGGCGATCTTCAACATGAGCATCTGCATGACCTACAGTACGTCTTCGTGGCAGATGGGCGATAGAACGTTGCTCACATTCGATAACAGTCTCGCTCATCGGCCTCGTCTGGAAGACCTACCACATCCCGAACGAGTGGACCGTTGGCCACGAACTTCTGCGCCACACTCTCGGTGCTGTAAGTCATTGATCTTTTATCTGCTCTCCTTCACTGACGATCACTCAGCTCCTCATCGGCCTGCATGGCTGGGCCAGCCGGGAGTCCTACGAAGTCCTCGGCGTGTTCGGCTGGTTCTTCGGTGACTTCTTCATGGACGCGTTCCCTGGGCACCTCGAGTACACCGGCATCTACCGCTACCTCAACGACCCCGAAGTCATCGGCGGTGCGAGTTGGTTCGGCTTTGCGCTCATCAGTGGGAGCAAACTCGTCCTTACGCTCGCTGTGATTCGTCACTTGGGTCATTGGTGGTTTTTGCTTGCTGTTGAGAAGTGCGGTCTGCTCTGCGTCTGTCAGAAATTGATGCTCATTGTCAACGCAGGCCGCACATGCGCAAGCTTTACGGCGAGTCCATTCGCCGCGACGCTGGCTTCGTCAAGGTACTCAAGAGCGTTGCGAGCAAGAACGCGCGCATGCTTGAGTCAAGGGCTGGCAAGCACGGCCCCGAGATCCGCCGCGTCGCAACGGAGGTTAAGGGTACACTCGACAAGGTGTACGAGGAGACGGCGGACGCGGTGCAGGACTTCTTGACCAAGTGTACGTCTTTCGCTTCGCCCTGCAATAGGGCAGCATTAGCTGACAAGATTCTCAGCCCGCCCGCAGTTTGATCGTGTCGTCGAGGACACGAAGGTGCTCCTGCAGCAATCGCGCGAGCGTCTAGTCATCACGCGCGTCGCGAACGACTTGGACTCGTACGAGGCGAACAAGTATCAGATCTCGATCCTCCCGAGCGGGATCGACAAGTCGATGCGCTTCCATGTCGGCGAGCCTGTGACCGTCAAGTGGCAGGCGCCGCGCAAGCACTCGCGTCGGGACTGGATTGGTATCTACAGGGTACGTGTCTTACTCGCTACTCGTCTTGGGGTGATCAGCGAACTGACGCCCTACTCTTAGGTCGGCGCCAACAAGTCGAATCTAGTGACGAAGGTTTCCTCACTGGGCATGTGGGTGCCCGTGCACGATGACGAGTGGGAGGGTGACATTCCGCTCAACCCTGACCGGCCCATCACGCCCGACCGCGAGTCCGACAGTGGCACGGTTACCTTCAAGGGCGGCGCGCTGCCCTGGACAACGGGCAAGTACGAGGTCCGGTACCACCACGACGGCAAGTACAACGTGATGAGCATCGATGGGCCGTTCGAAGTCTACCGTCAGTCCAATCCTCCCATGGTCCCCATGCACTCCTCTGATCGTCTTTTCAGTCACCAAGCCCGAGGAGCTGACCTTCGACTCTGTTCGCGAGACCCTTATGCGCGTCGTCCCGCTCTGTCTAGACTCCGACCCGTCTCTCATCCCCCTGTCGTGCAAGAAGGAAGAAGAGAGATCGCCCGAAGACGACCGCGACCCGGACGACTTCAATTTCTGGTCCGAGCGCCAGGCGAAGCGCATCTGTCTGGTCATCAAGCAAATCTTCGGCGTTGAGTACGTGCCAGACGTCATCGTCGCCGACGCGAATCTGTCCGCGTTGGCGAATCGCATCCTGCTGTCGCTGGAGCTCATCAAGCCGACGACAGCGTGACAATGGAGCAAGTCGGCAGGTGGACGATGAAAAGGTATGGGGAGGCGGAGGTCGAGGTCGATGACGACGACGATTTTCTTGGCTTTGGTATACTTTTGTTGATGGAGAGGAAGGAATGGGGATGGAGATCTAGACGGAAGGGGAATTAGAAGGGATGGATTTACTTCCGCTACGTGACGTTGTCATGACGGTTATGACTGAAATGACAAGCGATGCTTTTTCTACATGACAGGTTCTGTCTTCTCCGGCGTCTTCCTGTCCGACTGTCTTTTCTTCCGACCTCGTGTTACCGCTTGCCCATGCCGCCCAACAACTTGCTGGCATTGGAGACGCGAGCGACGTCGCGGCAGGTTAAGCTATATCGAGTCGTGCGAGGGATTGTTTTGCCTTCGCTGATGGCTTTTCTAAGTTCTTTGTCGGCCAGAAGGTCCCAGTTGTCAAGCTGGACGTCGAGGTCAGGAAGACGAGGGCCGCTGTCGAGGGTGGCCGACATGAAGGCGTCCTCCGTGATGTCGCGGATACTTGGAGGGGTGTAATCTCAGCTATACAGCTGCTTTGTCCAGTCTCGTCGAAGCAACGCACCCGTGCAGATGTGTCTTATATAGCGTCCCGGTGGTGATCACGACACTGCGAGGCTCGAGGAGGACAGTGAGGACCGGCTTGGGATCGATGCGACGGCCATGATTTGTAGTCGACGACTCCTTGGCGCCTATGGCATCTTCAGCATCGCCCTCGCCCTCCGGCGCGTAGCGAAAGTAGTGGAAGACAGCATGGCCGCCGAGTGATATTGTAGCTACGACGGGGTGGTATGCAGGACCATCCTCGTGGGGCTGCCAGGGACAGCCTAAGTGAGCGACGACGTGTATGACCGATGTAGACCGATTGCTCACCATGATCCCCTGCCCTGGGCAATACTTCGCGCAAAAAAGGACGCGGAAGGTCAGTTAGCATTCCGTTAGAAAGCAGGCCCACAATCTCATACCTCATTCATGATGATGTGGTTTGGCTGGCCATGAGGAGAGCTTTCGAACGCCTCAGTCGCTTTCAGTCGAGAAATGACATCGGGACTGCAAGGGAGGAAGTCAGGCGCTGGCGGTCAAACCAAGAAAGACTCAGGTATAACGACAAAAATGACTTACTAGGACGTGACAAAAGCAGGTAACTCTCGAGCGAGAAGCACATTCTTGGGCGTGATCTCCCCGCCTGATGGAGGCACAGTAAGATGAAGGTCGGTTTACCCCAGCGCGGTGGTACCGTACCCCATGGTTGCAGCCTGGAGAAAATGGATGGTCATTCTTAACATCTTTTATGTAAAATAAAGCTTGCCTCCGATTTTTCAGCTGCTTCCAGCTTTGCGTTGGTGATTCCTGGATCTGGAGAGAGGCGACGCGTCGGTGGTCAACTCAATTTCTCTTGAGATAGCTCAACCTTGCGTATCAGATATTCCTCTTCATCTTCCTATCCAACATCAAGCTCGAGCTGAGACTATCCGCAACCTTGAGACGTACAGTAACGAAGTTGGGAATATAGTAAACACCCGTTCCCTCGGGGAAGCTGGCATTGGGAGGGACAGCATGCCTCGCGATAGTTTCTATCAAAGGATTAGAAGAAGATGCCATGTTTTATATCCCGTGGGAGAGAGGTCGATGTAAGGATGTTGACGGTAGGTAGCAAGACGCGTCACGGACGGAATGAAAGTCTCGAACAATGGGGCGGCAGTTGCCGAACTAATCTTGACCGCGACAATCATCTTCATCGCTGAGACTCACCTGCCTTTATTCCTCGCCTCACACGCGCTGGCTCTTCCGCAGAAGTGCTGCTACCCAGAAACCTCGCTTCATACTCCTGCCGTACCCTTTGACCTGGAACTCGTGACAGCGGCCACGTCTCGAACAGGAGCTTCGGTGGCTGCCGCAGAGCGTGGTTGACTGACATACGTTTTCTTCCGAGTCTTGCTCGTGTCGACAGAGCCCACATCCATCTAGTAAAGTTTGGGCGGCGAGCTTACTTTGGCGTTGATGGCGCATGTCGTCGAGGCCAGCGGCCGCGAAATTATTCGCATTCCCCTCGGTGCTCTTGAGTTGCCGTCAACACTCCCTGCCGTACCTCTCGTCGTTCAAGATGGGAGCTCGTTCTCGATGCCATGCGACGACGACTCCAGCTTGAAGGCGACACTTTTACGACTGGACCGTCGGTCGCTTTTCACAGGCTCTACAACTGACCTTGAGGTGGCTTTCCTCATTCCGCCAAATGAGGATCCGTCCAAAAATGCACGCGTTGTGAGTGGAGGATTAGACGGTAGATCGCCTCGAGTTGAAGATCAACTGCACAGGAAGAGGTGTGCAATCGCCTCGGACTTGGAGGCAATGACGGGTCATTTCGAACAGACGGTCTCATGAACGCCTTTCTACGTGCGTTCCACTCGCTGCTCAGGATCTACGCTCGTGCTAAGTGTTCACTCCAGTTGAATCATCGCTCCGGGTCCATCTCGATTCTGCGACATTCTTGATCACGCTCCCTTTCATAGAGTTCTGCTCGCTCAGCGACCAGCTGAGGCTCGACAATGAGGAGTGGATAGAACGCGCGAAGCACGACGCCACTGCGAAGCGCATCTTGGGCGTACGCATTATGCTGATCTATCGGTTATAACCATATACTCACGATCACCGTCAGAGCCACCAACCTCGTCTGTATTCATACGAAATAGGGCATCTCGCTTTCTACGAGCCATCGTCCGCCTTCCTTCCTGGCGATACGACCATCGAAATCCTGCCCAACGAGTGTCGCACACTCGAGCGGCCATGCCCGAACGCGCCTTCCGTCGCGAAGAAGCCCCAGATATACGACGAACTCATATGCGAATTCCCTTACCCTCCCTCTCTCCGAGAGAACAAGGATAAGCTGTCCCCATTGGCGCTACTTGTGAACGCGCACTACAAACTCAAGGCGTACATGGCGAGGGTTCCTAGAAGACACAGATGCTTCCCCCTGGAGCAGTATTTCAAGTTTACAAGTCGTTTCTTGGACATGTTATACTTCGTGCCGTCGCAGGAGCCAAAGGCTACGTCGGGCCCCGTCGATTCCAAGGAGAGGGTTTCGAACTGGCTGGGTTCTGCCGTCGATGCCGTGCACCCTGGCGATCCCGACAACTATCCCGCCCTACACGAGAGGTTGCATGAAGAGGACCTGATCAACGGTCTCACGGTCGAGGAGATGGACGCCGTTATTTGGCGCGCTGGCGACCCCCGTTCTACGGATGCAGCCAGGGTGAAAGCGGCGATGTTGATGTTCGGGATGGCTGGCAGTGAGTTCTGGCCCGATTGTTGGTTGTCGCGACGCTGATTCAAAGCAGATCATCGGCTGCCCGACAACCCTTTGATGAGGAGAATCAGGTTCGAGCAGCGCATGTCCTTTGATTCAATTTTGATTATGCTCACCTGGACTTGTTCAACTGTGGTCCGTATAATCTGTGCTGACCCCAGATCTGTGCAGGGCCTAGTAGCCAATATAACTTGCCAGTGCAATTGTCTTCATATGGAGATACATGTACATTATGGGTCCGTGAGTGTTGATGTTACAATGTCATTACAAGATTCCGCTTCAGTCCAGCTTCTCCTTGACCTGCTGGTCAACCATCCGCTGCGCCTCATTCCTAGTCTCGTAGCTGAGGATGGACTCAGGGAAATGTCCATACACCCGTATCTCCATACCCTCACCTCGGGCCCTCCCCGACGAAGTTATCCGTCTTAGGCCGCGTCCCAACATCCTTCCCCTGCTTCGCGTCTTGCAACTCGTGCTTGAGGTCGCCGCCGTCCAGTGACTGGTCGATCAGCCCGTTCTGCGGCAGCCGGCCCTTCTGCCCGTCGCGCTCCCAGACGCGTTCGTCGGCGCTGTAGCCACCGGATTGGGTCGCTGTGACGAAGATCGGGGTGAGAGAGAGATGGGCCAGATGGCGGAAGGACGCACTGTCGTTGAGTGGAGGGTAGTTGCTATACTTGTAGGTGAGTTCGCGCTCGGTCTGTTCGTCGCGGGCAGCTGTGGGACGATGTGTGAGCTGGGGTGCAAGGCTGGGAGGTCGGGGGGGGGGACGCACTCTCGTTCACAAGCGAGCCCTGCTTGCCGAAGCCTTGCGAGCCGTATTCGTCAGACATGGTGATAACTATGGAGATGGGTCTGGTCACTGAGTGAGATGATTACGCCGTCCATCTCATTTGCGGCTGTCCTTATATTCAAGTAGCGCCCCGCCATGACGTCGACGAGCGCGTCACTTGAATCGCGTCTAATGACCGCGTCTGGCGCACGTGGCACGCGTTGCTTACGTACGATTGGCGCCCCGCGCGATTTTCCTCCCGCCGCCACGAGGTTCGCGCCTGCTTTCGCCTTCGGCCTCCCGCTGCTTTCTCGCGCGCGCGACGGACGACGACGATGTCCAAACTCAGCAATAGCATCCTGAGTCTCAAGTTTATGCAGAATGCGCAGCGCGCGAAGCAGCAGAAAGAGGTCGAGATCGAGCGCGCGAAGGTGAAGGATGAGGCGGAGTGGGAGGTGCCGAAGGAGGTGAGGGAGGGATGGGGGCAGACCAGCTCAACGTGCGTCTTACGTATGGCTTTTGGATGCGTGTTCTCTGACCACTGTCTTCGCAGGAGTGCTGTATCGTTGGAAGATTCGTACCTTCCGTTCTTGTACCCGGTCCTGGAGACTGCAGGTGCGGAGGCACCTATCAAAGGGCGTAGGAGATATAAGAATGGGGAACTGGTCAAGGAGGAGGTGCGTGGGCCACTCTGTCTCTTTGTTCATACGCTGACTATGTGTCAGATTCCCGAAGTGCCGACACCGTCCGAGGAAGCAACTGCGTCGACATCGAAGGCAGAAGACCCATCATCGCATGATTCTCCCTCTCGGAGGGACTCTGACCGCTCCGGCAAGCCCAAGAGTGGCCTCAGCGCTCTGAAAAAGAGGCGGAAAGACTCGAGGCACGAAGCAACAGACGACTCCCAGATACCAGGCAATGCGAAGACGGTCCAAGATCTGATTCGTGAGAACGCGGGCATCGGCGTCGATCTTCGAGGCGCGCGAGCGGCTCCTGCGAAATCAGCGCCGAGCCCTCCGGTCTTCTTGAAGCCGTCTGGCGTCGATGAGCCGTCCAAGGCGCCCGCCGCATCGTCCACCGAGAAGACGGAACAGTCGAGCGATCCTACACCTTCTGGCAAACCTACGAAGAAGGCCAAGCGGAAGAGCGAAGGCGACGGCGAGTCTGTGAAGCCCAAGAAGAAGAAAAGAAAGGAGCCTGCAGCGTAGTCGCCTCGCGGGGAGCGTCGTACCTTTCCATCTCTTGCGGTGGCACGATATGTCACTCGTTTCGCCTTCGTACCAGACTCCTCATACGCCGCGAGCCAATCCGGATAGGCTGGCGCTTGCCGACGACTCCCTGGGCAACCATTGCAACGCATCCATTTCGACCTCTTTCTCTACGCATGTGCTGCCTCCCTCTTTAGCTTTGTATCTGATACTTCGTCATACGCAGATCTTCTGGTCCTCGCTAGCGGTCCGAAATAGTATACACAATTTTGTATGACAAGTGCAACGCAGCCCAGTTCGCTCTTATGGCGCCCGTTCAACCGTCCCTTGACCATGTTTGTTTGCTTTGTTTGAGTTCAAGGTGTGATTGACGATTGATCGAGGAGATTGATCCGTCCTAAACGGAGATACCGGGCCCGGAACGCGCTCCGAAGCTACGGTCACGTGCATTATGGACTTTTGGCAGGGCGCGTGTTTGCGTCTGTTTCCCCGTTCTTGGTTCTTGCTCTCATGTACCTTACAGATCAGGATCGAACTTTCTCTGGGGTCCACTCGATATCTTTGAGACTTAAGCCCGCGAGGTGCAGAAGCGCCGGTCAGAGTTCCCGCTCATACGGCAGGGCGCATATACCCAGCTCTCGCAGGTGAAAGGCCAGCATAGGGGTGCGTGGCATCAAAGTAAACGCGATGAATTGCTGAGCACTTGTGCTACAGCTGCTATTTGGCCCACTGATTATGGACCCCGACTGATGACACCGACCTGGAAATTCTTGCACTTCCCGCGCGTTTTCGTTACGAAGCCTGCGCTCGCTTGACCACAACTTTCCTCAGAGAAACGAAGAGCAGTCGCCTCGTATGCTACACTTCTTTCCTGACGCTACGCGTCCGGTCGAGGCCTAAGTGCGAGGATTACCTATTTTGTAGCTCGCAGGTAGACAAGCGCCGCTGCGACACGAGATAAGCACCGCCCGGCCTAAGCATCTCATATGCTCTCATACGCCGACTGCTCGCCATATCCTTGAAGCGGCAGACATCCGAGCGGCATGGAGCCGACTCCCAAGAGAGCGCAAGCATCAATGGATGACGACCACTCTACGCCATGCCGCGCACATAGTGCGGCCTTTACACCGGAAGTATGGATTTTTATCATATCTAGCATTGCCAACTACAACACCAATGTCCAATCTACGTCGACTACAAGAGCGTATAGCCTCCCCCATACCATCACAATCACCAGCTGACTGTCTTTTAGCGCCTCGAACACCGCTAGCGCTCGGTCAGCTAAAGGATCGCTTCCGAGCCTGCTGAGCGCAGGCTACGCAGTGATTATGCCGATTGACGAAGCCCCGGCATTCTCGTTGTGGCGGCGGGCGCGGCGGTCAGCTGAATTCTGCTTTGCTTCAACTTCAAGTGCTGAAGGCTTAGCGGAAGACCGACTCGTCCAAAAGACCTAACATTCAGAAAGCACTGGCTCACCATTACAGACAAGGACGTCACAGCCTTGGAGAAGTACCTGCCCTCCATTCCATCTGAGTCCAAGCTGAACGTCGTCCCCGTCCGGGGGTGGCGGGGACATGATCGTTGACGAAGTGATGATCACACTGAATTTGATCTCTCGAGAACGTCTCATCGCGTTGACCGATATGGATGCTGTAATTCAATGGTCAACGCGGCTCTGCTTCTTTGCTCCTGCTCCCACGTTCCCTCGCCACTTCCAGTGTCGCTGGCCTCACTGAGGGCGCAGCCTTATATGCACGAGCCGACCGCGACCTTTCCCCCATGGCCGCGTTGTCCCTACACAACGCGATCTTCTCGCCAACAACCCACGACGGGCCGTCCCTGAGCCCGTCCGCGAGCAACTCGGAGAATTCGCACCACGACCGCGCGCGCTCGGGGAGCACGCCGACTTTGACGCCGAGCGCGGGCGAGTATGCGCACCCTACAGAGCCCCTTCTGCGCGCAGAGACGGGCGAGGCGCTTGCCTACCTCGAGCTCCTGTCCAGGCAGCCGAAGCACCCTGACGCGCCGCCCGAGGCGTGGGACAAGGCGCTCTCTTTGCAGGGCGATCCGGCGAGCCCTGGCGACCGCAAAGTTTTCTGGGAAAGCGCGGCGCGGCGGCGCTTGCGACGGTTCAGGTGGATAAAGCTTGCGCTTGAGGCGATCGTTGGTGCGTGGCGCGGGTGCATTTCCTAGACATTATAGGCTGATTTATTGCTGCAGCCGTATGGAGCGTCTACAGTGCTGTTCGGTATTTCATGGCATTCTCGCACTACTGGGGGACGGTGCCTCGAGCGCTCACGGCTGCAATGGGCGCGTGCGCGACGGTCTCCGCGGCGCTCATCATGCTGAACATGAGCCTATGTGTCGCCATGCCAAGCTTGCTGGTGCCTACGGTCTCCTGGAAGGGTTTACTCCGGCTAGAGAACGTCGCTGCATACACGGGGTCCCTTCTCTTTGCCATCCCAACTATCGTGAACGTCGCGCTCGTCAACGTCTGGCATAATTCGCCCGATATCGATGTCAGTCTCTCCTTTCGCTGCCATCTCGATGTCGACATTCTCTGGGCGACGGGCGGGTCCTGCGAACCGCCAACTTGGGAAGCATACCTTGGTCTTGCCGTAATGCGGTTGGTTCTGAGCTTTGCCATAGTGGTGAGTCTCACGCTCGCGTTCTCGAACTTCATAGATGAACATTGTGCTTCCAGGGCATATACCTCAGAGTCGTCTACAAGTTTCAAACGATCCGGCGACCTGCACTCACCCTCAGCAATCTCAAAGGTCAACCGAACGCGGCACACATGACTCAGTCGACGGTTTCGACTCCCTTCACTGACCTGCCAACCCCGCGGCGACGCGACAGACGCTCGCATGGATCACATGGAAAAGCGGCGTCTTCTGCGAAGAGCGCTACGGATCGAGGACCTTCGCATCGTCACTCCGCGACATCCCTCTCAACGGGCGAGAACTCACCCTCTGAGGAAGACTCTGACGAGGTAGTGACCCCGCGCGCATCCCACAACGACACCGACCAAGAGCTTCGAGTCTTCGCCGAACGCTTCCGCACGCTCATGGCCGAGATATCCGAGGAAGCTGACGATGCGGTGGCCTATGCGCGCCCGGACTCTGCACTCGGGTACAACAGCGAGATGCACGCGGACGAGCACTCGCCTACGGACAGCGAGTTCCTACACGGTCGCAACGGCGAATTCGATCCATACGTCTTCGACGCCAGCTACCAGCCGCACCCGCTACAGGGCGGGACGCCGTTCATCGGGCGCGACGAGTTCGGGCGGCCGTACCCACCCGACGGTCTGGTGCGGGTGCTGAACGGCTACGTGCGCCGGATGCCGACCATCGAGAGCCTGGGGTCGCGTGAGTGTGGGTGGAGCCGGCCCGCGACGCGGACAACGATGTTCAGCATGCAGACGGGCGGCAGCGAAGGTGGGCGGAGCCGCGCGAACAGCCTGAACGCGCTAGCGATGACGCCGACGAGCGAGGCGGGAGGTGGGCTCGAGGCGGCGCTGGCCGAGGACGGGCGGCAAAGTCGAGGCGCGGAGTCGAGCACAAGCCGGGCGGACAGTATGGGGCGGGCGAGTGGCAGGACGGGCGGAACGCATCCGTCGGCGTCGTCGAGGAGTACGAACTCGTTCTTCTCGGCCACGGGCGAAGAGCTCATGTCGAGTCCGACGAGCACAGAGACACACATGCCACCACCTCGCACGCCGCCGGAGAGCTGAGGCTCGCCTGTCGCCGCTCATGTCCACCGCCACGACTATAGAGTGCCTGAGGCACATGTCCTTATGTGCCATGCTTTCCTGTCCCCCACTTGTATACTCTCGGGACTCTGCTTCACCATGGGACTCAACCAAAGGTGTACATACTGATCGCGACCCTCTCCAACTGTTTCCTGTACTTACGCCGGCCTTCCCTTCGACGAATGTATATACGAATCTTCTCTTCCTCTGTGGATCTTGCATATCCTTTTCCTCTCCCTTCCGGTTCTTATCGCACATACAGCCCGCAAACATTCACGAACATGCGGACAATACTCTTCTTGGTTTTCTCCAGCTACCTCTCCTCTACGTCGGCAGCCCACAGTAGGCCCCCGCTGACGCTGCCTCGGATCCCGACTCTGCTCTCGACACTGGTTCGATTATGTCGGCCATATCCCGACGCTGCTCCCGGATCCCGACACCACCCTCTCCTTACATACCCAACTGGTTGCCAACGTCCTCTGCTGGATCTCTGCTCACGCTATCGCTACTATTTGTACATATAGACCCCCGCTTGCTATCGTCGCATGCTTATTTTATTTACGGTACTCACTTATGCGTAGTGTACTAACTCACGAACCCGCCCGGGCAGAGGCTGCTGTGGTAGAAGTTCCCCAGAAAATGAAAAGTCTATCTATTGGTTTGCTATGCTTTATGTCAGGTGAACGTTGAAGCCTGACGGCTTTCTCCCACTAGTTCCCCTTCCTGAACGCGGCCCGTAGCACAAGGGATGTCACGGTTCGACTTACCCCTTGTGGATCCCACGCGAGATAGTCACAGCGCGTCATCGCCAATTTCATTGCTTGATCAGAACCTCCATCGTCGACACCAGCAGTAGCGCCCCTTCGCCGGCGCTCGCCAAACCCCAACTCTTCCCCCTCACCTATTTTATGCGCCATAGCCCTAACCAGAGAACCAGACAAGAGACCACCAAACACCCGCTTACTGCTTCGCACCCCGAGAACCAGCATGGACACCGGCAAGTTGTCGATGGCGGTCGCAGGATCAGTCTTCTGTGCGACCTCCCGCCCGAGTCGCGCACGCATATCACGGCGTACCTCGATCCCCCATCGCTCGATGCGCTCAGCCAGACGTGCAGGCTCCTGCGCGCCCACGTAGCGGACGAGAGTACGTGGTATCACGCCTTCCTCTGCCAGTTCCTCGGCGTGGGTCCCGAGGCGAGCCTCAGCGATGAGACGGCGCTGCTCCTGCGGCGCCAGCAGAAGAGCTGGCGACTCGAGTTTGCCTATCGGCACAAGATGCGGGGGTACGTCCCCCGATCGGTCTCTCTTCATCACTCGACTGACATGGTCCCCCCTCGCAGACGCTGGCAGCGCTCGCGGAATACCACCGTCGTGCACTCGCCGGTGCATTCCTACGTGAACGAGATACATCCCCTCGCCAACGGAGGCCTCCTGACGTGCTCTCTGCGCTACGGGATCGTCGCCCGATCGCACCCGCTAACAGGCAAGGTCGTCAAGGGCTTTCTCGGCGCCTCAGGCGGCGGCGCGGGGCTAGGGATCGGCAACCCTAACCTCGAGTTTGCGCCCGATGCGACGGCATGCGCGCTCACCTCCGAGGGCGCCACAGCGAGAGTCGCCTGGGGTTACCGCAATGGCCAGCTGGCGATCGTCGTCGCGAAGAAGGCGATGGAAGGGAAGGTCGCGGCCGACTTCTCGCTATGCCGCGTCGACGACTTTCACGAAGGCGCCGTCGTCGATGTCGTTTGGGAGCAGGATATGGTCGTGTCCGCGGCCGACGACGGCAGAGTGAAGGTCTGGCAGAAGCGACATGCTGTCCAGTGCCTGTGGACGTCGCCGAAGGACGAGCGCGCGATTGTGCTCATCAAATGCGCGAAGGTCGTTTCGGCGCTGGCGAGGGGCTTCATTGCCTGTGTTATGGAGAATGGTGATATCCTAATCTGGCGCGGCTTCGTACTGGGCGACGCGCAGGACGCAGGGACCCCAAGGGTGGAAGCGGAGAACGTCGAGGTCGTCCGCGTGCCCTGTCCGTTGCCCAAGCCATCCTCGGAGAACCTTGTGGATGCGCTGCCGGAGGTCCTCGCTTTCCACGCCGACAAGGCGGCGCCCGAGCACACGGTGCTAGTCGCCTATCGTCAACAGCCGCTCTTCTATCGCATCGCTGTCGTCGGTCTCACCGACATTCGCATAACGACCTTCGGCGACCCAGCGTTCCGCCTCACGAGCGTCACGCCCTTCTTCACCGCCGAACCCACCGAGCACTCCTTCGTCCTCGCCGGCGACCACCTAGGCACTGTTGCTATTTACGACTGGAGCAAGGCTGGCAATGTCGCCTGGAATGTTACATCGGCAAGCGCCGCGACTACTAGCAACTCGTCAACGCTCATCATGAGCGATTCGCCATACTCTACCATCATCTCTCCCCTCCGCAAATTCGACGCGCACGACTCCGCAGTCACGGCCATCGCGTCTAACGGCATTGTCATCGCCACTGGCTCCGCGCGCGGGGCGATCCACGCCTATGATGCGCTCACCCTCGAGCGCGTGCGCACGTTCGACGCGCTGGAGACGCGGAGCGCGAGCGGATTTGCGAGCCCGTTGTCGGCGGTGTCGGCGTTCGCCTTCTCGAGTGGGCAGGTGATAGCGAAGGACAAGGAAAAGAACAGCGACAAGAACAGCAGGGAGATGCTCCTCGCCACCGTTGGAGATGAGGTCCTGGCGTGGCAGCTGGGGAAGGTGCCGAAATCACAGCGCCATGTCATGGTCGGCGCGAAGGGCAAGGGCCGAGCGTGGAGGGAGAGGGTGCAGTACGAACGTGAGTGGGCTAGCTTATTCCGTCTGGGAAGGTTAAAGCGCTAACATGACCCATAGAGAAAATCGAGATCAAGGAGGGGATGGCATCGGCCTGGGACGCACGCGGATCCGCGAGAGATGCGTCTGGATCCAAGAACGCTGTGCCTAAGCAGGCGCGTGTGCAGCAGGCGAAGATGGACGCGCTGGGGCTCGATGAGGCGGAGGCGCTGGAGTATGTTATGATGCTGAGCCGGGAGGAGGCGGCGCAGAGGGAGCGGGAGGCGGAGCGCATGAAGGAGCTGTTTGGGGATGCGCGCGCGCCAGATGAGCGGCCGTCCTCCTCGATGTACGGCGATGGATCGTCGGCTATGCACGGTGGCGGTGCATTTGACGAGGGCGTGTTTGACGGTGAACTTGACGCTGGGTCGTTCGCGGACGACGGGTCTCCGGCGGGCGTGGATGACTCGCCGGGCTCGTCCGGCATCTCGTCGCTATCATACGCGAGCTCTTCGTCAGGTGGACGGACGGATGCGGAGGGCGGGCAGAGAGCGTCGCCTTCCGCTGGGCGTCCGATCCCTCCTTCTGGACATTCGAACCTCGCATCTACGTCTCGCGCGTCGCCGCCAGCTACTTCCGCTAGGGCATCACCGCCGGCCATTTCCGCCTGGGCATTGACGTCGCCGCCGTCACCATCCTTGGCAGTCGCCACCCTGGACGACGAGGTCGCGTTTCCGCCGGTGGCGCCGCATACGCCCTCGTCTTCTGTGTGTCCCAGTCCTCCGTCTGTGCGTCCCAGCCTGCCCTCCACGTCTGTGCGTTTCAGCCCGCCGCTCTCGTCTAGCCCTCCGTCGTCGGTGCCCTCGGCGTGGAGCACGCCGTTGAGGATGACCCCAGGCTCGAATACGAGGCGGGTGTCGGGCACGAGCACACCGCCGGTAAGGGCGTCGCCTGCCGGTATGTCGACCAGGGCGCCTGCTGTGGTGTCGACCGCTGCACCTTCGTCGAGGTCCGCGGAGGGCGCGTGGGGTTCTGCATCCGCTTCGGGTCCTGCATCCACTTCATCGTCTGAGCCTGCACCCACTTCATCGTCTGCGCCTGCCGGGGCTTGGGCTGCGTCGACGGCGAACGGGGCTCCTTCCGAGCCATCTGGAACGTCTGTCGAAGACTTGGAGGATATGGACGACGACCTGCGGTACGCCATCTTACTAAGTTTGGCGGAGGCGAGGAGTCGGGGCGAGGCTGTTTAGGATAGGGGACGGCGTGCGCAATACGCGTTATGATTATGTGGTCTCACAAGTATCTCTCAATTCAAATTAGTAAGTATGCGTACCCCTGTGTACGCGTAGCAGTAGTAGCATCAGCTCCGCGCAGACGGAGGATACGAGCACTGCCATCACTTCCAGTCGCCACCCTCTGCCACTTCCGGTCGTCACCCTATCACCGCGAGCCCATGGGCTAGCTATCGACATTCGCGCTCATCGTCCCGACCTCAAAGTTGAAAGTACTCTACATGGAGAACATATTGACCGGCCGGTCGTCGACTCTCGTAGCGTCGAGCTAGACGATGCGCGGGATGCTGCGAGGCAGCGGACGCTGCTTTAGCGAGGCGCCGGACGCTGCTCGAGCGATGCGCCGAACGCTGCTGCTCTAGCGAGGATGAGGGAGTCAAACGAGCAGCGTGAGATAGGTTGGTGAAGGAGACGACCGAGTGAAGGAGGAGACGGACGAGTGAAGGAGGACGCGAACGAGTGACTTCGGGCTCGTACGAGTGAAGCCGGGCTCGTACGAGTGAAGTCGAGCTCGTACAAGTGGGATTGCGCTCGCGCGAGTGAAGTTCAGCTCGTGCGAGCAGCGTGGGGCGGCGGTCTGGAAGGGGGGGGGGGGGGGAATTGGAAGAGGAGGGAGAGACCGGACGAGGGGGTGAAGCCTCCGCCGAGTAGGATGCGACGCCCGCGACGGCGGGTGCAGGGTACTGCATGAACTGACCGGGCTGTACGAATATATGTAGCACGCCTACAGGCAGCCGTTATTCATCGCCGTTGAGGCCTTCACCACTTCACGCCTGGGGTAGCCCGCCCCGAGGCTATTCCCCCGGCAGGCGGTCTGCTGGACCGCCGCGATCCTCTAGAGGCTATCACAAGAAAGGCTGGGAATTGTGGTGTCACGAGCTTAGTCATGTTCATATTGTGGCTTACCTCTTTCTGAGAGTTACCGGTGAGCAAATTCTTTCTGGAGACCTCGAATCCCTCATAGCCACCGAAACGGATTGTCAGGCTGTCGGGCACCTGTCTCTCTAGGCTGTCGGGCACCTGTCTCTCATGAGCATTCGCGTTAGGCACTGCGCGCGCTACGGCACATTAGGCACCGCATGCGCTATGACTCACGACCAGCCATCCCAAACATCAGCATCGCCGCTTGCGCTCTCGCTGCATCTGTGGCACGAGGGTTGGACACCTGCCAGATGACCTGGCTCATCTCCTCAGTCGTCAGCCCGTTGATGAGGTCCTTTTTGTCCGCATTGACCAGGTCCTCTTCGTCTGGCATCTCGAGGGAATCAGTGACATCGCGGTCCCCAGACGACGCCCCGGGTCCTGGAGGTGGCACGACGTACAACGGTCCCGCAGGCGGCACGAAGTACAACAAGTCCATGAACCGATTCAGAAACTCGGCATAGCTCTCCAAATGACAACTGCGGCGACTTTTGGGTTCTCGCGCCATGTAGGTCTGGAGTTTGTAGTGCGAGTTCACGAGCAGCGCAAGGGGAGACAATTTATCCTCCTTCGCTCGGTGAGACGGGGGGTAGGGGAATTCGCAGATAAACCCGTTGCATCTGGGCTTCTTCGTAGCAAAAACAGGGCTGTGGCATGGCCGGTCAAGGGTCCGACAGCTGTTGGTCAAAATTTGGACGGATGCGTCATCGGAAAGAAAGGCAGGCGATAGTGCGTAGAAGGCCAGCTCTCCGATCTCGTACGTGTGTCGGCGAGGTTCGTACCTCTACAAGATTCGTGAGTATATGGATACAAGCAATGAACAGGATCCATACACCCAGGATGCGCTCGGCAGAGGGATCGCGCTTCGCTCGCGCCGCCCAATCGTCATTATCAAATCTGAGCTGATCTAAGAGACGGCATGTTTCCTCGAGCGGAAGCGTGATCAAGAACGTTGCGAGGGCGTCCAGATGAGTTCGAAGAGGGGATTCGACTACACAGAGGTGTCCAAAATCCGCGCTGCCCAAGGAACAGCCACTACGCACGAAGGAAGGTATTCATGAGACCATATAGTCGATATGATCCATCATTGCCCCCCAGTTTGAGGCGATTGCAGACCTCTTCCTGAGCATCCGAAATCCGTCAGCGCTTATCGCATAAACAGAGGCCAGACTCACAACGCGGGCCACTTCCGATGCATCCTCATCAGGAGGAATGAGATAAGTCACTTCGAGATCGGCAGTGGATCCAGTGAATAGCGACCGACGATCCAGCCGCAAAAGTGTGGGCAGCAGCCCGTGGGGCTCGCCGATGGGCGTTAACCAGCCTTGCTCCTCCTGAAAGACAATTTTGACAGGAGGTACCGAAGGTAGCTGGCGACGACCAAGAGGGAGGCGTATGACGTCGCGATTGTTGATCTTAACGATGTGGGCCATGGTGGAGTCAAGTAAGTGTATGCAGTGATGACATGACTTTGCAGTCCAAACATATGTAAGCTGGACCGGATTTTGTGGCGTCTTACACTGGGATCAGACCTCGACGCGTCCCCAAACTTGCAACGCTGTGCACTCTGACGCTCGCTCACGCAGCTCCTCCTCTTCATGACCCCCATCGCCTATTCCCCACACGGCCCTCGCAGCTCTCGGTCGCCTTTGCCCAGCCGCCACGCTCGTCAAGACCTCTCGCCCACCTTGCCCCATCTTCCCGACCTTACCCATCCTTAGACTCTTCACGATGCTGCTCCTCATACAGCACCCATCCACCACGCTCACTCATGCGCCCGTCCGCGACGCTCGCTCAGTGATCCATCCACGATGCTCGCTCCATGACTCGTTCACGCTGGGGAGAGGCGGGTTCAGCGAGGGGTGACCCACTGAGCATTCCTTCGTCTTCGTCTCCGCCGGCGACCACCTCGGCACTGTTGCCATCCGAGATCGGGGCAGCTCCATCGGCGTCCAAGAGAACAATTTTATCGGCGACAATTTCATCGGCGACTTACCCCTCATCCTCCGTCATCAACCACTCCATTCCCCCTCACCTCCCCCCTCCGCGAATTCGACGCGCACGACTCGGCAGTCACGGCCATCTCGTCCAACGGCGTCGTCATCGCCACGGGCTCCGCGCGCGGGGCGATCCACGCCTATGATGCGCTCACGCTCGAGCCTGTGCGCACGTTCGACACGCTGGAGACGCGCAGCGGTCCACCAGAAGACCGCCTGCCGGGGGACTAGCCTCGGGGTGAACTACCCCAGGCTTGAAGTGGTAAAGGCCCCAAAGACGATGGATAACGATTGCCTGTAGGCGTGCTACACATATGTGTACAGCCCGGTCAGTTCAAGCAGTACCCTTCACCCTTCGTCGTGGGCGTCGCAGAGCACAAGTGGGCGGGGCAGATGCGTGGAGGTGAGGATGATGCACGCACGGACACGCGGCGAGGATAGCAGTAGAGGGGCTCGATGGCGCAGAACTCACAGCCGACGGCGCAGAACTCACAACAGGCTGTGAGTTCTGCGCATCGAGTCACAGCCACCGAAACAGATCGTCAGGCTGTCGGGCACCTGTCTCTCGTGAGCATTCGCGTTAGGCTCTGCACGCGCTACGACTCACCATCAGCCCTCAGGTCCCGACTCGGACCAACATTCGACTCCCGGCTCGGACCAGCCCTCGACCCCCGACGCGGACCCGCCATCCCAAACATCAGCATCGCCGCTTGCGCTCTCGCTGCATCTGTAGCACGGGGGTTGGACACCTGCCGGATGACTCGGCTCATTTCCTCGGTCGTAAGCCCGTTGATCAGGTCATCTTCGTCCGGCGTCTCGAAGGCGTCATCGCGGTCGGACGAGATGTTGCGACCGCCAGCGTCCGCCAACGACGGTCCTTTACTTTCGGCGACCGGGGTAACAGATGAAGCCTCGGGTCCCGGAGATGAAGCCTCAGGTCCCGGAGATGGCACGAAGTACAACGAGTCCATGAAGCGATTCAAGCACATGCAGTACCGCTCCAAGTGGAACAGCCGACGTCTTGCAGGCTCCCGCGCCAGGTACGTCTGCAGTTTGTAGTGCGCATTGATGAGCAGTGCGAGAGGCGACAGCTTGTCCTTTTTCGACCGATGAGACGGGGGATAGGGAAACTGGCAGATGAGTTCGTTTTTGAAGAAGGGTTTTGTGGGGACGGGGGCAGGCGCAGGGCTCGGGACGGGGGCAGGCGCAGGGCTCGGGACGGGGGCAGGCGCAGGGCTCGGGACGGGGGCAGGCGCAGGGCTCGGGACGGGGGCAGGCGCAGGGTTCAGGACAGGCGCCGGCGCAGAGCTCGGACCAGGCGCAGATTCCTGGCACGGCCGCTCGAGGGTGCGCCCTTCGCCGGGCAGAATCTCGATGGCGGCGTCGTCTGGGAGGAACGCGGGCGACAGCCTGTAGAACGCCAGCTCCTGGATCTCGTACGCATAATGGCGTGCTCCGTGGCTCTGCGGGGTAGCGTGAGCGTACACGTAGGTGTGCAGTTGGCACATGATGGATAGGATAGGATAGACAGGATCCGTAGGACAGACAGAATCCATACCCCGAGTATCCGCTTCGCAGCGGGATCCTGCTTCACCCGCTCCGCCCACTCTTCGTTGTCCAGCCTGAGCTGATCGCAGAGCCTGTAAAGCTCGGCGAACGGGAGCGTGATGCAGAACGTCGCGAGGTCGTTCAGATGGACGCGGAGGGATGATTCGACTGCGCGGGTTTCAATGGACTTCGCGGCGGGAAGAGGAGGGAGACTCCTTGTCATGCACGAAGGAAGGCGTTAATGAGGCCGTATAGTCGAAACACGCCATCGTTACCCCCGATTTTGAGGCGATTGCACACCTCTTCCTAAGTGTGCGTCCAAAGAAAGTTAGGTATGCGTCCAAAGGAAGTAGGTATGCGTCCAAAGGAAGTAGGTATGCGCCCACAGAAAGTCCATCAGCGCTGATCAGTACTTGTAGTGATCACAGTAAAGAGCTGCAAACTCACAACGCGGGCCACCTCCGACGCATCCTTGGGGTCAGGAGGAATGAGATAGGCCACCTCTAGATCGGCCGTGGATCCGGTGAACAGCGACCGGCCATCGAGCCGCAGAAGCGTGGCTAGTAAGTCGCCATTGCTGCTTTGCGTGGCCAGTAGGTCATCATTGCTGCTTTGCGTGGCTGGTAGGTCATCGTCGCTGCTGGGCGTTGACCAGCTTTGCGTCCGAGTCGACCAGCGCTGCGTCGCTCCGCTTTGCGTTGACCAGCTTTGCGTCGACCAGCTTTGCTCCGTGAAGACGGGTGTTACAGGTGGTTGGGGAGGTACTTGGCGACGACCAAGAGGAAGGCGGATGGCTTCGCGATTGTTGATCTGCACGATATGGGCCATGGTGGCTGAGGTCAAGTGTGATGGAGGTCAAGTGTAACTTAGTGTGGCGCTGTCAGGGGATATCCATGCCACCCACAAGCGCCCACAAGCGTGATGTGGACTCAATTGGTTTGGTCATGTTTGGTTTGTGGACTGATGGCATTTGCATGTGTTGACACCCCCCATCAGTCATCACCTATGACTCATTCCTGGTGTATTTCCCTTATATCTCCTACTTCCCTTCTCCTCCTCTCCCTTTGGCAACCTACCCCCTTCCCTTTCTCTTATTTATCCCTTCCCCTTCCTGGACATTGCCAGTACTCTACCTGTCTCCCACCACCACTACTGTATGGCGCCTTATCGCACCATCATCGCTCACCGATCTTGTGACCTGATGACTGTAGTAGTTATCTCCTATCCCCTTGATTACTATAGCTACAGTATATATACAGGCAGTGGGCATCAGGAGATCCTTTGGGTTTGATCTCCTTGGTTCCCCGCTCGCCTAGGTGTGTTGGTACTTACTGATGGGATCGTACGCTCACGAAGGACGCGAAGTACAGTCTAGCTAGACGATCCACACAACCAAACACCAACAACCACGATAGCAATGAACACGCTAGACTGGAGGCGCTACGAGAGCGGGCGAGTCCGAGTATTTATATTACTAGGGGATAGATTGTGTTGTTTATGCCAGTTCCAGACGAGCTGGACTGAAGCGAGAAGTCGAGTGGGGCAATCGGACGTCTCGGCGTTCTTACGAGCGCTTTCGGGTTTGATTGAAGTTCACAAGGCGGTTTAATGCGCTCGGAAGTTCAGGCTTTTTATGATGTGTAAAGTGCGGGTTAACGCGGTTGTGTTTATTTGGTGTGGTGTGTAGGTACTAGGGCTTCTCTGCGCGGGGCGGGAAAAGTCCCCGAATCGTATGTAGGTCTCGGTATATAACTTGAACGCGTCGTCTCGGCCGTCCAGACCGCGCGGTAACACACAATGCCTATCTCTGAGTCAAAATCCAACTATAACGCCTATCCGCGCGTTCTCCTGTCCGAATAATCGCGCAATGACTGCGGTTCCTGGCGGTAGAGCGGTTGACTGGTCGGGTATCCTCCTGCGCCGCGATGCCGGGCGCGATTCCACACTTGTTGATGTTTACCAAGGCAAGGCCGGCCTGGTTTCCACCCGTTCCCTTGTGCGCGACGCGGCTCAGAGGCCTGCGCGGCGGGGAGCGTACAGCCTAGACTGTCGATACGCGGGGAGTAAAGCCCTTGCCGGGGCGGACAGCGCTTGGCGGCGCCGACGCTCGGTTCGGAGTTCAACTCGGCGATGTCCGAGATCACGAGCTCGGACCCGAAGTTCCGGTCTCGGACCCGAAGTCACGTGTAGTCACGTTGATGGTTCGAGTTCCGCTTGCGCGGTGCTCTGCGTGTCTCCGCATGACGGCGAGCAGCAGGAAGGCTTGTCCGAGCCCCAACAATAATCTAGATTCTCTTGACACAGCAGGGCAAGAGGACTGAAGGCTTGGAGCGCGTATAGCGCGGCTACTTGATTAAGTAGGGCCCGCCAGAGGACTCGCAGGATGTCATCGACGACGCGCAGACTCGTGATCAGGCGCCGAAGAGCTCGCTGCTATCCTTGGTCAGTCATTGCAGACGGATAGTGCTGCGGACTAGTAGTATTGAAGGTTAGGAAGCGTGGCGCTCCTGGTTTTCTATGTCATAAAATACCCCCAACGCGCCCGTTGTACAGTCGCGACGTCGGTGCAGTATATACGGATCCGCCCATACAATCTAGACCAAGTCGACTATATATCGCTTGTTTATGTATGTTTTTCCGCGTTTTTCAGCCGCAGGGCGTATCATCTCCCCCACACCAATAATCTGGACCGTCCTCGGTCAGTTAAGGTGGATGGGTGACTCGGTGTTGTTACTGGGTCGTCGGGCGACTCGCAGTCGACTGCCGCCGCAGTCTCTTGGTATGTAGTTGTCGGAGGACGGCGGGGCGCTAATTAAGCTTTTGGCTCACACCGCATGTTCCGGACATGCATGGTCGTTTAAAAGCCGGCCGTGCGCATCTCCCACGGTTTTCCAACTTGTCCTGAACCACGAAGGTACGTCGCTGGTACGCGCGTCCCGACGCGCCGGCCATACTGACGACGATCTAGAGATGACCGCCGGCAATGAAGGCCCACACTCGACGGTGCGCAAAGAGCACCAAGCTTTCGCCCGAAAGCTCCACCAGATCGAGAAGGATGCGCGCGCACTGCTCAAGGGCGAGGAACCCACGGTGGTGAACTTGGTGCGGGGGATCCAGCGCGATAAGAAGCGCGCGACGATCCTCAAGAAGAAGCTGGTAAGCTCCATCGTGCAAGTTGTTTCCGGCGCTTGCTAACGCTTGTTTGTAGATTTCTCTGTCCGACGCCATCGCGCAAGCGCGCAAACTGAGAGAGACGGGCCCCTGGGCGCCGACCGCGGCGATCCAAGGGGCGATGTTTTTCCTGTTCGACTGCCTCAAGGCATCGGACCCCAAGTCGAAGTGGTACGCGCTGCAAGAGATCGCGCGCCCTCGGTAGGTCTCCGACATGGTTGGGTGACGCCTACTGACATTTTCACCATCTAGGTATGTGATCAACATCGTGGGGCTCGAGATTCCGACGCATGACGCGTCGTTATGCCGCGCTGACCGCGACCGGGTGCCGCGACAGGCAAACGAGGACTTGGTAAGTCCTCGTTGTTTTTATGGGTTCACAGCGGACTAACTTTTCGCAGGACGTGCTGCTCTTGCAGCAACCGCAGCTGCCCGCCGACTATGTCGCGGTCGAGGCAGCGCGGTGCGGTCTCGGCGAAGTCGAGCTGAGTGGGTGCGCGCCCGCGACGCCAGCCCAGCGGAGCTATCCGGGGCAGAAGGCGCACCAGCACGACAAGAACAAGGGCGCGACAAAGCGCAAGCGCGCCGCTAGGGTGCGCTCCCATTTTATTTGATTATATTGGTGGTGCTACAGCTAACGCTTCAACAGCGGAAGGTTGCCACCGATTCCGACGACGACGAGGTCGAGGCCGAAGAGCCGGAGCCCGCGCGCAAGCGCACGCGTTCCCAGACGAAGGCCGCCGCCTCCACCTCAAAGGGCAAGGGGAGGGCTAAGGCGGGCCCGAGCTCGGCGCGCGGTCGGCGCGGCAAGAAGGCCGCTACGCCTTCGGACGTCGAGGAGGAGGAGGAGGCGGAAGAGCGCTCTCAGCCCGAGTCCGAGGAGCGCGACGTCGTGCCGCCCGTCCGTTTCCGCATAGACTGGGACCGTCGCCCGCGTGATGCGGACGGTGAGCTCCTGCCCTACGTCGAGACGGAGGACGAGGCTAGCGAGCGACGCCATCGCGAGTTCATCGCGAGGGGGCCGGCGCCCATCTATGGGCTGAATGGTGACCTGATCGGGCTCACCTCGCCGCCTTCCGAGGACGACGCGCAGATGCTCGAGGAGCAGGCTGAGGAGCAGGAGCGCCTCGCCGACGAGGAGGAGCAGATGCTCCGCATCAAGGAGGAGATCCGCGCCCATAACGAGCAGCGCATGCTCGCGGGGTTGGGCGACGACGACGCGCCTGAGTGGCCGACGGCGGGTAGCTCGGGGCTCCAGCCTGGCTGGACCCACCTCCCGGACGTCGAGGACGAAGAGGACGGCCGCGCGGAACACCCGGGCGCCGAGGAGGAGGAAGAGGAGTTTGAGGACGACGACGTCGCGCCCCCTGCTCTTCCCTCTCCCAAGCCCGCAGCGCCTTCGCGCTTCCCGACGCCGGAGTGGATGAGGGAGGGACCCTCTGGCGACCGTCCAGCGGAGTTGCTCTGAGCGCTCGGCCGAGGTAAGTCCCGTTTTTAGTTCTTTTCGTCGTTTTCGTGTATCCTTGCTGACCCGCACCACTCCAGCAGCTTCCCTCAGGGAGAAAATGCGGTAGATAGCTCTGGATTGGCGAGGACAATGCGCGCGACACGCGCTTAGATAGGTGATTTCTTGGGGCTCTGTACATCACATCTTTTCTTGTATTTCTTGTTGTAGGATCCCCGTTTTTAATGTACTTCTTGCTTTCTTGGGCGATTTAGGGTGATGCCAAGTGACACAAGAAGCAATAAATTGTGCTGTGCGACCGCCTTAGAGGTCGGACAACTGACGCTGCTCGGCGGCGTGCTCGCGTGGGCTGCACGTGACCGTCGGCTACTGCCGGTTGTGGTTCGACTTAGCGAGTCGTGCTTGCTCGCGATAGCGGCGCAAAAATCTCCGTCGTGGAACGAGCTGGATCGGCAGCCTATCTCCCCCACACCAAAAATGTCGGCGACCTCGCCGGTGTGGAGTTCAGGAGCAGGTAGAAATTTATGAAATTGCGGCAGAGGGCGCGGATAACGCGTCCCTGACCGGCCGAGCGGTCGTGATATAAGATCGGAGCGCGCTGGACGGATGAGTCCAACCCACTACAACGATTCGTTCCTTCATCTCCCTCAATGGCCAACAAATACCAGCGCGATCTCTTCGATCAGTTTCTTGCGCTTCTGCCTTCAGCTTCGGCGGTGCTCAAGACCGCGCTCCGCGAGGTCGCGCACTGCGACCTTCCCGCTGCCAGGAAGATCGTCAAGTATCTCAAAACGCACGTGGAGGAGCTGCGCGCGCTTGACGCCAAGGTCGTCGAGCATTATGAGGGCAACAAGGAGAAGTTGGTTGCCGCGCTCGATGGGGTCATGGTGCGTGTTCGGATCGTCGCTGATCGCCTCCCATCTCACACTGAGCGTTGCAGGTCATCATGGACTTCAAGCAGGTCCATGACAAGCGGCCGATCATGGCCCACTGCCTGACCGTCTGCTACACGGCGACGGACAGTCTGGCACCCGGGGAGTCTGCGGACGACTTCTACCGCGGCCTGTCGGCCACGAAGCGATCTCTGCAGGAGATCGTCTCGAAGGTGCGTCGTCGGACGTTATTTTTCGTCTAACTAGACTGATTTATTGTTTTTCCCAGCTTAAGGCCGAGGAGACTGCCTCCAAGGACG